TTTTAATTCATTCCGAACTTTTACTACTTTTAATACTATATTATTATCCTTAAATCCAGTGTCTTCCTTATTTTTAACTTTATTCAAATAGCTAATTCTTAATTTTTTTCTTTAATCATTGCATTGTTTTCAATATTGATTTATAATCAATCCTTTTTTTGATCTTCATTTTTAATCAAATAATACTTAATTAATGATGTTTGACATGCATTTTTAGTTTCATTAAAGACATTCTCCTCTCTATTTTTGCTTATACTACTTTAAATTGCAGGAAAAACATAAAAATATGTTTTTCATCAATTATATATCATATAGAAATAGATAAGCAATATCCAGTCGCCAGAATAAACGTCAGGCAAAGGACAAATACACGCAGTAAGAAGCAACTTTATCACACCGTAGTGATAAAGTTAAGGATAAGCTTTTGCACTAATCCTAAATCTGACCCTTATCCTAAGCCTAAATTTAGATGGTTATGGAATCCAAGCGTAATTCTTTGTAAAAGTCATATACTCATATTAGACTTGCTCTTTATATAAAAAATATTATCAATGACTACTTCCTTTTCAGAAAACAGTAAAGATCTCAAAAAAGAACATATTAAGTTTAAGGCAGGAAAAATGATTCGAGATGGCACTACTAACATAGTAAAACCTGACACCAGAAAAGGGTAAATGTTTCTATTTTGTTATAAAGGTCATTCTTATTCATGTAGAATGATATTTTTAAGAACTGAGAATGATGGCCTCCTTCATTTTTATTGGAAAGATAGGACAACTGATATAATTGAAGAAGTTTTCAAAAAAAAAAAAAAAACAATAATAATTAATTTAGGACCTTATTATTTTTCCAGGTGAAGCAGAGTTTTCATGTGTAAAAGATTCGCCAAATGGAAGAGTTTTTGCACTTCATTTTAAATCATCTTTCCAGATTTTTTTTTTTTGGATGCAAGATCTTAATAGTGATAAAGACGAATATTATGTTAACAAAATTAACGAAGCAATTAAAAATCCCGTAGTTGGTGGTATATAAAAAAAGAGTTTTTATTTATCTAATAAAGGATTGCATTAGAATCTAATAAATATGATAAAGATTCGAAAGTGAGCGAGACACAATTTTTTAATAATGAATGTAAGTTATTTAAATCATAATATTTTTTGAATTTTGTAGATGATAAATGTGTTAAAGCTGTATCTTTAGAGTCTGAAAAAGAAAATACGGAGACAAATTAACGAAATACGTCGCCTACTATTACATGTAAAAATCGTTTTTCATTATCTGAATATTTTTTATCTTTAAAATCATTTTTATTAAACGTTCATATTCCTGATGATTTTTCTAAAAAGTCATTTATTTTATCGGATATATTGACTTCATCTGAAGTTATTAATTTGCTACAAAATAAATTTATTCAAGAAACTTTATTTTCTAATTTTCCACCTGATATTTTCCAAAATCTTGAGCTTGACGAGAAAAATTTTGAAAATATTATTTCTTAGAAATGTTTTCAACAGATATAAATTTAAAATATATCTATTTTTTTTTAATTTTTTAGTCACTTCGATCTTTTTTAATTATGCGATCTCTATAAGAAAATAAGATGCAATTATTTCGAAATTTGCATCAGATGGTTCTAGGAAACTTGATGTGTTTCTCGTGCTATAATGTCTTTAATTCAAAACATAGATCAGGATGTGGATATTAGCGGATGAGTTAATAAAAATTTAATATAATTATATTATCTAAAATTAAGATAATTAATGTTTATAAGTTGAAAATGTTTTTATTATATATTAATTTTTATAATAATAGACTTTTTTATAATTATTTAAAATTAGTTATTGATGTATAAATTTTAAAAATAAACTTTTTTATGAAAATTTATTGGGATATCTTCAATGTCTTTAGTTTTATAAGATTTTTTAGTTATTTAACAATTTTATATTTTTTTAAAATATATTATATATGTTTAAATCTTAAAATGATATTTTTTTATATCAAGAAAATTACAAAGATTAGTGCTAAAAAAGTCTATTACTAAATAAAAATATTATAAACATGATTTGGTTAATAGTTTTAAAAAATTATTAATAAAGGTAGATATTACTTTTATTATAAATTAATATATTTTGAATCTAATATTTTTATATTTTAAAAAAAAAGAATTATAATAAATTATTTAAAATATCAAATTATTAGTTAAATAAATATTATATAAAAATCATGCAATATTTTTTCAAGTTTAAATCTATTAATTTTTTATTAGTATAATAAAACTTAAATCTATAAATATATAGGAAGATTTTTAATTAATTTAAAAAAATTAAAAACTTAATATAATTCTAATAAAATTATATATTTTTTATTATTTTTTATTATTTTTAATTTGTTATTTTTAATTTTTAAAATATTATTTAAGAAATATTTTTTAATAAACTTTAATCTTAATTTTAGTTAAAGATTATAATTTCTAATAACAGTTTTTTTCCTAATAATATAATTAAACAAAAATAATAAGTATATAATTTAATATATATGTTATTCATTTAATAATTAAAACATAAAACATTAAGCTAAATAAAATAACAAAAAAAAATAATTACTTCCTTATAAATGTTTTTATATATTATTAATTATAGAAAAAGAAAACTTAGTATTTAATTTGTAAAAAATACTTTTTATTATTTTTTTCTATTATAATTATTTTATATTTTAAGCGTAATTTTTAAAATACAATTTAAAAATAAAACTAATGAAAAATAAATAATATATCAAAAATAAACAATACAATGGATAATCATTTAGTAGAAGGAAGTGAAGAATCAAATTTTGATACTCCGGAAGTAAATGCTTTTTATGGTTTGCTGAAAGTAATGTTTTTAATTTTTTGACTGATCATATTTAGAAGATTCTTTATCAACAAATGATTCTGAAGCAATGACTTGGTAATTCATGAAACCATTGCCTTTTCATATTAATTTATAAGGATATCATGGTGGTGCTCTCATGTAGGCCATGATTATTTTGCGGAAGTTTCAGAAGAATTTATTGAAGATAATTTTAATTTGACGGGTCTTAATACTCTTATTCCGTTTTATAAAGAAGCTCTCGAAATGATACTAGATGTAGATTCGGGTATTTCAATAATATTATAATTATTATGATAATTTTTTTATAGAAAATACTGATGAACATATGCGAGCACCTGATCAAAATATAATAGAAAGCAGTGCTGAACTTTTATACGGACTTATTCATCAAAGATACATAGTATCTAGAGCTGGTTTACATGCAATGGCATGATATTTTTGATTTTAAAAATAAAATTAATTTAAAATTATTTAGGCAGAAAAGTTTGAAATGGGACATTTTGGTCATTGCCCAAGAGTATACTGTAATTCTACCTCAGTTGTACCTTGTGGACGATCTGATCTTCCTGGCTTAGAAACCGTTAAATTATTTTGTCCTAATTGTTTAGATATTTATGTTCCACCAAATTCTAGATTTCAAAATATTGATGGCGCATTTTTTGGGACAACCTTTCCTCATCTATTCTTTCAAACATATCCTGAATATAAACCATCCATTTCACGCAAGTCTTTTAATATTTATCAACCAAAGATATATGGCTTTAAAATTTCTGAAAGAAGTAAATCAGGGCCGCGAATGTCTTGGCTAAGAAAATTTCTAGGAAAAGTAGATTCTGAAAAAGAAAATCTATTAGATGAAAAAAATGACAATGAAGAAAAAGATAAAAATGATAACGAATATTTATGACATTTATAGGATTATCTTTTTAATGTATATAATAATAATAATAAACCTTTTAATAAGTAAGAAAATAGAAATAACTAGAACGTGTAATATAAAAAGAAACATATTTTATGATATATATCATTAAAGCACATGTAAATATTTTAAGCATTCAATACATGTTTTTTACATAAAATTTTAATGATATCTAAGTTTCAAAGAATTTTATATTATATATAAATAATGATTTATTAGATATCGTTTAGACATGTCTACAAACGCTTAAGATATAAATTAATTATTAAATATAGATATATCGATTTTTTTAATATTTTAGCTTATCCCTACAAACTTCTAAAAAAATATTAAAAAATCTAATGTTTTATGTAAAAAAATCAATGATATTTCATAAATTTATATATATTAATTAGATAATTTCTATAAAATTTATCTTAACTATACATCAAAGTGTTTTGTTTTTAAAATAGAATATAAATATGTAATAAAATAAGTATTTGTATAAATATTATAACATTTATTGAACTTTTTTTGAAAATGGAATAATCGAGCTCCTAAGTCTTAAAAAAATAATATTTAAATAAATTTCTTTATTAATTGATGTATCAGATTATTTAATTACTCAAATTACTAGGAATATACATATAAGATTAATTAGTTAACCTATTCATTAGTTTTTTCTATTAAAATGTTAAAACCCACCCAACCGGTTTTTGGCGTGATAACAACATATGCATCTCGTATAAGGACAGGAAATACATCTCTCATTATACCAGTTCAAGGCCAACCTGGTGCTAGAAGCACAGGAAGACTTTCTTCTCGCGGTAGTGTAATATCTTATGCAGAAAAAGACGATGATGATTGGGATCAAATTGCAGAAAATGGACATGAAACGTATACAGCAGATATAGATGATAGTGGAGATAATAGGGGTCTTGTTAATGGGCCGCCTCCTGATAGCGTTGTTAAGCGGAAACCTGCAGTTAAAACAAGACATATGTATAGGTTAGTAAAAAAAACATAAATTAATAATATATTTAACAACGAAATAGATCAGATGATCAAATGAAGTTTGCTGCAGAAAATGAAGAAGTATTGATCCCAATTAGGCTGGATCTTGAGTTGGACAATTATAGATTAAAAGATGTTTTTACATGGAATATGAATGGTATGTTTTTTCTTAAAAGAAAATTATTAATTTAAATAGAAGAACTAATAACTCCTGATCTTTTTGCACAAGTAATGTGTGCAGATTTAGATATACCTGCTTCAGTTTTTGCACCGCAAATTTCCTCTGCAATACGAACGCAAATTGAAGAATATGCGCCCGTTGCAGAAATATCTTTACCTGAAAACAACGATTTAAGAGTCATAGTAAACTTATCTTTACATTTATCTAGACATCTCTTGACGGACAAATTTGAATGGGATTTATCAGGTTCTCTTACACCTGAAGTCTTTGCTAATCAGGTATGTGCTGATTTAGGATTGGGAGGAGAATTTTATCCAGCTATTGCACATGCAATTCATGAACATCTCTTTAGACTAAAAAAGGAAGCATGTGAAGGCGGTTTACCATTTGAATTAGATAATGATGCTGCATATGGTGCAGAAGCAGGTATTCGAGTTGAACAAGAAACTCTTGGTGCTAGTTGGGCACCTCATATTGAAATTCTTAGTAGAGAAGAAATAGAGAAAAGAGACGGTGACCGTGAACGACAAGTTCGACGGACTAGAAGAGAGGCATCTAGATTTAATATAGGAACTATTTCTAGCTTCGCTGAACGAAAAAGTGGGCGTGACAAAAGGGGAAGAAGTATAAGTCCAACAGGCAGAGGAACATCTATAGAACATGGAATACCAGCTGGTGTCAGTGGTGCGCAAACATTATCTGATTAGTAAGTTTATCTTAAATAATGTTTTTATTGATTTATTTGCAAAGTGAGCGTACACGCTGGAGATGCTCCTATTGTCATTGTTCTGGTACCGGTACATGGGCCGTACGTCGAGGACCTTCTGGTAATAAGGTAAATACCATTTTTCAAACCCATATGATTATAACTTTTATTTTATCATTAGACATTATGCAACCCATGCGGTGTTGCTTATGCTAAAACAAACGAACTTCCTATGTGGAGGAAAGGTCTTTTTCGCTAAAAAAAATATATCTCTGAGTATTCAAATTGCATATTGACTTAAAAGAATAAAATTTCCCCCTAAGATCTTCTATCTAATTTTTATATACATTTATATATTATATTTATAAACATTTAAGAAATATTCAATTATTATTTTTATTTATTCATAGAAAAAATATAGCATTAAATTATATTGTATAAAAACTTACCGGTACTAGATTTACGTAAAACTTAAAGATTATCTAAATGATCTTTTTTTTTTTAATATTTTTAAGGTTATCCGTTTTTTTTTTTTTAATTTAGGAAAAGTCTAGAAATTAAAAGTTTTTTAGTAGTAACGTGTAAAGATTACTAATAAATTGTTAATATAAATAAAGTTTAGCTTATATATTATCTTACATCTATTATTTAAAATAAAAAAAATAACATATTTCTTATATAGAAAACCGACATGTGATTAGCCAAAACAAGTTAAATGAAGAACTCTAATAACATTTAAATCCAAGCAATTTTTATCAATTATACTTGTAAAAATAACTAAATTTAGAATATCATGGATTACTAAATAGATTATTAAACTTTTAAATAATTTCTAATAGCTTAAAAATATCTAAGTTTTGAAAAATATAGATTAATTCTAAATATTGAATAAAAGTGCTTTAAAAGCAATAAGATTTTTATTTTCCAAATTATACTATTACTTTAAATTATACTATTTTACAAATGACTGAAGCAGAAAAAGAAATAAAAGAAAAAGCATTAGATCAGATATCTCTTGAAGAGCCGACAGAAGAAGAATTATTGACACTTCAACGAGTTTCCGATAAAATCCCGCTTTCTGGATATCTTGTTGTAGCTATTGAGTTATGTGAGCGTTTTAGTTATTATGGTTTGATTAACCCTTTTCAAAATTACATACAGTATAAGCCAACGGATGTAATACCTGGTGCTCTCGGTCTTAAACAAAGTGGAGCAACTGCATTAAATAGCTTCTTTTCGCTTTGGTCTTATCTTACTCCAATATTTTGTGCTATTATTGCGGACCAATATTTAGGTAGATATTGGACAATATTTTGGTTTTCTTGGGTCTATCTTCTTGGACAGATAATTTTAATTCTCACATCAACGCCATCTGCCATTCGAAATGGCATGTCTTTATGGGGCTTCATAGTTTCTATAATTATTATTGGATTGGGAACAGGCGGTATTAAAGTAAATGTATCACCTTTAGTCGCAGAACAATATAACTCTCGAAAGCTATTTATAAAAACATTAAAGAATAACCAACGTGTAATAGTTGATTATAACGTGACCCTTCAACATATTTTCTTAATATTTTATTTAGCTATTAACATAGGATCTTTTGGTGGTGTCCTAACTATATTTTTGGAAAAATTTGTTGGATTTTGGCTAGCTTATCTTGTTCCTGCATGTGTATTTACAATTGGAATTCTTATTTTAGTAATGGGAAAACCTCTTTATATTTGTCAAAGTCCTCAAAGTTCCGCAATATTAAATGCTTTTAAAGCTATCTATATTGCAATAAGAAGCGGATTTAAATTGGATAATGCAAAACCAAGTAAAACTAATGGAAAATATAAATTATATTGGGATGATACATTTATTGATGAGCTTCGAGTAACATTAGTTGCCTGTCGTATATTTCTATTTTTTCCGATTTATTGGCTTTTTTACAAGCAAATGGTTACAAATTTGCTTTCTCAAGCAGGATCTATGGAACTGAGTAATCTTCCTTCTGAACTTGCTCAACAAATTAATCCTTTAACATTGGTTATTATGATTCCTATTTTCAATAATTTTATTTATCCTAAGCTTCGAAAATATGGGATTTTATTGCGTCCTATTACAAGAATTACTATTGGCTTTTTTTGTGGAACATTAGCAATGGGGTATTCTGCTATAGTTCAGCAAATGATTTATAATAGTCCCCCTTGCTATAAATATCCTGGTGACATAACTCGTTGCAGTGCTATTAAACAGATAGGAGAGCCAAATAAAATACATCTAGCCTATCAATTACCATCATTCGTTTTTATAGCGATTTCTGAAATATTTTCATCAATTACTGGTTTAGAGTAAGTTTAAAAATTATTATTATTTTGTCGATATTAATATATTCTTAGATATGCCTATACTAAAGCTTCATTTACTATGAAATCATTCGTTATGTCTTTATTTTTCTTAACAGTTGCAGGTAAATATTAAAATGTCTCATTTTATGATATATTTCTTATAATTAAATTAGCTGCTTCAGTAATTCAAATAATATTTTCCCCACTCTTTAGGGATCCTTTAATGGTTTGGGTGTATACTTTTCTTTCTGTTGCATCGTTTGTAGCAGGAGTCGTATTCTGGTTTTTATTTAAAGGATATAACAACTTAGAAGACGAAATGAATTCTTTCCAAAGAAATATTAGAAATCTTAAAAGCGAAGAATTTAAAGAGATAGAAAATAAACCTACCCAAGTAGCTTCATAATTTAATTAGGATAATATTTGATAGGAGTTTTAAAATATTTTTGAATTAGCTATATATATATCATGTATATGTAATATCTTATTATTTGTATATTGTGAATAATTGAAGTTTTTTTTTTTTATTTTTATTAAATGAAAATTATATTATAAACTTAATTTTTTGGAAATCTTTAACATTATATAATTTATAAATTTATGTCAGACGAACTTATACGAGTACTGGAAAATAATACTAATATTTGATTGAAATAAAACATTCTAAAAAGTCATAAATACTTCTATCTTAAAAAAGTATATAATCACTAGTTTTTTTTTAAAAACAATCTTGCTAATTTTCTAATATATATGATTACGAATAGCAATGCGTATAAATAATATGTAAATATGAAAAAATAATTATACAGATATATTCAAAATGCTAAAAATATTAATTTATCTGAAAAATATGATATCAAATATCCGATGATATTGTTAATAGAATATCAATTGTGGGATTAATTTTTCCATTCTCAGAATCGATAATTATTGCAATAACATCAAGATCTAGAGATGGAAACATTTGACTAAGAAAATTAAGTGTTTCAGAGTCTATTTCACCTTGTGTTTCCTGAACAGTAGTAATTTTAGACATTGGAAACGGAGTATTTATTTTCGATAACATTAACCTTTTTTCATCTAAATTAGTTGTAGATATAATATTCTGAGGAATTTGATTAGGCGATAATTGTTTAATAATAGGTTGATATGATTTTTCTGTATTTTGATCCATAAATATTTTTCCTAAAGATAAAAGAGGTTTTTGAATATTGCGAAATACATTAGATGATTTAGATGCAATATATTCTTTTGCAGGTCCTAACAAAGTAAAAGACATCGATTGAGTATTTTTAATTTTGTTATCCTTATTTTTTTGCTGAGAAATTCTAATAATAGCATGTTCCAGATTCCTTTTATACGTAAGAAACTTAAAAATTAATGTTATATGTATACTTCTCAAATTCTTCATTAGAAATTGTTAATGATGATTTGTCTAAATTTTCGATAAAAGCAACAGCAGCTATCTTAGTAATATAAGCAAACAATACAAATAAAAAGGAAAAAATTACTAAACTAGAAAAGTAATATTCAGATTCCCCAGAAAGTTTATCCGGATTCCTAAACCGAGATATATATCTTTATCAAATAAGTGTAAATAAAAACAAAAAAAAACGTACTGGATATTTGATATCAAATGTTCAGGATTAGTCTTAAGTATTATTAAAATTAAAGTAGGAATAAATTTATCCGCTGATTCCTCAATTTTTGCATATCTCAGTAAACCTAACAATATTATAAAAATAAAATAATAATTTCATAAAACATACCAAAAATGACCTTAGAACAATTTAAAATACAAAAAATCTTATCTCTTGGAGAACGATAAGAGTTAATTTTTAGAAGTTCTATATAATAAACAAAAATGCATTTTACTAAAAAGATTATACCTTGTCCTGCTAACTCTAAAAATTTCTGATTTAAATTCGTATAAGGAACTTCTATATGTTCCTCTTTAACCCAACTAAACATACTAATTTTTTCATGTATAATTCTATCTCTTTCTAAATCATCGCTATGTCCACTGACATCATCAAATAAATATGGTATAGCTGGAGAAAATATTTGCTCATATAATCTCGTTGTAATTAACTTTTCCATCCCTTCTTTTGCATTATCAAACTCAATTTCTGATGTATTTATCCAAGGCTCAACATGTCGCATCTTTAAATATATAAACTATAGCCCAAATCATTATTATAATCATAAAAAATTAATTATATAGTCATACCCCTAGAAAATCATGAATAATTTTAACCTTTTCCTTAATCGTCCATGGTTTTTGTAAAAACTCATAAATAAAACTTTAAAAAATTAAAAAATTAAAAATTAAAATTAATATAACCTTTTCATATATTTTGCTATAGAAATAGCTGATTTACATCTAAGTTGAGTAATAAACTTCCTAAAATCAAGACTTTGAAGTAATTTCGACTCTTGTTTAAATGTCGATACATTTTCAAAATAATTTTCTTTAACTTCTTTTTCTAATTCCCCTTCATAATATATATTATTTCTTCTATTATCCATATATATAATATCCATATTCTTCTCTTTTTCTGAATCTTCTGTTATATCCTTTGAGTAATCTAAATTAACTTTCTGCAATCCTTTTTTTTGTGATATAACACTCATATCTACTCCTTTTTTATCCAGAAAATCACTGTATGTTATTTCTATACATTTCTCATCCATTAATGACGAAAATGTACCATGAATATGTGTCTTTTCTGTCTGAATAGATGGTTTTCTTTCTAAACACCTTTGATATTTAGATAAACTAAATTCATCAATATATTCTTCGCAATGCTCTTTTTCCTCAATAATCTGCTCATTTATCTCTTTTTCCTTGTCTAATTTTCCCTTAAAATCTTCCATAGTTTTAATGCCATTCCTTAAGAATTAATATTTTTATTAAAAAAATTAAGATTTTTTTGCTTATCGTAGACAACAAAGATAAAATTTATTTAAAAATAAGGTTAAATGAGGCCAGAATTTCAGAAAAAAAAGGCCGCTATTCTTAAAAAATTTAAGACGGAGGGGCTGGATCCATCTCCAAAGGGCTGTCCTGATGAACCTATAATTTCTCTTTTAGATCTTATTAATCATCATCCTCATCTTGTTACAACAAGTTCATGTTCAGGTAGAATAGCGATTTATGTTGAAAGCGATGTTGCAAATAGTATAGGAGGAAAGGGATTAGGAGGGAGATGGTTAATGGTGCGACATGAACCATGGGAAGATGGATTAGAAGATTTAGATATTTTATCTAAAATATGTGGGGAATATCCAGTTAGAAGAGTGGATTTTAAAGAATCTAAGAGGGGACGATTAATTCATTTTAAATTTGAGCCTATGGTAGTGTAATTTTATTATGCTATTTACTTCATTTAATATGAAGATTTTGCATATTATGTCAGAGACGATATCGACAGCTCGTGCATTTTTAAGTAGTGCACTTTCATCAAAATTTAGAGAATCAGGACTTATTTTATCAAAAAAGAATAATATTATAGCAGTTCGATCATCTATAGGATTTAGCTGTCCTATAGGATATTTGAAAAAAGAAGAGAATGTGGAGTTTGTTGAATTGTTAGTAGACGAGAAATACCTTTATTTGTTGATAGATATGGCAAACAAAAGATTTAAAGAAAACGAAAGAAGAAGAGATATGTTGTATAAAAACATTTCAGGTTGGATTATGAAAGAATCTGAAATAGATATGGAAAATAAAGAAGAAATATTAAAAAAATAAAAATAGAATTGAAAACAAGTATTATAAAATAATAGTAATAGGAATCTTTTTAATATTTTTTCATATCTAGTATAAAAAAGAAATTGTTTTAAATTATCAACAAAATTTATAATATTCGAAATGTAGGACTATTAATAAAATCATTTCTTCATATTTAGAACATGTTTCTAATTTTGTATCAAAATATTTAATCAATGTATTTTTATTGTTTATTATAAAAATACTAATAAAGAAATACTGTTGTAGGATTCAATAAATATTATAAATATTTATTAAAAGATAACTGAAAAATAAATTTATAGTTATGAGTAGTCTTTATTTTTAATACTATATTAAATGATAAAAATTAAAAATAAAGTAATTTTCAGACATGCAAATTGTCAAATATGTATATATATATTTATTTATTTAATATTAGTAATAATTGTTAATCTTTTTCCAATTTATCTGTTCCACTAATTTTTTTATTACTTATTTGCATTTTTGCACTTCTACTTCCAAATTGAATAGCTCTTTTTTTTTCTTTACTAGAGTATATCAAGCCAAGCTTTTGAGATAGTTTTCTTAATAAAAGTTTTTCACCATTTTCTATATTAAAATTCATTTTCCCTTGTACAGGCAATTTAGATAAGAATCTTATAACATTTTCATCGAGATATGGATATCTTATTTCTTTGCCATGATGAGATACAATTCTATCATCTCTACCCAAATTACGATACGATAATCTTGAAATATTACAAGAAAGCTAATTTCTCAAGAATATAAATTAATTAATTTATGAATATTTACTTCATCAATTACATCAGGCCATCCTCCTTTAATATATCTTGTTAAATATCGGGAATATCCCCTAGAGTATTAAACATAATTTGTCAAATATTTTCAGTATTTACCCAAGTTGCTCATCTGCTCCTAAACTAAAAAATAAATTTAATTTTACAATAATAATTAATAAACTTTCCCACTAATCAAAACTTTTGAAACAGAATTATATTCTAATAAAGAACCATCTGTGCATTTCAATAGTCCACATCCTCGTGAAGCAAAATAAAAAGCCATTGCAATGCTCTTAAAGATTAGAAACGTTAACAATAGAATACCTACTAAATCCATAACAGTATCATTTGGATGCATCAATTTCATTATTATTGTTTTGTGATCGTTTGATTCAAAGTATGGAACATTAATCTACAAATAAATTAAATAAAAATATCAAAATTGAAAAATACTTGAACAAATCTCCATGGTCTTTTATTTCCAGTTACTTCGCATAGCTCTTTATATGCATTGATTCCTGTTATCCTATCAGGGCAATTATAAATATCATCTAAATCAATAGAATCTGTTTTTTGTGCAGAAACTTGTAAATTTTCAAAGGCTACATTTAACAAGTCCACTGGCTCATTTACTGGCAATATTTCATGTATGATTCTCGCTAAAACAGATGAATCAAGCCCACCAGAATAAAGTATAGCTAGACGAGGTTGATCTGTTGATGTAGACAATATAGATACAGTCCTAATATATAGTGCTTGCTTCAAAACATTATAAAATTCATCCACATACAAATCAAAATCTTCTGTTGAAACAGGCTCAAGAGATGTATTTATTCGAGGATAAGGATATGTCTAATACTAATTAGTAATATATAAAACATTTTTCTTGAAAGACTAGATATAAACCACTTGATTGATCATAATCATAAATATAAGGAATTTTCCTTTCAAAAAGCTTTACTAGTTAAATATATTTCTAATTGATAAATCTTATCTTAAACCTTATTTTCTGAAATCTGACTTAAATCAACAAAATATAGACCATCTGCAAAAACTTCTTCCCATGAAGGATCTCCATTAGATACACTAGATAGTAAAAAACAAAATGAATCATTAATCCCTGTAGATGTTTTTTTTAAAAGAGACCTTCTTCCTAAACAATCTCTTCCATACCATAACCTTTCTTTGCTTTTCTTTAAATATCAATATATAAACATTGCAAAAAAATACACTACTTCAATAAAAATAAATGCATATGGACCTTCTATTTCTCTTATAATATCAATCACATCACTAAATGGCCTCGATAATGCATTCATCACTTGAATTGTATCATTATCATTAAACTTTATTCCTAATCCATTCCAAACTTCTCCATTCCAACAAAGCAAATCACCTCTATCATTCTCAATAGGTTGCAATGTTGCTGGTCCTTTTCCTCTCAAATGTAGCACTGAGCTACTTATTTTTAATTTTACTTCTTTCATAATAACTTCTATTGTATTAGATCTATCTGGGCCACGAACATTAACCAATTCAATAATATCATCATAATCCTCTTTAGAATCCTCATGAATACTTGTAATCCTTAAGAAAATGCCACACATTTCATTATTTTATTTATAACTTTCTAAATAAATAGAATTCTCTGTTTAACGTCTTATATTTTAATAAATATGTTAATTTAAATATCTAAAAGAATGAAATAAACCAAGAAAAACTATTATTCTTTATTAATTAGATGTTTATTGACATATTTTTTTTAATATAATTATTTATTTAAATATTTAAACATTTAACATTTAAAACAAATGAATTTTAATAAAAGTTATTTGAAGGTTAAACGTTTTACATATATTTCTTAATAATCATCATAAATATGAAATAATATATTAGAAAACTAATATATAATTTAAAAATAATAAAAAAGAAATATCAATTGAAGAAATATTATTTATATTATTTCTTTTGTATATAATGTAAGAGAAATCTAGAAGAGACAACTTTTTGTAAATATTAAAATAAATTGTACTATTTCTTAGATTATTATTAAATTTTTAGTTTAAAACAGATTTAATAAACCAAAATGTAAATATTTTATTATTTAGATGAAAACTCTAAAATTTATATTAAATATGTAAAATTTTCATATTTTATAATATAATTAACATATAATATTTTGAGAAATAGATATTTTATAGAGTATAAAAGATGTAAAAGGCTGATCTTCAATAATTCATTATACATATTAAATTTAGCATGATATTTGTAATGTTTTGTATATTCTGTAAGTGAAATAATATATTTAAATCGAATGATGCCATTCAATTCTTACCAAAACTTCCATATAAATCCTACAATAAAATATATCTTATATTTTAAAATATAAGCTCAAAAATATAATATAGTTGTTAATAATAATAAATGCTATTTTAGTTTATTTATATAGAAAATAATATTTTTTAATATAATATTACCTATAATATTACTCATAATATTACTTATAACTTGTTTCCTGTTTCTTTATAAAAATACAATGACTCAATAAATATTAATTTGTCTTTTTATACTTTTTTTGTTCTAATCCAACAGATTGTTCATAATCATCATGTTTTCTTTTCTTTTTCTTAGAATGGTGCTTATTTTTCTCTAAAGGCGCTAAAATCTCTACATCTTTTTCACTATATAATTCACTTTTTTTTTCCGTATTTGATGATCCAAAAACACTTGAATCAAACTAAATCCTCTTAAAAATATACTAAATCCATCCAATTTAACCTACTCCCGGTATAGGTCCTGGATAAAGGTTAAATGCCACCTCAATTAGCTCTGGATCTAAATCTTCAATAAATCTCTCTGTTTTTCCTTCTTTAGGCCCAAAAATTAAATCCCTAATAAATCTATCTTTTAAAATAACATTCTTTCCTATTAATAAAATCGTTATAAGACCTTCTTTATCTTTCATTCTACCATTTACTACCTGGAAATTCCTGAATATGTCCTTTATATGATTGTCTCATCTTTTTCTTATTACCAAACTCATCTACTCGTGCTACTCGAGATGCCAATGAACTTAACCCATAAATCTGCTGCAAATCTTCTGTAACAAGAGGATATGTTATAGAATAACTTGAATGATTAACAAAATGAAAGGTTTCTATCTCTTATGACGTAAATTTACTCATTTTTAACCAAAAAAAAAAGAAAAAAAATCCTACTAACCTTCTTTCTTATCATTCATTATTGATTTTATAATTTAAATACTTATAAATATCCATCCAACCCTTAATTTTGCACTAATTTTTTTTTTTGGTCGTTCAAGGCTGCGCCTTAGTAATTTATCGATAACTTAAAAAATCTACTAACATATTAATAATAAATCTTAATAATCTTAATAATCTTAATAATATTTATTAATAATCTTAATAATATTAAGATTAATGGCAGAAATAGGGGAGAAATCCTCTATATTAGAGGATAAGAATACATCTCAAGATTCATTATTAAAGAAAACAATAAGAACTACAGGATCACACGCAATTCTGGTTAATCCTCGACAAGTAAGTCTTTATAGAAACAAGTTTAAAGAATTAACAAGATTTAGAAAGAAAATCCAGTTATTGTGTGTAATTTGTTTTTTTTTTAATTTAAATTATGAGTAATTAAGAGTTAATATTTAGAAACATATACGTAATGTGGCATTGGTATTGAATTTTTTTTTTTATTGGTAAATCATGAAAAAATCAGGAATATAGGGATAGTATGGCGGATTTTATACTTGGAGCAACTACATGTGCACTTTTCTTAAGGTTTAGAAGGGTATATTTGAGATATTTTATTGAATAAGAATAGTCTTCGATATCATCAACTTTACCCAGAATATATATATCATAGAATTCAAATGCTTGGAAAAAAGTATATTTTAAGAATATTATTAATTTTAGTGGATATTGTAGGGAAAAATAAGTTGAATTGAATAAATTTTTGAAGATTTAGGATAATCATGAAGCGCCAATTCGTGAATTAACAAAAACATGTGTTATATATAATTTTACGATGATACTTTCATGGAGGTTTAATTTATAAATGTATTTCTGGGTGATTTTTAATGAGATAGTTTTCAAGAAGCAGGAAGATATTTAGAAACATATAAATCGTTTGAACATGCATCTTTTAATACGATTCAAGGGAAAAATTTGGATGATTATTATAGTAGACTTGTGGAATGTTTTTCGACAATGAGAAATATTAATAGAGATGATGCATTTTCTATTGTTGGAAACTTTAGAAGTTTAAAACGAGCTATTAATGCAGATAAAGAAGAAATTATGATGATAAGTGGGTGGGGAGAACAAAAGGTATATAAATGTATTTATATGTATATTTCAAATAACAACTAGAAACAAGGCAAGTCGATTTAAGAAAACAGTAACATTACCATTTGTTGTAAAAGATTCCCCAAAATAATTAAATACAATCATGACATGAATAAATTGTCGTTAACATTATATGCTAAATCATTAACTATTTCATAAATAATAGTTGGAATTTAATATAGATATAAATATAAATAAATAAATAAATATATATATATAATGAGTAAAATCAATTGTATATGTTATTTATGTTGGATTTTTTCTTTTTTGCGTTTTTCTTTGCCACTTTTTTTCTAGATGTAATATAGGAAGTACATGCTTTTTTATTACTTTTTATTTCATTTGAGCTAGAACTTCTTTTTCTTTTCAAAGAATTTATCATTCCATCTTCAATTTTTGACAAGGCCTTTTTTTTTTCTCTTTCTTGTCTTTCTTGACGCTGTTTAATAACATTAATATTCTTTTAATATTAGCATTAGTATATATAAAAAAATATGTATTACTTCAAGAGCAAATTCAACAATTAAACGCTTTTTTATTTCTTTATTTTTTTTCGAGCTTATCTTCCTTCCATTAAGCCAACGAAGCCCCATTAAAGCCCATCTATGCCCCACATATTCAATAAAGCCATATCCTCGTTTATGTCCATTTTTTTCTTCAATAATCTTAGCTTGTCGAACAATTCCTTTATCACCTTTTTTAGGATTACCATCTCGAAGCTTTTCTTCCCGAGTCAATGGCATTCTTTTATTTTCCTTTACCTCCTTAGCAAAGTTCACACATGCTTCCCTTGCTAAAGCCTTTAACTCTTTATCAGAAATATCTTTAGGGATATTTCTTATTGACAATCTTGTAAGAGATATGTATAATGATGGATTTTTTTCTAGTAATTTCTTCCTCTGAATTAAACTTTGATTTCTTATATTACGATCTGTTTCGCTTAATAGCTCATATAAAGGTGATTTAGGATCAATATATCCTTCATCTAATAAAAATATATTTCTTTTATCAATATTTTTTCCAAGCATATGCATTCTCTTTTTTTTATTATCATTCTTCATTATAGAGATATCCTCTTTGTTTAGCGCAGATGAAACATTTAATAAATTACCATCCAATACAAATTTCTTAGCATCATTATCAATTACTTCATTCTGAAGTATACTTGATTTATTAATTAACCAATCAAACTTTTTCGACAAAGTCCAATATAACTTAAGACAATTGTCCATATCTTCTTTATTGATAAAACGAATAAAAGCTATTCCTTTAGATTTTTCAGTTAATGTATCTATAACAAGTTGTGCATATTTTAAACGGCCAAATTGACTAAAATGAGAAAAAAGAGCCTCGTTTGTAGTTTTAAATGAAATATTCCTTACAAATATCGTATTTTCATTATCATAATTTAGAATACTTGAATCTTTCTTTTTTTTGGTCAAAATATTTCGAGAATTATTTTCATTGTCAATTTTTGTACTAATTATACTATCTTCATCTTCCAAAAATTCTGATGTATTTTCCATATTCATATCGTCCTCTTCAAAATCTTGTTCTTTTTCTAAAAATTTTTTCCATTCAGTTTGACTTAAAGCCCAGTCAACTGCAATATTTCGACCATCAAGTTCAATTCCATTTATATTTTTTATAGCATTCTCTGCTTCCGATTCTTTTTTCATGTGAACAAATGCAAATCCACTCATCTTTCCTCCTTTTTTCCTAGGAATAATAACATTTATCACTTTTCCATATTCACTAAATTTTGAAAAAAATACATCATCTTTTTTTCTTATTGACCATGGTAGATTCCTTATAATCAAAAATGGCCTTCGCGCTCCTATTTTATCATCTTTTGCCTTTGTATCATTTTCTAATATACTATCTTTGGGATTTCGATTTCTACGTCTAGCAAATTCTGCTTTTAAGTAATGCCCCTCCATTTTTTTTTGACTTAATTCAAAAATAACTTTCTCCGCATCTGAATGTGTTAAAAAACTTACAAATCCATATCCTTTTGATTTTTTTGTTTCTGGATCTGTAACAATAATTGCATGTTTAACCGGTGCTATTTCAGAGAAAAAACATAGAAATGGTTCTAACGTTATATTCAATGGTATTCTCCGAACAAAAATAGTCGTATTTCCTTCTTTTTTCTTCTCATTTCCATCCATTTCATGTCTTTCCAATACTTCATTACTTATTTAAATAATTTCTTTATTAAATTTACTTAAAAATAACTCCTTAAAAACAGCATTAACCCTCCTAATATTTATAATGTTTGTAATATTTAAATGACCTATTTGCGCAGATAAATTGGTAATTAGATTTTTTAAAGTCAATTTTTACTGCATCGTAACTTAAATTTTTTTCAAAATTTTCAATAAGCTATTTATATTAGATATTTTTATATATTACTTGTCAATATTTAGGATTATATGATAATACTTACTAATATATTTTGTATTAATGACCGATCATAGCTTTGAAACAGAATGTAAATGATATATTTTAAAGAAACGACAAAATTTAACATGATTTAGCAAAATCTATACTTCCTCCCAAAGATGATCCTATTCCTTTATCATATCTTTCTCAGTGTGATGGTAGTAATGAGGGTTTTCCTGTTTATGTTGCCATTAAAGGCATGGTTTTTGATGTAACACCTAACAGAGCCTCGTATGGTATATTTTTTTTATGAATTAGTGTCTATTGCCTTAAGATCCGCTAGGTCCAGGAGGTAGCTATCATGTATTTGCAGGAAAAGATGGATCAAGAGGTCTTGGAAAAAGTAGTCTTAAAGAAGAAGATGCAACAGCTGATTATTCGGATTTGAATGAAAGTGAACTTCAAACATTAGAAAAATGGGTTGATTTTTTTTCCAAAGTATCTTACCTAATGAGAAAATAAAACATAATTGATATATATATATAGAAATATAATATTGTCGGAAAAGTTGTTCAAGATTAAATATAAATAAGAAATATCAAAAGATAAGTAGTAATAGTTCTATTGTTTTTGTTAGTAATAAATTATGTTTTATTAATAAACTATGTCCAAAGTCGAATTGTGGCATCGACTCCACAAGAAAAAAGCCAAGGTTGTTTTGGATGCCATTGTGCATTAAATACGCCTAAAGAATTCTTGATTTCATGGCCTTTTAAAATCTTTAATGGTACTAATAAAGCATTTTCCATTAAATCACTATATACCATCCCATGAAAAACTTGAATTGTTCCATCATCACTGGTTGAACAAAATAATGGATATTGTCCTTTATGGAATTTTACGCTTTTTAATGCTTTTGCATGATAACATAATGTTTTATAAGGCCTAGATGATAAATCCATATCAACCCAAACTAATTTTTTATCATATGAACCAATAATAACATTATCACCTTGAGGATGTATATCAATTGAAGATATCCATTTTACCCCAGGTTGAATAATTTTTATTAGTTCTTGTTTTATCAAATTATAAACTTTTACGTATCTCTGAGTCTAATTTTTTAAGCATAAATCATATATATATATATATATGTCTTTCTTACCGCTACAAAAAAGAGAGGTTTTGTAGGATGAAACTCTACTTTTTGAATTATACCTTTAACTTTTTTAAACGGTGATTGTGATTGATGTTTAGAAAGTAAATGAACTAAGACAGACGTATTTCCACTTTCCGGCAAAACCGTAGCAAAATAATCTCCATTACGATGCCATGTAACTTGCTTAATAGATTTTTTAGTATTTAACAACACAAGTAATCCTTTATCTATTTGCTTGAAATCAGGTTTTAACCATTTTGCAAGATTTTGTTTCATTTGAGATTTTTCTATATCAAATCCTAAATTACAAAATTCTTTAGCTGAATCTTTAATGCTGTCATTAAATATTGAAGGCAAAAGTATATAAATATTATTTCCACTACAAAAATTAATAAATTGTATATATATATATATATATATATATCAAAAGTAAGCAATTACCATGATGCTATAATTATATCTGAATTTTTTACAGGTCTCCATGCTATAGAATTAATAGATTCATTATTATTGTTACAGTTAAAATTCCAGATTTCTCTTCCAGTAATTATTTCCCAAATACGAACAATTCCATCATCTCCACCACTTGCAAGCCATGTACCAGTAGAATCAACATCAATTGAATGTACAGGTCCTTTATGCCCTTTATATATAATCATACATTTTGTCGGGAAAGGACGAAGATCTTCTAATAAAGGAAGTTTTGGTATAAGAGATTCAGGATCGATATTTAACTACACAATTATCAAACAAAAAAAAAAGAATATCAAGAAAATTAAACCCTATTTTTTCGGATTCTAGGTGCTAAGTAAAGATCTAAACATCTTTCAAAACGTTCTTGTATAAACTGATTGTATCCAGGCACAAGTCTTAAAGATTTATACTTTGACGGTAAGTATTTCTTTTCCCGGTCCTCATAAGATGTATTATTCCATTTATTTATTTCGTCTTCAGAAGGTAAATACTCTTCAGGAGGATTATAACTTTCGTCATGAGTAGGTAATGATATTTTTGGCGCAGGAATATGCATAATATGATCATAAGGTTTTAAAGAAGTATCACTCCAAATATCATAAAATAAAGGCTGTCTAATTCCCTTCTTTGGCTTATCTAGTACTATTCTTCCAGCACGAATAGCTTGAACAATCTTCATAATCTATTATGTATAATTTTAATCATTGATATCACAATTTCTTGTTAATACCCTTTTTCTCTCATTTTTACTTGGTATAAATCGTCTTTTGGGCTCTGGAGCACAGCTTAAAGGTGTTTTTTCCTGTTTTCCCGAAAAGTAATCAACATACATCTTAAAAATTAATAATCAATTATAAAATAATCCATATAAAAACCTCATATGGATCAAATCCATCATCTGGAATTTCCATTTCCTGTATTTTTTTAACTATTTCTAATTCTTCAGATGTAAGTCTAATATCTTCTCCTGTATCTTTGTCTATTACACCCGTCCTTAATCAATTAGTCTTTCTTTAAAACATAATCTAAGCATTACCATCCTTCCTTATCTTCTATCGTATTTAAAAGTGTATCTAATGCCGTTTTGGTCATCGGCCTCATAATCTTTTTCCCATTAATATCATATCCCTTAATTAAAATTAATTTAAAAATTATAAAGATCAATTAAATGTACAATATGTGGAAAATTCTCATATTTCTCTAAAGAAATATTTCCAATTGTATTATACGTCTCTTCTGTTGAACTATCCGATCCATAACCTGGTATAATTTCTGGATACTTTTCTTGATCTCTTTGTTTTTCTCCTGAAATCAGTTTTTCATATAAAAAAAAACCCTCTTTTATTTTTTCATCTTCATTTCTATCCTCTCCGGAAATAACTTCTGTATCATAAGTATCTGTCGATAACAATTCCCATTCTCTGTCTTCCTCTTCATTAGATAATATTTCCCTATTTTCCACTACATCTTTGCTTTCTTCTAAAGAATATAGATCTTCTAATGAATATAGACCTTCTTTACCTAGATTAAAACTCTTCTTATCCTGCTTTAACTTTTCTGTATCTAGCACGTTTAAATCATAAAATATATATCAATAATCCTTTCTCATCACTCACTTTTCATCTCCTAAAAGAAATAATCCCTATACATAAATCTAATAGAGTTAATACTTATTATTCATAAACAATCATTATTTATAAAACTTCTTATTAACTCAAAAAATTCCCAATTTTAAATTACTTGTTTTTAATAAACTAATATGTTTCTTAGTCAGAATCAATAAATAAATCAATTAACTAACAGAATGGTTTTATTTTATAGTATAAAAGGATTTGCGTCCTGCGCTTTGAGTTGTTTAAATTAAGAATCTTATTTGGTTTAAGATGGTAGAAGAATCAATGATATTATACATTCCTAACCCTAACCCTAACCCTGACACGTAGGTGTATAACCTGACCTAAACCTAAGTGTTATGAATAAACATAACCCTAATACTATATAAACCTAACCCTGACCCTATGCACTACACCCTACACCCTACACACTACACACTACACCCTAAATGTACACTCTATACCTAGGTTGTATAAATATAGCTTATATAGATATACCATGTAGTCTATAGCATATAGTCTATACCTTATAAATACACCTTATAAATACATCCTATAAATTCATATTATAAATAAAACTTGTATACAAACCATATACCTCTACACCTTGGAAATATACTCTATACCTATAAACTACAAATAAGCCCTACACCTCCAATCTATACCTCTAACCTATATTTACAACGTATATCTACAACGTATATCTACAACGTATACCTATACCATATAACATATACCATATACGATAACATATACGATAACATACACCCTATACTCTATACCCTATACACTATACACTATGCCCTATACCCCGTGACCTATAACCTGTGCCCTACACCCTACATTCTACGACCTACACCCTAACCCTACACCTACTCTGTTCTAACCACAACCCTAACCCTGCCCGCCTCATTTACCCTCCGCTTTTTGAGAAAAGTTACTGAGCAAACGTCACTTAAATATAAACCAATCGTTGGTAAAAAAGATAAAATATATAGATTTTCTATAGAAATTAGATATTTAAGGATATTTAAAAGATGGGATTATCTATATCTAAGTTACTTCAAGGGTTATTTGGAAAAAAGGAAATGCGTATTCTAATGGTTGGATTAGATGCAGCAGGTATATATATAATGAATATCATAACAAGTTAATAAAAAAAATAGGAAAAACAACCATTCTATATAAATTGAAATTAGGGGAAATTGTTACAACAATTCCAACTATTGGTATGTTTAGATGAAGAAAGAAAATCAAAGAATTAATTATTAATATGTAGGGTTTAATGTGGAGACAGTTGAATACAAAAATATTTCTTTTACGGTATGGGATGTTGGTGGACAAGATAAAATTAGACCATTGTGGAGACATTATTTTCAAAATACACAAGGTATAAAGTGATTATTAAGGAAAAATATTATTTAGAAATATTATAAACTAAATATAATAATTAGGAATTATCTTTGTCGTTGATTCAAATGATCGAGAGCGTATTTCAGAAGCACGTGAAGAACTTATGAGAATGTTGAATGAGGATGAATTACGTGATGCGGTGCTTTTAGTATTTGCCAATAAACAGGATTTGCCAAACGCTATGAATGCAGCGGAAATTACAGATAAATTGGGTATTGTAAGTATGAGATTTTTGTAAGTACTAGTTTAATATATAAATAGAGTAATATAAGAAATCGAATATGGTATATTCAAGCAACATGTGCAACATCAGGAGGTGAGCATAGGTTTTTTATTAGAAGATTTTGTTATTAATTGTTATGAAAGATGGTCTTTATGAGGGCTTAGATTGGCTTTCATTGAATTTGAAAAAGAAATGTTCAAGTTATTAAGCACAAGAATTTTATTATATGAAACATGTAATTAACATGTCATTTGGGTTTCTGAAAAAAAAATAATAGGTCGGGGTAGATTAGTGTTTATTATTTCAACTTAATATTATTAGTTCTTGTGTTTAGATTTATTCCTATTTTTAATAGCAATTGAAGGACATATTGCTATATTATTATATTACTTCATTCTATTGTTTATAAAAATTAATATTTTTAATATTTTATAACTTATCAGTCATTTTTATCCTTGTTCTTTTATATAATTTTATAAAATTGTTCGAAGCGCAAAGTATTATTTGCTCTTTTAGATATTAAATATTTAAAAAAAGGTATTAATTATACATTAAATTGAGAGTTTTATCAATACATATAATAAAAATCGTCATGTATTTCAATTAAACATAAATTGTATAATATTTATATATGGGTTATACACGTTAAAAAATATAATTTTAAATATATTACATATTATATAAAATAATAAAGACAAAATATTTATTAACAATAATATAACATGTTTTTTCATAAGAATAATTGATAAAAATTAATTTCATCTTTTATTTTTTATATACCAAAAAGCTATTATGTTTTTTATTAAATAAAAAATTGCTAAACAATTATTTTGATATTTAAACATAAATCTAAATCCTCATTTTCATAATCTTTGAAAAGATATAACAAATAAATATCAATTAATAAAATTACAAATTTTTATAATTTTTTATTTTTATAAATTAATAATATGATTCATAAATAACCAAAATAAAAATAAAATTATAAAAAAAATTCAATATCTTAGAAATTGTTAAAAAAACATTCATCTAAATTCAGATTTTATAATTATAAATAATATAAAATCTAAATCAAAAATATGTTTATAATTTTTTAAAACATTTTAATCGTATTTTTGATTTTAACTCATTATAAATTATTCAATATAAAATATTAAATACCAAATTATTAATTAGCATTATAATATAATAAAATGAAAATAGTTTCTATCTAAAAATAATTAAATATTTTAATACAATCACTACGTTTCCTAATAAATCTATGCAAATAAATATAATCAATTAGATTCTTCATCAAATTTTCCTAACAAAAGTTCCCTTTGTTTTTTTCAATTAATTTTCTGTTTAATAGAATCTATAAAAGATAAATCATTTTCAAAGGAAACAGTCTTAGAATAATTAGATCCTCGACAAAAAGACATATATGAATAATCATGATTAAAAAAAAAAGAAAGGATAAGCTTAAAATGGATCATAACAATGTGTTTTTCCCATTGAAGAAAGAAAAGGTGGTTGCAAATAATTTCATTGATTTTTTTGTTAACAACCTTTATAAAAAATGTAATATAGATAAACTGTTGATAAAAAAAAAAATAATAAAAACTGATAAAAGCAAAATTAAAAGAAAAGATGTAATCAAAACTAAATAATTATAAATACAAATTTATTAAACAATTATAAAATATTATTTTGGCATCCAAGTATTGGTCTTCGAAATTATCGTCTTTCCTGAATCTCCGATAATAATGGACAAACAGAAGAATTAAACAAAAGCTCCAAGCTACAGAGTTTTCAAAAACCATTTAAATATTTAATATAAAAGTATCTAAATTGCAATAACCTAACAGTGAATCTTCAGAAATAAGCATAAAGCTCATTAAAACCCTATTTTCTTCATACGTTTTTTTTTTAAAATAAAGACAAGAAATTATTAAAAAACAGACATTTGATTATAATTTTTAAGCCACCCTTTAAAAATACATAGTTTCTCTTAAAAATACATAAAAAATCTATTATATAAGAATTTTATAATAAAAAAATCTCATTTACCTATATTTCAAACGAATTCAATTCAAATTTAGCTCTTATTATGGTATATATTTATACAGTATATATATCATATTTTAAAGGGAAATATTTCAGTAATAAATAACTAATAGGAAAATAATTGAATAGTTCTTTATAAGACAAAAATTTCTAAGATAAATCTTTTTTTTGGAACAAAAATAATATTTTTACACTTTTTTTAAAAATGCATAATATAAATCAAACAACATTTTTATCAGCAATTCAGATGCTTAATCTTGAGCAACTTCATAGTGAAATTTCAATGTTGAATAATTCAATTAAACACTTGATTCGTTCTAATAATGATTTAAAAGAATATACACAAGAAGCTTGGGCAGAAGAAACCATCAAAGAAAATGAACAAGTAATTATAAGACAGAAAGAAAAAATAGAGATGATTTCAAAAGAAATAGAAAAGAGAAATGCATTAAAAGATAACAATACATATATATTATCATCTAAAGATGTATAATTTTTAATACATCTTTAATACCAGAAAAACAAATTAAAAATAAAACAAAAGGAGACAAAACAAAGTTATCAATTCATATTCATTCAATTCTTATACAGGATAATATTCGATTTATTATACATGTATCACTTTATATTTTCAACTTTTTTTTGAAATAATTCTATACTTTCTAAACATCAAATAAGTAATAGTATCAAATATATAACACTAAAATGATTTTATTTGGATTAAGTTATAGATTTTTTTCAAATATTTTAAAAAAGTAAGTTATAAACAAATCATATTATATTTCATAAAAAGTTCAAATTTATTAAATTCGAAAATTTATTAAATTTTTGATACTTATAAAATATACATTTTTTAGAACTTATGAAAATCTAAAGAGGTTAGATTTCTTCGATATTATCTATTCTTACATTAAATTACGTAGATATTTGAAAAATATTTAATTTATATGAGATGGGAGTCAAAGAAAGTTATTTAAGAAGAATATTTTTTGGGCAGTTGCTTATTAATTTGGATTCACATAATCTTATTACATATAAAAGGATATCATCATCTTTTAAATATAAAAACATATATTTATTAAATACAAGACAATATTCGCAGGGTATGAGTTCATTTAAATTAAATCCAACCCGAGGATCTGGTTCTTTTCTAAAGGAATATGGCACTAATTTAACTGAATTGGCGAAATTAGGAAAACTTGATCCAGTGATAGGCGCAAGTTATCCATTATTTTGAATTTTATATACTGAATTTATAAAGAGAGGAGAAGAAATCAGAAGAACAATACAAATTTTATCACGTAGAATTAAAAAGTATGTTTATTTTTAAAATTAGCTAGATTAATATTTTTGGAGTAATCCAGCATTAGTAGGACCGGCAGGTGTAGGTAAAACAGCAATTATAGAAGGACTTGGTACAATAATTATGTTAAATAAATCCTTTATGAACAATTTTTAGCACAACATATTATTAAAAAAGAAGTTCCAGAATCTATGAAAAACAAAAGTGTAATATCTCTTGATATAGGGTCTCTTATAAGTGGATCAAAAGTTATATATATTAAGATACTTATTATTATGATTAACAATACAGTAGTACCGTGGAGAATTTGAAGAACGATTAAAAGGTGTTTTAAAGGATATTGAAAATGCTAATAGAGAGATTATATTATTCATTGATGAATTACATATATTATTTGGACTTGGAAAAACAGAAGGATCGGTTGATGCATCTAATTTATTAAAACCAGCATTAGCACGTGGCCAGCTTCAATGTTGTGGTGCAACAACTATTGAAGAATATAGAAAATATATAGAAAAAGATGCAGCACTTGCAAGAAGATTTCAGCCAGTATATATTAACGAGCCTACTGTCTCGGATACTATTTCTATTCTTAGAGGATTAAAAGAAAAATATGAAGTGCATCATGGTGTAAGAATTACAGATGCAGCTTTAGTAACGGCTGCAGTATATTCAAATAGATATATAACAGACCGATTTTTGCCGGATAAGGTTCTTCTTTCCTTTTTATTGTAACATTTTATTGATTTAGAAAGGCAATTGATCTTGTTGATGAAGCAGCTTCTTCTCTTCGTTTACAACAAGAATCCAAACCTGATGCTATTCAAGAATTAGATAAAATAATAATGACACATCAGATAGAATTAGAAAGTTTGCGCAAAGAATCAGATGCTATAAGCATTGAAAGAAGAGAAAAACTAGAAAAGGATTTAAAAAAAAAACAAGAAGAAGTTTCTGTATTAAACGAGAAATGGATTAAAGAAAAGTTTACTTTCATAAAATATTATAATTTTTTCTAAAATAATATAGAAACGAATTATTATCTATTAAAACAGCACAAGAAAAACTTGATCGTGCTAGAACAGATTTAGAACATGCACAGCGTGAAGGAAACTATGCACGTGCAAGTGAACTTCAATATTCAATTATACCTGAATTGCAAAAAAAAGTTCCTAAAGAGGGAGATTTAGATAAAACTAATTCGCTTCTTCATGATTCTGTAACATCAGAAGACATAGCCTTAATTGTATCTAGGGCTACTAGTATTCCAACTTCTAGCCTAATGCGTGGAGAGAAAGATAAATTGATGACTATGGAAGATGCTCTAAGGAAAAAAATACGTGGACAAGATCAAGCTCTTAAAGTTGTTGCAAATGCAGTTAGATTGAGTCGAGCTGGGTTGCAAGATGAAAAAAGGCCACTTTCAAGTTTCCTGTTTTTAGGGCCTACAGGAGTGGGAAAAACTGCTCTTTGTAAAGCATTGGCTGAATTTCTTTTTGACAGTGAAAATTCCATGATACGTTTTGATATGTCTGAATTTCAGGAAAAACATAGCATTTCTCGCTTAATTGGTTCACCTCCTGGATATATTGGATATGAAGAAAGTGGTGAACTCACAGAGGCTGTTAGAAGAAAGCCTTATTCAGTTATACTATTTGATGAACTTGAAAAAGCTCATCGTGATATTTCTAATTTATTATTACAAGTTTTGGATGAAGGAAGTTTGAAAGATTCTCAAGGCCGCAAAATCAATTTCAAATCTACTCTTATAATTGCTACATCTAATTTAGGTTCTGATATTTTAATTAATGATCAATCGCCTGAGGGAACAATAAGTGAGAAAACCAAAAAGGCCGTTATGGAAATTGTAGAAGCCACTTATCCACCCGAATTTTTGAACAGAATAACAGCTATTCACTGTTTTAATAAACTTGGACGTAAATGTTTAAGAGACATAGTTAATATTCGTCTTCAAGAGATTCAAGAACGATTAAATGACCGTAAAATTGTACTAAACGTAGACGAAGAATCTAAAGAATGGTTAAGTGAAAAAGGATATTCTTTAACATATGGCGCAAGACCACTTAATCGTTTTATTGAGGAAAAAATACTTGTTCCTATGTCTTCATTACTTATACAGGGCAAAATAAAATCTAATGAAACCGTTTTTGTAAAATTGAACAAAAATACTTCAGATTTAGAAGTATGTTCAAATCATTAAAAAGAATCTTTAATTAATATTATCACAAATGCATAAACTATTTGTGTTTTTAAAGGACTATTTATTTCAGGTAAGAATATTAAGAAACATTATGTTCATTTCTATAAATTACATTTTCTAAATAATTCAAATAATAAAATAGTTTTTGGAAAGCTAATTATTATAAAACATTTCTTTAATCTATTTTTTTATATGACGATTTTTTTTTGCATACTTTCTTACAATTTGGTCATGGCTTATACGAACAAAAGGGTAAATAAAAGATGCAATATATCCAAGAATAGTATCAACAACCATATTGTCCCTTGGCGATGGTCCTCTCATATTGTTTTTAAGAAGAGCACCAATAATTTCAGTCGTAATAAAAAATTGTCCTTTCTCAAGACTTTTAATTATATGTAAAGCTACTATTTCAGGCAATTGGCCTTGATCTATTCCTTCAAGTTCTTTTGTAAGCTCCGGTTTAATCAATTGCTCTTTTTCAAATCCTGGAGTATATACTGTTGCAAGAAATGCACAATGTACCTTAACATCATAAAGAAGACATTCTTGGCGAAGAGTATCTGTTAAACATCTCAAGGCAGCTTTTGAAGGAGAATATTGAGAATATCCTGCCATACCCAAAAATGCGAGAAGTGATGAACAAAAAATAATTCTTCTTGGAGATGCTTTGGAAAGCAATGGGTTATTAATCATTTTACGAAGAGCTGCCTGTCAGATCAATTAGTTTAAAATATAACAACACCATTTTATTATGCGAATTACATGAGCCGTATACGCTGCTGTCAAATAATTTACTTTAATACCTTCTTCAATCTGTTCAGGTGATAGATCAACAAAAAACCCAGGTTGTGCAGCACCTTTCATATCAATAAAACATCATTAAATCTTTATACATACCCACACAGCAAAAAACAATGTCAGGTGATGTTTCAAATGCCTCATCTAAAGCACGTTTTGCTTCTTTAGCTATTGTCAAATCTGCACTAATTGCTTTCAATTTCTGATTCGAGTTACATCTTACATTCTGGGTTTTCTATTATTTAAGAAAAATATTATACAAAAGAAAAACCTCCATCTCTTTCAGTGCTTCTTTCAAAATATTCTTATTTCTAGCAACAATACTGACATGGGCTCCTTTACTTGTACAAAGTATAGCTAACGCTTTACCAACACCTTGGGATCCACCTGTAATATACACTGACTACAAAAAAATATAGCCGAAATGAAAAAAATACATAAATTCATACGTACACGCCCATCTAAAGGCATCTTATTACCGAATATTCTGCAAAATTGCTCATAACAGACATATACAAAAATTAATGTTCCTATAATCCAGGCAACAAAATAACTCTTATTCAACACATTTCTCAAATAAAACATATATTTAATCATATCTTGGCCATATCCCATCTTTTACATATATTTTTCACTGATAACTGACTTTACAAGCAAGTTAAAATCTCTACACAAACAAATAAACAAATACTCTCTAATAATATGTATAAATACGAAATTACTCTATTTCAGCTTGGATTCTGTCGCTTTATTGTATAAAAAAAAAATCTTATATTTAGTGCTTATTTTACTCTGTGGATTTAGCCTTAAGTACGACTTAAAAAAAATGAAGCAAAGAAAAGGCTATAAAATTCATTAAAAACCTTCATATAATACTATGAAAAAGGAGCGTATTATTAGTTCTATTAATAGGCATCAAAATATTGAAGAATCAGAGGATAAATGTAGGATTTAAACTATTTTTTTAAAGTAACAAAATATTAAATAACTAATGATTTTAGTTGAATCAGGGAAAGATAAGATTATTATAGATAATAATCATGATTTAGAAGAGGAGAATGGTATTTCAGGATTTTTATTAGGAGAATTTGGGTTTATTTTATGGGATAGATTATTGGAGTGCTACAGATGAAGAGGTTCTTAAAATAGATGTAACATCATCAGATGAAGAAGAAGAAGAAGATAATGAAGAAGAAGAAGAAGATGATATTGTATCAGAGGATCGGAATGGTATAGAATATAACAGTGAGGATGAGGAAGAAGAAGATCAAGAGAATTGGGGAAAATCTAAAAAAAATTATTATGACGCAGATTTATTATCAGAAGAAGAAGATATTATTGAAGAAGAAAAGGAAGCATTAAGGCTTCAAAAGCTTTATCTTTCAAAACTAAAAAAAGAAGATTTTATAGAAGATTTGGAAGATTGGGAAGAAAAAGAAATAAATGAGAAAAAAATAGATCAAAGGTATATAATTTAATTTAATGAGATATTTTTAATTATATATTTAGTGAAGTGGTTACAGAGGAGCTATTGTTAAGTATTCCAGATGATTTATCGAATGAAGAAGCTATTAATTATTTAAAAAAAATATATCCAGAATTTTCATCATTTAGTAAAGAATATTGTTATCTTTTTCCACAATTGGATCCATTGAGAAGTTCATATGAAAAGGCAGTGGGATCAGAGTTAAAAATTTTGGAAATGAAATTTTTTACATTATCGGCATATCTTGGTGTATTAGCTATGTATTTTTCAATAATAGTAGATCCAGATAGAGATATAGGTTCTATGAAAGATCATCCTATTATGATTAATATTATGCGTTGCAAGGAGTTATGGGAAAAAGTAGAAAATATTGATAGTAATATGGCAAAGATAGAAACGAAAACGCAATCAGAAGAATCAAATACAATTAAGAATGAGACAAATATACAAGTACATAATAAAAAGAAGGAAAAAAGACGACCAAAAGAAATTAAGCAGGAAATAAAAGAGAATTCTAGTCCAAGCTTTGATGATCTTAATATAGTAAATGTCGAAAAATCGTTTCAATCTATGAAAAATATTTTTAACAATTTAAAAAACAATGATGATTACAAAGAAGATTATCTTAATATAAATAATTCTAATAATACTGTTAAGAAAAAATCACTTAAATTTTATACTGCTCAAATAAATCAGGTAATTTTATTAACTTTTTATTTAGTTAAGATTAATTTTTTTGTAGAAAATTGCAAAAAGATCCAAATTCACAAATTCTGGTGATACAGATATACCATATCAAGAAAATAAAAAAGAACATGTACGTTCTATCAAAGATGTTAAAGAAAAAATAAAAGATGAAGATAATAATTTTTCAAAGTCTGAATCCGAATCAGATCTACAATCTAATGATTCTGATGAAAATTATTATAATATGTTATCCAACACTACTAAGAAACGAAAATTAGAAGGGAAATTAGCTCATGATATGAAAAAAGAACTAGAAAAACAATCTATATATAATGCAGAAAATGAAATAATAGACGGAAAACGAAAAATTAGATATGATATTGAAAAGAACAAAGGAATAATTCCTTATAGGCCAAAGGGTATATATATTTTATTTATAACATTATTTTTAACAATTTTATAGAAGTTCGTAATCCAAGAGTTAAGAAAAGAAAAAAATATGAAACTGCTAAAAAGAAACTTGCCAGTAAAATTCCTATTTATAAAGGTCCACCAAAAGATGTATATAAAGGAGAAGCAACTGGTATCAAAACACATTTAGTAAAGTCTGTAAAGTTTCAATAATCAAATCTATCATATTATTAAACATAATATTCTATATTATCTGACAAAGATGCAATTTTTATGACATTTAAGGATTTTTTTTTATAAAAACTTTCTCTATTCTTCAGGATGTTTCACTATTTAAAAGAAAACATTAAAACTAAACAATCACTCCTCTTCATTTCAATCTAAATAGGAATATACATAAGTACCTATATATACATCTTATATATTATTATAAACACATTTTTGACTTTAATATATTCTGTCATATAGCTTAACGACATATATTTATAAAATTATATTTTACTTAAATACTAGATTTATTTAACAATTTATAGACATTTTTTACTGATAAATATATATTTAATAACTATGAAGAAGACCATCAGCCGGCTATTAATATTTCTTAGTTTTTTAATGTTATTTCATGGAGGATATTCTGTTCATGAAATTGTATCATTAATGAAATCAATTGATCAAGAAGTAAAGATTCCTATAGACGTAAACCGGTTTTACTGTTTTAAAGAGAACTGCTGAATATACTAGATAGTTCTTGAAGTAATTATGTCATTGGTTATTTTTTGTATTGAAAGAGTATTTTTTGCAGAAAAATTACAGCCTATAAGCTATTCTAAATATATAAATGCTAAGGAGGAATCAGGAGAACCGTATAGATCAGCTTTTTATCATTTTTTTCTAATTTTTCAAGTATACATAGTGTTCTAGATCATAGACCAGGGTTTATAGATATTCGTCAAAAAAGAAAGAAATATGCATCATTAAGGGAAAAACAATCATAATAAAAAACAAAATATGCAAATGCATGTTTTCTTTTACTTTATTAATGATGTTTTTTTTTAAATTAACAAAAATTTTATATCAAAAATCAGGAAAATACTTTTTATATTTCAACTCAAAAATAATATTAATTTATGGGAAATCTTTCTAAACATTATCTTTTTTATGTTTTTTAAATCATATAGACAAAGGAATAAGATTTTTTTGCGAACTAACATTTGGTACAAAAAAATAAAATATACAAGAAATTATATAAAATGGCATCCTTTGACTTGGTATCTGAATCATCGTTGTCATTAGTAAGTAAATAATGTTTTTTTTGAACTTAAGAATTTTAAACAATATTTTAGCTTAATAATTTTTTTGAAGACAAATCTTATGTTGTTGGGTAAGATTTTTTTAAATTAGTTTATCTCAAAAATGATGACATATAATCGGTCCGTGTATATGAGGTCTTTGAATCTTTGATTTTTTTTTCAAAATTTATGATTGTCTGATTTTTGAAACAAAGCTATATATATTATATATCATTTGATGATTTAATACATAAAAAAATGTCATAATCAGTATTTCTAACTTTTTGAAAGATATACTCCATCACAGGCAGATGTTTCTCTATTTCATGAGATAAAACAATTACCTTCGGCTGAGAAATATCCTAATTTGACTCGATGGTATACACATATATGTTCATATACACAGGACTTTGAAAAATTTCCTGGGGAGAAAGGAAAACCTGCTAGTTCATATTTAACTGATATATTTATATGTGAATCCAAAAAAGAAGAAGATGATGATATTGATCTTTTTGCAAGCGATGATAGTTCAGAAGCAGAAAGAATTAGAGAAGAAAGACTTGCTATGTATAAAGAAAAGAAAGCATCGAAACCGAAAGTTATAGCAAAATCTATTGTTACTATGGATGTTAAACCATGGGATGATGAAACGGATATGGTAGCTTTAGAAGAAGGTGTTCGAGCTATTGAGATGGATGGCCTTGTTTGGGGGTCAGGAAAACTGGTTCTTGTAGGTATGTTTTATCTCTAACTATTTATGAAAAAGATATTTATGAAATTTAGGATATGGAATCCGTAAACTTCAAATTACACTTGTTGTTGAAGATGAAAAGGTTTCAATTGAAGAACTTCAAGAACGAATTGCAGAATTGGAAGATTATGTACAGGTTAGAATGATGAATTAGTCTAAGTATTCTTCTAAAATTCTACAGAGTTCTGATGTTGTTGCAATGCAAAAACTTTAAAATTCCTTTTGTAAAATTAGTTAATCATTTTGTTATTAAAAATATATTAACTAGAATCATATATATACAAAAAAAAGGAAATGATTAGAAAACAATTATAATAATTTACATTATTTTTTTTAATAAAAGTGTACGTTTATTTAAAAACAAGAATTGTAAAGCTCGTAATTCTATAAAATAAATGATCTTTTAATGCTTTTTTCAAATAAATAAGTCCGATCTTAGCCATTTAATTTAGGTTATTCTTTGTAATGATAAAGCCAAGTATCAGCTCTATAATATAACGAAAAATATATAAATCAATTAATCCTGTAGATTCTTTCAATTCTATTAAATATCGTTTAAAATAAATCATTCGCTTTCTCTAAAAATATATGTTTATTCATCTATAAGAGTGTATACTCGATTAAATCCTCCCTGATCAACCAAAGCTAACGGACTTTCTTCATCAACTCGTGAAAATATGTCTGGACGAGTAGAACTTTTTTCTGCACCCACCGTTTGTAAAATATCATCTACAACATATCGTGCCGCCTCCCGTGCAGGCGTTTTCAATAGTTTTGACGGTGGTAATGAAAATTGCTCCTTCATGTCAGTTTATAAAAAAAATTCTATAAAATAATATACCATTGTCACTGGTGGAGACAATCCTACTGGTAATGATGCATCTAAATCATCCTCCTCCTCTCGTACCTCTAAATTAGGCTTTGTAAACCATGCTGATCCAAATCCTGGCGATGATGTAGATATTGATGATTGAACTAAAGGCGCATGAGGTGTTATCTGAAGACGCCATGCACTATCTAAAACACGATGCAACAATGGATTCTCCTTCTTAACCCGTGTTGCTGGAGATGCAACTGGTGTTGACGACTGACATACTGGCGACGAAATAATTGTATCTGACGTTGCCATTGGTAATGTAGCATGAGGTGTAGAAATATCAAGAGGTGTAGATGTCCATAGCACATCGCTTGCAACATTTCCGTCCGATGTTCCTGTTATTCCTCTTGTATCTCCTGCATCTATACTTGTTTCTAGACCTGATATTTCTTGAGATAACTCCTCATAACCAGAAAGTGAGACATTAGCACTGGTTTCAAAGAATTGTTTCCAGAACTTAACCAGTATTAAAAATACCCTTATAATTATAAGAATACCTTTGAATTCTCCCATATACGCCGGGAATGCTCAGCATAGCCCTCAATAATAGGTAAAATCTTTGTAGTAACAATTCTATGGCAGCGGTTAAAATTTGCATCAATCTCATATAATGCCAGAGTAATCTTCTGTTCAAGACGTTCAAGTTCTATATTTCTTATTAAAATATAAAGTTTTATCAAAAAAAACAAACCTGAAAGCTCATCCATGAGTTATAAAAAAGACGGTCGTCGGAGGTATCAGACTGAGTAGAAAATAAGTCAAGATGAAGAGTTTTTAAATATACAAGAGTCGATGTCTGAAAGAGTTGCAAGAGATATTGTGAGTTGAAAGAACATAGGAAGAAGTAGAAGGTTTTGAAGAGTCGAATAATTAGTGAATAAGACAAGTAATATATGTATAAAAAGTGAATAAATTCCATGTTTAAAGAGAGTTGATAAAGATGTAAATAGGTTATGAATAGCCGAATAAAGTGTTTGAGATGCCTTGAATATGAATATTGATATATAGTTAAAAAATAGATAAATAAATTTTTATAAAGGAATTATTGAAGCCGCTAATATTTGAAAAGAAAAGATAAAGAACACAAGTATGATGCATTTTCTTTAGCTAGTATAATCCTATAGATTTTTGAAAAAAAAGCTAAAGTCGTTTTAAACCTCGTTTGCGTGTATCTATTTTTTTCTTTTCTAATACTTTATTGTCTAAATCATGATTATTTTCCGTAACAGGAATATTTTCTCGTCCTTTAGCAAAATTTTCTGAGCCAAACGAAAGATTAGATGTTGTATTACTATCACCCAATGGCGTTAATGTAGGAAAATCTGACGATATATGTGTTCCTGTAAGCTCCATCCATGCAATTCCAGGTTTAATCGAATGAATCGATGTAATTAATCGTGCATGTTTACAAAACGATTCATAATTATCTAATAATAATCGTCCTGCCTCTTCATTTAACGCTGATTCCGGATTTGGATGAATCAAAAGACATTTAACCGTCTATCTATTAGGATAACTTACAAAACCCTTTTCTTACCAAAAGAATATGTGAAACATGTACCGTTGGCGACCAGTCTTTTTTTAATATACTAACACAAACTTCTCCCTTCGATGATACATTTGGATGAAATATCTTCGTCATAAAATGACCTAATTTATTTCTTTCAATATATAATTCATATAACCCCCCAAAATCTTACATTTTGGAGGTGCTGATGGATATTCTGCTCCAAACTGTAACCGTAATTTAAATGCTCCTCCTTCATACGGTGTTCCCTCTAATACCAATTATTCCTAATAAAAAATAACACTCAATAAGCTTTCCTGGACCGAAAATATACGCCTGAACCTCTGAAAGCGTAGTATCTCCTGCTTCAAGTAATCGTACTCCTTCAAGTGGTGATGCCCAAAGTGATTGGATTTCTTTTGCAATTCGATGAGAGATTGGCCTTGAAAGTGCCTTTAAATGTTAGTTTTTATTGTAAAAATATAGAAAATACCATTAAAAAAGGTGGAAAAAGAAGGGTAAAAAAGTAATAATTTTTTACGAGAAATGAGGAGGTCTTGCTTGTTGTTAAGGTGAGGCGTATCTATGACAACGATGCGTGTTACTATGGAAACGAAACGAGGAGAGATGATAATAAGAAAAAAAGTAATTTTTGAAATAAGATGAAGATGAAGGTGAAGGTGAAGGTGAAGGTGAATGTATGTTTATAGTTATAGTTATAATTATAGTTATAGTTAATATAATATAATAATATTTATTAAACTTTTTTTATAGTTTTAAAATTGATAATTGTCATGACAACCGTTACCTAGCAACCTTCTAATCTTCACGTGACTTTTTATCTGCATGAGCTATAATATATATAATTTTTAAGAAAAAAGTAAATTAAATAAACTAGAAAGAGGGTTTAAACAGGCGAAAATAACGCCTATTAAAGTGTTTTTAATTGCATGAAAAGATTTAAAATAGTTTTTGAAGGGTTGAAATAGACCTAGTAGATCAAAAGATAGCTATGTGTATTTCGAATAAGTGGATGGGACATAAAGAAGAGTTATTTTCGGTTAATTATGGGGATACTATAGCTCACGTAGGATGTAATGCAATGTTAAGGGTAGAATCTAAAGTAATTCGTCTTTTTTCGCCGGGTCTTACAAGATATTTAAGACATATAACGGTTTTTTCTAATAATGCAGAATACCGCAGGATTCATAAGGGTGTATATTATATTTTAACACTTGTTGAAGAGACGGAAGTAGAAGCATTTAGTTTATTAATGGAAGTTTTGCATGATCCTACTACATTTTCATGGAAAACAGAATTTCATTCAGTATTAAGAATGGCGACGAAATATGAAGTTTCAGAGCCAATTGTTGGATTTTCACTTGCTTATTGTATGAAATTTTATAAACAACCTCAAGCAGATCCATTGATGTTACTTCACGCATCTTTTTTTTGCAAAGATGATGATGTTTTTACAGATGCTTTACTTTTAGTACTTAAAAAACTAGATCTTTATAGAAACAGTAAATCATTTAAGAAACTTCCATGTTACTTGGGTTTTCAAATTATGTCAATGTCAGAATCTTTATTTCGTGAATATACATGTCTTTCTGATTTCTCAAATAACGATAATTGGCCTGATTGTGAAATAGAACTTTGTACAGAAAAGTTTAAATATGCATGTAAAAATTTATTTGATTCATTTGCTCTTCCTGCAGTTATTTGTTGGGATGGAGAATTGCTTTCAGAATGGTATAATAAATCTGATGAAGAAATTATTGAATCAATTGGAGTATGGGAAATGCCATTTGCTGCAGATCCTGATCATATTAAACAATGTAGAGACAATTGGGCTAAAGCTATTAAATCAAATGCTAAATGGCTAAATAGAAAATTAAAAGGTCAACTTCATGATACTTCGATCTCCTCTTTATTGCAAAAATGAGATCCCAAAAATACTTTTTCTAGAAAAATATATAAAAACGTAAAAAGGAAAATCTATTGGAATACACATATTTGGAAAAACAAACTATTTATCTAACAAATCCCACAAAAACCTCTCTATAAATAACTCGTTCAGGTATAATAATATAAAACATAAAATACATAAAATACATAAAATTCAATTAACTAACTCTATTAAGGTTATGTTTTGGTCTATCATCTTTTTACTTTCAATTAATCTTTGTTTTTTAAAAATCGGTTCATGTTTACAACATCTTTATACTTTTTACATCATAAACCATACATTCATTCAAACTACAATTTTATATTATTGGTCACTCTTTCTTTTATTTTTTATTTACTTTTATACGCTTGATTTCTATTTATTCTATTTCTACCTCTTTTCACTAAGGATACATGTTCTTTCAAAAAAAATTCTTATCATTGGTATTAAAAAAATTCTTTCTTTTTCACTTAATTATTCTTTCATATCATTTCATCTCTTATTAAAAACGGATTCCTCATATTCTTACTGCTTTTTATATATTTTTCTCTTAATCTCTATTATCCACTGATAATATAAAAGCCAGCGGATAACCTGACGATCATCTAACCAACTATTTTTTTATTAATAAAAAGACCCTTAAAAAAGGCAAAAATAACATAATTTTATAGGAATTATTGCTCTAAATATTTAGTATTATATAAAATGCATTGGTATACCTTTTTTCCGCGTTCTTCTAGGTGTATTTTAAGGCAGAAATCATGGAATAAGTTGATACGGAGATTAAGCGGAGAATTGGCTAGAAATAAGGAGAAAATACATAATAACGGAGTATCTACAGTTCATAAATCATTAGGAGCTCGTCCTATATATCTTGACGTTCAGGCAACAACACCAGTTGATCCACGGGTGCTTGATGCTATGTTACCATATTTTACATATTTATATGGCAATAGTCATTCAAGAACAGTGAATAACAACAGATTATTAAGGGCTTTTTTTAGCTAATCAAGAGATATGTAGCATGCGTATGGTTGGGAGACAGATAAAGCGGTTCAGAAGGCACGTGAGCATGTAGCAGAATTAATTGGAGCAGATCCAAAGGAGATATTTTTTACATCAGGAGCTACGGAATCAAATAATATGATTATTAAAGGAGTAGCACATTTTTATCGTAGTACAAAGCGACATATTATTACGGCACAAACAGAACATAAATGTGTCTTAGATTCATGTCGAATTTTACAAAATGAAGGATTTGAAGTGACATATTTGCCAGTGAATAGGAATGGTTTAATAAGCTTAGAAGATTTAGAGCGAGCAATTCGCCCAGATACGGTATTAGTTAGTATTATGACGGTGAATAACGAGATTGGGGTTATTCAGCCAATTGAGGAGATTGGACAGATATGTAGGGATAGAAAGGTGTTTTTTCATTCAGATGCATCACAAGCAGTGGGAAAAATACCAGTAAATGTAGATAAATGTAAAATTGATTTAATGAGTATTTCTGGACATAAAATCTATGGACCAAAAGGAATTGGAGCGTCATATGTTAGACGTCGACCACGTGTACGAATAGAACCGTTAATTAATGGTGGAGGACAAGAACGAGGATTGCGTAGTGGTACACTTGCATCACCGTTAATTATTGGTATGGGGGAAGCATGTCGGGTTGCAAAAGAAGAATTAGAGGTAAGTTAGAGGCAAATTTTTCAGATATAGTTACATTAGTTGTGTATTCTGTCGATGATGAACCTTTTTTATTATTAAATATTTGTATAGCTGACATTGTAATGTTTTTTCTTATTTATTACACATAATGGAGGTTGTGCAGGGGTTCTGAGATGGATTTTTAATTAGAATTATTTTGAAACATTTCTTTTATTTTTTTTTAACAAATTTAGTATGATTATGCACATGTAAGTCGACTTTCAAAACGGTTAATAAATCATCTTACACAACTTGAATATGTATATTTTAATGGGGATCCATTACGTCGTTATCCCGGATGTATTAATGCATCTTTTGCTTATATCGAAGGCGAGTCTTTATTAATGGCATTAAAAGTATATATTTTTTCATTACATATATATATATATATTAAAAAAATATGTAGGATATCGCATTAAGTAGTGGAAGTGCTTGTACATCAGCGTCTCTAGAACCATCTTATGTTATTCGTAGTTTGGGAGTACCAGATGATATATCCCATTCATCATTGCGTTTCGGAATTGGAAGATTTACAACTGACTTAGAAATAGATTATATTTGCAATATAATAAGGGATAAGGTTAAATTTTTGAGAGAATTAAGTCCTCTCTGGGAGATGGTACAAGAAGGAGTTGATCTTTCTGCAATTAAATGGTCATACCATTAATAATATATTGAAAAAAATAATGGCATTATTTTAACAATAAATAACATCAATACTTTTGTATTATTGTATAAATCTATTTATCTTTAGCCTTGATTTTATCCAAAAGACATTGTAGTATTTGTGCTTAAAAATTAAAATATAAATATTTACAAAATTAAGAAATGTTACAATGGAATTTTAAAGTTTGAAGGAAAATAAGAAATAAATGAATATGTTTAAATCAATCTAGGTTTAGAGGTACTGTACTTCCACCTTGTCTTCCACTTTTAAATATTTTTTGTTCTCCAGAAAAAGTACGTGGTGCTGGAAATTCATCTTCATTTTTAAATCTCCAACGAGAATCATCAACTAAAACATTATTAGAACAATTTATATGAAAATTGGCTATTTCACTCGTAATGTTTATATTACTTGGCTTAATACCAGGTCCTGTATAAAGTTTATTAAAATCCAAAGAGACATAAGGCTTATTTTGTCTTGAAAGAGAGCCCTGGGAAGATAATACTGAAGATGATCGATGAATAGATGCTTCTTTCGTGGTATTTTGTGCCATTGATAGTGATGAATGGTGTGGTGGAGGAGGTGGCGGTGGTGGTGGCCTCATATTTGTTTTGCTTGTACTAACAGATGATGGAATTGGTGGTGGAGGAGGTGCACTTTGTGGAATTGGTAATGAAACATTGCGTGCTGGCGGTGGAGGTGGCGGTGGAGGTGGTGGTGGTGGAGGTGGTAGTACTATCGAAGAGCTCTGAATATCGGTCTTTCTTGTCCCCGACATAGATATAGTCCTTGGAATAGGCGGTGGAGCGCAAACAGGCCGAGTCAAAACAGTTGATGATGTTTTCTTATATGCTGTTTTCTGTGAATCAGATACAGATCTAGAGAAAGTAGTATTGTTTCTCGATAAAGACGGTTGAATAGAATTAGGTTCCGTCTTAGGAAGAGGTAGTATGTTCTTCGAATTAGCTGTATTTTCATTATGTATAGCTTTGATATGTCTGAATTTAATTCAATTTTCAAAAATACTATTACCTCCTGTATTCACTCCTCCTTCCCGGTGCTTTAATTTTAGAGAATTATCCTGAATTAACTCCGGAAGCTTTTGAATAAAAGACGGAGGTTCTGAATGATTGGATGATGATTTAGGTGATTTTGACGTCGCTGATGAAACTCTATTTGATATTTCATATGAAACAACCTTTTCTAAAATAAAGATAAATAATTTCAAAATAATAGAATTCCCTACTTATTATAGGTGCACTTCTATCATTTGTTATCGTCTTTTTAAGTACTTTTCCTGTTTTTTTTTTTTAATATATATTTTAAAATTAAATATAATAAACCTTTTTGAATTTGGACAAAAAGTGCACTCATATCCTGGTTATTTACCAACGTCTGTTCATTTCTAACAGAAATAAAATTACTAAAAAGCCTTTTTTAGCTTGATATTTACTTATTTGAAAGCGAGTTATGAGAAATAGGTTTTGCAAGCTGTGAACTCATTTTTTTACAAAATAAAGACAATAAACCGGTAGAAAATATAACGTTTATAATATATCCCTCCTTATAAAGTATAAAATAAGGCTCAACCAAAAATTATAATCTTTTATTCAGTTTTACTCCAAAATATCTGTTTTTTGAGCGGTTTTTTCAGGAAATCCTTTAAAGCCCTGTTAAAGAGTAATAAATTACATATAAATAGTTCATTTAAGCTAATATATCTTGTATTTTATTAGTCTTTATAAATTATGTCGTTTGGTAGTTACGTTGACAAACACCTGTGCACGTGCAAGGCAACGTCGAAAAAAAAGTAGAGAGTAAATAAGGGGAAAAAAGGCAGAATTTAAGGCGTAATATGAAAAAACAAAGATTATAATGTTAATTCTAATGAAAAATAGAGGCATACTTGTTTTTTCCGTTTTTTTTTTGCGTAAAAATAGGACGAAGGGGGATCATTGATTTATTAGCTATTGATCTCTTTTTTTTCTTAAGAAAAATATATAAAAAGAGTATTTTTCATGAGTGCTCTTCAAGCATTTGTAAATCGTATGTTTTTTTTGGGCGAAATATTGATTAAAATTGGATAATAATCGGTTGTTAGAACAAGTGGTAATTATCACATCAGATGGCCGAGTTTTAACAGGATATTTGACGGGATTTGATCAAACCATTAATCTTATTCTTTCTCAGGTAGATGAGAAGTTATTTTCTATGGAAGGAACGCAAATAACCAAAGTTGACGGTGTTTATTTGGTTCGTGGAGATAATATGTAAGTATTTGCAAAATCTATACATGCAATTACAAAATATATGCTTAAATATGGAAACATTATCTAATGAGAACATATAGTGCAATTGTAGGTTTAATTGATCATGAAATTCATGATCAAATTGATTGGACTCAAGTAAAAGCAGAAGGAATTAAACCAACAAGAACATATTGACATATTCATTATAAAAAAAGAATCAAAGAAAAATACTACATACATATAATGTAACGAAACATCAATTATTTATTTTTTTTTGATTTTATTGGTCTTACTAAAACAAACAATCTAACACACTTTTTTAATAATTATCTTGCCATTTGTCGACTCATATATATATATGATGTTATTTTTAAAATGATTATGCAATAATCCCTGTCTTAACCATTAAATCTATTAGATCACGCAACGGTTCAACATCATGTTTATCTAAGAGTTCAAATTCTTTTCCAAAAGATATAAAATGCGCAAAAAAACTATTCCAATGTGCTTCAAGTGATAAATGAAGAATTTTATCAAAATGTGAATAATAAATATGTGCAAATATTCGAAATAACTGTTTATATATAGATTTTACAATAATAAAAAAGTTAGATGGAAATCCATGGCCTATACATAAAATCAATTCTATTTACCTTTATAAATTAATATTCATTCACCCGCTTTTGTTGGAAAAACATTTTCATCACTTAATCGGTTATTTACCCATGCTAATACACAATCAATATATTGAGGTGCTGATAATTGGATTTGCTTTCGATTCCCATCGAGCCACATATATATTACACTATATTCATTTTATTATTAAAATATCCCTCATTTTCTTTCTTTTATACCTTGAACTTGCCGACATAGATGGACAATTTTGTGGTGTACAAAATTCTGCAAAAACACCATAGAATTGATTTAAATATGTAAAAAATTCAAACACTATCCATATTAACCATCAAAATTATTTTCATTTAATTAATTTAAGCCATATTAAAGCCATATTAAGCCATGTTAAAGTTATATTAACATGTATTAAGCCTTATTAAGCTTTATTAACTTATATTAAGCCTTGTTACGCTTTATTACGCTATATTAAGCCTTGTCATTCAGAAAAAAATATATAATATTCCTTATTTATAAACTTTTCCCTCTTACCATTTAATGCTAACCATTCATTTAAATCTACATATTTTGGAAGTGCTACAATTGCTGCAAAACTTCCTTTAACTAAGGCTGTTTTTACAAATGGCTGATATAAAAATAATTTACGATGATCTTGCTGAGAATTCTGTGTATACGCTGAAATAGATGATTTCTTAAGACGTGAGTATCTACCAATTTTCCTATAAAATTTTAGTTTTAAAAAAAAAAGATTTTTTTTTTAAAAAATATACCCAATATTATTAAGAAAACTCATTTATTTCTAATTTATTTCTAACTTAAATCTTATTTATTTCTAATTTATGTTTAATTTATTTCTAATTTATGTTTGATTTATGTTTGATTTATGTTTATTTATATCTTTTATGCCTTTCTTCTGCGTTTTTTCTCTATAAAGCACTGCTTTTACTCTATTTTCTACCAAAATTCTACCAAAAAACCTCTCCAAAGACCGACTTAACGATTTTTTATAGGGTCGATTAAAAACACAGCCAACTCGTTGCCGAGGTAACTCACTCAATAATAGACCTCTAAGAAATATAATTTCCTTAAAAACTCAATAATTTTGGGTTTATTTGCATATTTATGAGTAATTATGAAGGGTAAATAAGGGTTTTAAATATATAAAAGTTTTTTTGACGTTTTTTTCCCGTTTTAAAAGGAGAATTTGGGGAAGAAATAAGAATAAATGAATTGAATATGGAAAAAGAAGATAAAGAAGGGGTAAAAGAGGGGTTAAATGAGGATATAAATGAGGAGAAATCTATGTATTTTGAGAAACTTATTGGGGATTTAGAAGAAGTCCCAGAAGAAGAAGAAAAAGAAGAAATAAGTGATGAATCAGAAGATTTATTTGGTGAAGATACCAGTGAAGAAGAAATAAAGGAAGAAAATGAAGAGAATGAGAGAAATGAAGGAAATGAAGGGTTTATATAAGGAAAAAAAGATATTTTTAAGGGTTAATAAGGGTTAGTAGAATGAGAAAGATGGGGTATGAAAGACAGGAGGTAATGGAAGAATTTGAATATCAAGAAACAAGACGTGTTTTAGAAAGCACGCTTGCAAATTATGGAGCACCAGAATCAGAAGATGGAGAGGTTTTTATATAATGAATGAATGAATGAGTAGTAATAAGATAGATATATTATATTAAAATGCCGAATTTTTTAACGGTAGTTGAAAAACCGTTCGATTCGAAAACATATTTAGAGGAAGCACGTGCGGAATATGAAGAGGTTACAGCTAATTCGTATGATAATTGTCAAAGAATTAGATTAAAAATAGAGAATACGATTAGATGGAGATATGTTAAAAATAGTGATGGAACATATGTAAAAAAAAAGGAAATATTTATATATATAATTATTTATATGTATATATAGTCTAAAGAATCTAACGCACGATTTTTAAAATGGTCGGATGGATCGTTATCATTACTTTTGGGATCAGAATTATTTTCAGTAGTAGTAAAGAATAGTATTTCGGATTATATGTATTTGAGTATTTCTCATGAAACACAAAGTCTTCTTATGTCTAGAAAACGGTTTACAAAAAACATGACATTTTTACCAATTGATACAGGAAGTTCTACACATAAAAGATTAACAGAAGCCATTCTTCGAGGAAATATGAAAAAATCTAGTATTATTGAATTTATTAATATAGAAGATCCAGAAAAAGTTAAACGAGAAGCAGAAAGAGTAAAATTAAAAAAAATTATTAATATATTATATAACTTATTTTTAAAAATAGATTGAAGAGGAAAAAATTAGATTTCGTCGTCGTTTAGTATCAAAACGTCGTGCTAGAAATGCTAGATATAATGAAAGTCCTATTTTAACAATTGAAGGTTTAGAAGCAGAAGAAACAAATGATCAATTTTCCGGTATATATAATAAAAACAATAATTATGATGATGATGATGACGACGATGGATTTATTGTAAACGATGAAAGCGATGAAGCAGAACGAGTAGAAAGATTACGTAGAGTTAAAGAAGAAGGCAGAAACATGTATAAAATACAACAAATGTCTTTAACTAACGAGAATAATCAAAACGATAAAAAAGAAACAAATGCTCATTGGTTATTAGACGAACAAGACAAAAATCTAGACGATGCTGAATATATGAAAGAAATCGATCTAGACGAAAATATTATAAGAAAAACAGGAAAACGACGAAGAATTGTAGATGAACTAAGCGGAGATGAACAAACAACACTTGATACAGAAAATATAAATAACCATTAAGCATAATATTGCTTATTTTTTTACAAAATATCTAATCTACAATATTTACGGTCATTTTTTTAGATTAATCATCTAAGAATTATGTAAAAAAATGACTAAATTCAGAATGTCCGGTCTGATCTCTTATCACCTCAAAACCTTTCGAGGTAGACTAAGATATTCCAATTTATTCTCGGCGTCGGGAACGACAGGCAATGCAACATTCGCAATTTGACTGTAACTTGGTCTATAAGACTGACACCGTCAGGCTATTCTGCATAACACAGAAAACTCCCTTGCTCTACAACAATTACTTATATTATATCGATCTAAGAATCAACTTACGATGAATATCGTAAGTCGTCTTATTCCTCGTCCTTTTATAGGATTTCTATTCCAATTTTAATCTCCGACACGCGATTTATCATTTATCGTTTGGCTTTATATATACGCATATATACGCATATATATATATACCAGACTAAGGCCACCTTTACAATGATATCTTTTACCGCGTTTATATGCATGTTCTAGATATGTTCAAGTCTAATAAACAGCTCTGATACATTATAATATCGAAATAAAGATTATATATTATTTAAGATATTATATATGACTAATTTATAGGCGAATATTTCATCGTATTATATAATGCTTATCAGAAAGGTTATCATAAACTAATAATAATTGAGGCCAATTGGTGTGAAAATAAGCATAAAAACCCGAGTTTTAAGGAGAATATCTTGTTAACAAGGAAATTACTGAAATATATGCTAGTTTTTTTATGTAAGTCATTTTTTTTTTGTTTTTTATAGATATTTTTGACAGACTATTAACGCATATAGTTCGATAAAATATTGTTAAGAAGAGAATTTGAGCGCATATATAAATGCATTGAACAGAGAAAGGGATATTTATTGTGAATTTGCTCTTTTTTTAGGGAGAATCGTAGGTTTTTTACCTTTCATGGTTTTTTACAAATCAGAAGGTATGCTTCGATCGATCTATAATTAAAAGATTGTGTATAGTATTGAAGGGTTGAAAGGGTTTTTTAGGGTTAAATAAGGGAGTTTATATTATTATTATTGAAGATGTCGCATTTTCTTAATATTATATCTCATCCCGATCTTATCGAGATGATTGCAGAATATATGCATTTTATTGATCTGGTTTCTTTGTCATGCGTTTGTAAAATAGCACGATATGTTATATATGATAATTATCGATGTTGGCGAATGATTGATCTTAGCTATACTAAAGGTAATATGCATGAACGATATCAAAATGCAAAAGAAACACATTTAGCAACATTTAAAACGATACAATTACTTTTTAAACGAAGTAATATACCATTGAAATATTTAACGGTGATTATATTAGATTTTTCGGCAGTTCAATATCCAGCAGTTCGATTTATTATGTTACAAGCCGGTTTAAGCCGATTAAAAAAGATTAGCCTTCGACATTGTCGATTTATATCACTTAAAGATCTAAACAGCATTCTTATGACGCTACAAAGAGTTTGGACAGGTGAAACAAATTATTATAAACAATCTTCTTCATCAGCGATTACACCATATGTTCTCAAAGAATTGAGAGTTCGTTATATGAAAGGGTTACCGAAATATGCAAAAGATCTTTATTATAATTATAGTCAATATAATCTTTTATATATATTTAGAGAAATTGCAAAACTTTTGCGATTTGAGACAGATGTGGAAACGTGTTCGATGAATTATCCAAATGATTTGTTACATAATAGACAAATATGTATAGATTATTGGGATGATCATGAACGAATAGATTATAACATATATTATTCAACGGAAAATCTTTTTTTCGATTTAAATAAAGCATATAGAAAATGTGATATTCATCCAGAAATTGCGAATTATAAATTCTGTAGAGTTTGTCTTCAAAATTCTCAGTGTTCTAAGTGTGGCGAAAGCGTATGTCCTCTTTGTCAAGGTGTAGATCAGTGTAATTTATTTTATTTGAATATTCAAGAACAAGACTCAAATAAACATGTGCCATTGAAAGTAGGGTTTTGTCAACAATGCGGTATATTATGTAAGAATTGCAGAAATAACGATATTTTCAATTGTTTAATTTGTCTGGTACCTTATTGCGCAATTCACATGTCTTCTAATATTAAATATTGTTGCGAAATTGGCGGTGAAGGCGTTTGTAATAAATGTACTTTTAAAAAACCTTGGCTTCAACAATGTTTTGGCGGTTGTAGACGCATTATCTGTAAAAAAGAAGTAGCAGGGAAATGCTTTAAATGTCATGAAAATATTTGTTGGCAGTGTATAAAATTATCAATGCCTCTTGAATCATCTTTCATGAAATCATCTTTTACCGATCATTTTTCAACCTCTTTAGGTTTTCATAATACTTTAGAAGATACTAGTGCTGTTATCTTTAGAGAACGCATTTTAAAAACAATATGTATTTCATGCAAACTATTGGTTCATATGAGGAAACGCAAATTAGAATCTCAAAAAATTTCTATGATTTATGGATTAAAGACTAAACGATTTACAAAACATATGGATAGAAGGAATTTAGCATTGAAATTATACCAATATTCAATAAAACCAATTAAATTTTGGACTAAAAAATCGTTAACTTTCCATCCTAATCAAAATAATTTAAACAAGATTCAGCTTTCTTCGATAGAGTATAATAATATGGATTTTACACATTTTTCTAGAATTCCTTCTCATTACCTTAAATTTATTAATACAATAAGACTTGCAATTAATAACGAACTGGCAAATGGCATAAACAAAAAAGACTTGGCTAATTTAATCATTGAGATAACTAATAATATACTAACTAACTAATTAAAAATCTTGCTTAATATTTATAATCATATATTTTAAATTTATTAATTATATATAATACTTATCATCATAATAATAAAATAAATCTCTTCCTTACAAACCTCTATTTAACCCAGTATTCAACCTCTATTTAACCTCTTTTTTTTTAGGGTTCAAAAACCCACGATCCAACCAGGAGTCGAACCTGGAGTCTCATGATCCGTAGTCATGCGCCTTAACCATTGGGCCATTGGACCTACCATAGTTTATGGTCACTGAGTCATTCATAAATTCTATTTTCAAAATAAATAAATAAATACATTTCTTATTCATATTTATTATATATAAATATTATTTACATTTAATTTTTTTCAAGTGTCTTATTTTAGAGGGCTTCGTACTTTATAATTTATAAATATATTATAAATAAATAATAATATTATTTTATAAGACATATACAAAGTATATGTCTCTTTATTTTATGTTTGTTAGATATATTTATTGATATTTGTTATACTTTTATTAATAATAATTTTAATTTATTAATGCTTTAAAGTGACCGTCTTAATTTTTTTACTTGTCGATTAAAAAATATTTTTAAAAAATGAGGTAAAATACTTAAAAAAAAAGATAAAACAGCAAATTAAAGAGCTACAATTGAGTATAAGACTCAATATATATGTTTTTTTTAAATATAAGTTTATTTATTAAGATTTATTAATTTTTTTGCAAAAGTATATTTATTAAATAATGGCATATTTTAACATTTTATCTGCATTTTATCTCTTTTTTAATATTTTTTATTTTATTTTATATTTTTAACATTTTATCTAGTAAAGTTAGTGCTTCAGCTATTCATGAAAATGTTCGAAATTTATTACATGCTTCACAAGAACATAAACGCGGGTAGATTTTCTATTTATATTTTTTTTTTGTTATTCTAAGGGATTCAGTTTTCTTGAGACGGTTGAGCTTCAGATCGGGTTAAAAAATTATGATCCACAACGAGATAAGCGTTTTTCAGGAACGGTTAAACTTCCTCATGTTCCACGTCGACTAAATATTTGTCTTTTGGCAGATGCATATGATTTAGATCGAGCTAAAGAACTAGGAGTTGATGCACTATCCGTTGATGATCTTAAAAAACTTAATAAACAAAAGAAACTTATTAAAAAACTTGCTAAAAAATATGATGCTTTTATATCTAGTGATTCTTTAATTAAACAAATTCCTAGACTTCTTGGTCCAGGATTATCTAAAGGTAAATATATAATTTATATATATATTTAATATATATAAAAATATATTACACAATAAAGTGTTATATATTGTTAAAACAGATTTTTAATATTATTTAGTGGGAAAATTTCCAACACCTATATCTCACGCAGATGATCTTAGTACTAAATTAACGGAAGTTGAGGCAACTATTAAATTTCAACTTAAGAGTTAGTTATTTTTATAAATATTTGATTAAAATTTAATAAATACAGAGGTCTTATGTCTTGGCGTTGCAGTTGGAAATGTTCAATTAACAGAAGATCAATTGGTCGCAAATATTATGCTTTCTATTAATTTCCTTGTATCTCTTCTTAAAAAAGCTTGGCAGGTAAAATAAATTTATAAATTTATATATATATGTTGAAAAGAATAGAATGTAGGCTCACTTGTAATTAAATCGACAATGGGACATCCCTATCGATTATATTAAGTAAAAAAGCGGTATAAATGATGATTTTATAGAGTATTTATTTTGTATATTGAGCCTTTTTCTGATATAATCAATTATTGAGTCGTAAAAAGTTGTATATAAATAGACTACTTGTATATTCCATCTATTTAAGAAGAAAATTGTACACTTTAAATCTATTTGCGAATTATTAAAAGTATATTTTGATTTTGCATTGAAAAAAATAAATATTAAGAAATATTAATGATGATATATTGAAAGAGCCGTATTAGAGGAATAGTATTTAAAGATAATGCCGTATTTTTTAATAATATATTGAAAAGACGTATTGATTGAATGAATGAATAAATGAATAAATGTTTGTTTGAATAATTGAATTAATAAATTTTTTTCTTTTCATCAACAGAAAACCCTCCAGGACCCATATTGACAAGTAAAATCAATCCTCCTGTAATTGAAAGCATTTGAAAGAAATCTAAAATAAATTAATTCTATTTTTCTTTAAAATATTTCTTTTTTTTACCATATTTTAATAAATCTTTTTCCATTTCTGTAATTTTTGTATCCCACCAATTGTTAATCAATATATTAAAGATATTTAAGATACAAACAAGAAAAAAAGCACTCCACTTTGCCTTAAATCCAATAATTACCATAAAGCATGCTATTAAAGAGAAAATTAACATAAATACATGGACAACCGTCCATGTTTCTTTGAAAATAAATTCTGTAAAAAGAAAAATCAAGAGAACTCTTCCAACTGCTAGAAAATACTTTTTACGATCCGTTTCTGATAACTGAGGTAATCCTGCAAACAAATGTTGCTTCTTAGACCACGAATCCGATAAAACCATCAATAACCCTCCTGTTATAGAAATGTTTCTTAAAAATATTAATATTATTATGAATCTCTTGGCTAATTCTTCACCGGAAAAAAAGCAATTTGTCAAATATTAACCCATATCCAACTGCTTGCGCAATTACCACCCCAAATAAAATACATACTGCTATCTCCGACTTCTTTCGTGCTACAATCATAAACGATGCCGTTAACATCGCCTTGATCCCTCAGATTTCATTCTTTATATTGCTTATCTTACTATAACATTAACGATAAGAAATGTATGGCTTAATCCACTGTAAAAATGTCGGTGAACCTCCAAATAATAAAGCTGATCCCTCATCTGCGTTAAAATACGTACTGAATCCTCCATAAACGTCCCAATAATTAAAAATCGTCCCAACGCTGGAACATAACTTTTATAAAAAATAACTAAGAAATAAAACTTTATAAAATAATAAATTTACTGTTTAACTGGTCCAAGAAACGTTTCTACTGATTCTTCAAAATACTTAACATATGCTTGAAATGCCTCAAACACGGATGTAGACGCTGCCGGCGCTGTATAAGAAATAGGGATAGAAGGAAATCGCTGGATTGACATAATTGTTTTTTTATCAATAGAAATATGATGATTTTTTGCCGCTGTTTAAAATGTTTAACCCTACGATCTTTGTCTGGGCACACTTTTTTTTAATTTACGGCCTAATTTTTAGTAAAAACCCTCTTTATTTTAGTTAATATTTACTAAGAAAAATAGGATTTTATTATTATAAACTTATTTATATTTATTTATTTATTATTTATTATTATTATTTATCTATGATACAAGTTATAATTAAGAAACGGGGCCTTTAAGAGAGGGTTTAATAAGTATTTACGAAGGGACGTTAGGGGAACGAGTTATTTGTATTTTATTTGTATTTTTATAGGGTGTCAGTGTGATCAGATATAAGACGGGATATAGCGGTATATATAGAGATAGAACAAGATATACACAAGTATATCAAGATCTATAGAGATAGATCAAGATCTAGATATCAATAATATCGGTATATATATGAATTGTGAGAAGAATTGTATATTGAGGAGAAAAGATGTTAGCACCTCATATATTTTTATGGTCGGTAGCAGAAAAGGTATTTTCAGAGGCAAGAAGAAAAGTTTTATTTTCAAAGGAGAGGTTTTCATATGAGGAATATTATAAATTGATTGCAACGGGGCTTGGATGTCTTGAAACATTACTTTGTGTAATAATTTATTGATAAATAGGGAAAGAATTGTAATTTATAGGTTATAGTATGATAGATTGGAGACGAATATAGAGATAAGGACGAGATTTCGTATGGCAGAGATCATTTTTTATGAAACAGAGGATTTGCATAAGGCAGAATGGATTCTTAGTAAAGGTGTATGTTTTGTGTGTATTTTAGGACAATATATATTCATATATATAGGTAATTTTAGCACAAAGAGTAAGAAAAAGGAAGAAATGAAATAAATTGTAAAAAGGTTTAGAAAAATGAAGATATAGAGATGAGATTTGCGATGCAACACTTACAAATTCGTATACTTGCACGAAAATCCTTAAAAACAGCACAGATTTTGCTTAAATCGTGTATTGAAGAAGCAGAAGAGTAATTAAAAAACGTTTTATAGATTTTTTTAAATGAATTAGACGTCAAATGGTTGATTGGGTTTATATTTTTTTATTTTTACAGTTTGATATTTTGTCAGATGCAGTGAATCAAGAATCAGAACGAATGGGTCGTTTATCTGCTTTAATGAAGATCATTTGTATTGCTGAGCATAGAAATGATGATATAGTTTGTATTATTGCACGACTTCTTGAAACTTATTTAAGAATTGAATCTGAAGAATATCAAGTGGCAAAAAAATGTTTAAATTGTGTATCAGCAATACAGGAAAAAGTTAGCAATATATCTTTTTTGAATATTATTAAAATGATGTTTAATATTTTTTTAAATTTAATTCAGGGATATGGAAAAGAAGCTGTACATGAATTGAAGGATTTACATCATGAACTTGACGCATTTGCAGAAGAAACTAATTGTTTATATCAAGATACCTATAATGTTGTATTGATGTGAATTTTAGAAGAAAAGGCTAATGCAATCTAGTTACCACTAAGTCAAAATGGACTCAATATGAAAATTTACTGGTTTGACGCTCAGCAACTTTTTATATATGGTCATATTTTGTCTGGAATGTGTTATTTACCAGATTATAGTTCTTCTAAGGCAGAAGTTTTCTTTAACGAAGGATTAGAAATGTTAAGATGTAAATTTTTTATATGATATTATTTATTATTGATATGATTTTTAAGATGATTTTGCTTATCATCACTTTTTAACAAATGATTTACGAACAAATAAGGGTTTGGATTGGGTTGACATTACACGCCAATTGTGTTTAATTTATTATTGTTTTGCATTAATGTTAAGATCTAAATTTAATAAAGCTTTTGAGGTTATTCTGGCTTTTATCTTTTTTTTTTCATTCTTATTGATTTAGTGTATTCAAATTCTTGAAAACTACTCTTCATCTTTTACTATCACTACAAGGGCATTGTTTATGCTTTTAAAGGGAACTTATGCACAATTTACTGGTCAATTGGATATAGCATTGAAAGCATATGAATCAATACCTGTTTTTTTACATGCAATTAGTTTGGTAGGAAATCTTAACTCTGTTCTTATTTTTCAAGGAAATTCATTACAAGATAAAAAACGAGTTTATGAAATACTTCATAATATTGAACCATTATGTCAATCATCAAGTTTTACACAATTAAAATTTGCATGGAATTTAATTAGTGGATCTGCAGGAAAAGATGTCCTTTATTCCAAGTAATATTTAATTCCTAATTGATTTATTATTAATAACTTTAGGAATTTTTTGTCATATGTTGTATCTGCATCAGAAAAACATACAAATACTCAATTTCGAGTTATGGCTTTAATAGCATTGTGCTACTACTTTGTTGCTCATTCTGAAAGTGAGCAGGCGGAGAAAATGCTAGTATCAGCTTACTTGCTTTCTAAAAATGCTGAAAATGATATTTGGGCTTTTATGAGTGGAAAACTTTTACAAGGTTTATACATTTAATCTTTATTAATATTGTTAAGAAAGTTTAGAATTAATGAAAAAGAAAAATAAAAATATAAAGGCTGAAAAACAACTTCAATTAAACTTAAAACACAAGGAACGTATTTTAGATATATTTAATAATACCAATGCAATTTCTTTGAACTGTTAACTATAAATTCTATTTTTTTTTGAGAAAAACATACATAATTTATAAAACAATTTTATATTATTTTAATTACAGCTTCTTTTACATTTAGGAAATGATATATATCTGGTGTTATCAAATAGTCTGGATTTTTATATTATTATACTAATTAATCAATCATGAGAAACCGAGTGTTTTTTGTTTCTAGCTTTCGCTAATGCACTTTCCTACAAATTTTATACACATAGTTCACTGATGTAAGTATTTTATTACCCATTTTTCTTGTTTTTTATTCTTTTTAGCTTGTTTTCTCGCCTCAATCTTCGATTTTTTCATAGATCTAATTGTCTCTAACTCTTTCTAAAGAACCAAAGGTCATTTCTCATTATTTACGACATTAATATCTCATTTAATACCTTTCTTTCTTGTTTAACTTTGGCTTCATTATATAATCTATGGTTTACATCTTCTAGAATAGATAAAAGTGTCGCCTAAATCAATATTCATTCAGAAATCTATATTTAACAAAAAAAAAAACATTAAATACTTTATCTTCTACAAATATTTTCTTAGGTTTCTGTATTTTTGCTGGTGTAGATGTATTTAAAAAAGAAATAGGTGTTTTTTTCTGGGAAAACTGTCATTTATTTTTAATATAATACTAAATACCAATAGAATCTATAGAAAAATACCTTTGGATCATCAGAAACTCTGTTTTTACTCCAAAATTTAGACATATCTGGTTTTTTTTTATAAAATAACTCTTCAACTTTTTTTCAACTACAAAAAAAATATAAAAATCCTAGAGAATACTAATAAATATAGACAACACAATTCAATCCTTTCTATTCCAATTCTATTTTTCCTCTTTTTATATATATTTATTTATCTTTTATCTCTTCAAAAACTTGTCAAAATTATTTTATAAAAATTATTTTCTATTTAAATATTTATTAATAATTCTAATATTTGTTAATAATTCTAATATTACTTTTCATAAATAGAAATTATGGTTTTTCTATATAATCCTCTTATAAATATTTATTTTATGATATTTTTAACGTAAGATCAACTACGATGAAAATTAATATTATAAAAAACTAGAATTGATGGAGATTTTCTATGGTTTTTAAGAATTTTTAAGCTTAAATATCAATTAAAAATAAATCAGAAAAGAATGAACCTTTTTATTCCAATTTGAACGAGGAAAATCCGTCCAGATTAGCGGTTGAACGGGTTGAACAAGGTGCTTTATATGTATATAGATAAATAAAGAGATTAAATTGGGTTAAATGACAGATATTTTATCACAGAACTTTTCAAAAGAAAAGTTCCTTGAATCAGTGAAAAATCTGTCAGTTATTGCGGAAAAATATGGGTTAGATCAAGAGTCTATAGATAAGGGTATTTCATTGATGTGCCGGAATCATCATATTGATCAAAGCAATGCTATATCTATTATATATTCAATGATGCCTAATGGAAAAGTTAGTCAGAAAACAGTAATTAGGATACTTGCTAGTCTTGGGCATGGCAAGACAAAGGCGAGTTTATTTATACAAGTATGTATATATATATATATTACTTCAATATATATATATATAAATTTTAATAGAATGCACTTCTTAAATGGATTATTATGGTATATGATTTTTTGGATGGTTATGAAGAATTAAATCAATTATATGGTGTTATTCTTCATTATATTGGATTTATAACGCTTAGGTTAATATTGGAATTTTTTAAAAAAAAAGAAGATTTAGATTTTTAGGCGATATCTTTGTCATATTTTAATTCTTATAACACGACGTAATAATGTAAAGGCATTTCGAATAGAAAAGCTGTATAAAATTATATTAAGAGAATGAATTTGCTGAATTGTTTGTAGTCTTGAAATTCAGAACCAAACACCTAATGATCAGAGTATTTTTGCTTTATTACAACTTTATAAATCATATTATCCAGATATTGTGGTTACAAAATTTCTAAAAATTCATGATAAATTATTTGATGTAATCATTTATTTTTATTTGGAATTTAAGGTTTATGTTAACAATTGTTAGCATCCAAACAAGCCATGGTTAGATAAAGTGATTGCTCTTCAGGAATCGTCATCTAATAAGATAAATAAAAACTATGATATTCCGCGTTTTGAAGTAATGGATCATTTTTACCGTGGTTTTAAAAGACAAAAACTTAGGAATTTTTCTATTCCAGAGATTCGAACATTTAGTTCGAAAAAGGTATATATTAGAATCTTTTATTACTTTTATTTATTTAATGTTAGGAATCATATACTACCGAGGAAATTCGAACTAAACAAGATCTTGTTGAATATATTGATAATGTTGAATTTCCTGGTCAGCTTGCATCTATCTTGGATACCTTTCTACACCAGAATCTTTTAATTTTACGCTGTCCTGGTATGAAAATATAAAATAGTTTAATAGTTAATATTTAATTAACACAATCAAATAGAATTTGCAATTGAACGTTTAAGTTTTTGGCTAGAGGCAAAATTGATATTAGATTTAAAAGAAAATAGCAATGATGCATATATTAATCATATTTTAGAATATTTAGAAAAATTTACATATGTTTTTAAGGTTATAATTTTGATTGTAATATATTATTAACTGATTTATAATTAAGGAGACATTATCTCCTATAGATCGTTTTCTAAATATATTACTACAATCATGGGATGGTATTAAATATCGAGAATCACTCTTTAATCTTTTGATACATATACCTATCAAATCAGAAAAAGGTTTGTTTGTTTGTTTTATTTTTTATTAATTTATAACTTATTAGATATTACAATGATATTATCTTATCTTACAAAGCCACAATGGTTAACAGATTTAAATTATTGTATAGATTTGTTAAACTTTTTTTCTCAATTAACTAGACAATGGGTTATAAAATATATAAGACTAATTAATAAAAACGGGTATCCAAAATTAGAATTATATTGCTGATTAGATCGTTCTAATTACTTAAGGACTTATTGGAAATTGTCATCCAATGATAATATATTAAGCGATCCGTTTAATTCTATTCTATTTCTACTTGAAAATATTGATCATCTTTGCATTAATATTCTTCTGGTATTTTTATAATCTATATTGAATATTATTTGTAATTTTTTTAGCTTTATAAGAGTGACATGCGTATTCATAATTCTGTTCTTTTATTTTATGAGCTTTTGTTGGATCTAATTGTTGAAGAAAAACTTCCAAATATCATATTACCATCATCTCATATTATTTATCAATGTTTTTTTTCAGGAAATGGGATGAGTTTATCAAGAATTTGTGGATTAATTGTTGGATATAAAGCAGCGTTTGATCAACATGAAAAAAATGAAGTAAAATCACCATATCATCGGGATATTGTTGATTATTTTAATTCTTTTGTGATGGATTTTTGTAATTGTTTATGGAGAAATAGAGCCTTTAATAAGCAAGATAAAAATGCTCTTGGTTGTCAATTATCTGAGTAAGTTCTATATATTATAAGGGAAGGCTAATATTCTTTTAAGAGAAGTTGTAATGACACTTAAATCTATTGCAGAGGTACAAGGAATTTTCTTTGGATCTATTTTTTCCATTACGCATGGAACAGTATTTGCACATTGGTCAGCAGAAACTTTGAAAGATCTGGAAGATGAATCTCCAAATATTATTAAGAGGCATGTAGGCCCTGTAAGCAATACATCTTTGAAACGATGGGCAGAAGTAACAATAATATAAAAAAAGTTTATATACTTATATATTACACAGGAAGGAGGTCTAAATATTAGCCTAAATGATTTTAGGATTCTTGTGTTAAACAAGATTAATAAGAAGAATTATAATGGTGTTTATGATTTTTTATATAGTTCGATGGCATCTTTAAAGGAAAGACGAACATCAGAAATTAATATTTCATGATAGAATTATATTAATATTTTTTCTATACAAGAAATATTAGTTTTTTTGCTAATTTATTTGTTATTGGTTATAGAAAAGTGGTGATTTTATTTAAAGATCTATCCGTACCAATAATATGTTGCTTTGGCTGCAAGTTGTCGCAAATGTTCCGGAAAATATACATAAACACTCATTAAAACTAATGCAGTAATGCTTATAAAGACGAAATCTATTATTTATATTAGATCATTTAAAAAAAAACATGGTATCTATAAATCACTTACTAACAATTATTTTTTCTGTAGTTGTTAACATATTTAGTGCAAAAGTTACTTCATATTGAATGTATTTTTTTTTAAGAAAACGCATTATTCTTCTTCTAAACATCTAATTCTTTATACAATCACAACTATAAATATAAATATTATTAGTTTTAAATTAAAGGTAATATCAAATTTAAATCACAAAATATTAAATAACGAAATAAAAATAATCTCTATTTATATTTATGTCGATATTAATTAATGGGTCAAAATCAGCTGGAATACTACTATTATTACTCTCAATTATATAAGATTAAACTGTTAAATTGTTAAAAATTTATATATAAAATTATGGTTGTCATGGCATCTTGTTACCATGGAAATATCAACCTTCAGATATTAACAGAATATGAAATTATGATTAAGTGTTAAATTAAATATGGATTAAAAGGAAAAGGATATTTACAGGGCCTTTATTTAATTTTAAGGACTATTTTTAATATATTTGGGATCTTTCTTTTTCTAATTTGAAATTTTGTTTTATCGCGGATTTAGGATGATTTAAAGCTTGTATAATTTATTAACAAATATACATAAAAAACATGATCTTTATGATGAATATAAGGGTTTTATTCTCTTGTGTAATTTATGGATTATAAGATATACGAATTTTATGAACAATTGTCTAGCGGATTATAGAGGATTTAAGGATGATTTATGAAGATTTTAAAAAAGATTGCTATTATAAAGAAAATACATCAAAAGATGCTTTAACTGATGATATTTCATCAAAAAAATTGCGTCGTTTTGTATCGTTAGAAGAAGACATAATTAATGATCAAGTTACTGAGAGTAATAATCATTTTTCAAAGAAACTTTGCTTGGAAAATAGCAATTTACAAGTAGAAAGTTCTGAAAAAAATAAGGAACTTGTTAATATTCAAAATATTCCATTTCCTAATGGTACTGTTAAGATTACAGCTGTAAAGGGTTATAAAAGAACAGAACATGATATAACAATTGAAGACGTATTTCAAAAAGTATTTATTATATTCTTTTGAGAACATATATTTAGTGTATCAATAGGAAAGTTTAAAGGCAGCAGTTCTATCTGCTTTTGTCATTGATCCATTATGGGTACTTACAAAAATACAATTGTCTAGTACAATAGTTATTTTTGTTCATCAGGCTAAATCAGATGAAGAGGTTTGAATTTTTATGATATTTTTAATAAAAATTAATTTTTATTAAAGAAGGAGGCTATTAATAAATTATATCTTCATATTCCAAATGTTTCTGCTATTTTTCCGCCTATGGAAGGTGCTAATTGCATGCATTGTAAATTACAGGTATTTATTGTTCTTATTTTCTTTTTCTAAATGATAAAAGCTTTTATTTTATACTACATATTTACGCGTGGTTATTCCAAGTGTATTAAACTTTTTAAACTAAAGAGTTTAGTAATATGAATTAGGCTAATTTAGTTGATTATGATTGGGGAGAAACTGGTATAATGGAGAATGTATATTTTCTATTTTTTTTTTGATTTTAATTAACAAATTAGAGTATCTATATTCAAGATTTTCCTCGAAGAATATCTCCATTTGCAGGATTTTCTATTGATTTTGAAAGAGATCTATTTCATTACTGTAGAACTAAAAACTATCCTCAGCATGTTCTTGAAAAAATGAAAAATTACGACTTTTCCTTAGCTAAAAATTTACAGTTTATTCATTCAATTCCATTAAAAGCACAAAAAAATACCAATTCAAAGGATACAGGTTATATATCTCTAGCTAAAGCTATACAGCGACTTGGAAAAGGACGTGAAAATGATATAAAAATAGATATTATGGTTAATTTTTATATTTCATATTTCATCTAGTTTTACTGATATTTTAGACATCATCTTTAGGATTATTGAATTCGACATTCCTATCTAATATGTATCTAGCATTAAAAGGCTGTCAAGTAGTTGCTTCCCGCAATACAGATATTCAGGATTGGAAAACTTGTATGAAAATCCACTTTCCAAGCATGAATACTGTTTCATACAGTAATGGCGGTAAAGAATCTGCAGGCACTATATGTTTTCAAAAGCGATACTGGGAACATGTAAATTTTCCAAAAAGCATTTTATATGATAGTGCAGCTGTTCATGTAGGTTGTCTAATGCATCATAAAGTAATTATATTCCTATAAATAAGTTCATATTTATAAAGAGGTAGATTATTCTTGTAAGGGACCAGACATCTGCATCCGATTTTTTCTATATTGGTTCTGCTAATTTTTCTTCTTCTGCATGGTAAGTATACATTTATAATTATACTATCCAACTTCAAAAAAATCATGATTCATATTTATCTTGTTTTTAGGGGAATATTGACACAACTAAACTCGAAAAACCCTGTTATTTTATGTAGAAATTGGGAATGTGGTGTAGTTTTATCATTGAATGATCATTATTCTTGTATTATTGAAACCATCCTTAGTGAAGCAAGTTCATTGCCCAATTCAACACCATGGATTTCCAATTTATGATATTATTTCATGATTAAAAAGATATCAAATATTCTGAATATGATTTTTTCAGTTTTATCGTGCTTAAAATATTCATTATGTATATTGATTTTAGAAATATAAATTATATGAAATTTAATCAGCTATTCAGTATGATAAATTGACATCAAAATGTTAAATTATCCAAAGATGTGCTTATATATGATTGTTATTTTATTCGAGTATTATTTTCGAAAATTATATTAAATTTTTTAAATGATCCAGGAATTCGATTTGAAACGTAGATTGAAATGAATATGATATTTTAAAAAAATATCAAATTCATTATTAACAGACATTTAAAAGATGAATTTTCCAAAGCCTTCTGCAGCAAAGAGATATTTGTTTTCTTTTAGATATTCATATGGCTTAAGGTAATAAAACTCATTAGAAAATTTTGTTATTTAGTTTTAGATGTTGCAAATTAAATCATTCATATAGCATATTCCCTCAGGAATGGAGATTTAACACACAAAGAACCTTTCGAACATCAACTATGCTCTTGTTTCGTCCTCCATCTCCTCTTAAAATTCGGAATACATGTATTAATTATATTAAACTGAAAAAGCATAAGAATCCAAGAATTGTTACCTATGAAAATATCTATACGGTTCCAAATCTTCTTACATTTTCTCGATTAATTCTTGCGCCAGTAACAGGCTACTGTATTTTACATGAACAACATTTATATTCTGTTATTTTATTTATTTATGCAAGCCTATCTGATGCGCTAGATGGATGGATTTCTCGAAAATGGGGTGTAAAAAGCATTGCAGGAACAATCCTTGATCCAATGGCTGATAAATTTTTCATCATCATATCAACACTTTGCCTCACGATTAAACAGCAAATCCCATGTAATTATTTATTTCAATCATTTTATTCTTGTTTAACATAACACAGATTATCTATTTTCCGTTATTCTTGGAAAAGATATCCTTCTTGGGTTGTTTGCTATCTATTATCGTTGGATCTCCCTTAATCCACCTTGTACATTTGGACGATATTTTGATTTTTCAATACCAAGCATCGAAATAAAACCCACTTTAATTAGTAAAGTAATAATATTATGATATGAAATCATATTTTTACTTTTTCCTTCTAGATAAATACTGCGCTACAACACTTGCTTATCGGTATAACCATAACACAACCCTTTATTCACTTAGAAATTCTATCTGTTTTCCTTATTCCAATACAGTAAATTATTAATTTTGTTTGTTTTTTTTTATAAAAAGGTTTAGGTTTCTCGTTTTTATAACAACAATTTGGTCAGGACTATCATATGTATATGCCAAAGATGCCATTCGTATCTTAAATTCTCAAATAAATAAATAATTGATTAATAAATATTATATTAATAAATCCTAATAGAAATGACGTGTATTGGATCTTTTAAATAAGATTTCGGCAATAATTAAAAATATACACATCTAAACATAGAGCAAAAAAATATTAGATTCTATATAAAAGTTATATGGATAAAAATTAAATATAAAAATTACCTATTTTTATATTATAAATATTTATCAACCTCTATATTCATTAAATATATTCACTTTTTCAAACGATCCCAAAATTTATAATTATTTTTGATTTCTTCTTTAAATTCCAAAAGAATTCTATCTTAAACATTAAATATTTACTACATATTTCAGCTTATTTTATTATTTTATAAAATGTAAATAGAAAAAATGTTCATTTTCTCTTAAAATAGCTCTTCTATTTTAATAAAAGGCATAAATATTTTTTCATTTAAAAGTTATTAAAACGTTCTTATTTAATCATTCTTATTACTTTTTATATAATACTGATCGAATTTATTTCAATTTACTTTAATTTTTCCCTTTTTACTCTTTATATTCGAATCGGTTTTTTATCGTTTCAAGAGGGGATAAACTCCAGTATTTATAGAAAAATCATTAGCCAATCAAATTTCTAAATCTTATCATTCAATTGAAAGTTGTATATCGATATTATTAAAATAACGCAAATTTCCCTTTTTAGGTATTATTTAACAGGGATACCCTTTTTTCGATATTACCCTTTTTGGATTTTCTTTCCTTAAAAAAAATATATATAGCATGAACCCCTAACCCCCTCCCCTCAATATATTCATTTAAGAAAGATAGTGCTATTCAACACGACCTAACCCTAGTTTTAAATCGTTAATAAACATTTAGGTATAGGGTTAGGTGAGAGTTAGATATGGGGTTAGATATGGGGTGGTACAGGCTAGGGGTTAGGGTTAGGCACAGGTTTATTCATAGGGTTAGGTACGGTTTAGATATAGGTATAGGTATGGGGTTAGGTCTATAGTTTAGGTATAGGTCAGGTAAATATAAATCTAAAATTATAGAGTTGGGTTATTGAAGATTAATGATTATTTAGATGTAAAGATTATCTCCATAAATAGAATGTCAAATCTATATAACCATCGCTCAACAGGGTCTTCAGTTATTTCAAATCGTCTGACAGAGCTTTTAGAAGCAGTCAGAAATGAATTTGATAATATTGCACAAGAAGCCATGGCTTTTCGGAATCATAAAGATGATTATGAACATAAAAGTATGTAGAAAAAGACAAAAAGAAGTCTTTAAATGATATGATCAATATTTTTAAATGAATATTTGAATCAAGATTAAGGTTAATTTGTGATTAATCTGATGATAGTGACATCTCAGATACAAGAAATGCAAACAATTCGACAAATGATATATGAATTAGAAATGGCTCATCAAAAAATGAAACAATCGTGAGAGATTTTGAAATACTTGTGTAAACAATATTTTCTGAAATATAAAGCTATGAAGAAGAGATTGCACGATTACGACGTGAACTTGAAACACGAGGGATTCATTTACCTACCGCATCAACATCAACGCAGCCATCACTTCCAAGGCTTTCTAATCCTCCTAATCTTCCGTTTCCTCCACCGAATCTTGGATTAAATACGAATAATCTTTCTATGGGAAGGACAAGTCATGGTGATTTAAAAACATGTCTTGCTCCTCTGGAAACCAATCAATCAGTTGTTCAGTTACCTTATCCTAATACTGGATATCCTTCAGTTAATAGTGTTCTTCCATTACAGAGTTGTCCTCAGCATACTAACAAACGAATTTGCGCCGATTCAGCTGTCGATAATACATATAATGTGCCCAAGGGATCGAATTACCCACCAATTTCAGGGTCTTCTTCTCCCTCTGGCAAGCGTAATAAGTCGCACACTAATCGTACGGAAACCTCAAGTTCTTTTATTCCTGTTCAACCTTCATCTGCACGTTCTGTTGTACCTTCTACTCCACTAACAACAACTTCTCTACCACCATCTACATCTTCTGCACTTGGACAATCTCTTTCTATGGCTGATATTGATCCTGATATGATTCCTCGTGAATTAAAAAAGGAAGATTCTGATTGGACAGTTTTGTTTAATCCAAATATCCCTCGAGTTTTGGATATTAACCTTATACATACATTGGAACACCAAAGTGTTGTTTGTTGTATACGATTTAGTCATGATGGTGACTATCTTGCTACAGGGTGTAATCGAGTAACTGTTATTTTTGATGTAAAAACGGGCAAACGATTGACGTAAGTTATCATTTCTTTGACCAGTTTATCTAATGAATTATAGGGTTCTTCAAGATGAATCAGTAAATCGAGAAGGTGATTTATATATACGAAGTGTTGCATTTAGTCCAGATGGAAAATATCTTGCAACTGGTGCTGAAGATAAAAGAATTCGGGTAAGTTTAGAAAACTCTTTGCAATCATTTACTTTTCAATATTATTATTTCAATGAAGAAAGTCTTCATTCTTTTTATTCTTTCTTTCTTTTCTCTAATTTTTATCTATAATTTCTTATTCTTAAATAGATATGGGACATTTTAAAAAAGAAAATACGTCATTTATTTACGGGACATGAACAGGATATCTATTCTCTTGATTATAGTCAAAATGGAAAGTTTATTGCTTCTGGAAGCGGTGATCGTACTGCTCGTGTTTGGGATATCGAAACAGGGCATTGCATTTTAACTTTAAGTATTGAAGATGGCGTCACAACTGTTGCTATCTCTCCTGATAGCCGTTACGTTGCCGCCGGAAGTCTTGATAAAGTTGTACGTGTATGGGATGCTAAAACTGGTTATTTAGTTGAACGATTCGAAGATCATAAAGATAGTGTTTATAGTGTTGCTTTTTCTCCAAATGGTTGCGAATTATTAAGTGGAAGTCTTGATAAGACAGTTAAACTTTGGGAACTTATGGATTCTAAATCATCCACTGGCCCTAAAAATGGTCTTTGTAAAGCTACATTTACTGGTCATAAAGTAAATCAACATTTAATATCTATTTTTTTTTTTAATTTTCATAGGATTTCGTACTTAGTGTTGCAAGTTCGCCCGATGGGCATTGGGTTGTAAGTGGTTCAAAAGATAGAAGCGTTTATTTTTGGGATTATCATGGATGTGCACAACTTATTTTACAAGGACATAAAAATTCCGGTAAGTCTTTCTTCTAAAACTATATCTTCTCTTTTTCTTTCTTTTATTAATATCTTATTTTTAGTTATTTCTGTAGCTGTTTCACCAACCGGCCGACTTTTTGCCACCGGTTCTGGCGATTGTCGCGCACGTATTTGGGAATATACAACATTAACATAAAACTTAAGAAAAAAAAAATATACATTTTATCTAATATTATAAGACTTTTTATCACATCTTTTTAATTTTTTATCGGGTTCTAAAACCCTTGTATCCTCTCCTTAATTTATACCTTTCGTCCCTTGTATACCTCCAATTGGAGGGTCATTTAAGCTAAGCCTGGGATTTACTAGAGGCTGGAGGGGCATGATGCCTTTGTTACGTCGCTCACGACCAATGGTTTGGACGTTGAGCGACATGATCTTAAAGAACCATCTTATATCGATTATCTTATGGCAACCATTCAATCTAAGCAATTAGATGATAAAGATCTTAAGGGAAAAGGTGTAGAAACTAAAGGAATGGGAGAATCTAAGAATAAAAGACGATATCCGTGCTCTTTTGAAGGGTGTAATAAGGCATTTCAACAGCAAGCACATTTACGTATTCATTTACGGTGTCATTCAGGAGAAAAGCCATTTGTCTGTGGGCAATGCGGGAAAACATTTGCACAACTTGGTAATTTAAAGGTAAATAGAGAGAAGATCAGGAATAATAAGAGGGTTATGGGTGAAATAAGATAAAAAGGTTAAATAAAGAGTAATTAAGAAGGATTAAGAGGGATTAAGAATGAATAATTGTTAATTAAAAGCATAATTAACATAATTATGATTTTTAGACACATCAAAGACGACATACTGGGGAAAAACCATATATTTGTACATATACAAATTGTGGAAAGAAATTTGCACAAAAAGGAAACCTTCGTGCTCATAAATTGATTCATGAAGGGGCTCGTCCGTATGTTTGCCGACTGGATAACTGTACAAAGACATTTACACAGCTTGGAAATTTAAAGGTTAAGATAATTATGAAAAAAAAGGAATTTTATTAAAAAAAATAAGGTTCATCAAAATAAATTTCATAATGAGTCTATTTGTAGATTCAATGCAAAGCTTAAGTCTTTACAATTACCAAATGCTGAAGATGAGCAATTGCTTGATTATTTTTTAACATTATATCGGTATTCTAATCAAGGTATTAAAGGTCGAGGTAAAGAGAAGACAGAATTGCCATTGAAAAAAGAAACAGAAAGTGCAAATGAAGCTATTGATGCTTCTTCTGATTTTTCAACAGATTCTTCACATTTACCTTTTTCTGATAAAATGGGTTCTCAAACTATGAAACATGAAAATTTATCTACAACAAATGATATAGATCTTGATGAATTACTTGAATTAAATCAAGAGAAAATCGAACAATTAATTGCTTGTAATAAATTAGAAAAAAATGTATCTGATGATTTGCAAGATAATTTGCAAAATACACTTCAAGAATTGGAACAAATTAATGTTAGAGATCTTTTATTACAGCTTGATGATCCTTCAAATCTGAATGATATGGCAGGATTTTCATAATAATAAATAATTCACTAGAATTAATGGACATACAACAAATATCATAAAGATACCCGTTAAATGATACCACTCTTGTATTAAATGGTTTCAAGTAAACAATTGTCATTTATCATTCAAATTAAAGGCAATACTTGGCAAAATAATTGGATTAATATATATGGAAAATCTTTATATATCAATTTTACTCTGTTTCTGCTCTATATTTTTCTTAAAAACGCACAGATATATACATAAACACAAAAGCTCTCACAACACCTTTATTATTTACATGAAATACTGCTTTATTCTACATTTCTTATATTTTTTCAAAGTTCTTTTCTATATTATTAAGCAAATGGGCTTAATAATCTATTTGAATTAATTTTACTTGAGAAAATTATACAGAAACGTACTTGATCAATGAGGGACGAGGTGAACTATGGGTATAACCTATAGATATTTCTTGTATCAGTCAATTTTTAATAAAATACTGGGTTCTACCAAGCCATATAAGAAAAGGAAGATATCCATAGTGGATTAGGGTTTTTCCTAGGTTAAAAAGCTTAACTAATTTCTAGCAAGACGTTTTAGAAAGTAATAAGACAAGCAGAACAGGATATACTTCTTTTATCTCCTCTGAAAAATCCATTATTCGGTTGTCGGTGCAAAAAATAGCACAGGGCTGAAAAATCTGGTTAAACAGGGCAAAAAAGAGAAGAATAAGGGTAATAACAGTGATATAATGAATATAAGACGCATATAATACGCATATAATACGCATATAGAGGATATAATATAGGTTGTTTTTATACATTAAAATTGCTGCAAAACCATATATAATATACATATATTTATACATATACTGGGTATACAAGACTAATATACAAGTAAATTATCTATTAAAGACTGGATCGAGTGTTTTCAAGTGCTGCAAGTGCAGGTTTTATACAAGGCTTTTTAGTATTATGTTTTTTTTTTGAAAAAAAATTCATAAAAATAGGCTGGACAATTAACAGTTTGGCTTTTTATATGTGCTTTTCTTAGATTCTTTATTTTTTCAGATTCAAACAAAAAAAAATTAACATCCAATCTTCATAAGCAGGTTGGTTTTATTTATTATAGGAATTTTATTTAATATCATAATTTCAGTCAAAAAATAAGCCTTCTATGCTTAGAACATCATTTCCTCCTGGAATTTCTCATACACTTTTAAAATTATATGGAAATATAGAAACACACACTTCTGAATCATTGGATTGGTTTAATGTGCTTATTGCACAGGCTATTGTTATGTTTAGGAATGATCATGGCTTTAAAGAAGCTCTTTTAGTTTATATGAGTGATATTCTGAATGGTACAAATAAGCCAAATTTTTTAGTATATATTTAAGATGAAAAATAAGTCAAATAATTATTTATTTAGGGTCATGTTAAAGTAATTGATATGAATTTGGGTGAAGAGTTTCCGATCTGTAGTAATTGTCGAATTGCTCCGTGTTCCAACAATCCAGAACGTTTTGTTTGTTCTTTTTTTCCTATTTTTAAGTGCTAAAAAATATCTAGAATGCTATCATGGACGTTAATCTTGTTGATGAAATTACACTTGGTATTGAAACGCAATTTTTGTTGAATTATCCGAAATATGAATTTGCTGTTTTACCTATTGAACTTTCACTTTCAATTATGCGATTTTCTGGCACAGTATGTATTTTGGAATATAAATTTTCAGGTGTTAAAATATATTAGCTTTCTATTTCTCTTATGCCATGCGAGAAACAGCTAAATGCATCTGATATTGCTGCATTTGTTTTTTCTTTTTCTCCTGATTTTCAATTGGACATAAATGTACATTCATTAGTTGGTGCTCGGTCAAAATTGCAGGATATTCCTAAGATTTCACAATTTTTGGACTTTCGTATTAGAAATTGGTTTATAAAAAATTGTGTAGAACCTCATTTTCAATGTATAAATATTCCAAGTATTTGGTCAGCAACAAATGAACATTTGAGCTCTACGTGAAGTTTTTATTATAAATCTACATTATTCTTTCTTTCAAATAAGTTATGCGTTCAGAAATACTTGTTGATGAGTAGAAACTATACTGCGGTTTGTTTGCACAATAATATATTTATTTTAAATATTATACAAAAGTATTTATTGGGATTTCAATAATATTGTACTATTAAGAAATGAAAATCGTACTGATATATTGTTTTCATGTTGTTTATTACAATTATATAATTTTGTTTAGATTTCTAACTTTTTCGAATATTTCTTTAATATATTTATCTTTTATGACAGGGTTTAATGCATCTGAAAGATTTGATATTTCATAATAATACTAGAAAAATTAGAAATTTCATCAATTTTATAAAAATGTGTATACTCTTCGTGCAATTTCTTTAAACAGTCCTTTAGCCCACCAAAGTTGCCATACTGTCTGGTTATCTAATGTTTTATTTTTCTCAATACCATTACTTTTTTTTTGTGAAACTTTAGCACGGTCAAATAATTTTGGAAATTTTTCAAAAATTGTAACAAAAACAGCTTCTCGCTTCATGTATACTTCATCATAGGCTTTTCGATAATTCGACAAACTTCCTGGTTCATTATGAGAGATTTCCATATTTATACGATCTTTAATTTGAACAGGTGTGGAATTTACTTTATTCAAGGCTATCTTCATTAATTCCCAGGTAAAACTTCTGCCAATATATTCAACGTCTGCATCCAAAATTATCCATTCTATAATTGATACTGAATCAATGATAGAATAATTCAAAAATTTATTAATTAGAGTTGTTCCAATTGTTGGTTGATCTTTCCAAAATTTAATAATAATATCAATAGTTTGCCGGCGTGTTTTTTCATTTGCATTGCAGCGTGCTTGCAATCCTGGCAAATTACGCTCAATAGTATTCAAAGCATGAGAGAAAGATTTTGCTCCTAAATGTAAAACACATTGTACTAAAGCTTTAAGAGCCTCATATGGAGGATCATTTTCATTGTTTTCAATAGCTGTTTTTTCAATAATTTCTAATGCAACATCTGTTTCTGATTGCTCTGTATTTACTTTCATTGTTTCAAGTAAAGTTCCTACTTCTGCGTAATATTTAGAATCTAAAAATATTAAATTATAATTCAATTATGAAAAATAGTAAAGTTACTTGGTAATTCATAATCAAAATAAGGATTAGAAGGTTCCTCGGGTAATAATATATGATATGCTTCAGGAAGTGATTCTTTAATTTTGGAATAGTAACTTAGACAGAGTTCTTTTTCTATCGTTTCTGCTATAAATGTTCTTTTAGGGTGCATTAAATCAAGTTCAAGACTAGATGTCCTAAAAATAGTTTATAAATATTCAAATAATTTTATTTTTTACCATTCATCCCATTTCCAGCTAAAATTAAAATTACTTAAATGATGAGAAAACCATGTCCAAAATCTAAAAGAAATTTCAGGATCAAGGCGTGGAAGTGTCTGGTATATATATCTAATCATATATCCTAAAGATGGTGCTATTTTTTTCGGAATTAATTTACAAAGTTCTATTAAAAGAGAATGATAATATATAGGTGGTTGAAGTGGTTTGGGCAATCGAAATAATCGTCCAAATATTGTTTCCAAAATAATCTCTTCAGATTTCCATTCCGTAAGTGTATCCATTGTGTCATTTATTTCACTAGAAAATGTTTCAGAAGCAAATAGATTGGGTGCAAAATAAAAAGATAAATCTGCCAGAAAACGTGCAGCTTCTTTTCGATTAAATTCCATAATATCAATAATATCACCAACAAGATCCTTTATAACTGAACTTGCTATAGTTTGAAATGATAAATTTATCTATATATATATGAATATGTGATATTACTTTTACCAAAAAATAGTTCATACTTGATCTGGTTGGCCAAAAATACGAAAATGTGATTCAGGAAAATAAAATCTCCCTGCATTATCAAAAGTTTTCGGAAAAACTATTGCTGGTAATGCAAATTTAGGCGTATTTGCTAATTGTATTTCAAATTTCAACCATGGTCGCAGAAATATGTTTGCATCGTATTTCCCGTTTTTCATATATTGAACTTGATTCCATAATTCCTCAAGAATCTACCAATGTTAACATCCTTTTTCTCACTAAATTAATACTACTTCTACATCTTGAGATGCTTCGTCTTCTATAAATGGTTGTAACAATGAAAGATCAACTGAGCGATACTTCATATATGCTTCAACACGATCTACATACGAAAAAAGTGTATCAAATCCACATGAAACTTCCGTTGACCGTGCTATTACATATGGAACTGTAATAAGAAAAACATACGCCAGTTCATCCGCATGAAACTATTTAATTAATATATATATATATGTATGTATGTATGAACTATTATGCCTACTTTGGTATTAAAATCTCCTTTTTCTGACATATCTTTAGATACTTCAGAAATACGCTGTGTCAATCCATCTAGTATATTTAATACTCCATCTCCATCAATAATCGATGTCGCATAAACAAGAAATCGAAGAATTAACTTAAATTTTCTCCATTCACCTCCATCAAGAAATGCTTGCGCTGCCGTTGCCATAAATTCTACTGTATATTTCCCTATTGATGCCTCTTTTGTCGATGCAAGAGAAATAACTGTCGCTAAAAATGGGATTTTCATAGGAAGTTCAATAATACTATCGCAATTAATTTAACCCCCAATAAATACGGTTTCTAACTGATCTCTGAATGTGCTTAGAATCCCATTATGCAGCGTTTCATCCTCAAAATCAATAATCAACATTTGCGCAACTGATTCAATGTTTTCCCCCAAAATCAACCCAATTAAATCACTTCTTTCAATATAGATCATATACTCACTGGATCCCCAAGTGTTAGAATATATTTCTTCATCCGATTAAGCTGTATTTCTGTCGTACCATACTGTATATGTTTATAACTTTCTTCATAGCTCCAGTCGTCTAAAAAGATCGGGAAAAAAAGCTTATATATAAAATATACGTACCTCTATATCTTTTTCTGCTTGTAAACGTTGAACTGCGGTCATATCTGTCCATTTTTAAGCAAAATGCGTGTCTTTAAAGCACCTGCGTAAATTTATGTAGTTGTAGAGAGGTTGGCCGAGGTGAAAAGTGTGCGGGGAGGTTTCTATAGAAACCAGGGGAAACGGACCAATTAGGGTACACGCGTGTGTTCGTAACGTAGGTGACGATGGGGTTAGGGTTTGCGCCGGGCTAGGGTTAGATGTAGATTAGGGTTGTGTATGTATTAGGGTTACGTATTAGGGTTAGGATTTAGATGTCAATGTTGTGGGTTAGGGTTAGGGGTTAGGGTCATTCGATAGGGTTGTTAGGGTCAGGGTTAGGGTTATTGGGTTGCGTGAGTTATATTAAGAGAAAGGGTGAATAATTGAGAAAGTTATAGATTAAAAAGATTAATAAATAATAAAATAATTTTCAAGAGATATTTATTTATTTATTTATAATTATCCTCCATGTAATGTGCTGATAAAAGTAATTTCATCTTTAGGTTGAAGTATATAATACTTTTCATCATTTAATTCCCAATCTTCATTATTTATAAGAACAAGAATACCAGGACGTCTGATAGTAATAAATATATTAAAAAAGTAGATAAATACTTACACAGTATCATCTTTAATGAAAAAGTTTTTTCGAGCATCATTCATGAGGTTTTCAGATAAAAATTGTATCAAATAAGCAATGTTAGGAGGGTTACCTTTTAAAGCAGGATCGGATAGTAATATTTGAATATGATGAGTATTTTTGTTACCAAATAGGGTCTGTAACCCTCCTCTAATATAGTGATTAGTTGAAAAAAAAGATTTAAAAATAAAGTACGAAAATTGAACTGTAATATCCAAAATATCATCCATTAAGATAGAAAAGTGTCCAGATGTATTTAGTTTTAAGCAAAATAAGTATAAAAAAATTAAAAATTAAAAATAACGATATCGACTTTTAATATCGAAGTAAATAAAGATACCAAGGAAAAACTATGATAGCGATATTAATAACATCTAATAAAATACGATCCAGCGTCTTAGATAAAGATTCGTGTGATTTATTTTTGTATTTATTTGCACGAGTCGTAAGATTTTGTAGATCCTTTTCTACAAATAAATATTGATATATACATACAATAGAAATTGTCACAATGAATGTAATTAGATATAAAGAAAAGATGTAGTATTGTCTAGGTAGAAGACATGTTTTTGTTTGAAAAGTTTGATTTCCAGTTTTTTTGAGTGATGGATTGTATAATGAAACGAGTTGTACACCAGGCTGACTAATACCCTATATATAAAAAGAATATATTAGTTGTTTTTAAATTTAATATATAAAATACCATAGCCATAGAGAAACTTTTAATACTTCTTTCAATAATTGTTACTCCATATTTTGCTATTGTTTGTTTGACTTCACAAAAGTCATGATCATCACCAGAAAATACAGCAATTGGCCGTACAGTTTCAAGAACATGAGTAGAAATGCTAGATAAAATAACGTTTTGATATTGATATCCACGTTCTAGCTTAATAGATGTATTTTTTTCTCGTTGAGGTCCACAAGGAGTGTTTGCTGGGCGAAATAATGGAACATGTGACAATAAAATACGAGGAAAATCCTGATCATCTTGATACATTAAAATGATCATTTTTTACTGTTTTAATAGATACTTACATGTATTTTCTAAATCATTCAGTAATTGTTTTGTATATTGAGAAACTTGTGTGTTAATCGTATTTGACAGACTAATTGTATCCAAAAGTACAAATGTATGATTTCCTAATGTATATAAAGAACTAGATTCTCCAAAATATGCTCGAAAACGATTCAATCGTTTAAGTGTCACTCCATCTGAGAATCCTATATCATGGTTTCCTGGAAGTGTAGATATAACTTTAACACCTGGAGGTTGAAAAAATACATCATCAAATCGTTTATATTCTTTAATCCAACTATTCTTTTTTACATTTTTTTTTTATATATATAGACCGTTTACCTTTCCATTTCTAAATCTCTACCTCCATCTAATAAATCTCCAAGAAATATAAGAGATTCCGGATGCAATTGATTATTTAAATATTTCCAATTCCTTTTCATATATTTATCTGTATAAAAATTCGTAAACGTCGTTAATATAAAACTTCTATTATATGTATGTTTATCCACAAGTTGTGGGTCTCCAATTAAAGCAACATGATACGGATTTGCTCCCTCCTCCTGACCGCATAAACATGTTATTCATCTTCCCCATATATTATACCCATTTTTCCCATAATGACCACGAACACCGGGAAATCATTTGCTTAAATATATTCACTTCTCCGTACCATAGAATAATAAACCAGAGAAAAATAATAGACATTCTAAGCTTAGAAAAATGCCTTTTTTTCTTGTATATAACTACTATTATTTCCTTTAATTTTCTCATGAAATCTTGTTCAAAAAATTCCGGAGAAAAAGCAATTCTTTTATTCCAAAGTATTCCATTCATATTTTATGATTATTATGTATATAAATCCTTATTTTTTAGAGGATTGGCTGTAAATAAAGTGCTCGGATATTCTAAAATAGTTGAAAGGCTGACACTGTTGACAGTGGTTTCTATGGTAACGGGTTGCTAGTGGCCGACGACAGGATTTTTGGGAGGTGAGGATGGAGGCCAGTTTATGGCCAGTATTGCTTAGTATAGGATGCAATACAACACCAAATTGCTCGGACTGGAGTAGATATTCAGGTATTGTTGCTTTTGGAGCGGAAAAAAACGTGGTTTTATACGATCCATTGGTAAGTTTTTTTAAAAAAGATAAAAATTGCTAATAAAAGGATAAAAGCAGCGAAATTGCCATGGAATTATTGAGATTATGAAAGGACATACGGGTTTTGTTACGGTGGTTCGTTTTTTTAGGGGTTTTTTTGGTGAAAAAGAAGGTATTATTTCAGGATCAACCGATTCGAGTGTGAGGATATGGAGGAGAGGAGAAAAATATGTATAAACATTGTCTGAAAGGAGTATTTTAATGATTTTAAGAGTGAATGTGTTTATACGATTTCATGTTGTACGGGATCTGTTCATATTATTGGGGTACATGGATGCTATGTTGGTATAGGAACAGCAGATGGGTTTATATCAATATGGAAAATTGGTGAAAATGATACAGGAAATTTGGTTGTTGAGAAGATACAAGAGATGAAAAGTGTTAATATGCTTCCTTTGTCTATGTGTTTTTATGAATTGCCAGAATCATTGAATATGATACTTGCAGTAGCAGGATCTTCGAATTTTATTGATATATATGTTTCTTGTAGAGTAGAAAGAGGCCATGTTTTCACATATAAATCGTCAATTGAAGGGCATCGTGATTGGATTAGGGGCTTGGATATTACAGTTGAAGAGAAAACAGGTGATTTACTTCTTGCAAGTGCAAGTCAGGACAAACATGCTAAAATTTGGAGAATAACTCGTAAATTTGTGGGAGGAAATGAGAAAGAAAATAATTCTACATCTAAAAATCATGATGAGTTGTAGATTTTATCTATGGAAATCTTATTATTAATATGAAATAGTGATTTTGATCTATTTCAAATGAATAAAATCATGAGTTTTTCGCTAGAAGAGGATAAAACGCATGAGTATCTTGTTTCTGTATTATCTAATAATACAATTGTTTATTAATTTTAGATATTCTATATCTTTTGATGCATTATTGGTAGGTCATGATGATTGGGTATTTACATGTTTATGGCATCCATGTCTATTTTTTTTATCTAAATGCATATCTTTCTTACTATTCTAGATGGTGAATTAAAGTTATTAACTGCATCTGCAGATACTTCATTAATTATATGGCATCTTGATCATCACTCAGGAATCTGTATTTCTTCATCTCGTATTGGAGAAATGGGTTCTTTAAAGGGTGTTAGTACTGCTTCTGGAGGTTTTGGTGGGTTTTGTGGAGGTCTATGGGGGCCCAATGGCAAAAGTATTGCATGTTGGTGTAAAAGTGGAGGATGGAAGATATTTTCAAATATAGAAGACAATTGGGTTCAAAGATTATCCATTACTGGACATACAAAGCCTGTAAAAAGCATATCATGGAGTCCAGGTGGTGAATTTTTTGTTTCATCTAGGTTCATATCATTAAATATAAATATTTAATTTTTATTCTTTTAGTTTGGATCAAACAACTAGGCTTTTTTCTCCATGGATTCGCTCAGATGAAGATGGGAATTTGGTGGAAACATGGCATGAAATTTCAAGGCCACAGATCCATGGTTATGATATAAATTCTGTTTGCATGCTTGATAAATGGAAATTAGTTGCTGGTGCTGATGAAAAGGTTATTAGAATCTTTAATCCTGTTAAGAATGTTGCATCTTTGATTTCTAAACTCTCTAATTTAAGTTTTGATAAGGAAATTGTAAGTAATTTACATAAATATTAGAAATTTGTTAATTTATATAGGAAAAACTTTCTGATGTGGCCAATGTACCCTTACTTGGCTTATCTAATAAAGCAGTGGACCTCACAAATGAGGTTCCTAATGATTTAGAGGATTTCTCTGATAATAAAGATCAATTGAATGATTTAAAAGATGGAATTTCTAAAAACTATGTTGGTTTAGAAATTCCTCCCTTTGAAGACTATCTTCAAAGATATACACTTTGGCCAGAGATTGAGAAACTATATGGTCATGGATATGAAATTATATCTGTGGCATCTAGTCATGATAAAACTTTAATTGCTACTACATGTAAAGCAACTACATCAGAACATGCAGTTCTTCGTTTATTTGATACGTCTACATGGCAAGAGATTTTACCTCCATTAGCAGCACATAGTTTAACTGTAACACGAGTGAAATTCTCTAATGATGATAAATATATATTAAGTGTTGGAAGAGATAGGAAGTTTGCATTATTTTATAGAACAGATGAAAAGAATGTTTATAAATTAATAGAGGCAAGGACTGCACATTCAAGAATTATATGGGATTGTTGTTGGGCACCTGATATAGTAGGATATGTATTTGTAACAGCATCAAGAGATAAAACTCTGAAGATATGGAAATTTGAAACAGAAGAAATGAAATGTGAATGCATTACTATTTTAAAGCTTTCACATGCTGTTACATCTGCAGATATTTGTCCTTATATGATAAATGATTCGTAAAAGTGCACATTTTTATTATATATATTTATTTTATATAGATGTTTTTTGGCTATTGGTATGGAAAATGGGCTTATTGTTATTTTAAAATCCAATGGAAAAGACATTTCTCAATGGGAAAAATCATTTAACATTAATGAACAGTATGTTTTGTATTTATAAAGAAATTCTAATTTATTTAGATTATTACCTGGAGGGTTTATATCTCAGATTCAATGGCGTCCTTATTTGAAATCAAATATACATTATTTTGGGGTTGCCAGTGAAGATCATTCAGTAAGAGTATATGGAATTAAATTTTAACTTTATTTATTATCATTTAATGCATAAAATATATTGAATCATTTAGTATATTCTTCTTATTTTTAGGTATTATACTATTTAATTATTACAGCTTTTAAAAATATAATTATTAAAATAAATTTATTGAATATTGCAAAGTTAAGTTTTCTTTTCTAGTTATAACTTAAATATTTTGGATATATTTATATGGATTTGTAAAAATAGAGATTATTTATCAAAAAATATTATTTAAAAAAGAATGAGCTTTTATACCTCTTTAATTAATAAACTTTAAATTATTCATTACAGTTATAAACAATCTAAATTGTCAACTTTAATAAAAATAATACATTTAACGATTGCTGTTTTAAAATTATAATAAAACACCCCTCTATCTGACATGCATTCACAGGAAAAACATAAATATCAAAATATTACCTCCCAAAATTTGAAAGTGGAGGAGGCGGTGGAACAACAGGATATGAATTCATCATAGGAAGAACACCTGTCGCTGGAGGTTGTTGTACTAAAAAAAACATTTATTTCAAGCAAAAAAAAAAACAAAAGAATAAATACCATATCCTTGTGAAACATTCCCTGGATAATTTTGATAAAGATAACCCATAGGTTGTTGAGGAAATCCCGCTGGGTTTTGTGGAAATCCTGCTGGATTTTGAGGAACTTGTCCAGTATATCCAATAGGAGCTTGACCTGTAAACCCAGAAGGAAGTGCTGGCATTGGTGTAGGTTGTAAATTAACATTATTTTTGCGAGCTTGAGATGCAAGTAATCGTTCTGCTTGGTCACCATGACGTTCACCTTTTCCATCCTTCTTAAAAGCATAACCAACAGTAATAGACTTGTTCATAAGAAATTGATTATTCATTCCTTCTATAGCTGCATCCGCTGCTTCAAATGAATCAAAAGAAATAAAGCCAAAACATTTAGATTGTCCACTATCATCACGTGCAATCTATTGATTAATAAATAAAATACATAGCACTTAACCCTTACCTTCGGTGGTGCTACTAACATTCCAAAGATACTAAAAGTATCATAAAGGACCTTTTCATTGACTAAAGGATCCAGATTTCCAACAAATAATTCTGCTCCTATTTCAATAGTATTTTTTTTATCTGCACTTGCCTTTTATATTCATCAATTATTTTACATTAATTTTAATCAAAAATAATACTTTATTTACACGTATAGGTTTTCCATAAAGCTTAATTTGATTCATAATACGGCATGCATATTCCGCATCTTCTATCGTTAAAAACTCACAAAATCCAAAACCTTGATGCGTCTGACTAACCCTATCCTAAATCTTATTAATTTGATGTCATTTCCTATGTATAAAGTGCGAATATTTACTTTTGGTAAATGGACATTAACAACTGGTCCGCATTGGAGAAAAAGCTCCCATAAAATCGCATCTGTGGTTCTCTCGTCCAAATTACCAACTAGATACGTATAAATATATTATTTTATAGTCTTTTAAGCAGGTTTATTTCACCATATATTGTAGCTTCTTGATTACGCTCATCTGTCTTATTAGTGGCCATTTTTTGGTCGTTTAAAGCCGGAAAAAAACCCAGAAAAAGATAATTTTACTTAGAAAAACATAAAAATATTAAAATAATGCTATAAAATGGTTAATTCTGCCGTTTTTTTCTTATAATTTAGTCAATAATTTATTTATAATTTTTTTTGACGTTGAAAGGTCTGTCGCTGAGATTTATTAGAAAATTATGGGTATATTTGTTGAGTGGAGTAGATATGAAGAGAATTAAATGGAAATATATGAATTATTTAATATTTTAATAAGTTATTGTTATATTTGATATTTTATGTATTTTTTTTATTTTTTTTTTCTTTTTTTATTGGATAAAAATATAATAATTTATATTTAATTTTGTTAAAAGATAATAGTTAAATAGAAGTATTGTATTTTTATTTAGTATTAGTGTATTCTGGATAGTTTTTATGAATGAATGATGAATATTTTAAGAAAAAGATATTTTGCGTAGATATTTATAATGAAATTAGAATTTTTAGTGATAGTTTAGAAAAATAAAGTCAATGGATAAATTATGATTTACATGTATTAATTTCTTTGTTATTATGTGGATTTTTGTTGTAATTATGTTTTTTATTTTAAATATTTTTATATTTTTTGTTTTTTAATGAATTGGTAGTAAAATATTTAAGGTTATGTTTTTATGGTTTTGTTTAAAATTCTTTAATTTTTATTGGGATTTATATATTTTTTAAATATAAAGAAATTTATTGTATTATTTTTTCTTGAATTTTTTAAATAGTTAATATATTACACTTTATATTGTGGAAGTTTATATAAAATCATGAATAATCTATAGATTCAATAGAGTAGAGTATATAGAGTAGAGTATATAAAGTAGAGTATATAAATTATATAGATTCTATAGACTATATACAATTTATAGACTATATTAATCTAATTCATCCTACTGCTTCATATTCATCCTGCTGCTACACATTTTTCCTACTACTATAAAACGTTTATAAAGCTTCTCTTTATCTTGATTTCTAAATAATAAAATCTAACTCTACATCTTTATATACCTTAAAATTTATTTTTATTCTTCTTTATTAACACAAATAATAAATAATATAAATAATATAAATAATAAATAATATAAATAATAAATAATAAATTATAATTAACTTCTTTCATTCAATAAATTTCTTTATCCTTTCATTTATCTTCTTAATTATCATTGATTGATTAATTTTTCATCCAATCATCAAATAAATCTTGTAAAATATATAAATCATCTATTACTTATCTAAAAAAAAAAATAAAAATAACCCATAATTTAGACTTAAATTCTACTAATAATACATCTAATAACTTTATAATAAAAAAACAATAAATATACTATCAAAATACTAAACAAAACTTTTATTAAATCTTAAAAAATACATCTACATAAAATAAATAAAATAACCCATAATATTTCTGTTTGTTTGATAATCTAATCATATTTTTCTCTTTTACCTGTTTTATACTATCTTAACTTATATATCGTTGCGATCTCCCGTAAACCATCTGGCTTAAGCTATGGCAGATCTTTTGATAGGTCCTATTCGTGAGGGAAACCGTGGAGGTCATGGCCTTTTCCGCTGGGAAAATGTTAAAGAAGATAAATACCGTGAAAACTATTTGGGTCATTCACTTCGTGCACCAGTTGGACGTTGGCAGAAGGGTCGGGATCTTACTTGGTATACAAAAAATAAAAAAGAAGCTCCTACACCTTCTTTATCTGCCAGAGATGAAGAAATAAGGCTAATAAAACAAGCGGAAAAAGATGCACTTGCAGAAGCATTGTAAAACTATGTTTATTTATATCAGATATTCTGATTATTTAATAGAGGGTTTAAGGTTGAGAAAAATACTGAATCAAATGAAATATCACAAGATATTGCGAATGCAATACAGCGTACAGAGAGAGAATATGAAGATAGTGTGGTAGACGCTGCTATTAAGGCGGCAGATACCGTCCAAGGGATTGGGTTTCAAACGTATATATAGAGAAGTTTTATATTTCACGTGACAGTCACGTGACTGATAGAATAGGACGACTAGACATCATATAGAACAGAGGAAAGAGAAGCAAAATGTATTAGATACAAGAAGACGTAAGCAAAATGAACATTTATATATGACTCGCCGAGAAGAAATATCGGAATTACCGGGAAGACGAAGAAATTATGAAGATAATATAAGATCACGTCATCAATCTCGATATCGTAGTCGTTCTCCATGCCGAGATCGTAGTCGTTATAGTGGACGTAATCGACGTAATTAGGAAAAATCGATTGGTACAGGTATTCTTGTTTCGGTACAAATATAAGCACTGGGTATGATTTTTATGATTTGATTTTTTGGTAAATTTAGAAATGGAATTTCCTGTATAAATATAAGAAATGACAAAATTGAAGAATGTTTTACGTCAGTTGCGGTATTCATAAAATAAGCGTATAAAAGTTTAATAACACTAATGTGTGCAATGATGAGAATATCGTTACTTTCTTTCTCAATTTCGAAAATAACAGGTTCAAGTCGATGTCTTAAATCATGCATACTCTATAAGAATCGGTTTATGCAATATAATATATATGTATATACTTCACCACGAGGAAAACGATGAGTGTATGGATTTTCTTGATAACATCGAATTTCTAAAGGATATTTTTCTTTTATTTCCTCTAGTGTCATATCTTCAACCATACCCAAATTAATTTGTCGCAATTGTGGTCGTTGGTATATCATATATCCATTATTTCGCAAAAGATCTGCAATATAACATATTTTATCATCAATGGGCGTCCAGATCTACAAGGTTTAGTCAGAATTTATGGATATAATAATTTAACCATTAAATCTTTTATTCCTTTGCTTTTATCAGAAATTAACTGGTTTTGAGATGTTTCTCGATGTTTTAATAATATATTTACAAGTGCTGTTGCATACTCGTATTTTTTTTGATCTGAAAAATCGTCTTTTTTGAAATTAGAATCATTTAAAGAATTGCAAGCCTTGTTTTATTTAGTTTAAAAGAAATATTATATCAATATTACCCTAGCAAAATAGATAACTCTTGGCTTTATATGTAAATTCATCAAATAAAATATGATTCGTGACTAAAATATTGTGAATGCAACGTATTTGAATTACTTTATTTACATGTAAATACCCAATATTTGCATTATTGATTATCAGTTTTTGGTTTATATTTATGATCTATATATATATATATTATTAAATGTTATAAAATAAATGATATTTACTTTAATATAACTTAAATCATGTTCCACAATTGTTTCATAAAATGGTATTTTGTTGTTAATACGTTGAAGATAATCTTTAACTGCATCATCTGGTTTCCATCCAGCATACTTAAAATTAATAAGAAAAAATATATAATAAAAGAATTATTACATCTGGTGATGATATTTTTAAATTCCTAACATTTTCCTCAATTATATCTGGATCATCACACAGTGATTCTATAAAAAGTGGCTAATTTACTTTTATTAATAATCATTAATATAAAATATACATACTTGAATATTTTTTTCTGTAAAAAAAGCAGCTAATCCTCGGCGATCTGAGATTCTAAGATTAACTGCATCATAAATAGCAATTTGTCCCCCTTCTGAATCAAAAAACTTCATTATATCTAATTTGCAACATGAAAGCACTGAATTACGAAATTCTTTAGTTTTTTCAGATGCTAATTAAGATCAATTACTTCCAAATACTTCTTTATACAATTATACGGTTTATATGGAAATAATCTTCTGGTAAAACCTCTCCTTTCTTCAAATTTTTTCGTCTATAGTCTCCCAAATGAAAAACTTGAGTTTTCACCCCAAGCCTGATCATTTAAGTCCCATTTAAACATAAAATATAATATATCCATTCAATACCATCTTAAATATCTACAAATTGATACTGAAAGATGTGTTTTTCCACGAGCTGGAAGTCCAACTATAAAAAATACTAAATTTCTTCATTATATCTAACAATTATATATTCTACCCATAACAATTGCTATTTTTCCTCCATGAAAGAATCTTAAATATAACAATTAGCTTAGTTTCTTTTAAAAGTCTTTGATTTATCATTGGATCATTCTTACTTCTCTGTTTGTGCTATATATGATGGCACTGCAACTCCAAATTCCATATTTTTACTCATTTCCTTTAATTTTATACACCCAAACTACTCTACTTCCTTAAAATAAATAGAATTCTTCTTATATTTACTCATATTACTTCTACTAAAGGATTTTATAATTATTAATTATCTAAAAATCTATTTTTTATTAAAATTCCTGGGAAAAAAAACATTTCTATATATACATTCTTTATTAAACTATTTTTTCAATATAATTATTGAAAATTGTTCTATTTCTATGATTTTTTTTAAATAATCTCTTGAATTATTATTATAGGTTGGTTATGATAAATATCCTACGTTATCTTCGACCTTAAAAATTAATATTTAAACGTAAGAAAATATAATAAGAAGGGCCTTTCTGGCCCTTTAACAGCATTATAAAGGATTAAATAACATCTTAAGGCTTATAATATAAATATTTTTTAGGAAAAAAAAGCGGTTAAAAATAAGCTATTTTAACTAAGTTAATTAAAATTATTTAAAAATGGAAGAAAAAAGCTGGTATAGCCCTCTTCTCCCAATTGCAGAGTATATTAGAAGTAATTTTAATGCTTTTCGTGATATCCGTGCATCTTTGGGTCTTTCTAGCCCGGGAACAGTTGAATATTTGTCAAAAGAAGTTCAACAAGATGTATTATTAACTCGGATGATGTTTAGTGGAGCAAGAGCAGATTTAGGAAAAGTATTTTCATGTAAAGATAATGGTACATTTCAAATTACACATTCATTTTTCATGGGAACACAACTTTTTCCTCCATATAGTTTTGGAACCGTTTTTGGGACGAAAAAAGTAATTTATGATATTTATACATAACTATTTATGCTGAGGATGATGTTAGTTTACTGCTACGGGAAATATGGATTCAGATGGACAATTGTCGATGAGATTAAATTATCAGTGGACACCTAGTATGGCGTCTAAGATTCAGATGCAGGTAAAAAACATGTATAGATGATGGATAATACTTACAAAATAGTTAACACCTATTTCAGGACAATCAGTTGCTCAATTTGAGCATGATTATCAGGGTCCAGATACAAGTATTAATGTAAAATATATGAATCCGTCATTTTTAGATAGCGGATTAACAGGGATTATTGTTGCTAATTTTCTTCAAACAATTACACCAAAATTGGCATTGGGTATTGAATGTGTTCTTCAGAAACCTCCTATGGCAGCAGGACCTGAAGATGCTATGTTAAGTTATGTTGGACGTTATGTTGAAAAAGATTGGATCGCAACAGCACAAATAGCAACTCAGGGTATTTATTCTTTTACTTATTGGCGACGATTATCACCAAAAGTTCAAGTGGGAACTGAATGTCAACTTGTAACTGCATCACCTGATATGACACCTCTCGGTGTTAAAAAAGAAGGGATTACTGCAATTGGTGCAAAATATGAATTTATGAATAGTGTTTTTCGTGGACAAATAGATACAACAGGTAAAGTTTCTTGTTTATTAGAAAGGCGTTTGGCAAATACATTAATGTTTACATTTTCTGGAGAGCTCGACCATTCTAAAAGTTCTATTAATGTGGGTGTAGGCATTACGCTTGAAAATAATAATAATCGTGATGAATAAAAAAGAAAATTTTGATTTATTTAATAGATTTATGCATTTTTTTAAAAAAAAGTTACAAAGGCTATATATCTAAGTTGTAGCTCTCCCAAGTCTTCTGTAATACATAACCCTAACCCTTACATCATCCCTAACCTGATGTTAACCCTAACCCTGACGTTAACCCTCGACATACATCTAACCCTACTCGTACATACATGTTTGCCCCTAACCCCAAACACAACCCTAACCCTGAATTCGCCTAACTCTGAACTTACAAGGGTTACCCCGGTCAACCCTAACCCTCTACTTACAAGGGTAAACATAACCCCAACCCTAACCTATACCCTATATCCTAACCAACGTACACTATACCCTATATTCAACGACCTACACCCTAACCTATACCCTACTCCATCCTAACCCCGACCCAACCCTACACCAACCCTACACCAACCCTACTTCCCATCCCCTCTTGTTTTTAGGGTTTAGGTCTAAACCCTCAGGCGGGTCAGCGGTTGGTCGTTAAGAAAAGTAAAAACCACGGTTAACCAAACAAATTAACAAATACTCGATGGTCTAAAGAGATAAGATAATCGTCCTTTTATTACGAAAATTAGATTCTATTACTTATAAGATCTAAATTGAATTTAATAAGGCGCTTAAAAGGATCAAAATATTAAAAAATCCGTGTAAAATTACTTGGTAATAGTTTTTGGCAATAGAAATTATAAGGGCAAAAAATAAAGAGTTTTTAATAAGGAAAATACTTATAAGAACATCTTAGATTTTGAGGTTATTGAGGAGAAGGGATAGGGGTTGGTTTAGTAAAAAATACAAGTGCATATATGACGCGCATATAGTCTGGTATACAAGTGTGTATATAGTTAGTGCATACAGCTCGATATATATACAGCATATATTGGTTCTGCATATATAATTTAAGGATTTTTATATATTTTTATAAGGCATATACTGGATATTGGATACAAATAAGTTTTGGTGCATATATAACGTATAAAGTTTGATTCAGTTAATATACATAATTTGGTATATTTGAGGCCGTGATTCCTGTGTAATATACCTATAGTTTTCAGCATATTGAATTTGGTGTGCTAATTATATTTAAATTGAAAAAAGACGAATCATATAATATATACAAGGTATATATATAGGTGCAAAATATAGATTAATTGGAGGGAAACTCTATCTATATATAAGCAGTACGGGGTTTCTTTTTTATACGTAAGTACGCATTATAATAATTGAGAGATGTATATTAATGAAAATTTTGTTTAAAGTTTGTTTAGACTTGATTATGTGTGAAGGATTGCAAGGATTAACATTTAGTAAGATATATATTAATTGGTAGATAATGAAGTGTCAGAAGGGGATAATGAGGTATTAAGAGGGTATATAATGATTATTAGAGGGTTATTTTATATTATGAAATTTTATGATATGAAATTTAATAATTATTTAATTTAATAATTATTAATGAAAATGACAATTGGATTATTGGATGAGGATAAGAGAAAGGAATTAATGACGCTTTATTTTCTATCAATTGAATTAATTAAACTTTTTTTAATATGTATTAGATCCTTTTAAAATTATTAAACAAGAGAATGTTCATTATCCACGAGATGGAAAAGTACGAGAACTTAACTATACATCGTGCAAAATTGTAGGAAGTGGTTCTTTTGGTGTTGTTTTTCAAACACGCCTAATTGATACAAATGAAGATGCAGCTATTAAGCGTGTATTGCAAGATAAACGATTTAAAGTAAATAAAATAATTGTTAGAGAGATAATTTTTCATTTTTTTTATAGAATCGTGAACTTCAAATTATGCGTTTAATTCGTCATCCTAATATTGTTGATCTTAAGGCATTTTTTTATTCGAATGGTGAACGTGTATGGAATCTTTTTTTCTAGATTAGGTATTAATGAAGAGGTATATTAGAAAGACGAAATTTATCTTAATCTTGTTCTTGAATACATTCCAGAAACAGTATATCGTGTGTCTCGGAATTATGCTAAGAAAAAACAGACAATGCCTCTTTTTGATATTAAGCTTTATATTTACCAGCTTTTTCGTTCTCTAGCATATATACATTCTCAAGATATTTGTCATCGTGATATTAAACCGCAGAATCTTTTACTTAATCCTGCTATAGGTGTTCTTAAACTTTGTGATTTTGGTTCAGCTAAAGTTCTTGTTGCTGGAAAACCTAATGTTTCATACATATGCTCTCGCTATTATCGAGCACCCGAACTTATTTTTGGTGCAACAAATTATACTACTAAAATAGGTTTTTTTATTTTTATTTTTTTTTTTTCTTTCATAAATATATTAATATATTTTTTAGATATTTGGTCTACTGGATGTGTTCTTGCAGAACTTATGCTTGGTCAACCTATTTTTCCTGGTGAATCGGGTATTGATCAACTTGTTGAGATTATTAAGGTGTTGGGTACACCAACACGTGAACAAATTAAAACAATGAATCCCAATTATATGGAGCATAAATTTCCACAAATCAAATCTCGTCCTTTTAATAGAGTATTTATTATCTATTTTTTATTTCTATACTTAATTATATTTAGATATTTCGGCGAGAAACACCTAATGATGCTATTGATTTGGTTTCTCATCTCTTAGAATATATACCAGGTTCTAGGTTTTCCGCTATTGAGGCTTTAGCCCATCCCTTTTTTGATGAATTAAGGGATCCTAATATATCTTTACCCGATCCTTCTTCTGATGATGCTTCCATGGTGATCCAAAAGTTACCTTCTCTTTTTGATTTTACTGAGCATGGTATGATTTTTTATTTCTTAAAACTTTTCTTATACTTTTCTATAGAGTTGTCTATCCGCCCTGATTTGATTGAAAAATTAGTTCCTCCACATGTAGTTCCTGAACTTAATGCAAGAGGCATTGATATTTATAATTTTCAGCCAATATCATTAGAAAAAACACGAATAAAATTGGATTAGCAAGTAATATGTAAGAATATTTAGGCACGCTATAAATGATGCAAATTTGTATCTTTAAAATCTTTTTTAATGATTAATATATGTATAAGCTTTTTGATATATGTCGCATAGAATATTGTACACTTTTTAGTATGCTGGATATTTAGATAATATTTATTAATATTATCTATGAGCATGGTAAAATACAAATTTTAATTCTTTTTTTATACACTGCTATTAAAAACTATAATAATGTTATTTAAAATCTTAAATTAATACAGGCATTAATTATTTTAGTTTATAATCGTAGAATTATATTATTGATATCTTTATTACTACATGTTAGTTTAATGTAAGATTATAATGATATTGATTGTTTTCATGATTTATTGCTGCCCAAAGAATAATTGTGCTAAATTGTTTATATAAATATATTTATAGATCGAAATTACCTTAATGCTATTAAGGAATTTGCAACTGCATTTTCAATTCCAAGACATGTTATTTCGATCGGATAATTGTGTAAAAGGTATTTAATAATAAGTAGCGTCTTCATTCATTAGCAATTAAAATTATACAGCGGATTTTACAAAAGATCCTGCAACTCCACTCGCTAAAAGCGAAAATCCAAGAAATAATAACAATCTCGCCTTCCACACAATATTATATCTAGTATATGTAAATGAATTCGATATAAGCCTATCCTTGTCTATCGAATTAATCCTATCCTCCAATTCAGAGATTTTTTTATTTTTTTTTTCACCAATGTCTTACATAAACATTCCAATTGTAGACAAAATACATGGAATCCAATCAACAAGGCTTATATAGACTTTTTCTGTATTTTTAATATTGCTATAAAGCACCGAATCAACAAAAAACCACCATCCCAAAGAAAACTACATAAATATATAAATATAATTGTTCCGATCAATAATTTATAAATAATAACCATCATTCCAGATATATATATTCCCGTATCTTTCATATATATATTTGGGAAAAAAAAAAGGCCCATTATATCAATATTTAACCGTTTTTTTTCGAAAAAAAAAAGATCCTATACAAAAATTAGACGTAGATTCTAATTTTACTATGAAATAATGCTTAAACCTCTTAAATCTTCTCCTAAAAGCTTCTTCAAATACTAGATTATTTCTTATATTTTTTTTGGTAGTTAGATGTTACCATAGTAACCCTATTTGTCGTCATAGTAACCCCTTTAGTTGCTATGACAACGATTGTTATCGTAACCATAGCAACACGTCCTGTCGCTATGGCAACTGATACCGTCGCCACAGCAACCTTCCTCAACCAACCTCCAATATTAAAATGCAGGAAAATGAAGCACCAAAACCTGAAGAAACTGACCCAAATTCCTTCAGAAAAGCCGTTGAAATCGTCTTTAATGAAGTATATTCCAGTGTTGTCCCTGAAAAATCGATTGAAAGCCAAAATTTGATGAAGTTTGAGGAGAAATTCCAAAAAGCAATGCAGCAGATGACAGCAGCTAAGACCGAGCCTAGTCCTGTATATGAGCCATATTTGCAGGAAAATATAGTTGATAAAGAGTTATTAAAGAGCCAGAGTGGTTTATTGAGGGTTAGGGGTCGTCCAGCCCAGCGACGATCACATAATCCAGAAAACAAGAAAGGATTAGGATTGAAGGGATTTAAGGTAGATGGCCGACGAACTAAGTCTAAAATGATTGGAGGCGCTATTTTGCCTCGAGCGAATATTTATATGCCAAAGAGAAGATCTAGATCTGGAAGAAATCAGAATAAATCATATATAAATGGCAAAAGTTTTTTATCATTACCTATTATTCCAGATGTTACAGAAGTGATTGTTAATAAGCGCCGAAAAAGCAGTGGTTCGATGTATAGAACGTCTCGTAGAATTAATTTAGATTATTTATGGATGATGCATTGGAAATTGAAGAGTCGGAAAAAAGTGCCTAAAAAATACTCAACAAGAGATATATTATTTAGAATGTTGTCAAAATGGCGAAAATCGCAAGACAAAGGATAATTTTGTGTATAATTATTGTTGATGAATACCATACTTTTTGGAGGGGAGAAAGATTTCAAATGTGTATATTGAAAATAACGAGTATGTGATGCATATGTCGAGAAAAATGTACTTTGTTATATGCCATAGATGATTCTAGTATTTTTCGGATAAAATGTTAACGATCAGACTAGTCCATCCTGTAAATCCTTTTGTTCGTTGACCGGATCCTGACGCGTGGTTATATTGTTCCCATGCGAAATTGGTACGTTTCCATTCATGGAAAACTGTATTAATTATATTTATTCTTAGTTCATGATAAATTTTTTTTGCTTTTTCTTGATAAGGACCAGGTGTATTAATATAATTCTAATGGTTATTTCAGTAAAGAATTAAATAAATCATAATCTTACTTTATACAAACTTTGAAGAGTCATATAATTGATATTTACCCAAATAGGACCTCTCCAATAATTTTCGTCTTTTTCAAAGTATGGATTTTTGGTTGAAAGACTTCTAAGTCCATAGGAAGACCATAAATGATCAGGTGAATAGATTATATCTAACAATTTATCAAAATGCAGTGATGATGCTGACAAAAGACCCGTCAAAAGAGGGAAAATGGTAACATAACCGATATGACATACATGAATACTTGAATCTAATGAAATTAGTTATTAAATAATTAATTTTTGAAAACAATTACGTTTTTCATCTATTGTACAATCACAATATGCATTATGTTGGTCACTCCAATGTAAATCTATTTTATTAAAGTTAGAAAAATATAGATTTTTCTTTACCATCAATATTTTTAATAATTGCATCTTCAATTGATATATACTTTTCAACATCTTCTTGGTAACCAATTTTTTCAGCAATCATTCTAAGTCCCTTAGTAAAAAGTCCCATCCATGATAACAAATCTAAATGTAATTCTCCATTATGCGGGTATGCTCTTGGATAATCATCTAATCCACTTGTAAAACAATGTTGAGGAGTACATCCTCGCCATCGATAGCCTTCATTCGGTGAAAATGCAGTTCTGTTCCACTCCTCTATTTCCCCTTGTTGGGTTCTTCTAAACCAATTATATTGACGAGAAATAAGTGGATAAATTTCTTTTAAATAATCAATAGCCAATTCTGGATATTTTATATATTTAGAATAGATATTCTCATCTTTGTTGTCTATAGAATTGTTAGTTCTAGAACTATGAGATTTGAATTAGAATTGACCTTGATCTATTCAAGTTAATAATGAAAATGTTAATAAAATACTAACCAGTTTCATTTTTATTATTCTGTTCAAGTTTTTCAAGGAAAGAAATAATAGGTAAAATAAGTGTTGGTGGATTGGCAAAATAAGAATGTTGAATTATGAATTCTTTGGGAACTTTACTTCTAGCTTCGTCTCCAAGTATTTGTTCTCTTGCAATCCATCCATCATCATCTATTAAAGAGAACCAACTCTTTATTATTTCAAGACTAATTACTATTTACTAATAGTATCAATATATTGTTTATAAAGTACCTTAAATCATTATCCCAATGTCCAATTAGTAAAAGATGAAATCCTTCATCCCAATAAAAACCTCTTGGAAAAAAAGACCTATTAGGTGTAGCTGTAAACAATGAAAACGGTCCTTGTATATCCAGAGAAGCCTCTTGTTCATATTCTTTAAGAATTTCTTGATATACATAAGTATATGTTTTATCTACAATAGAATCTCCATAAAAATATCCAATATTCCCCAAGAGATTTGAAAGAAGACTCTGTGCAAATTCTATGTATTTATATGAATTAAATGGTTCTTTAAAAGGAAATATTTTCATAAATCTCTCCTTGAATAATTTTGAATTAGATATAATCTCATTCTCAAGTTGATGACCTATGATAATTAGTAATATACAAGATTCTACAACATCTATACTAGTCATTGGATCATCTGTTGAGGAATATAATATATCAAACTATTTTAAATTATTGAAATAGAAAGATTTTACTAAAATATACTTCAAAAGGTCCTTGAAATACTTTTTGAATAAGATGAAAATTCCCTTCCCCATCTATATTTGGTAATGTATAGTAAAGAGCTGCTGGAGGAATATCTTCTTCATATTTTTTATAATAGTCTTTTGCTGTTATCAGTAAAACTGAATATAATATATCTTAACGTTTCTGTTACTTTTTATAAATCCAATGCTTGTATAATAATACCTTTTGCCATCCATATCTTGTTCTTTGGAACTTCCATACTATGATACATAAATTTGTCAAGATATTTTTCATTTTTTGCAGTATGGCTAAATAATGGATATGCATTTGTACTAGGTCCTTGTGTAATTTCAATGTTTTTCTTTTTTGATGTCTTATTTATAAAAACTGCGTTTCCCTCAACTCCCTGAACTATATTAATATGTAAAATTAATTAGTTTATATATTACTTTTTTCCCAAGTTTAGAGATCAATTTTAATTCATTCTTATATGATGCTATATAAAAAAATATAGATATTTTGTTATCAACTGTTCCAAATGTAAATAAATATATGTTTCTCTTAGAAATAATACCATTTCTAGGCTTTCCCTTAACACGTAAACCCCAATTCCCATCTATTATACAATTAAATCCTTTTTTTTCACATAAAACAAAATACTATGTTTTTCTGTATATATTTTTGCAAATTCCATCTCAATATCAACATTCATTTCATCATCCTTTATAATTTGACGTCCACCTTTCCTTACATCAAATTCTTCCCATCCATACATCTTTATATTATCATTTTGTTCACACGTATGTCTCATTTCTAAACAAAAAAAATACACCATCAGTCTAACCCCTCTTCTCCCATTCTGTATCCTCAATTTCACCTTTGATTTGTGTATAATTATCCACTCCTGTCCACATTATTCCCATTAACATCCCCTCTGGATCTCGACTTCGAATCCCCATATAAAGATTTGGCCTATATGGTCCCCAAAAAAGAGAGGCACTTTCTGCCATCTCTACCTTCTCAGATAGGTACTCTAATCCTTTTGTTTGTGTATAAATTGTACCCATTTTCTTAACCAATAATATTATAAATATAAGTTTTTCACTAAATTTCATTCTTCTCCATAAAAATGCCTACACGAAAGGCATATTCTCCTCTAAATAGACCTGTTTTGTTGGTTTTTCTTGGATATTTTTTTAAAAAAAACTTGTCCATAACTCCCATATATATTCTATCTTCTGGTGGTCACGTGATCTATAAAGAATAAGATATATGAATAAACATATAAAAGACGAAAATATGTGTAAAACCTGTTGTAAATGACTTACCAGAAGTTATTTTTTGTTATTTTTGTTTTTTTTGAAGAGACATCATTTTTACTTTATACCAGTAAAGCAGCAGGTTTTGCCAAGAATTTCAGTATAATTTAGTATTAAAGATGGATCTTTATTGCTTAAGACCATATTGAAGCCGTGGAGTTTGATAGGGTTGTGTTAATCGGCTTTTGAAGAAATGAGTAGAAAATATAGTTCAAGAGATGACCAAAGACGAGATAGAAGCCCATCGGGTACAAGGAGATCAAGGTCAAGATCGCCCTATAATGAGTCTAGACATGCCCGTTTAAAGGACAGGTCTTATGAAAGTATGAGGAATATATATATATATGTATTGGACTAGTGTTGATGGGCTTTTTAACAAGGAAAAAGAAGTAGAGAACGATATTCTAGTCGTAGTGGACGAGACCATACAGGATCATATCGCCCAGACAATGATCCATATGTGCGTAGACGTAGTGTTTCACCTGTGGGGAGACATAGTGTATCGCCACAAGGATATAAAAATGCAAACCGATCATCAGAATTGAAGGGTTTGGCATATTTTTTCCTTATCTCTTATTAAATTTTTTGATTCAGATGAATCAGTATCATCAAAGCATATGAAATCGGATATTAAAGCACTGAATAACCTTAAAGAAGATGATATCGATAATGAGACATCACAAATGGAAGCTATGCTTGGATTCTCTGGGTTTAAGAGTACTCATCAGCAAAAAATTGAAGGTAATGATGTTGGTAGTGTATATAAAGTTAAACCGACAAAATACCGACAATATATGAATAGAAGAGGGTAAATTGAAGCTAGTATTTTGATCTGATCAGTTAAAAATATGTTTTAGAGGATTCAATAGACCATTAGATACTGATAATCCTAAGCGATAATATTGGAGTAAAAATATTTTGTGCTGATCTGTTTTATAATTATTAATGCATAAAATGTTTCTTATTGTGTATCAGTTAGGTTGTTTTTTTGCTTTTATATAGTATATATTTGATATTGTTTAAATATTGAAAATTGTTTTTTGTGATATTATTTAAATTGATTAGGAAATGAGTAATTGTGATAATTATAAAAACGTATTAATGAGCGAAGTGCATATTCCTTATTTTGTTAATTTTTTAAATGTATAGATCAAAGACAAACCAAAGATTCTTCTGTATTTGTGTCTACTTCAACGCTTGAAACCCAATCGTCTTGAAGTTCTGGTCTACAATGAAGATATATAGATGTTATTATTTTCATGTTATCTTTTATGATTAGAGTGAATTAAGATAAAATTTATGTTGTATACTTTGTTTCCATTTTTTATTATAATATGGAATCTGTCCTTTTAATATTTTTAATGTATAAAGTTGTACAATATCATTTCTTATTTTAGTTATTTTTTGAAGATGAATCCATGTTTTTTTTTGAATCAGCATCAAATTCCTGTATGTTTTCTTTTTTGTAATCTTCTGAATGATTCTAAGATGATTAACTAAAGAAAACAAGTTTCTCCAAGAAAATTGAGTAATTATATTATTATCAGTCTCTTTATTTTCTGAATTATTTACTTTATTATCCTTTGAAAAATCATATATTATTTCTGAACATTTGTTTGAATTCATTGATTGCATATTACATGTATTAAAATAGCTTTAATAATTAATATTATAATTTATCTTATATAAAGCAATTACCTTAAATAAGGAATTTCTGAAATGTGTGAAATTGAATCTACCAGATCATATATAGAACATAGTTTATTAAATATATCAATGTAACCAGAATCTAATATCAATTGAGAAAGAAATTCAAATTTTAAAACATCTTTTCACATAAATTAATGTAAAACATAATTCTATAACTTACGACTTAATTTAAATGACTTTAAAAGAAGTAACAACGTTGAGGATATTGATTTTGATGCTATTTCTCTCTTTCTTATATTTAGAATCTTTTCTGGAGGAAAAAAGTCGAAGTTATTATCTTCTTTTTTACTTTCTTTTTTCAATTATGTTAATTATTACTAATAATCTTAAATTTCACAAACCTTCTGTATATTTTTTTGCACAATTTTGTTCATCATCTATTAAAAGGTTTAAAAATTTCATCAATACATATATAAAAGATTCTAAATGTGAAACCAATGATGCCTAAAATCTTAGAAATTATATTATATAAAACGTTTACTTACATATACAGTCTCAATTGCATTTAACCGAGAATCATGCAATGGATCTTTTTGTATATCTAATGATGGAGATTCTTCAATTGAATTTAAATTATCTTTAATCCATCCTCTTTCAAATTTCATAAATTTATCTGTTTCCTTCCATAATTGTATTGTAGATAAATCAAGATGAGTCTTGCTTTTAAACAATTCGCTAGCTTCTTTAATACTTGTGGGTATTTCCAGATCAAAAGAATCAGAAAGTGGAAGTAAAAAAGGTAAATTTTGATTTTTTTTGAGTACTGATTGCTTTGTTTTAGGTGAAAAATGTGGTGAAGGTAATGGTGTGACATAGTTTTCTGTAACAGAAGGATCAGTGTCCTTGTGTATATCTTTAACTGCAGTTTCTTCCTTATGTATAGGAAGTAATGTAGTATATTCTAGATCAATATTTAATAATGTTGAAGGAGGATCATATGTTGGATATTTTGAAATAATATTTTGTCTGAATATATGATAATCAAGAGGTGTTGCTATAATTTCCTTCTTATTGATTTCTGGTGGTAATCCTGATAACATTCTAAGATATCGTTTTAAATTCAAGAAATCATCTGTATTTCCAAATACACAAAGTATAAGTTTCTTAAGAATCTGAATTGTCTATTATAATATATTAAATAGTTCTACCAATTTCACTTAGAATATACCTGAATAATAGGAAAATATAATCTCCATATATCAAGATTAACTTTTAAATTTGCAATTTCTTCAATTATCCATGATATTATAGGTGGTGAAAGATCAACTAAAAATTTCAATATAAAACCTAGATCTAATTAAAAATCTTACCAACATTTTTACGAAATTCTAAATCAGAATAAAATGTTTCAAGAAGAAAATAAAATGATGTCATTTTACAGCTCAATTCAACCTTTAACATTGTTATATTATCCAATTCAAATGTATTGATCTTCTCATGAATCTTCGGTCTAATTTTTAAATTAATTAAACAAATAAACTTCAATATCATACTTATATGTATTTAATAAATTAACACTTTTTTGTATAGAATTATATAATATTTTAAGAGCATCACATTCTTTTAAAATCTTATTGTTTTCATGTATCCAGTATATTTGATCTTGCTTATCTTTTATTTCTCCATAATTTCCTACTTCTTAAAAAAAAATTAAAAATATTATTAAAATAAAACCTTGTGAAATATAAAATAAAATAAAACATGATTTCGTTCTTATTCTAGCATCTTCTGAATCTAATTCCTTCAATTCTTCACAAATAAATCTTTTTTTTTCCTTAATTTTGCTATTCATCCATTCTAAAACAATTAACCCATTTAAACCATTTTTCACCAACTTTTTAAAAAAAATGCCTCAAAAATCTTTTTTCCTTGTATAATACCAACTTCATCATAATCATACCATTCTTCAAGCTCTTTTTCCTTATCATCTACTTCCTTATATTCGAAATCATATTTCACCGTCTGATCCCCTTTTAATCCCCTTCAAAATGAAATTCTTATACCTTCTCCTCTTGAACATTTGATATAATCTTCTTTAGCTCAACTAATGTCAATGAATCTCTTGGTAATTCGTTTTTTCCTTCTTCTTCTTCTCCCTCATTCTCCGCCATTTCTGGCTCATTTTCTTCAAAAAAAACCATCAAATTGTTCAGATTTTAAATACAAATATCATGAAATAATTTTTATCCCTTTAAAACCATTAAATTCCTCTGTTTTTTCATATTTTTTCTTACCTAAATCCCTTATATTTTTTTTTGACGTTGGCGTTGCTATGCTAATCTCGAAAAATTATATGTGTTGCCCTTGGCAACCTCGACGTGTTGCTATGCAAGATTCCCTTCCCACCAACCTCTACTAACAAATTGTAGGTAATATGGATATTTAAAAATAAAAGAAAAGGAATATTAATAAAAGAAATGGAATCATTAGATTTTTCTATGAAGATTTGTAGAAGAATTGGTCTTTCAGGAGTAAAATATTGGAGATGTGGTTTAGTTTCAGTCAGCTTGAAAAATGTTTTTGTGGGTTATTTTCCTAGAAAAACTATTTAAACCCATCAAAATGACTTTTTTAAGGAGTGGATGATGCCATACGTGTGTATGAAAAGTCATATTCAGAGGGCTTAGTTGAAAATTTATTCCGGGAGCTTAAATGTCAAATAGAACCACAGTCAGTTATTCGTGGAGAAATAGACATTATGACGCCTCTATCATTTAATTCTATTAAGGTAGGATATATTGGTGATGAGGAGGTTCTTGTTTGCTGCACGGATTCTGGGTTTGTTAATGTATGGTTTACGGAAGATTTATTACGACCACCTTTGATCTTTAATACTGGAAGAAGTGCATGGGGAATTGCTATACACCCATCTAAAAGGCTTTTAGCAATAAGTTCTAATTCTCATTATATTTCTTTATGGAATCTTGGAGTTTTAAATCCATTTAAAGAATGGAATACAGATAATGTTGAATGGCCTCATAAGTTTTATGGCCATAACGATAATATACCAAGTATTTGTTTTAATAAGAGTGGTACTATTCTTTCAAGTGTTGGCATTGATGCGACATGTAGACTTTGGGATGTTATATCAGGTTCATTACTTCATGTTTATATAGATTCTGACAGGTAGAATGTGAATGGCATTTAGATATAAATTTACAATGATAAACAGGGGGTGGTTTATTGGTTTTATTGATTCAATGGCGTTTAAAGTTTTGAAACGTGCAGATTTATCAGAAAAACAATTAAATTTTGATTCAGAACAAGTAAATACAACTTCTATGAACAAAAATAATACAAAGGAGACAGATTTATTGCATATGATTGAAGATTGTTCACGTTTAGATGATAAAAAAGAAAAGACTTTACATGATTCAGATACGGATGATTCTTTGGAAGCGCAGAATGCTTTTTATACTAATGTTAGCATTCGGGAATTATTTAAACAAAGTAATCATATTAGTTCAGATTCTTTAGACTCTTCCTTTGAAAAGCATGTAGGTTTATATTTTAACATAATTATATGATTTATAATTACAGGATGATTTTTTTTCATGTTATACTTCAATAAATTATAATGAATTGCTTTTTTATGGAACAGAAAAAAGTATAAAAGTATGTTGCATTAGGGAAGCACTGCCAGGGATTCAATTGTTGGCAGAATGCAGGGATATTTTTGATAATAATGAGGTCATTGAGAGTATTTTAAGATATATGGATAGAATTAACATGGTGGAGGTAAAATTATTAATTAAGATGGAAAAGTTTATAAATATTTTTATTAGTTTATTCCTGATTTATCCCTTTGTATTGTAGCATCGCAGAAAGGCAAGGCATGCTTAATGCATATGGCAAAAAGTGTAGTCAAGTGTAAAGATGGCACTATTTTATCAAGTTACACAGTAATTGCTGATCAACAGTTTCCGGAAGACCCGCCTTTATGTGGATTGCTTGGAATGACGGTAGAAAAGGTTTTTTTGAGACGCTATAAAATTTATGTAAGATGATTTAATTTTTTTTTTTTTTTCCTAAAAAATAAAATATTTAGATGCTTTATTATGATGGGACACTGATTGTTTATGAAATTAAAAAACCTATTTTTGATATGATTGATGTAGACGATTTGATATTATGACTGTATGGATACTATTTTTTTCTGTTGTATTGCTTGTTTCTGCTTCCAATCCTGCCATTCCTTTTGCAATAATTGGTGTTCCTCGTTCATCGTATCCTTGATATAAAAATATGTATTTATCTTTGAATAAAGTAGCCAGTTTACTATTCCTGAACGGCGTATAATCGAAACAAGGAAAAACCATATAGCAGAAAATGCTGTTCCGACTAAAGCACCAACTATTACTTGCGATATTGTATGATATTTAAGATATACTCTAAAACATATTAATTATTTTGATTAATTATTAAATATATATTTATTATATAAAAACCTGCTAAAACAAACAGATATTAAAAGGAAAACAAGAACAATTATGTTTCGCACGTAATATATTTTTGGTAAATATCGTGCTCTACTTCATTGTTAGGTTTTCCTAGATATTATACAAATCTTTGCCTGAAAAATAGCCATAATATCAAATATCCCGTAAAATATGATGTAAATTGCGCGTGATTACTTGGCATGCCATAACCTTTTATTAATGCTAATTTTGCATTATTTTTATAATAGATAAAAAGATATTTTACTTACGATTTGGCCGTGGTTGTTGAATAGCTTCTTTAAGATGAATGTTCAAAAAATGACAAATTATTTGTCCAATATAGATGAATATTACTTCAACTTCTCTTCGGCAATAAATAAGTGTTAGGTAAATTACAACAACTTCGACTGGAAGTAGTGCAAGAAATGCTGATATTGTTGATAAAAAATCTTTTGGGTTATAAAGAATATATGTTTTTTCTATGAAAATAGGATTATTTAATGTTTTTAAAATAAGTTTCTTACGAAATGGTGTAACATCATATAATTCGGATTGTTTTGAATGTACTGATAGCATTATAACTGGTATATGATAACAAAAATATCAAAATTTAATAATATGAATTGTTTAATTCGTGTGTACGTATGTGTGTGTGTGTGTGTGTATAAACGATATAACAACAGGTTATGAAAAAAATCCGTAAATTCAGTTTTTTATAATCAATAAAAAGTTCCGGTGCGGGGAATCGAACCCCGAGCCTGGCTGTGCCCTAATTGTATGAGAGAGCCAAATGTTAACCATTACACCACGCCGGATCGTCCTTAATATCTAAAGTAATATTCATTATAACTCTCTCTAGTTTGATATTTTTAATGTATATTATTATTGAATATTCAAGTTATACAAAAACAAAAAATACGTTATCGTATAAGCCCACAATAATAACGAGGTCTTTCTGCATTCATTTATTGATTTTGAATACATAATGATTCAAAATAATTGCATAATTGTACATAAATTTATCTATCCTCCATGATTGAAGAGTTCATTTTTAACTTAGTAGCAATTCTTTTATGCCTACGTCCTTGTAAATGAATTGTCCATTGAGGAAGACCAACTGCTACAAAAGGTGCACCTGATGAAGTTTTACAAACGTTACAAGTATAATGTTTCCAAAGATCTGTTTGAGAGGCATAACTAATCATTTTATTAAATTACGAATTACATGCATATATATATATATATATATATTTCCAACATACTCAAGTATTTTTTTTGAAGAAAGTAATGATGCTGCAACCGTATTAAGCGAAAGAGGATCTGGACCAGGTTTGTCTTGTAAAAAGTCTAAAATCACGTTAGATTTAATAAACTCTAAAGCCTATCGAAAATTTATAGGAATATATGGGTTCAATATTACCTGAAAAAAGTGATATAGCAAGATTTTGTATCTGATTATCCCAAAGCGATAAATCCGTCGCATCCAAAAGGTAAAATCGAATATTCATCCCTGCCGCTTTACAAAGAGGATATAATTTGTTTCTAATCCATTTCACTTGTTTTCTAGCGTATTGACGAGTAGCAAGTTTCATGGATGCAATTGCATTCAAAAGATATGTATTTCTCGTTTGTTTCTCGGTATTTTTAGGTAATTGAAGGTATGGCAAGAATTCTTTAAATCCTAAAATGTGTTTTCCAAATGTTTAATATAATTCTTTTTATACCTACCAATAGCCTGCCAAATCCCTTTTTGTACGTCTAAACCTATTTTTTGTTGATCAAGTGTATTCCATACATCATACATCATATTAATTTCATCAAATAAACCCAAATCACACATTTTATCCACTCTTTTATCAAGCATTTCATCCAAAACCTTATAATCACAATATACCCAAAAAATACATGTTCTAAATCTAGGAATTTCACGTTTATCATTATCTTTTCGTTGTTCATTGTACAAATCACTAGGACGACATCCCGTTTCATAATAAATTTCAAGACAACGCTGAATCTTGCGTCGATCATTCGGATGCCATCTTTTTGCAATCAATGGATCAATTTCTTCCAAACGACGATATAAATCCGCCGTAGAAATATTCAATAAATGTTTAATCATACTTTTCCTTTTTTCCTCCTCCTCTTCTTTCTCTTCTAATCTTTTCTCCTCTTCTTTCCCTTGTATTTTTTCCTTCTCTTCTCCCGTTACTCGTTTCTTTTTTGATAAAAGTGCATTTTTAAATAAAACCGATTGTATATAATAATTTGTTCCTCCAATAAAAATTGGCAACGTTTTCCTTTCATGTAACCCTTCTATCTACCCTCATTATCAACATTTCACATTACCCTTTTCTAATTACAATACAAAGCGCCTCTTTTTCATATTGAAAAACATTATATGCTTCTGTTATCTTTAAATATCCAAGTAAATGATGTTTAACATCTTCTCTCTCCTCCAAAGACTGCTTATTAGTAAGGATATCTAATCCTTCATAAATCTGCATAGCATCCCCATTAATAATTTCTCCTGAAAATGCCTTGGCAAGTGCAATCCCTAACTTATATACCATTAATCTCCTTATTTACACGCATATATAAACAACCTTGGACTTTCCCACTCCCGTAGCTCCTAAAAACCTTCAATTGACGGACTATATGCGCTAAACTAACCTACAATGACGCATATATTTCGTAACGGCGCCTGCATAGACTAGAAATTTCCCGTATCCCCCCTATATAATTAAATATTTCTTCATCATATTCCCTTTTTTTTACCAATTTAACCCCTAATTCCCTTATATATGCTCCTCTAAACCATCAAAATTCCTTCCTGTTTGATTTGGTTTTTCTTTCGTTCTTCCTACATCGCTCGATTCATCGTTTCTTATATTTATCTAATTGATAGGGTTAACCCTAACCCTATCTTGTCTCTCCTATCTCTTCTTTCTTTTTAATACATAAACCCCCCTTTTTATTCCACCAAAATACTCCATTCATTCATCTTATCCCGTTTTATCTATCTATATTCCCATTTCCCTCTCCAAAAAAATTCTCATTCCTCTCCTTCTAATACCCCTCCATATAGCTACCTATTCCTTTACATTATATTCACTTATAATCCTTTTCTAATATAATATTTCAAATGATCACATTATTATAAACACTCAAACATTCATAATTCCCCCTTTTGTTACATTTTTATCTACCCTTCTAAACCCCCCGGCTTCCTCCCCCTTCTCCTGCATACATATAATCCATTATATATTCATATATTTATAGATTTCCCTCCCATTATTGCCCCTCATTCATATTAATTTAAATATTCCCTGTATAATTTCTAATTCCCTAATAGCTTTTTGATTTCTTTAGTATCCGGAAAAAGGGTTACACGCATAAAAACATAGGTCAGTTGCATTGCCAGAAATTATCTGCAAAATAGATATTTGGTGCAGACGTTAAATTTAAGGGGTTTGGGCATTGGGTTTGAGAGATACGAGTATGACTCCTCTTATATCGTGGATTTTATTCCTTGGATTTTCAGGAACGGTTTATATTGCTTTAAAGGGCGTTCCGTGCTTAAGGTTTTCTCTTGAGGATAAATTTGGGTCAGATAGAATTGAGGGGGAGGTATTGAGCCAAAAAGTGCGTAAAAAGCGGCGTCTAGCCTTGGATAAAGTGTCATTGGAGGAGACCGTAGCGAAAACCCGGAGTATATGCGTGGAAGAAGAGGTAAAAAAGGGCGAAAAATAAGGGTATATTGATAAGGGATTAGAATAGCACTGAAATAGAGGAGGGAGCCGATACAGTGTCAAAACAGCCTATATATGCGCCGAAAATATTATCGCGTGGGCCAAAAAGCCCAATATATGCGCCTATATATGCGTCTTTAAATGAGGAGAATAAAATGGATACAGAATTTAAGAAGCATGAGACTCCAACAGGGAGAAAATCGGTAGAAACGAGCGCATATAAGCCATTCATAGAGAAGGAAAATGTAAAAACAAAGAAACAGAAGCAAAATGCAGTAAAACGTGAAAAACAGAAGCTATTAAAGGCGCGCATTGAGGAGGAAAGACTTAAAAATTATCGTCATCATCAGAAGACACTTGAAGAAGAACGTCTTAAGACGTTAGTTTGCCAAGCATCAAACTCCGCTTGGCATCCACCATCAGAATCAGGAGAATGGATATTAGTTGGTGCTAAGGGAAATCGTCACGTGACATCCGTACTTGCTACAACAGTAGGATAAATGAAAGAGAGAATTGAATGAGATATAGGAGTTTTTAACATATTTTCTGTATGTAGTAGAAGGGAAATAATGTTTTTTTTTTTTTTTTTGAAAATTTTAATGTTAATTTAAACAGTGTTTAAGTAAATATTTTAGAATGATTTAATATACAATAAGGGTTATGGATTTTCTATTTTAAGGGTAGTATATATTTTATTATGTATTATATACATTGCCCTAATAATGTTATGGTAATGTATAATGTTAAAAAAAAAAGGAGCTTGAGGCTTATGATTAAAAGTTATAAGCACAGGCAATTTCTATTAGTGAAAATGAAAAAGATTCTATACTCTATTGATATTTGAAGATTTTTTGCTTTCATTTTGATTATGATATATGTAAATGTTGAAAAGAAAGTAATAATAACTTTATTTAATAAAATGAATGTGAATTTTCTTTTTAAAGTGTAGAATGTTGTATGTTTTATTTATTTGAAAAAACCGTTTATAAATTTAATTTAATTTAATTTTATTATGAATGCTATATTTATTTATTTAAAAATGCTTTAAAATGCACAAAAAATCTTTATAATATTCGGCCTAGGTTAATTTATGACTATTTTATAATAATAACTTATATGTCCACTTAAATATATAATTGTATATAAATTGTGTATATGTTATTCTTCAAATTGTCCTCCATTTTTTAATCCAATTTTTTTATGGAGTATCCATTCTTCTCCCAAAACTCTTAGTCTAGTTGCATTACTTCCTTTATTATTTCCAGCCCATTCGTTTACCGCAAGTCGAATTAATTTATCCGCTTGTAATCCATAATGTTTCATGAAAGCGTTTCCTGCGATATCTATAAATGTGCTAATGATTGCAAAAACTGTTTCAGAGGAAGGTGATTCATTTAGAATTTTAGCAAGAAGAGTCCATCCAAAACGTATAGGTAAGTGATTAGGAATATATTCAGTTTGCATAATTGCCGAAAATACTGCAAAAATTCCGCACTGTCTTTCTGTATAAGATGCTTCTTCCTCAAACTTTCCATTCTTTGAACGATAAAATCCTAATGCTTTTCTTCCTTCTTCTGTATTTTTATTATACTAAAAAAAATATATGATTATTTATTTTTATAACTTGTAACAATCAAAGTCCTACATTGAAATATGGTATTGTATAAGGACATTTTTTAGCAAAACGTGCCAAAAGTATATCAACCAAATCAGGATGACTAGACATCAGAAAAACACAAACAGTAGCCAAAGGATATGCTGAATACAAATTAACAGTAACTTCAGTTTCCGCTTGTTTCTATGTTAAATTAGAATTTGAATCATATTTCTAATTCTATACTATAACTGCTTTTGATAAAAAATTCAATATCCAATGATATACCGTTATAGCTACTTCTTTAGACGTTTTGATAATTTCTTCCAAATCTCTTGTCTATATAATTAGTAATATTTTAAAAGAAAAAACATATAAAATACAATGCGTGCTATTTGTTGTTTGGAATTTGTTAATTGACCACATTTTGGAGTAATTTTACGCTTGTTTTGAAAACAAAATGTTCTCCATGTCGCATTTTCCGAAACTGGTTTAAGAACATTCAATTTAATATCCTAAAAACATATTAGAAATTTAATTTCAACATAACTACCCACTTCTATCCTCTTTTTGTACATTAATACACGATCCATTGCATTATATACATATTCCTTTTTTAATTCTGGTGTTTTTTTTTCTTCAACCACCGGCTCTAAAACATCAATAGTCTCTACCATATCCATTTTGCTTTCATTATTATCCATTTTTCCCTCCATTTCTATATTTTTTTCTTCAAGTTTTTTTTGATAAATCATCTCTTGTTGCTTAATTTCAATATTCTTTCGCTCAATCTCCTTCTCCTCCTCATCCGCTCTCTTTATTGCCTTCTCTATGTTCTCCACAATCTCTTTATTCCTATGTTCAAACAATATACTCTCTTTAAAATCCATTTCTTTATGTTTCATTGTTATTTTTTCTAAATGTTTTTCTAATGATACATCATATCTTGAGCAATCTTCTAAACCATGTGTACGATTCCCAATCAAAGAGAATGCATGATCTATTTCTGTTGCTTTTTTTTTCATAGCCGACTATCTTTATTAAATATATAATTTATTCCTTAGATTCTTCTCACATGGACTATTTCCTTGGTTTTTTGATTATAAAGATGCCATGAATCAAGATCATAACTTTTTTAAATATATCAGAGTGATTCTATATGTATAATGCCTTTTACTCTACATAATTTACTGGATATTCTTCATCCTCACTGTCATAAATATCATCATCGTTATTTTCCCTTAAATTTCTGAGATTATTTTCAAATTGCATAGTTTCATATAAAGAGCCGATGTTCTCTGTTTTCCTGAAGTTTTCATGTTTTTTTTTAGAATTTTTGTGGATCATCAAAGTTTTTATAGAAAATTTGTTATTTCTTGTGCCGATCAATGAAAATATATTATTATTGAAAAATAAAAATATTTGAATATTGTATTTCAAATATGGAGAAGTATAACAAGGTGTTTTTTGAATAAGGTGAATTTTGAACAATAGTGTTTTGTATATAAAATTTTCAGTAAAAAAAAAAGTATTTTATGAATATTGAAATCAATCAATTCTTAATGTTTTGTGAATTTCGTCAGTATTTCGGTTCCATTGTGTTTCTTTAGCGAAAAAATTTCTTCCTAAATTATCAGGACTTTTAACTTTATAGATTCGAACAAGCCAATTTTCAGTAGTAAAAGCTTCCTCTGTAAAATTATATTAGTTTTTGTTAATGATTTGGGTTTCTTACCCAATATACTTAATGAAATATCATCTGATGGTATACTTTGTTGTCTTACTAGATCATATGAACGGTCTTTACCGTACATTTTATTAAAGCTATATCGATTAAAATAAAGAAAGATAGAGAATTAAACGAACTTGTAATAACACATTTTATATAAAAGACTTTCCTTCATAGCAGGAGTTGCATTCTCGTCGACTCGATATCCATAGTAATTGGAATAAAAATTTTCTTCATTTACTTCGTTTGGCCAGATACCTTCTGCCTATAAAATAGTTATATAATAGAAATAACATATTTAGAGTATACAATTTTAATCATCCAAAGAAACTTGATATAATTAGTTTAAAATCTTTAATTTAATATTTTTAGTTTTTACCTTATTTATATCATCTCCTGAATAACCTAACAATCCTCCAAAAATAACAAGAAGATAATCTACTTCATGTTTTCTTAAAATTGGATATGAAACCTCTTCAGAACTAGCCATTACTTTGCCTACTGTCTATATCCAATTAGTCATAAAGAAAAATACTCATATACCTACCGCTATATGAGTATTATTCCATGTGTTATTATCAACTATGGTAATTCTATCTGCTATGCCAGTGATTTGATAACCATAGTCCCACCAACTCATTACTTTTACATCATATGGTGTATTTTGCCTTAACCAATAATATGCTTCCCGATAATCATCAATAATGTAATCCTTTCCCTGTGGTGTCAATCCTGATAAAACCACAGACGGTGATGAATATGCATTAAATGTAACCCATGTGCAGTGATTGACAAAGATTACTAAATAATAAAAAAGTATAACTATTAATAAAACCCTTGGAATCCATGATTTAATAAATTTATTGGACATATCTTTTGATGCTTTAAATGCACTAGATGAATAGTATTTTCGTTTTTCTAGAGATTTCTGTGCCTTTTCATGAACTACTTTTGAAATAGGTGTATCTGATTTTGCTCTAAACGAACCAGATACTATTCTAGACCAAATTTCTGGAAATACTAAATATTTGTCCAACAAGGATGATAAACTAAGCGCAGACGATACACATACAATAGGTGCTAATACTAATATAAGACGAACCATTACTCCCGAAAAATAACTGGCCATAATACTGTAAATTATAGCAAAAATATGTTCATTTTCTAATTTCTGAAAATAAAAAAAAACACCAGCAGGAAATAGCCATATTAATAATGAAAAATCGAAATAAAAATATGACCAAGAAGTAGGTTGATGTTCTGAAACAGAGGTAATGATAGGAATGTGAATTTTTGCATATTCAGAGTTCCATAAAGAATAAAAACGACCTGTCCATGGAGAAATAGTTCCCATCATCGTTAATATAATTAACAAAAGAAAAGAGATTAAAAACAAAAAAAATACACTGTATTTGAGAAGATCATGAAATTTCTTGCCAGAAATATGAGATCGTATAAAGTTTGTAAAAGCAATAAGTTGTATTAAACCAAAAATACCTAATATCTTAATTACGAATATTATCTTTAATCAGAAAAATTACCAAGAGCGCTCATATGCTCATTTGTACGAATTGGTTGAAACCCAATGAATGGAATTTGCATTGACATTAGTGTGCCTAAAGTATAAAAGCTAGAGTATGCTATATATATCTTCGATGAGTAACGGCCCATCAAAATAAGACAAAAGCAATGCAAAGGAATCATGTTTATAATGAAAGCGTAACCACCTTTTATTCTATATAAGTATTTAAATATAAATATATATATATATATTACCCCAAGCTGCAGCCATATAAAAATAAAAAAAAGCTGTCAATGCACCAAAAAAAGAACTTCCCGTCTTTATAGCTTTGTTCCATAAACAAAATGTTGTCATAAGAAGAGTAATGGCAATCGCTTCATTGTCATAGCTTCCTGAAACAGATCTTGAAATGTATCCCGGTACGATAGCAATTAATGCAGCTGCTAAAAGTCCAGATTGTTCATCTTTTAAATCTTTTGTAAAAAAGTATGTTGCAATTGCCGTTAAACTAGAGAATACTGGTGCAAAAAAAACACATATGTTACGAATATCGATAGGATAATTAAAAAAATGAAATATTGAGTATATAATGTATGATGTTACCATCAATCCTGGATATAAAGTTCCACCTGCTACACGGCCAAGTGGATACCATCTTGAATATTAATCAATATTTATCATATAAAGAGAAAAAAATAAAATGGAACTATACGTTCGATCATCAAACCAATTCCAAAATTCATCTAAAGAAGATGAAATAATATATTTCGTAGCTCTGAAATTAAACCCTTAATATTTTAATAATCAAATCATAATGTTATAAATTTTTTACATGGATCGAATTCATGAATAATAGATTCATATCTTATAGGATTATCAGCACAAAAACTACATAATCATTTAGGAAAAACATACTTCAAAACTGAAAATAGTCTAGGAAGAATAGATGAAACTTAAAAAAAAAATTATTAATTTTATTTTTTTTTTGTTAAAGAATACCTGAAATAGCTATAAAAATAAGTATCTATAAAAATTAGTCAAATATTTTAAAAATTAAAAAACATGCCTTCAGTAGTCCTTTTATATCCTTAATAGTTTCCTTAGAAGATGAAGAGGTGTTATGAACTTGATTCATTTTAATTAAAAATGTTTTTTTTCAAATTCTTAAGGTTTTTTCCAACGTGAACGGTGTATGTGAATAGAAATATAAAAAAATGTTGAAATAAAATGTAATAAAGTGTCGAAAAGATAGTCACCAATTAATTTTCTCCTTTTTATAACATAGATTCGTGTGTTCTCATATAAATATCTTTTTAAAAAATTCCAAGTTTGTAATTTTATTTAAAAAAATGCCAATTATTTTTATTATAAATAATAATAAACCAATAGAATCCCTTCTTTATCTCCCTTGTTTTTTTTTTTAATAATTATATATTTAATTCCTTTTCATCCAACCTCAATGCATACTATTATTGACTTTTGTTATATTATACAATAAACCCCCCTTTCGTTTCAATCATAATATAATTTTAAATATTCTTTTTCAGTTTTCACCAATATTTTCTCTTTTCTCTTCTGAATTCTCTTCTGAATTCTCTTCTTTCCATTGTTTATAATATAGATTACCATCAAATCCATGTTTTTGACCCGGTCCAAAAGTAGAACGCATTGGCCGCACTTTCATTGTCACAAATGGCTTTAACTATTCTATATTAACCCTTTTTCTCTTCATTCTTATATAAATATATACTGATGTCGTATCAAGTCCACTTGGAACAATAAATGTTCTAACTTTAGCCCAATCAATGATATAACCACCTAATTTTTTTTAGAAAAAAATGACACTTCTATACACTCTTGGTGGTAATGATAAACCTCGTTTTGTATGTCTTCCCATTGAGCCTGTTCGAGATCCTTTGTAGAACTGACGACCCTGTTTAGATGTCATCGGAAGCCTTAAAATATCACTTTTTTCCCGGAAAAAAAAGCAATATATACTTACCTTTTCGCTCCTTTCAAAATTTGGGATGGTTTAAACATTATTTATTGTTTTTAACCCTTTTTTTTCCAATAAAAAATAATCGTCTAATGATGAACCCTCGAAATTAAAGTGTAGATATTTCGAGATAAAGCTAAGCATACAACACGCATACAACACGCATATAATACGCATATATAGCGCATATATAGCGCATACATCCCGCATACATCCCGCATACACTACATATATTAGTCTGCTTGCTTAGTAAAACCCATTTATCCATGGCAAAACGACATACAAAAGCTGCTGAAAAAATTGCTCGTATTCTTAGCGGTCCTGGTGCTTTTAAACTACCCTCTGATATTCACGGCTTAACTTTATTCATGGCCTTTAAAAATAAAGATGGACATATGGGACCCAGGCAAGTCGTATTTATATTATTTTCAATATTAATAAATAATAGAAAATTCTGGAAGGATTATTTGCCAAGTGTTCAATTTCATAATCCATATTTGCATATTCAAGTTTGTCGAAGTCATGAAGAAAAAGATGCAAAGTTAAAGATCCATCAGAGTAAGATTATATATATATAAATATATAAGAAAATGTCTTAAATAAGTAGAATTGGGTGATATGGAGATTGATATGAAGCATAAAGATGCGTCAGAGATATGTCGAGAGTTTGTAGAGAAGACGAGAGCAGTTGAAGTAGGAAAAGAAGAAATCAAAGAAATTATGGAAAATAGTAAAATGAAGGGTTAATATAGAAAGTTAAAAGATGAAAGGATAAAAAATAAAAGAGATTTGTGTATAATTTTGAAAAAAAATATATTTGGTCAAGAATGGGAAAATAATTGATTCCAGGCAGCAACAGAGCCAAGAACGAATACAATAAGACAAATATCGCGTATGCATGTTTTGTAGACCAAGTAGAAGCGAGAAAGAATAGTTAAATATGATTTTAAAGAAGGAGAAAGATAAGGATCTAGAAAAAACCAGTTAGTAGGGTGAGAATAGGTCTGTAAGGTTAATAAGATGAAAGATAAGAGAGAGATACGAGTACCGTTTGAAGTAGAAGCCAAATAGAATGTAAAATCCATTGGATCATCATGAAATAGTAAAAAATTGGCTAAAAATAATATTTAAAGCAATAGAAAGAAAAAAAAAGATAAATATACCTGCTCCATAGAATAAGTAAGACGATCCTGATTCGTACCCAAAAATTTTGTATGTCCTAATACAACTTTAAGTAAAAGTGCCATAGTAGAAACAAAATGGATCCATTGTCTCCATTTTTCACTAGAACTTGATGTAATAGGATATACTAAAGGATCCGGCTCTCTAGATTGAGCTGTAGATGCTTCATTAAAAAATATATCCTTTAGAAAAGAAATTGAATTGGATATAATTTTATCCTGATAGTTTTCAAATAAATTGTTTTTTTCATTAAGAAAATCTAATGATTCTTGTGAATCTAATCCAAATGATGAATTTTCTGTAGGATATGTTGATTTTCTCTGGTCATTTAATGCTTCAAAAGCAAAAGAATTCGTTTCATTAGATTCCTTTGTTTTAGATGATATTTCACTCAAATTTAATGTTTTTTTCTCCTCAAAAGATGATTCCGGATATAAAACTCTAGCAATCTTTGATAAACGCTCTGATTCATGTCCTAGAATCCTTTCTTTTCTAACTTTACGGCGCAAACGTGCTTTTTCACTTTCATCAAGTACTTCATTATCCATTAATAAAAAGATAAGATAAAAGATAAGATTTAAATAGAAATTTTCTTATAAAAACTGTTAATTTAATGTGAATAATATGTTGAATGGATGTTTTAGAGGTTTTTTAATAAAAAAAAGTAGCGAAGTTGAACGTTCGAAAAATAGAATTTAAATAAAATTAAAAAAAGTGTCATAAAAAGCTGTTTAAGAGATTTTTAATAGTATAAATAAAAAGTACGTTGTTATATTAGTGGGTTTCCTTTTTTTCCGCTTTTTAAAATGATAAAAAATGGGCATTTTTTCAGTATTTTAAAAAACATATGTTAATTATATTAAAATCAAGGAAATAAGGGGTTTTCTTTGGAATATTAGTCATTTTATAAAGGAAATAAGGATTTTCTATGCTTTTATTTAATTTCTTGCTTTTTTATTTTTGAAAAAGACGTTTATTTGGCATTATTTTTTAAAAAAAAGATTTCACTATAAAGTTGTGAAAAATATTAAAGGATTTCTTTTTATATTTAAGATTTATAAGGAGATATTATATATATATTGAAAAAAAATGGAAATTTGGGGATCAGGATGCAATATTTTTGGTCAATTAGCAAAAAATGAAGAACATTATTTATTTGAATTAAAAATGATCCAGCATGTTGATAAGGGAAATATTCATATTGTATTTAATGCATGGTCGGAAATATTATGTATATTTATTCTTTTTTTTATAACTTGAAAAATTTAATGTTTAGATTGTATTAATGGACGCTTGAAACTATTGGGTTTTAGAGCTGATAATATGGATATTCATTTCACAAATTCTATTCTTTGTGCATTTGGAACGATTGAGATTTCAGGGTTTGTTGATTCTGAATTTAATTTAAGAGATTTAAAAGGGAATATTTTACATACAGGTATTGGGATTGTAGTGGAGGCAGGGAATGGTCAATTGGTTGGAACAGACTATAATTATAAGAATCTAATATTTTTTGATACTAAAGATGGAAGATTTGATATTTGTAATATTTTTTCTTTGAAATTAAAAGATGAAAATTCTAAAATTCTTCAAATATCAGCAGGTGCATCTCATTTTGCTTTATTATCATCAGATGGAGAAGTTTATACATGGGGAGATAATATTTATGGACAATTAGGCAGGGAGACTAGTGATGGTGTTGAATCTAATACAGTTCCTACTATTGTAAGTGCCTTACAAGGTCTTAAAATCCAAAAAATTGCAGCAGGAGGTTGGATGACAGGTGCACAAAGTGCAGATAATGATTTATATATTTGTGGCTGGCTAAGACTAGGAAAAATAGTTAACACTTCTGACGATAAATCAGAATTTAATTTAGTGGACTTAGGGGAAAATGTTGATATATTGGATTTTGGAATAGGATCCGAACATATTGTTGTATTAACGACGAATGGTATATATTCACTAGGGAAAGAAGGAGAAAATTGTTTATCATATTCAACTCTAATATGGATTCAAATTCCACAATTTTCTAATAAAAAGATAACACATGTTTTTTGTAGTCAATGGAATACTTTATTAATAACATATGACGAATCTAAAATTGAAAAAGATAATCCTCAAAGTTGACAACGTTCTGCATCTAAAACTGTTATACGAATAACCGATTTAAGGAAAACTCGTTCTTTTATTTCCTTAAAAGGGATAATATACTCTTTGTTTTCTATTAAATTCAAATCAAATGATCCATATCCTTCTTTAATAATATCCATAACTTTTTTTGAAGAAAGTTCGTGAGATTTGTATTTATTTAAAAGGTTTTCATAATATTCAGAAACTAAATGAATGGTTTTAGCTGATGGTACGTTTACTTTATCTAGTAAAACAATTAGGATTTTATCTAAATAATTTTTATATTTCTTACAGATTTTTATAAAATTTCTGATGATATCTCCATTCTGGATTAATTTATATATTAGATCTTCAAAATCCTTGAATTCTAGAAGGAAATTTTCTCCTCGTGTTATACATAAAGAGACAAGATTAAATAAAATCGAAATTAACTCTTCAATATGAGAACTTTGCTTAAGAATCTCTGCATTTGCTGATAGAAATATAATGAAATGCATTAAAAATTTCCAAACCTCTTTCCAATGGTATTCTATGACAAAATGAGATTTAAATGTTAAAAATAAAGGTATCAACCTAGTCTGCATTTCCTTTTTTCAAGAGAACTGATAATATTTAATAGTATTTTAACTTGAAGACTATAAAAAATTAAATAATAATTTAAAAATTAAGGCAATTTACATGTATTTTTCTATATCCAGATTTCTTTTCAAGTTATGATCTAAACTTGAAATTAAAGCATCAAGAATTGCTAATAAAAGTATTCTTTTGCTCTTTATCAATGGAAGAAGTGGTTGTTTTTGTCGACATAAATAAACAACCGAACTATTAGTATCTCTTACAAGTGCATCAAAGCATCCATCATCATCAATTAGAATATAAATAATCAAAAGTGCAAGTCTTGCATAATGACTAGCTCTTAATGATTGAGATTGATATTCTAATAAATATGAAGTAAATGAAATAAATTGTGAAAATGGAGACTCTTCACATTATCAATTAGTATTAATACAGAAATAATTTATTATACCTGCTTCTGAATCACTTGTTGATGATTTGAAAGTAATAAATATATAGCAAAATGCCTTATTCACATTTATAAAATCATATATAGGCAGCAATATAGCAGCCTTACAGCTTGGCCTTCTATATGTTAAGCAATATATACTTATTTAATTAATAGTTACAATTTAGAAAACCCATCTTCAGAGATAATAATACTAGTATCCAATGATGTTGATTTATGACTATTCGAACTAAAGAATATATCATTAAAATATGTTAATAAATTTGTAATATTCCAGATATTATCTGATTCATTGTTTTGAAGATATATATATTCACTTTTACATTCAATACAAATTCTTGAAATAATATCAATGATCAGTTCCATAGCATTATTATCAACAAAATCACTTAGTCGTGTTTGATAAAGATTCTGTGATTCAAATTTTTTGTTATTAGCTAAAACACCAAGAAAAAGAAATGCCAAAAAAGCACTTGAAAATGTATTAGGATCTGTAATATACTAAAATTCCCTAAAACTCCTTTAAAACATTATATATATATATTTACCTTTATAATTGATGGAAAAAAATCCTTATACTGAAAATATGATATAATATCTGAGTTAAATCCATGACATACTGTACATAATGAAAGATTCAATGCCTTTGTTCTAAGTATAACTATTTTAAATTATTATTCATTAAATTACTTCATCGTCTTCTTAATCATTTTACCATTTGTTTCCTTTTGAATCATTCCTTCTAATGATATAACAAAATCCTACCTATATTATACATATAATCTTATACTTTTTCTTATTACCATAAAAATTTTCTCTATATTATCAAGTCCTGATATTATATGGACAACATCCAATGTAAAATTATTATATTTCTTTTGAAGAATCACCCTCAAAAACACTTTAAGCGTCTATTTTTCTTCATTACTTCTTTCTTTCTTTTCATTTTCTAATTACATCAAGTACATTCCCCACTCTCAACATATCCATATTCCTCATAATTAACACTCCTTTTTTAAACATATTTCTTATATTATTCTTCATAATTAGTCCATTCATAACCCTTCTACTATATACCTGTCGTCTAAGAAGATCATCCGGTGATAACCCCTTAAGAATCCTCTCTAACTCCTTCAAATTACTTCTCATAACATATAAATCCTGCATAAACTGATCATCTAACATCTCTTCTCCTGTTTTCTATCCTCTTTATAAGTCTTATTTCTCTTATATTTATTTATTATATTTTACACAAAATATCCTCTCATATTGCGCCAAAATTTTCGGCTGAAATTTCCTTTTGCTCATAAACTCCTTATTATTCATGTAAATACTCTGTTTATCCCCTAATCTACCCTTCTTTCCTCTCTATTTACCCTTTCTTATGGATCTATAAATTTTTAGGTTGGGTTGCTATGGTTACGGTCACGTGATATCCTATCAAAACATCCAACTCGACGAAGTCTAATAAAAAGGTGTATATTAAAAGAGGGTGTAAAACGAGTATTTTGTGGTATAAATTGATGGTATTTAAGGCAAGACTTGATGATAAAAGTGTTAAAACTCAGCAAAATATATCAAAGATAATTGAACTTATTGAAAGATCGAAAAGGTGTTTTTTTTTTTGAATAAAGGAAAAATAGCTAATATATGAGTAGATCAGTAGTTATTACAGGGTCTAATATAATGTATGGTGGAGAGAATGGGGTATATAATTTTTTTTTGAGAGATTTATGGTAATTTTTAAGGGATTTTATTCATCAGATGGAGTTTATAAATTTGTTGAAAAGGTTAGGGAAAAAGGGGAGTTTTTAATAGGATTTAAGTGTTTTAAGCGATATCCGAATGTTATGATGAAGGCTAAGGATTTACTTGATTCATTAATGTTTCGTGATGAGGTTTCTACGTCGATATTTTATTCATTTATGAGTGAGTTACGTACGCTTATTTTGTCAGCTAGACCGGCAAATACGTATAAGTTTTTAAAGATTTTGAGGGATAGATCATCAGTTTTAAAGTGTTATACGGAAAACATTGATAATTTAGGATTACAAGAAGAAATAAGTTCAAAAACGAATGATTTAAAAAAAAATAATGTAACAGAGTTTAATGATGATATTAATAAAATAAAATGTATGATTTGTGGTGTAAAATGTGATTATAGTGTAGAAAGAATTGAACTTTTGAGAAATGGTCAGGTACCAGATAGGTTTGTATGTGTAAATGATGAAAAGAAGATAAAAAAGGAAAAAGGAGCTTTAAAAATAGGTTTTTTACGTCCGGGTATTGTATTATATGGTAATACGCACCCTATTCAGGATTTTTTGGGTGAATTGACGGCATCTGATGTTAAAAAATGGCCAGATCTATTGATGATTATTGGAATATCACTTAAATTTATACCTATTAATTCTTTGATCAAAGATATTTCAAAAATTGTTCATACGAATGGAGGAAAAGTCATTTTTGTCAATCGTATGGAACCATCTAATAATGAATGGAAAGGAATTATTGATTGGTACGTCGATGCTGATTCTGATGAATGGATTGAAGGACTTAAAGAAAGAAAATTACCAATGTTTACCTATCAACCTAAATCATCTGCATTTCCTATTAAAAAAAGACGTTCAAGTAACTTTTTCTTTTTTAACATCATATATATATATCACTTATTTTATTTAGAAAAAAATGGAACTGAACAAATATTATACGAAATTTCTAAAGCCGTTTCTCCTGTAATATCTTTACTCAAAAAACCTTATACGAGTTCTAGAAAAAAAAAAGTATCTAATCTCCCTAGAGTCAATTTTTCTGTTCCTCCACCTAAAATGGCACCTTTAGTTCTTACAAAAAATAAAATTCATGTAGTCTGTGGAAATAAAAAAATAAGACCTTAATTCATTCTTCTTTAAAATGGCTTTTTTTTGGTTTATTTACATTCATTCTTCAGAATTTTGTTTTTTAATCTCTATAACAACTCATTATGTACAAGTTTTATTCTTAGTAGAATTGTATAAATATATTTATGTATTTTTATCATTTATTTCATATCATAATTTCCTTATGGTTCTTCAAATATATATAATTTATAAGGCGATATTTCTTAACCTCTTAAAATTTTTAGATGACTCAAAATGTATTATTTGAAGAGGAAATAGCAAAGATTCGCTCACAAAATGGCTCTATAAATAGTCGTCAGAAGCTGGTATATATATATTCATATTATTTTTAATTTAATCTTTATAGATTGCAAATTTATTGCTTGGAATAGAAGAAACACTACGTAATGAGAACTCGCAGGGAAATATTACAGGGTATTTTGCATCTCTTGTGAGAGGAATAATGTTTTTCCTATTTATTTTGACAGTTTAGCTGGTACTTTTAGAAGAATCATTATCAAATACGAATAATAGTGAAGTTATATATTCAATACTTTATCTTCTTGATTTAGTGGTTCGTTTTATAAGTGCGGCTTTAATTCGTTCTAAATATGATCGAATATCATCGCTTTTGAGTTCTGTTTTAACATGTTCTGGAATGAGCTCGTCAACATTACGTTATACAATTAGTTGTATACAAAATGTTTTAATTGTTCAAGAAAACTCTACGTGGACGAGTCCTAATAATAATATAAAGCCTATATTTAGTTGTTTATTAATATTGAGTATGGATTCTAGGCCTAAAATTAGGAAAAGATCACAGGAAGCAATAAGTAAGATCTTGGCGCATCCGCCTCCAAGTCCATTAATAATACATCCAATTCTTGATTTTTCATTGAGGGAAACATTTAATATATTAAAAAAGTCTCTTTTAGAAGTAAAAGAGGGTGTAGGATACAAAAATAAAAAAAATGATTATTCAAAAGTGATTTATAGTTTTCAGCTTTTGAAAACTATTGTAGATGCAGGTGGATGTCCAGCATCTAAAAGTGAGGTGCTTTGTTCTATTTTGGCGGAAATTTTGGAAACTAAAGATGTATATTTGATTATGATAGCTTTTGATGTATTTCTTGTTATATTTAAAAAATCAATTTTTGAACCAGAAAGACTATATGGTATTTTGGAGGTGAATATTGTTATAAATATATAAGGAAATTTATATATTAATTAAAATAGTTGATATTAAGAAAAAAGCCTTCAGAAAAAGACATTATGTTATTACCTCTGTGGTTTTCTGTGATAGCTACTGGATTTGAATCTTACTACCAATCTGAGCCATATGCTACATTCAAATTTCTTCCTCAATTGTTTACGAATATATTTCCTTTTCTTAAGTCAGATTCTTTTGAAATCAGGATTTCTTGTAGTGAAATTTTAGTAAAATTAATTGCAAATTGTATTCCTAATGATATTGGACAAGATAATGAAGTAGTAGTTGAATTAACTAAGATAACTATGCAAGGATTTACGTTGAATTATCGAGTAGCTTGGAAAGAAATATTTAAAATATTAATAGCTTTTTTTAAATATCTTCCTTCTTATATTGATCCTTATTTTATGGATGCCATAAAATTAATAGGTGATATGCGTGAAAGGGATGAATTTAATGAAAAGACAGAAGCAGATAAAGTTATTGGCTTTGCTGTTAAAGCAATTGGTCCAAAAACTATTTTGGAAATTCTACCATTAAATCTTGATCAAGAAAGGTTAAAATATATATTATATATAGATATTAATTAATATTTTTTCAGTGAGAAATTTCCTAAGAGAGAATGGATGTTAGCAGTATTACGGTCTAATATTTATAATACAGAATTGCAACATTTTATATCAGAATTTATTCCTCTCTCTGAAAAATTATATCAGAAGTTATTAGAAAATAAGGATTCTCAAGGAGAAAAGGATTCTAGAATTTATATTGAGCAAATATGGTCCCTTTTCCCTAGTTATTGTAATTTTCCTTTGGATCTTGAAACAGTATAATTCATTAAAATTCAATGTATATTTTTTGACTTTATTAAGGCATTTAATCAAGACTTTGTTCAGTTATTGATATCATTATTTTCTAATCAGGCGAGTCTTAGATCAATAATTTGTCAAGGGTTGCAAACACTTGTTAATAAGAATAAAGATTTAATTGACAATGATTATTTTGATGAAGAACTTAAATACAAATCTCCCATTACAAAATCAGATGCTGAAAGAAATTTGGCTCATTTACAAAAATTTATATCTGATATACTTTCTGCACTTTTTAACGTTTATAGTCAAACACAATCTCAGTTTAGAGAATATATATTATTATGCATAAAATCATGGTTATCTATTACAAGTAAAGAGGTTTCATATAATATTCTATAATTAATTATATTAAACGTTATTTAGGAGATTATAAATATTTTTAATAGAGTTATTGAATTATTATCACAATCTTTAAAGGAAAACTTGCTACCAAATCCTAATAAAGATCTAACTTCTATGTCATATACAATGTTAGATCTTTTAGCTGTTATGATTGTTTATCTTCCAGCTGATACAAGCTTACAGCTTTATGATATAGTTAAGTCTCAAATTTTAAATGAATCAAATCATATTCTTCAAAAAAAGGCGTATAACTTATTTTGTAAAATGGCTGAGAATTTATCTATTAAAGTATTTCTGGAAAATAATATAGAGGAATTACAGAAATTATTTCTTGAGAATGTGACAAAAATACAAGGTTCTGTAAAAAAGGTGACATTGTTTCGAAATATTATGTTCTATTAAACTGTTTAGCATCGTTTCTATGCATTATATCATATAATAAATATGCTTCTACCTAAGGATTTGCATTTTATATCATTGATATTGCCAGAACTAATAATGGGAACAAAAGAAACAAATAAAAAAGCTAGAACTATGGCACACAGTCTTTTGATTTTGATTGGAAATAGGATATTAAAAGAATATACTATTGAAAATAATGAAATATCGGAGATGAATGATAATGTATCTGATATTAAAGCTAATATTGAGGGATTTTTTACTATGGTTTCAAGTGGATTACTTGGGAATTCCCCGAATATGATTAGTGCGACTATTGTATCAATTACTAAACTTTTATATGAATTTAAAGGTAGTTTCTTTTAATTTGTTTCAAGCGTTAATATATGATATAAGACGTATTAAATTTAGATTTTATTTCCAAGTTGTTGGATACAGTATATGTATATATTATTTCAGATAATCATGAGATTGCAAAATCTGTTTTGGGATTTGTTAAAATGACTATCGCATCTCTTCCTACAATTATTATAGAAGAACGTTTACCCATGTTGATATCTAATCTTATGGTTTGGGTTCATAAGAATAAAGGTCATTTTAAAGCGAAAGTTAAGAATATTATAGAAAGAATGATAAGACGTTATGGATATGAAACTATTGAGAAAGAAATTCCAAATGAAGATAAAAAATTGATCATAAATATTAAAAAAACAAAAGAACGTCTTATAAGAAAGAAAATAGCTAAAGAAAATATATCTGGAAATTCTACGTTAAATAATAAACATAGCAATTTCAACTATGAATACGAAACATATAAAAATGAGGATAGTGATTCTGATATTTCTTTTCTCGTTAATGATTCTGATTCTAAAAATAAAGGAATTTCTAAAAAACAAACACTTATTAAAAAGGTTGATGATGAATTGATTGATCTTTTAGATAAAAATTCCTTAATTAATATCATAAATATAAATTCTAAGGATCAAAAAAAGACGACAAAAAAGAAGCCTATATCTATGCAATTTAAAGTTGATAATAATGGAAAAATTATTATTGAAGATCTTGATAAAATTCATTTAGAAAAGCTAAAGTCTAATTTAATAAAGGGTAAAGATAAAAATCTTCAAAAACAATCAAATAAAATACAATCCAAAAGGAAAAAAGAAAGTGATGATGATGATAGTACTGATACAGAGAATATTACAAAAAAATGCTCATTTTCAATAAATAAACGAAAAGTAAAAGGTATTCGAAACTCTAAACGTGTTAAACGAAGATTTATTAAATAACATATTTATACATAAAACTAAATTGTTTCTTTAATATATAGCTATTACATTTATTTAAATGTAGACTCTATGGTTTGTCACATCCGTAATCGTCCAGGGACTAATTACGCAATGAAATGGAATATAGAGCCTGAAATGTCTAGTAAAATGAGCATCAACCTATTTATCATTAATTCAATAATTAAAACAATGTATTATAATTAACCTCTTTCGAAGGAGCATCTTAATTCTATCATAGACCTTTCTTTTTTTTGGCTTGTCGTTGAATACACAATAAAAGTATAAATTTCATCTTAATATATAATTAAAATAAAATTAAATATTGTGCATTATTTTTATACGAATGACTTTTTAAAGATTTGGATATCTTTTAAAAAAATATCCAAATTTTAAAAGTTTCAAGCCAGTTAATAAAAAAGTTTTTCGACTGCCGAGTTTTATAGTTTATAAAATGATGAAAAAGAGAGTTTGAAAATTATACAGATATGTTTCGTATTAGATGTTTCTTGAAGCAAGAATTAAGATGTTTGATATTAAAAACGATAGACCGTAAATTTTCAAGTTCAGTATATGTAAACTCTCCAAGTAAAGAAATAATTAAGAAAAAACAAGTTAAATATGAAGATATTTGCCGAAAAGAAATATTGTATTTGCCACATAATCCCAAAGTGATGGAAAATGTTGTTAAAAAGTCATTTTTTAAACGTGCTGATAAAGGTCTTTATGCCAATCGTTGTATTCAATTTGGTAATAATGTTCCAAAATCAAAACTTAAAACCCGAAGAAAATGGCTCCCAAATATTCAGAAAAAGTTGATTTATAGTAAAGCATTAGATAAACTTGTTCAATTAAAAGTTTCAACTCGTGCACTTAGAACAATTGCAAAAGTAGGTGGATTAGATGAATATCTGACAGGAAACAAATCTGCAAGGTTAAAAGAATTAGGTATGCGTGGTTGGGAACTTCGAGAGATGATATTGAAAGCACGAAAGAATAAAGAAGAGACCTTTGTAGATGATTCGAAAGATGAAAAGTCCTCATGATTTTTATAGTTTGTTACATATTTATTAATTCGTATTAATAAATATGTAATTTTATGTTGAATTGTTATATATAAAATGTTGTGTTTAAATGATTTGAAGAAAGGTGTGATTTTAATGAAGGGAAAACCATAATAGGTATTGTACAGTAGAAAGTTTCACATTCCAAAGAAAATGACGCAAAATAATGTGTTTCTCGATAATCTCTATAATTCTCTTTGACCAATTTTGGAAGGGTTAAGGTTTTTGCAGGAGAATAATCCTCATTATTTAGTTGTTCAGAAGTTAGCGGTATTGTTATTTCTAGTCGTATTGTCCATAATAAAGAAACTAATATATTATTAAAATGTAACATAAATAGAAATATGTATTTACCTCCAGAAGTTTTAAAAGAAAATGGAGCCTTAGTAGGAATAAGTAGTTTAAATTGTATTCTAGAGGCACATAATGTAGTTTCTGAATAACTATCATATGTTTTACGAGTTGCTTGAGAAATATTAGACTTTGAACAGTTTGTGATTGATTCTTCAATTATTTCTGTTGTTTCTAGGAAAAATTTTACCTAAAATTTTTCAAGAATTAATAAAAATGTAAAACAAACATACATAATAACATGGTATTTTTGAAGATGAAAAATCGATAACTCCTGTTATTGTTTCACCTAAACTATAAGATAGTTTTAAAATTGATATAATTCCAATTATATTTCCATTCTTATTAATATTAAATTTTTTATTTGAAAAATTATTATATGATGAATTGTTTTCAATTATATCTTGTATTTTATTTTTCATATTAATTAAAGGATTTATCTGTTTTTGAGTATCAGGAAAATGTTCTTGTGTATTTTCTTCAATACTATTAGATAAAAGTAAATCTTTTAGAGACTCATCAAGTATATGTTCTGATAAATAATAAATAAAATCTTTCTTGGAATATTCATCATCTTCATACGTAGAATCCAAATTATTGGAATTTTCTTCTGTATTTGAGATATCATCATTTTTTGATAAATTATATGAAAATATTTCTGCTTCATCAGTTAAATATATTATAGGAGAAAAAAGATCATATATGATTTGATTCCCCAAATCTAGATAAAAACATGAGTTTTAATTGAAATATTTTGCAATTTATTACCATCAATTTTATATAAAACTTCAAATGGAATATTTGATACTTTTAATGGTTGTATACTTTTTCCTGAACTTTGTGTACCAATAGATAAATGATAATTTATTTTTATAGATTTACCGTCATAACTTGGTGGAAGTTGAGATGGCAATTTAAAGTTATAAATATAACTTCGACTTTCTCCTGGCGCTAATTCAAGATCAATAAAAATAATAGATGGCGGTGTTGATAGTATAGGAATATGCTTCATCTCTAAAATTCAAAATTAGAAAATATAGCAGTCATTATTTTGAAAAACTTTTTATTTTTTTAAATTCACCTAATGGACTCATAGGTTGGTTTTTCAGTGAATTATTTATTCCATTGTTTATACCATAATTACTAATAAAACCTAACTTTTTGTTTATTTTAGTGCCATTTTTACCCATTTCTTCTTTAGTAGATTTTATAGAATACTTATTTGTTTTAAATTTTTCAAACATTTTTACATTAATAATCTTTTCATTTAATGTAAAATATCCAATAACTTGAATATACCCTATCAAAAGCTTTTCTTTTGATTCATTTTCTAACGATCCTTTAACTAATTCCAAATTCAATTGCGAATTCGCTTCTAAATCATTCAAATAATCGCTTTTAACATTGAAATCATAAAAAATATCACTGTTTCCCTTTCCTTCCTCTGATTCTACCCTCTTATCTGAAAATACATTTTCCTCTCTATTTTCCTCTCTATTTTCCTCTTTTTTTCCCTTTTTTTCGCACGATTCTTCTTCCTCAAACATTGACTCTTCTATATTCTCTATATCTAGTGTATTTATTGGCTTTTTGCGCTAGTTTTTACTTCTTCAAACCATTCTTCTCTTTTTCCTCTAAAACACTCATTTTTCCCTCAAAAAACACCCTTTTTTCCCCGTTTTTTTTCGCTATCCCCTCATTTAACTCTTCCCTTACTAGATATTGCGTTTTCAACGGGTAATTCCCGTTTTTTTGCGACTTATCTGCCTTTTTTTGCTTTTCATCCCGCTCTTTTTCCTCCAAGATTTCATGCTTAAATGTTATAATAAATGAAAGATATTCTCCTGCTATAATATACTCGTCTTTGGCTCTAATATCGACCCGTATTTTAGACATTTTCATGCAAAATTGGCCTAATTTTCATGGTTTCCATTATTTTAATATTTATTGAGGTTCTGGTCGAGACTGTACGAGACGTCAGAAAAAAGTTAAGAAATCCTTAAGAAATCCTTAAGAAATTGTGGCCCAAATATCAATGAATTTTAGAGGATTCTTAATAATATATATATTTCTATGTTGTTTAGAAGGTTTTTTAATGGTTTTTGGCGAAAATCCGGTCGAAAACGGCCAGAAAACAGGATATACAGTATGTCATTGAGGGGATATTTTTGGGGAATAACTGATGTATTTTGAGAGCAATTGGGCTGTACTTGTTTCTACGTCTAGATTCTGGTTTAATTATAGAGTATTTTGGTTTTTTTTTGGGTTTAAATGAGTAAAAAATGGGATAGCACATGGCAAATACATTAGGGATGTATCGTACGATTAAACGGCTTGGAATTCCTGATTCTCAGATTATATTGATGCTATCGGATGATGTTGCATGTAATTCTAGGAATGTTTTTCCTGGAAGTGTATTTCATAACTCGGATCATACATTAGATTTGTACGGAGATGATATTGAGGTAGATTATCGTGGATATGAGGTTACGGTGGAGAATTTTATTAGATTATTAACAGGTATTGTTTATTTGTGTATTTTTTTTTGGGGAGAAAAAATGGGGTTAATGATGAGGGATTAGGAAGAGTTCTTCCTGATGCGCCTAGATCGAAACAACTCTTAACAGATGATCGATCGAATATTTTTGTGTATATGACAGGACATGGAGGGGATAATTTTTTAAAATTTCAAGATTTTGAAGAAATATGTTCTCATGATATTTCAGATGCATTTGGACAAATGTGGGAAAAGAGACGGTAGATTGTTTTTTTTGTCGAATAAATTTTTGTATATTGAATAAAAAATTAGATATCATGAGATTTTATTTATGATAGATACATGTCAAGCAAATACGATGTTTTCGAAGTTTTATTCTCCGAATATTCTTGCAATTGGGTCATCAGAATTAAATGAATCATCTTATTCGGTGAGTTTTAAAGAGATATATATATATATATTTGTTAAGAATATTATTAGCATCATTCTGATAGAGATATTGGTGTATCTGTTATTGATCGATTTACTTATTATACTTTGGACTTTTTGGAAAAAGTGAATATTACTTCAGAACATACATTTAAGGATTTATTTGATTCATATGATAAAGATCTTGTACAATCTACTCCAGGCATTAAAACTGATCTTTTTAGTCGAAAAATTGAGAATGTTAAAATAACTGATTTTTTTGGAAATATAAGGAAGATAGAAATTAACCAAGAAGATCAAAAATTAAAATTAGGAGAATCATCAATTGATATAGTTGAGCCATATAATTTTTCGGAGACCAAATCAAATTCTACTTCAAAATCAAACTTAAAAAAATCAAGCATGCATTTTTCTGAGTTGCAAAAAGCAACTCGTTTACAATCACCAGAAAGAGCATTAAAATTTAAGGTTATAGGCATTACAATTTTTTGCATTAGCATTTTAATTTTAATATGTAAATTTTAATTTTTATAATATTTTATATGTAGGATATAACTTATTTTATTATAAATATTTTTAGCAATTATTTCTATACATTTATATGAATTACCAATACATAATGCTATTTTATTTTATCCTTAATTAGAGCTATCAATTGCATAGAATATTTTTCCAAAAGTTCTTTATTTGGATTTTCAATTTCTATAGGTGACACTTGTTCTCGAAGATCATTTAATATTGATATAAGTTGATTTTGTAAAGTGTAAAATAGCATAGATCTTTTTTGAGTATCTTTATTTTTTATAGCTTTAATGTCATTATGGATTTCTTTTAGTTTATCTATAATCAAATTTATTTCATTAGTTAATGTATCTTCATCATTAAATATTTGTATTTCCTTAGTTTCATTAACATTAGTTTCATTAACATTAGTTTCTTTTTTTTCATTACAAATAATTGTTGAATCATTAGTGTCCTTATTATCAGAAACTTTTTCGAGTAAAGATATGTCTTGCTTCTGAGAACAATGTCTAATTGGACTTGAAGCACGACGCTTAGAATCTTCTAATTGATCGACTATTTTTTTGCTTAGTCTACTTATCCTTCTTGAAGTATGAGAATTGTTATCACTTTTTGTTAAGTCAAAATTTGAAGGTATTGGAGATACAGATCTTCTCCATAATTTTTTCGATTGAATACATGATACATCTTTTGTTGTAATAGGAGAAAAAGAGCCAATGATACGCTTTGGAATTATTTTTCTGATTGGTGTTTTTAAATTTGAATAAATCCCTTGTGTTGATGCAATTTTTTGAATATCATCTATTGATAATTCCCAGATAGCAAGAACATCCATTCCACTAGAAACAAGTCTTGCTTTATTACTTGATTGAGTAGATTCTATCCATGCTATCCCGGTAGCTCCATCTGTATGTATATAATTCTTTGCCACAAGAGAACATGTTAATAGATCATATATTCTTATGGCTTTATCATTCCCCAAAGCAGCAATAAATTTCTTCTCTACAGTTGTTTTTTTTGTGCTATCTGTATCAAAAGATAATTTTACATTTGATATAGAAATATTCTCTAAAGACACCGTTTCTTTAGGATCCTCAGAAGTTTTATATGTTCCAATGATTTGCCCTTGAATGTCACACTGCAAAAGTTGACGATCTAGAGTTGATACAAAAAACCTAGTTGAATCTTTAGATATAAAAGTAAAATCTAATGCTGTAGAGCGTAATGAAATTATTTTCTTTGTTGAATAGCGTAATTGAGTGCATCCAGATTCTTCATATAGTTGTCTAATAACAATTGTACGATCTGCAGAACAAGAAACAAGTATTTGACAATTTTTATGAAAACGTGCTTTATTTATACATGAATTGTGATCATCAAAAGTTTGTTCTAAATTCCAATTATTAGTATTTTTGTTTCGAGACCATAGTTGTATAGTTCTATCTCTACCAGAGCTAATCATTATATCTAAAATATTTTAGAAATTTAATAAATAACCATAGCAAATATACTTTTCTCATTTACAACACCTGAATCGATATCTGTTATTTCTCCATCATGTGCCATTTGTCTCCATAGTTCTTTTTGATCTCTAAGATTTATTGTTCTGCTTATTTTAAAAATAAGGAATAAAAAAATAAGAAAAATTACCTTAGCATACCATAACAATCTCCAGTTATTAATTCATCGTCATGATGATTGTATTGAACAACTTTCAATTCATTTTTTATAGTTTCTTCTGATATATTTTCAGGTTGTTCTATTGCAATATTTATAGTTAATATACACGCCTCATTTTCATCCCAAAAAGATATTGTTCCAGATATAGACCATGTCATTAATATAGCGTTGAGAAAATTTTTATGTAAAGATTTAACACCCATCATTTTTGTTGAACTTCCTCCTATTATTTGGTTTTTAGATTCATCATTTGTGTTAATAATACGAATTGAATGATCTCCATCAACTATTACCAAATTACCATGATCATCACATGCAATAGCCAATATTCCAGAATCCGAATTTAAAATATTAAGTGATTTAGCAATATCTTTTTTAAACTCTTCTTGAAAACTGTTTTTATTTATTAATTCATATATTTTATATGCCCTATTAAAAATTAGAAATAGCAATTGCATAAATAATGAAATACTCTATCTCTGAATGCTTCCCCGCAACCCATAACAAGTTATCCGCATTATTTATATCAATACAACTTATTTCATATCCTACATTGAAAACTCGTTTAACAGAACGATCTCCTTCAAAAACAATGCATATTTCTCCCTTGCTAGAACACAATATTACAGACTCCTTTCCCAATGATCGAATAGACATAAAATCCTCATCTGACATTGTTCCTAATATTATATTTTTCCCTTCTAAAAGTGAAGTTTTTCCTATATTTGATGTTTTACAAACTTCTTCTTCCCATTTCCATAATTTAACATGTCGTAGTCCACATGTAACTATTGTAATTCCCATCCATGAAAGATCCCTAACAAGACTTGTTACTCTATTGCTTGCAATTCGTCTTATAGTATTCGTTTTGTCAATTATTGACCACACGTTAATAGTTGCATCATGAAGAAATCCAACACTAACAAGATATCTAGAATCCGATGAAAATGAAAGGCATTTTATACCAAACGTATGCCCTGAAATTGCAATAGGTAATGTTGTATTTGATGTTATTGAATATATTAAAATTCTTGGCGATTTCCCTGACTAACATAATTACTTTATATAATACACATATATACCGCTATTTCTACCTCTCCAACTGCAATATATTTTCCATCCTGACTAATTGTTGTACATGATAACGCTTTAATTTTTTCCCTTCCTTTGTTTTGTGTTTCTAGTTCATCCCACATACTTGATCCATAATATTTATCATAAAGAAGTCTAGACTGGCTTCCTGGTGACTCTTGACTTGAAAATGTATCATTATTATCACGTAAAGAGCTACTACTTTTGTTTGGCAAAAAAGGACTATTACCAGTAATAAATCCTCCTTCTGCCACAAGATTTTGGGGTATACAAAAAAAACGCTTGTTTTCTACTGAACATTTGATATCATAAAGAACTGCCACTGCTCCTGCAGGGTACAACACTAATGATGACGGTCTATGAATACTAAGAGAGGTTGGTGATGTTGTACTAGATCCTGATGGCACAGAAACAAGAGATAATGATACTCCTTCAACTGGCTGAGTACATATCTTCCTATTATCCTTAAAAAGGGTTATATTGCGTGATATATCCCCTGGTCTTGAGGAGAAATTCGTTGCTGATAATGATTTATGTATCAAATTCATATTTTTGGTATCTGAAAAAAGGTATAATAATTAATAGTGGTTTATTCTAAGTTATTTCAATGAATATCATGTCTTAAATTAATTATTAGAGGGCCATTTTATAAAATATTTGTGTCTAGTTTATTAATAAAAACAATTCGATTAACGATAAGATAGAATTAAAATTATATTTTGATAAAGCTTAATAAAATGACTATTCGAAGTTATATTTAGAATATTTATGCATGAAAAAGTTGAATTAATATTTACACTTTTTTTTTTTATCAAATAAGAGATTTTCTATATGTTGTGCTCTTTTTTTGACAAGTTCAATATCAGAAAATAATTCGTTAACATGAGGACCTTCAAGAGGTGCGAATTTTAGAGCTATTCTTTCAATAGATTTTATTTTTATGTATAAGGAAGCGATTTCTAAAAGAAGTTCGGGGCTTATTTTTGTAATACGTCTAATATTATTAGCGGTTATAATATTTGAAATAAATACCTTTTTTTTAATTGTTTAATTTGTTTTTCAAATTCCTGAATTGTATCATATGAATGTTTTTTTATATTATCAATTTTATTCTTTTAATATTAGCGATTTTATCATTTATATTTGTAAATATGTAGATTATTACCTGTGATTCGATTAATTTATGTTTCAATTCCTCGTTTTGTTGTTGTAACATAAACATTTGGCTTGCATTTTGATCTAATTTTATTTTTGATGTATAATTTACTTCTTCAATTTTTTTTTTTAGTTCCTTCTCCTGTAATTCAATTCTTGCTTTGGCCTCTTTAACTTGTATTTCATAATTTTCTCTTGTTTTTCTTTCACGAAGAATTTCTTGAATCCCTTCAAATACCACCTGTTCAAGCTTCTTACATTTTTCAATAAGCTCATTCATACGTTTATAATCACATGGTAATCTCTTTTGTGCCTTAATTCTGTTCTCAAGAAGAGAAATCATTGTTTCATAGTATTGTTGATGTTTTGGTTGATTATTCAAAATTTTACTATAATTAGAGACATTGTACCCATATTTCTGTCATTCATCAGTATATCCTCTTTCTTCCCATTAAAAAAAAACCTTCTGATACATCTGAACTTTTGATCTAAGCACTATATAAAATACATCTTCGTTAATTCATTTTTATTCCTTTTTCCCCTCATTTTACCTATATTTTCCCCAATAACCTCCCTCAAAATATCTACCAATTCAATATTCTTCTCATTTATAGCCTCAATTTCTTCAATTGCCTCTTGTAATGACCCTTCAAGCAAATGCATCTTTGATAATCCTTCTTGCATCTCTTCAAGACGTATATAAATATCTTCATATCTTGTTTTTTCCGTCAATTTTATTCTAGATTTATAGTAATCATGAAGATCCCTCGTATTGTGCTGTTCGCCTTGTTCTTTTGACTCCATTACTCTTACATATAAGTATTTAGTTTCTTGGTAGGTCTGATGGTCAAGTATTGTTGTCAGAGGGTTACCAGGACGACCGAGGCAGTCTAGACGACCAATAAACGGAGAAATTATATGAAGCGGGAATAATGGAGAAAATAGGGCGAAATTTATGGGAATAACATGGAAAACATTAAAGATTGGCTTGTTAAAGGGGGGAGTGGGAAAAAGAGCGGTTTAAAACGGCCCAAAACTGAGGTAAATAGAGGAAATCAAAGTGAAATCATGTTGTTTATTTTTTTAGGGAGTAGAAGAGTTAAATAATGAGAAAATTAAGAGACGCGTGATCTGTAAGGATAGGGAATGGATTTGTGAGTGTTGCTGATTTTTTTTTGGGGAAAAAGTGTCAGATAATGAGGAAAATGAGTTGTAAATGATTAAGAAGTAATATGAGAGGATAATTTATGATTTATAGGGAGAATGAGGTAGTAAATATTAAGAAAGAAGTAAAGAAGAAGGGGTAATATTGTTTGAGGTGATAGAGGGATGATTAATATTGGGATCAGTGTTGGATCAGGTGAAGAAGGATCATTAGTTCCAATGAATGTTTCCCAGTTTTTTAAGGACAAAAATAAGATATCAAGATCATCTCCATCATTTAAAAAAGTAGTTTCTGAAGATGGGATTGAAGAAAGTTATATGGATGATGAAGAATTTTCGTTTAGTCAATCTGATTTGCTTGAATTTGAAGAATTAGATAAGATTTGCAAGGATGAAATGAATAAGGATTCACCTGTTAAAATGGTATATTTTGAAGATGGAAATGATATTTGTGATACTGATTTTACTTTGAAGAAGGATTCTGTGGGTTTTAAGGGAGGGTCTAATGATACATCTTTACCAGTAGTTGAGGATGCTTTTTCGAATATAAAAAATAAAGAATCTGTGGTTATTTCTAAGAAAAAGAATAATATTAAGGCCAATATTACACCTAAAAAAAAATCAGGTTATACGGATTTAATTACGAATAAACAAGAGGAAAATGTTGATGATGCTAAAAATATAGCACAAAAGGTTTTAAATGAATGTCCTTTAATATCTTTATCGGATCTTGAAAATGTTGAGAGTAAGCGGTTAGTTGTTTTTATTTTGTTTTATTCTGTTTATATTATATTATATTAGTCATGAGTTTAATGACTATACAACACGTGCTCCCTTAGCGACAAATGCTTCTAGGGAAATACCTGTTGGAAATGTAAATTGTCTTTTTGTAAGTGTTTAATTTTTAAGAAAATATGTAATTATTCAGGGTCTAACTTTTGTTTTTACTGGTGTTTTGAAAACAATTGATCGTGAAGAGGGATGTAATCTTGTAAAAAGATATGGAGGGTTAGTTTATTAATAATTAATTTCTTTTATGATGAATATTTTATAGAAAAGTGACAACAGCACCTTCTAGTAAAACATCATTTGTTGTATTAGGGATAGATGCTGGCCCTAAGAAAATAGAGGCTATTAAAAAGAATAAGCTGAAGACTATAGATGAAGATGGTTTGTTTTATCTTATTAAGAATATGCCTCCTTTAGGTGGAGATACTAAGGCTGCTCAAATTGCAGAAAAAAAGAGGATAGAACAGAATCTTGAAGTGGAGAAAATGGCGAAATTATTGGCTCCAGAGACTCGAGAAATTCAGAAAGCTCAGTCATATCAACTTTGGACTACGAAATATGCACCTCGTAGTCTTAAAGAAATATGTGGGAATAAAGGTTTGGTAGAAAAATTACAAAGATGGTTACGTGATTGGTTAGTATATATAAATTTGTTAAAAAATCCTTATAAATTAGGGACCAAAATCGTATTGCTAATTTTAAAAAGCCGGGATCTGATGGAATGGGGTTTTACCGTGCTGTTCTTATATCAGGTCCACCTGGTATTGGAAAAACTACATCAGCACATTTAGTTGCGAAATTAGAAGGCTATGATGTATTAGAATTTAATGCAAGTGATACAAGAAATAAGAAACTATTACAAGTAATTATAAATATAAAATGTTTTATTTCTATTTAATTTTCAAGGACTCGTTGATTCGAATTTATAATAATACATCACTTAATGGATTTTTTACTCATGTAATTTTATAACAAAATAATTATGAAAAGAATAATTTTTTTAGGAAGAAACAACAGGAAAAAGGAACAAACTTGTTTTGATCATGGATGAAGTGGACGGAGTATCTGCTGGTGATTATGGAGGAATTGGTGAACTTAATTCTTTTATTAAAAAAACTTTGGTAAGTTTTATTTTGTTAATTTTTTTTTTAACAAAATAAAAGGTACCTATAATATGTATTTGTAATGATAGGGCTTCAAGGAAGCTTTTACCTTTGGATAGGACAGTATTTGATCTTAGATTTCGAAGGCCTGATGTCAATTCTCTTCGTTCTCGAATAATGTCTATTGCATTTCGTGAAGATTTAAAACTAGAGCCTCAAGCAATTGATCAATTAGCCGAAATTACTAATGGCGATATTCGCCAAATTATAAATATTCTTTCGTCTTGGAAAATTAGTCAGACTTTTATGAGTATGGATGATGGGAAAAATGCGTAAAGATCATGTTTTTTATTTTTTATTGACTTAGATAAAATAGTGCAAAGGCTGCAGAAAAACATATTGTTATGAATCCTTGGGATGTAGTAGGAAAATTTCTAAGCGGAGGTATATTTAGGCATACTAGTAAATTTACATTAAATGATAAAATTGAACTTTACTTTAACGATCATGAACTTTCACATTTAATGCTCCAAGAAAATTATTTAAAAACACGACCTGATCTATTAAGTTCTACTACTAATTTGAAGCAAAAAAATCATGAGCATTTAAAATTAATAGAAAAAGCTTCTGAGTCTATTTCTTATGGCGATATTGTTGATTCTATGATTCATGGGTAATTTATCTAAAGAATTGGTTTATTTTATAGTAATTATATATCAGACCCCAACAACATTGGAGTTTAATGCCTATGCATGCTGTATTTTCATGTGTTATTCCTTCATTTTATGTTTCTGGATTTTCTACATCCCAATATTCGTTTACTTCGTTTTTGGGTAATTTATCTAAAGCTAATAAACTAATGAGATATTTGCAGAGCATTCAGGCTCATATGTCTTTGAAAACAAGTGGAAATTGTACTGAAATTCGAAAATTTTATATATCATTATTATTTGATCTTCTTTTACGAAGACTTGAAATTAAAGGACAAGATATAATTCCAGATATTATTAAACTTATGGATGAATATTTTCTTTCTAAAGAGCATTCTGAATATATTTTAGAATTAGGTATAGGACCAAATAATGCGAATCTTTTAAAAATTCCATCACAAACGAAAGCTTCTTTTACAAAACAGTAAGGATTTATTTTATCTTTCAATTTGCTTATAAGTTAAGATATAATAAAACTAATCATCCTATTCCATTTTGTGATACTTTTGATTCAGTTAAATCTGGTGTTGTATATAATAAACCTGATTTAGAAGATGCTTTGGAAACAAATTCACATGAACCTCAAGAGCACATTTCTGATAATGAAGATGATTTAGAAAAAGACAAACTTGTTATTGAGAGTGGAAAAAAAGGGAAAAGGTCTTCTAAAGTTACATCTAAAAAGAAAAAAAAATAACAATTTTGACAAAAATTATATATCATATAAATTATAATGTGTTAAAAAACACATTATTTCAATATTTACAAAAAAAATGTATAATATATTTAAGATGATTGGTTTTATTCTTATAATTGTGTTTTTATTTTATATAATTATATAACGAAGATATATTTTTATTTAAGTAATTCTTGGCATTTAAGTTCTAGATTGAATGAAAAAGTAAATATTAGAAATATATAAAACTTACCCAATTCCTTTGAATATTTGTTTAATTCATTGGATATTTGTTCCAATATATTTACTTGATTTTTTATAGTTTCTATTTTTTCTAAATAATTATCTATATTTTTATCTAATTTTATTAATATGTTAAAATGTATATTAAATATTGTATTATACAAATATCAGATATATTTTCTCTATTATTAGATATATCTTCTATAGAATTTTCTATTAAATTATAATGATCAATTGTTATTTGGTTTGTTCTTTTTAAAAAATGAAGATTAGTATTAGTATAGTTAAATATTAAAGTTATAAATGTTTTAAATGATTTAATTGTTTTTGAAATAATATTTTCTAGTTTTAAAAAATCTTCATCCATATTAAATTATTTTTAGTTAATTCATTTTATAATAAAAACATTTATAAACGTTTGAATATAATATATATATATGATTTATATTCTATAACAATTTGATTTCATTGAATATTATGATATAAATTTGTATTTTTAAGATAATATAGTTGTAGTTTTATATATTCTTTTTTATAACATAAAATACAACAAAGAAAACATTATATTAAAAATATAACTTATGAGATTTGTTCTAAATAATCAAGAATCTCTGTTTTTGTCAATTTTCTAAATTGAGGACATGGTGACTCATCTGTATCCTCTGGTTCATAATTATATGTTACAGATGGTCCAACTGCACCTATCTCTATAGTATCTTCCGAAAGCTCTCCTTCAAACCCTTCTTTTAAAGTAAGAAGTGCAATATGTATAGCATCTTCAAGTTCAAGTTGATCATTATATCTTTTTTCAAGAAATGTCTTTGCTGACGTTGCTGATTTCCCTATCGCCGTCGCTTTCCATGGAAAATATGTACCCGACGGATCAATCTGATACAAAGACGGTCCATTATGTTTATCCCATCCTGCAACTAATATAGATACCCCAAATGGACGTATACCACTAAATATATTATGTATTTTTTTTTAAAAAAATACAACTTTTCCTACCCCGATTGCGTCGCATCTTGAACTACCTTAGCTAAATCCTGAACAAGTATACGAGTTGGTGGATATTCATGATATATTAATTTATAGTTAGAATGTGCAAGTTTTCTTGCTTTATCCACCAAAACTCGGAAATCCGGCCCAATTCCAGAATATACCATCCCAATACTCGGAGTAATACATGATACCTTATCAATTGTATCCTGTTCAACAAGTGATGATTGACTTTTCTTTTCTGTCACTAAAACAACCCCATTTTTGGCTTGTTTATCGGTTTTTATCAAATAAAAAGAAACATATCGCTTCTTACCCTTAATACCAATAGATGTTACGCCTTGATTAACCGCTGAAAGGGCATATTCAATCTGTACAAGCTTTCCATTTGGTGAAAATGTAGTTAATGAAAAACTATGCAAAAATTAACCTTTTTTAACCCAAAAAAAAGGAAAATATACCTATATCTATCCACCATAATAACGTTTTTAATAGTTTTTTTGAAATATTAATAGTATTATTGCTGAATATCTAATAACTTTTTTTTATGAGGTTAAAATCCTGACGATCCTAACGACCAACGTACAAAAAGTTAAGGTTAGTATAAAATTTGAATAATCATAGAAAATAATGATTTTTATAGGAAAATAACTAGAAAATATAAAAATATCATTAAAATTTGAATGTTTTTGCATTTTTTTTGAGAAAAAATGGTTGATTTTTGAGCAAGATATTAAAGAATAAAGATAAAAAATAATAAGACATAAGATAAGGCGAAAACTAGAGATTAAGAAGATATAATTAGTCATAAATAATGGAGAATAAAGAGTTTTCAATGTTTTATGGTACAATATTGGTTATTCCGGTTGTATCAATTGGTAATGTACCTCAACTTGCGGTGGATCTTCTTGTACATTCAGCAGGCCTTTCAAGAAAAGCTATACTTGATAATTCATTACTTTATCCTTTTGCGGGACCTAGAGAAGATGCAGGTGCGCCATGTTATGGTGGAATTGCGACAGCTTTGGATGGTAAGAATATAATTAAAAAATGAATTTTATTTAAACATGAATAATTAAGTTTTTGGTGATGATAAGATCACGGTTATTCAACAGAGATCACCTATATTACCAGGAGAAAAAAGAAGTTTTGTTGAAAAAGTTTTATTGCCTTTTATTAAGAAAGGACAATTTTGTGAAGTTATTGTATTAGGGTCTACTGATGCATGTAGAAGAAATGATGCAGAAATAGAAGGGTAATATATAAAAAAATGTTTTATAAAGGATGTATATAACGTTTTAGACCTAAGGAGTTTATTTTGTCGACACTTCAAACTGTTTCGGGATTGTCAGAGTATTTTTCTACACTTAAACTAATATCAGGATCAAAGAAAGTTTTTCCAAAATTATTTTCATCTGGTGCACTTATTCCATTGCTGGAATATGCTCTAAGTCAAAATGTTTCAATGACTGCTTTAGTAATGTATGTAATGGAAGGGGATAATACAGAAGATGCTAAACGAATGGCAAGAATTACAGCTAAAGCATGTAAACTTGATGACCTTGCAGAAAATCTGGAATGCCCAAAAAGTTGGGATTATCTTTTTGGAAAGGAATTAAAAATTGGATTTGAGGGAGGAATGTTTTGGTAATATCTATATTTTTATATATGCTGTGATGCTATATATTGCATTAAAGAATTACGTAAAACAACACCCTTACTTTCTAAAGAAAAGATTTTGATATTAGCGCTTCCATAGTTTATTCTTGCTGTGATCCATCCAAATCCTGCAATTACAATATCTTTATGTTTTTTATGTTCAATACTTTCTGTCAAATTATAATACAAAATTTTTGTTTCATTAAGTGAAGTTTTATCATCTGTAGTCATGTTATTAACACTTGAAGTTGTTTTAAAAATATGTTCAGCTTTCTTTCTATTTGTAATATGTATTGGAAGAAATGTATATGGTGTAACTATTAATCGATTATCTTTCTTCAAAGTATCTATATAATCAATTCTAACAATTTTTTCTATTATAAGACTTTGTCCTTAAAATATTAATACGTTTATTAATTCTTTTAATAATTCTTAATCTTACCAGCTTTTATTGAAAATGGTTTTATTTTAGGAAATCTCTTTTTAGGTATATAAAATTTCAATTTGTTACATTCAATATGTTTAAATAACTGTCTATTCGGTTCAGAAATCCCTGGCGTATCTATAATTATGCCATCATCTTTAAATAAATTTCTCAATTTGTTCATATCTATATTTATTGGATTTAAAGTTGTTCCTGGTAAAAAACTAACAGTAGGCGTCTCCTCATAACCTGCTTGACTAGCAAACCTAGAAATAATAGATGATTTCCCAACATTAGCCATTCCAATAAAATATATATTGCTTTTTTTGGTTTTATATTTGTTAATAGATGTTATTAATTGATCTATGCCCCAACCTTTTGTAGCACTTGTTAAAATGATAAATGGTTTTATTTGTTCTTCCGCAATTTGAGTTAATTTTGATATTTCTGAGACAAAATAGTCTCTTATTTTGTTTAACATATCTTTTTCTGTACATATTATATCAATTTTGTTGATTACATATAAAATTTGTGATATTTTTCCATATAAATTATGCAATTCTGATATATATGAATGAGGAAAATCAACAGAATCAATTATACATATCAAAAGTGGATTTTTTTCTTTCAAAAATATTGATAACCAATTTGCTGATGATAATTTCTGTGGAAGTATAGGAAATTCTGTTGATAATGTTGAATGATGAACTAAATTATGACATCGTTTACATATTTCCCTTTTTTTAACCTTTTTTTCTTTATGAAATCTTGTTAATCTCTCTTGTTTAAATGTATTTAAAAGCTCTAAACGCATTGTTTCATCAAGATTAGCTACTGCCTCATTATATATATCATTTTCTCTCTGTTTTTTTAAATTATTAAAACTTTTAATAGTTTCTGTCTTGTTAAACATAGTATTTGATGAATATTTTCTTTCATTCTCTTCAAATTCTGACCCACAACCTGAACATACACTTTTTATACCATATTTTTTTAATTGTGGCAATAATATTGGAAAAAAAAAATCCCTTTTTCTTGAATACGTTTCCATACTAATATATACACTGTTAAATGACCATATACTCCTTTTCTTCATCATTTTTATCATTTTTTTAAATATGCTATAATCAAGAAATTATATATAAATAACCAAAATTTGCCGGATAAAAAATATTTCTTATAATATATTCATTAAAAACAATTTCCCCTATGTTATTTGCCCTTTAATCTTTGTTTTTGTCTTTTTTTTTAGAAAAATTATAGTTTCTATATCGTCTAACTTATGCGTATTTTAACCGCTAAATTTTTGTCTTGAATATTAACAAGTAATTTATGATTAGAAATACCTTTTTACGCCTTAATTTTAGAACTAAAACAGCTTTATTTCCTTTTCTTCCTCAATTATCCTTTTTGAACTCTAAAAAAAGGCCAATTTGGATACAATCTGAAAAAACTCCTAATGAAAACGCAATTAAATTCATTCCTGGCGTTAATATTCTACCTGAATCCTTTAAATCTGTTGAATATTTGAATAGTAAACAGGCAATATCTTCACCTCTTGCAAAAAAGCTTTTTGCTATTGATGGTGTTAAATATGTGTTTTATGGACCTGATTATATAACTATTACAAAACATCCTGAGAATGAATGGAGCCCTCTTAAACCAGAGATCTTTTCTATTATTATGGAACATATAAGTTCTGGTCAACCTATTTTTTTACCACAAAAACATGATTTAGATTCAAATATAAAGACTCAAGAAGATGATTCAGAAGTGGTTTCTATGATTAAGGAATTATTAGAAACACGCATTCGTCCTGTTATTCAAGAAGATGGGGGAGATGTTGAATATAAAGGTTATAATAATGGAAAGGTTCTTCTTAAACTTAAGGGCGCTTGCAAAACATGCAATTCATCTGTTATGACTTTAAAGAATGGTATAGAAAACATGCTTATGCATTATATACCCGATGTAAAAGGAGTTGAACATGTAATGGATATAGAAGAAGAAGTAAGCATCAAAGTAAGATAATAATAAGTTTATATTTTAAACTTAATATCTTTAGGAATTCGAATATTTCGAGAAAACAAAATCTTCATAATACTAATATCAAATGATTTGAAAAGAACACATTATAAATCCATGTCTATAGCTTTTAAACCTTCAATTCCATATAAAAATAATACCAATTCAACATCCAAAGACTTGAAATCAATCCTAATACTTTATATACCCATTTAAAGACAAAAGACGCCCCTTATCACAAATGATTCATTGGCAATACCAATCATGGTAATCACCAATAAAAAATCGGTGAAAAAAAGCGTCCTGCCACTCAACAGGATGTTTTTTTTTCCAAAGATTCCTTACTGAACTAAATCAGTAAGAGCGGTCAGGGAATGTAGTTTTCACTATAAATTATCAATATTCAAATACCATAAAAAACTTAAAACTTACACTAGCAAAAACACTAACTCAGGCGAACCTTCACTGTTAAGCGTAAAACCCTTGCACCTAATCAATTAGACACTCTCTCTAATCAAATAAATTCACTTACAAAGACAAAGAATTAAAATCCTCCTTCTCCCTTTTATATATTTTTCATATTTTAAACTCCGATATCTTAAAACTCCGATCAATGTCACGTGACTTACATATAATTAAACCCTCTTTTTTACAAAACAAAAATCATTAACAAATTTAATAGATTCTTCTCTTTATAAATCTATCTTTCTTATCTTTTTTTTTTATATTTTTATATTTCTATATATATTCAGAACCATCAGCTATTTTCTGGCCGATCGTCAGAGCCTTTAATAAAACGTCAGAAAAATGTTTATTATTAACTGGTTTTATGAGATCCTTGCGAGCCTTGGATTGATGAATAAACATGCAAAACTGTTATTTCTTGGTCTTGACAATGCAGGAAAAACGACATTATTACATATGCTAAAGGTAAGATTAGATATAGATAAATAAGAAACAAGATTAATATGTTATAGAATGACAGATTGGCGACGTTTCAACCTACATTACATCCGAGTAAGTTAGTAGGAATCTAAGGAAAAGATTTTATAAGAGAATTAGCTAGTGAAGAATTAGCTATTGGAAACTGTTTATTTACGACATTTGATCTAGGAGGACATCAACAAGCCAGAAGATTATGGAGGGATTATTTCCCAGAAGTGGATGGAATTGTCTTTCTTGTTGATTCGTCGGATGTAGAGAGATTTTTGGAAACAAAAGCAGAGCTAGATGCTTTACTTTCTATTGAAGAATTGTCAAGAGTGCCATTTCTTGTGCTTGGAAATAAGATTGATGCACCGGGTGCGGTTTCAGAAGAAGAATTGCGTGTGACATTAGGGTTATTCCAGACGACAGGGAAAGGAAAGACGTCAGTTGAAAATATACGACCAATTGAAGTATTTATGTGGTAAGTTTTTGCATATTCTAGTGCATGATAAGTGTTGATTAATTTTTTATAACTATAAATTAGTTCAGTAGTTATGAGACAAGGATATGGTGATGGATTTAGATGGTTAAGTCAATATGTTTAAAATTAGACAAAAAAAAGTGAAGGATTTTGTATAAAATCAAATATAAAAGTTGAATGTGCTAGCTTATTTCATTCAATATATGAATCATTTCTATCGCACGTTGTGGATCCCCTTTGCTATAAATAAATAGTCCTTGTAATGCAGCAGTACTAACTGGTACACCAGTCGCTCTTACTTTTTCCAGAAAAATATTTGCCTCTTTATTTTTGTTTTCGTAGAATTTTAAAAACATTGTTTGAATTTGATAATCCGTCGCAAAGCCGAAATATTTTAAAACATCAACTCGTCCGGGACGAATCAATGCAGAATCTAATTGATCTAGATGATTTGTTGTCATAAAAATAATTCGATCCTCAGCAGAAGCAACACCATCGAGTGCATTTAAAAAACCAGAAAATGTAATATTATTCCTAGAATTAAAGAATTATAATTTGGAATAAAATAAAATAAAAATACCCATATTTTTCTGCTTGTTCACGTTTGGAAAAAGCAGAGTCTACATCTTCTAATAATATTATACTTCTTGTAGGAACACTGCTTAGTAAGAAATTAAGACGATCATCTGTTAAGCCTTTCTCCGAAAGATTTAATAAGCATATGTTGTATTCAAGTTTTCCTGCAATAGATTGTATAAACGATGTTTTTCCAGTGCCAGGTGGTCCATAAAATAAATAGCCTCTTCTATAAGGTATACCTTAAAAATTTAAACAAAAAAGATTTAACGCAAAAACAATACCTCGTTGTAAATACCAATCTCCACTATTTAAGAAATCTTTAATATCATTAATTATTTGTTCTTTAACATCTTTATCAAGTATAACACTTTCTAGGATTCTACGTCGTCTTGGCTGTCCAAAAGGACGCCATTCAGAACCCCAACTTGTATAAATGACTGTTTTTCCCTGTTGTATTTTCATGGCAAGATTTTGTGCATCTTCAAGTAATTCGGTAAATATTTTTCGATCTTCAAACAATGTTGTTAAAGTTATCGTCTCCCAAGGTGATCCTGTCGATAAATCAATCATTTTTCCATCTCTTTCCCGATAAAACTAAATAAAAATTGATATATTAAATTAATTAATTATTGTTTATATACTTGAATCCATGCATCCTTATATTTAAAAAAATGTTTCCCATGGCCTGGAATAAGGCTAAATGTAGTACTTGAACTTCCATTGTCGTGCTGTTTATACATTGTTTCAACTGAATATTGATGCATACGTTTTGTTAACTTTTGTGATGATATCCAATGAAGAACCCATAAATAACTTTTATCTTTAGATGAAATCTCAAGTGAAACTGTAAAATAACGCTTAGCTAAATGCATTGATTGAATAATTCCATGACGAAAAAGCGCCAATCCTGTACCTAGCCCCATTAATCCTAATCCCTTCAAAAATTCATTAGCATCTTTTTTTTCAATATAAATCAATTTACTGCTGTAAAAAATTGATTTTCATTGAAAATACTAGCAACTATGTTGTTTTTTTTGGTCAATTTAACCTTTTCGTCTATAATTAAATTGTCATTTTCTACATTAATCGTTGACTCTGTCATTATAATATTTCAACCACTACTAAATCCCTTTAAAACCTGTTTTTCCGTTGTATAATAACGTCCAAAATATATACTGGTCAATAAATATAGAATTGTTTTAATATACAGATTAGATGTTAATTAAAATCCTCAAATTTTCGTATTTTTAAGCGCAAAAAAAAAGTAAATATATCAAAAAATATCCATTTATTCCAAAAACTCCATTAAAACTCTATAAAATCCCTTTTATACCCCTCTAAAAGACCTTTTTAAGCCTAAAAAATTCAATTTATTTTTTTGGAGGTTGCTGGTTGCTCTAGCAACAATATACGATGACCTTAATCTTAGAAAAATTAAGTAAATTTATAAGCCAGTGGATAAACCTTTAAAAATATTTACAGAAATTTATACATAAATTTAGTCTTTATTTAAGATGTTTAGATCAAATAAGAAGAGAATAAGTAAAAATAATGAGAAATTTGATGTACATGTTTTACGTTATAATGAATATCCATATCGTCTTAATTTTTATCTTGAGACGCCTAGAGAGGAGATAACTATTGAGGAATTTGAGAATTGGGCAATTGATAGACTATATGGTTAGGAATGTGTGTGTTTGAGGGATAATTTTTATAAAAAATTGGATAGTTCTTAGTGAAATTGAATCAGGGCTTTTTCGAAATAAAACTCTTAAAGAAATGGATATTATGTTGAAACCATTGATTGAAAAGCATCTACCTCTTAGTAGTAATATGTCTAAGTCATTGAAGGGGGCGATTTTGGATCAAGAACGAAAAAAGGATCATTATAGTCATTATATCTTAAGATTAGCATTTTGTAGATCGTAAGCTATTTTTTTAAATAAGGAGATATAAAGTTTATAAATTTTCAGAGAAGAGCTTAGGAAACGTTTTATAAGGGCGGAGATGACATTATTTAAGTTTGGTGTATTTTTTTTTAACATTAAATAATGTTTTTGAAGACTTCGATTTTTACAAGATGATGCCAAGGAAAGATTTGCATTTATAAATAGTTTGAATTTTGATTGGGAAATGGTTATCTTTTTTGAATTTTTTGTTTTTTTAACAATACATTTAAGATTTCTGAAGATGAAAAACGATCTAAATTGGATAAATTGAGTGATTCCTTACAAAGAAATATTGAAAAAGAGTCCTTTTTTAAGGAAATAATTATTATATATTAAAAGATAATAATAATGATAGAATAGGTGGATTTTGATAAGGTTTGTGATTTGGTAGAAAAACGTAAAGTTTTTCTAGAAAAAGGCAAAGCCTATGTGCCTATATCAGAACAAATAAGTTTAATTTCTGAAGAATTTTCTTTAAATTTAGAAAAATCTTTGGAGGTTTTAAAATGATTAAAATATTTATTTATCAATTCTTATATTATTTAGTTAACAGCTAGAATATTACCTCGTCTTGATGAAGATGATCGATTATTGCCTATATTAAATCATTTAAGTTTAGGATTTTCAGCACCGGAATATTCCAGTACAATTGCTACTATTGGAAGTATTACTGCGTCGCAAATAGACCTTGTAAGTACGCATGCGATTCTTTACATTGCTTTAATATTTTGATAAAGCTTGTTAAACATTTTCCATTATGTCAACGTAATTTGCATTTAAATTTGAGAAAGGATAAACACTTAAAATATTTTGGAAGACTTCAATATGGTTTATTTTTGAAAGTATATTTTATCTCGAAGAACATACATTAATGCTTATAATATTAAGGGAATTGGTTTAGATGTTGAAGAAGCATTAGTATTTTGGAGAAAAAGCTTTTCAAATACATCTGATGAAAGGTTTAATAAGGAGTATAGATATAATGTAAGACACAGTTATGGACTTGAAGGCAATCGTAGAAATTATAAACCTTATAGGTAATTATTATTTATGTGAATTGCAAGTTAAAAATTAATTTTAAATAAAGTTGTCAACAGATCCTTACTGGTCCTCAACCAGGTACAGGTGATTCTCATGGTTGTCCATTTCGGCATTTTTCTATTGAAAATTTAAATGCTTCTTTAGAAAGTATGGGAATTCGTGATTCAAAAGCTTTGAAAGAAATTAATGAGGCTGTTGTTGAAAAACATTATCATATTGCATGTACGAAAGTATTTGAATTTACACATCCTTCAATTGGTTCTTTACAAGAAAGTATTTCTCATCCAAATCAATATTTTGACAATAGTTTTACCTTAGAAAAAGGTATTAATGAAGATATAACAATGAAGACTGAGAAGAAAAATACATGAATTGTTTTTTTATGAAATAAGTTCTGTTGATTGCATGTAATAAATGAATTAAATTTAAAAATATCTTATCATAAAATAAATTTAGCTTATAACAATAAGGTTTCTGGAGTTTCGATGTAGCTTTTTAATTCCTTAATAAAAGTCTTCGCAACATGAATATCTGTGTAAGATTTATCCAGTTTTATCCTTATAAATATTGTATAGTTAGTGTATTTTTCTTTGGTAGACATAGATGATTTATCGAATATATTTCCTGCTAAAAAATCTATTATATCTAAATTTTCTTTAGGCTTTTTTAAATTTTGTTTTGGAACTTCAAGAATTTCCTCTAAACTTAATGATATAGAGGAAGGAAATATTATATTTCCAAAACTATATTAATTAATATAGAACTAATTAATAGATATAAAATCACCGAATAATTTTAGGTGATGCCCATAACACTTTTGTTTTCTCATCTTTAATATAATCAATTTGGAAGTCTCTATCATTTATATTGAGATTTATACAGTCATAATATTTTGGAATTTCTCCTAAAACATTAGAAAACAAAATTTCTTGTGTAGATGGTTTTTTAAGAAAAATAGAAGGTACTTTTTGGGTTCCCTTGTAGATAGCTTTGTTCATTAAATCCGAAAGTTCCATTTTAATATTTAATTTTTCTAAGTTTTTGTAAGAATATTATATTAATATTGATTCTATACCATTAACACTTTCTTTCATTGATAAAAAAGATTTAAGAGAAACAGGAATAATTATTGAAATAAATGAATTTTCTATAGGTTGTTTTGGTTTTATTTTTAGATTATTAAGATCTAACTTTTCTTTTTCCTCAATAATTTTTACTAATTTTAAAGGAAAATCTCTATTTATTGCGCCGACATATGCAAGAATATCTCCTTTTAGCAATCTTCCTTGAGGACCTGTTGTTTTGATTTCAAAAGGATTAGTAATATTATAATGTTTAATTAAAGAAAGAACAGCTGGCGATGAAATTGTCACTGGGTTTTCCAATCTATCTTTCATAATATTCTCTGCTGAAATATCATTTCTGTTTATTCTATTCGTAAATATAGTCATTTTTTTTTGTAACTGAAATTTATCTTTATATTTGTTAACAAAGTATAGTCCAATTCTTCTAAAATTCTCATACTTATTCCGTTCCTAATATATACATATTCTGGCATGTTCTAAATATGTCAAATACTTCTTTTGCTTAAAGATTTACTACATTAATTGGTAGAATTCCATGATTTAAAGTATTAAAATACATTAAAACTTTTGGCGATTTGATTCTAAAAAATCCCCTCTTAAAAATAGATTTATCTGATCCATGTAAGAACTACTAAAACGAAATAAATAAACCTGTATTAAGGTTTTTTATTAAACCATTTTTCAAAAACATATTTAATGATTTTTTTGATAATTTATGTCCTTTTTCTGGGAAAAAAAAGCATTTATGATACATTCTCTTAAGCAGAATGTTATTTCCTAGTGTTTTTTTAATTTTTCTTCAAAAAAAAACTATAATTAAAAGTACTTTTTGTCTGAATTATTTTTAATGAATCTTTGTCAATAAATCTCCAAAAAAAACCTGGAAAATTGGAAAACATCAATTCTTTATCAAAAAAATAATAAGAAATTGTTTTTAGAGATCTTTTATTGGTTTATTTAGGGATTTTTTATTCCTGAATATTTTATACCAAAGATCTGACGTCGATTTTATAGAGATTAAACCTCAAAAAATTATAGAAATATATATTTCTTTAGTTTTTCTTTAAAAAAAAATGTATATATTAGATTGTTTACTATAGAAATGTAATATTTTTTAATTGTTATTTGTATCTCTTTTTTTTGCTTAAAAATTGGTTGATTTTTAAGCAGAAAAATGAAAATTAGATAAATGACCAATATTTTTAAGAAATCTAGACTATAAAGACATAAAGGACCATTATTTTATATCAATTGATAGTATATATTTGTATTATATCTGCAGAAGAAGTGTAGATGTTTTTATCTCATGGAATTAATTACTATAGAAGATATGAACAATACTTTTTGTTCTAAATTAGAACAAAATATTTTAAATAATATACAATTGATATGAATTATATGGAGTTTTTGAATAAAGATGAAGAGAAACTCTTAAAATCTCTTTACTGGATATTTTTCAAAAAAAAAGTATATATAAAGGATTTTTGGTAATAAATGTCCAGAAAAGTATTTTACAGGATGAAAAGAAGCTTTAGATCTTTTCTATAATTATCATTGATTAGAAAGGTTTAGAGTCTGGATCTATCTTTACATTATTTATTAAAAAAAAATATAAGATATAAAAGTTGATATATGAACAAGTAAAAAATATATTAAGAAATATATCAAGAAATAACAGAAATTGTCTTGAATAAATACAAAAAAGATATAATAGAGATATCTTTGAACAAAGCTTTAAAAAATTCATTTATTTTTTAAAAAGTACTAAGAAATTCAAAAAAAAAAGATATTTCTTGATCAAAAAACAATTTCATTAAAAATAGTCATTAAAAATGTTAATATGATTATTAATTTAATCTTAAATATTTTTAGAGCTATATTCAATTGATTATAATTATTTTTTATTTTAATTAATATAAATATTTACTTTTTAGCTATTAATTAGAAAATATATTAATAATACTTTTTAAAACATCTTGTTTCTTAATATTTTATAAATTCTTTGTTAGACAATATATAATCTTGTTTTAAATATCTTAATATTAGGATATTAGAATTTTTAAGATATATTTTAGTTTATTAGGAATTGAATAGAATGGATGAAGTGCAAAGCCGTTTAAAGCAGCTTAATGAGATTGAAAAGGTATATTTTTATGGGGGATTAAGTTATTTTCTTATGTTTTTTTTAAAGAAAATTTCAAGTTTATTAAGAGAAGGAGGATTAGCCATTGAAATAATTGTTAAGAAATCTACAACAAAAGAAGAAGAATCATTATTAAAAGATGCATTTCAGTCTCATGTTGAAAAATATATGGAGTTATTGGAGGTGTGTTTAAAGATTAATAAGTATTTTTTAATAAGCAAGAAGGATGTTTCAGTTCAGCTTAGAAATCAAGTAAAAGCATTGGAAGAAGCCCAAGTTCCTATTAATACAATTCCTAAATTGCAAGATTTTGCTAAAGAAAAAAACATAGAGCACTGGAAAAAAGTAGAAATGTTTTTGAAAAAATTACAAGTTGAACAGAAAGAAATATAAGATATATTAGTATTTTTTATTTATATTACTACCTGTGTTTTTTTTTTGTAAAAAAATGCAACTTAACTGAAGGAATAGTTTTATTGTTTTGTTTTTTACCTAATTATGTGCAGAATGGATTATTTGAATAGGTCTTTATGTATATGGAGATTGTGTACAAAGACGGCCAAGCTCAATAAGTTTTTCGATTTTCATTCTATGGGATATAAATAATAATTTTGGAAAAGTAGCTTTTTGTCCATAAAGTATCATTCGGTTAAGGCGTTTTTCATCAGGATCAGTTAATATATACCAAAAGTCGGATGCTATGGTTTTTGGCTTATAAATGATAAGTTATAATTAATAGACAAGATAAAAATTACTAGGATTGTTATGTTTCCCTCAAATTTTTGTAAAAAGATGTGAGCCCAATCTTGGCCAAAAGGTCTAGGCATAAGTTCGAGATTTCTCAGTAAACGAAGCCATTTGAACATATCATGCTTTTATTAAAGTGATATATATATATATATATAATTATGGAGTACATACCTTAAGATATTGTTCAATGGCACTACCAAGAAATCCTCCTCTCCATCCTTTACCTTTTCTATGGCCTACAGGATTACCAACTGAACCTCTAGGTGAAAAAAACCAAGTATTTATGTGAGGATTAACTTGAGACACTATTGAATATGTGACATCAAAATACTATAAAATATTAAATATTATTTAAGGCTTATTTCCTGTATTTTACTATATGTAATGAGTGGGTAGGGATATCTGTTCGTAATGATCCTAAATATTAGTTTTAAATTTATAATAATAATTAAAATTACCATCTTTCCATTTATTACCAAAACTATAAGGAATTAATTGACCATCAGAATTTTTTGACATAAGAGGCACTGGGTTTAAAATTCCTTTTGCATAATTAGTTATAATTTAATTTCAACTATTAAAAATTAACCAGGAATAGCAGCACTAATAAAAGTTAAAATATATTAAAAATGATAAATATATTATAAACCTTGCTATTAATGCAGACCATATCACAGTATTAGGTGCAGTAAGATAATTCAAAAGTTTTGGAGGAGAGTGAATATCATTAGGAATTACCGATATATTTAATATTCTACCAGTTCTTTTATATGCTTCTATAAATGTAGTACTTCCTCTAGTAAACCATGTGCAGCGAACAGCACTAAATGTCAATTAACATTTAATAATGTATAAATTATTTTAATACGAATCCACTGCATCAAATCTTGCGCCTGTTTTCCACCATCTTTTTAACCATGTCTAAAAAGATTAATAAGAAAAACTAAAAATAAAAACATATACAAGTGTTTTATCGTTACATGCTGTAATTTTGTGTGATAATTCTGGAACAAGAAGAGCCATAAGTTCCTAATTCTTGTAAATATGTTTTGAGTAAAATCAAATATATACTTCATCAGTACGTGTACAGGCCAATGATGCAATCAAAGCACCTCCACTAGTTCCCGTAATTATGTTTGGGAGAAGTTTCGTGTCAAGCAATGCTTTGATTACGCCTAGATGATAAAAACTAGTAATATTAAAGAAGAAAAAAAAATGTAGAAAAGTACGCAAATGTAGCACCCCCAGATAAACATAATGCAGAATTCCCATAATTCTTAGTTAAATGTTCAAAAAAAGATCGTTTCTCTTCAATTGAAATTTTGGAAGTATTAATTATATATTTTAAACATTTTTCAACTAAAAAATCTAAACATAAATCATCTCTTTTAAAAGAAATAACTACCTTCAGTTATATAACCTTCAGCTAAGTATTTTGTCCCAAAATATGTTTGGCTATATAGTAACGGGTTTTCTATGCCTCCTATCAAGAAATAAGAAATTTTCTATTAAAACAAAAAATTACCAAAATTAGGCTTGATACATGTTTCTAATGCACTCTTAAGAGCTTCTATATCTTCATTTTCTCTATATGTTTTCAAATATTTTGACACTTTACTAATTAATTGGTAATCATAATAATCAAACTGCGGATCTTCCATCCATTTATCATTCCCAAGAAATCTATCAAGTTCTAATGCCGCTTTCTTCCATTCTGCGTACGATTCTGCCGTATAAAGCCTTTTTCTAAGACGTTGTCTTTCTCCTCTCCTACATAATAAGAAAAAATATTAATATACATAACCCCACCATATATACAATCCCTCATATAACGATATATAAAAACGCGTTATTATATATAAAATTCTGCCCTTTTAAATCATTTAATTCCACTTTTAATGAAATCTTACAACAAAACAAAAAGATATCCAAAAATAAATATCACTATAGGCCATCGAAGAAGATAATGCCTATTACCACAGTTAAAATACATCATATCTCCTCTTTATTTACATAAATCCCTCCCGTTTCTCGTCCGTTCCTTTTCTAATTTTATTATACTCTATTTTCTTATATTTCTGAACATATTCATAAACTGGACACTTTTCATCAACTGATTCCATAATCTCCTCATCTGTTTCTAATGTTTCTGATGAAAAAAGGCACTTTTCATACTCTTTTATATCTATTTTCTTCAGTTATCTTACTTGTTTAAACTTTTAATTTTACCATTAATATTGCAGAAATCAACATAAAAGTCAGGAATAGATTCCAATGATCTTAAAGCTCCATATTTTCCCTTTTTTTTGTCTGTTTTTATCATTTTTTGCCTGGTTTTATCATTTTATCTCTGGTTTTCTGATGATCATTATTTTTGAGGTTAACAGCTGAACGTCAAAAAAAAGTTGAAAAATTTGAAAGTTAAAATTGAAGGGAAAATTGATTAAAAAACGAGAAAATAGAACGTTTATATGATTTTTGGATGCAGAAATTACTGGGGTTACTTTTTTCCGCGGAAAATTTTGAGTTTTTATAGAGAATTGAGGATTTTAGCAATTGAAACATCATGTGATGATACAAGTGTCTGTTTGTGGGTTATATGAGATATTTCTAGTGGTATTTTCTAAGATTTAGGCTTGAGAATTGTATTGATAAGGGTTTTTCTGAGGTTTTATACCATAAAACAGAGAGATCATTGAGTGAGAACGAGAAGTTTGGTGGTAGATTTTAGAAGGGTTTTTGGGTAGATTTAATTGTTAAAAGGGATTCATCCAGAAGTTTCAATTGTGTATCATCAGAAGAAATTGTCATATATTTTAAAAGAAGTTTTTGATGAGTATATTTGTGGCCGACGGAATGTATAATATAATTGGGTATTTTATTGAATGATATAGACCTTAATAGATAGATTTAATTGCTGTGACGCAAGGTCCTGGGATGATTGGATCTTTGTCAGTGGGATTGAATACGGCAAAGGGTTTATCAGTAGCCTTAGATGTTCCTTTGATTGGGATTCATCATATGGTATTGAATTATATATGTAATTTTAATTAATGTATGATATCAGCAAGCACATTCTCTTACTCCTCGATTGATTAGTAGTGGAAAATATCCGGAATTTCCTTATTTAAGTTTATTACTTTCAGGTGGACATACATTATTAGTAAGGTCACGAAGTGTTATAGAGCATGATATTTTGGCATCTACATTGGATATTTCAGTGGGGGATATGATTGATAAATGTGCAAGACTCTTAAAAGTTGATTGGAATGGCATGATGCCTGGACAAGCTCTTGAAAATTGGTCAAAAAGTGGTGATCCATCAATGGATACAGACACAGTATGGAACTTGCCTGAACCTCTTATGAAAAACCCGGAAAATCGATCTAAACTTGCATTTTCTTTTTCGGGATTAGGTTCATCTGTTGATCGAATTGTTAAAAGGTCATCTTTTAATGAATTTCAACTGAAAAGTCTAGCCAGATCATTACAAATATCTGCATTCAATCATATTTCCCGCTGTCTTCTATTAGGACTAGAAAAAATTGACGGTTATGTTACAGGAATTGTGATAAGTGGAGGTGTTGCTAGGAATTCTTTTTTAAAAACTATGTATGAATTTTATTTATATTATATATACATTAAAAATCTATAGATTACACACAAAACTAAATAACAGTCCTTACAAACATATTCCGCTCTTTTTTCCTCCTACTGAACTGTGCAGTGATAATTCTGGTATTATTTTTTGTTTTATACTTTTTATACTAATTTTAGCTATGATTGCATGGACTGCTTATGAAATGTATAGTCTTGGTTATATTTCAGATCTTTCAATACTTCCTATTAGAAAATGGCCAATTGATCAGCTGTTAGAACTAGGGAAGTATATAGTTTATGACAACTAGTATATTTATTTGGATATATCTTTATCGCTTTAAAAATATTATAGAAACTATTTTGTTTTATTAAAAAAAGAAGGTTATTTAGACTTAAAAGTCTTATAATATATTCGGATCCGACTATGGTTGATGATATCTTAGATATTTCTTTGCCTACTTTTGATTTAAATAGTTATATTAATAATTATAAAGGTAAATATTGATTAATGAGATTAAAAGATAACCTTTATTAGGTTATACACGTATTGAGCGTCTGATATTTATTTCTGAATGTTGTCCAATCCTTAGTGTAGAAGCGCTTAAGCTTGCTATTGAGTTATCTCAAGCAGAAACTTTAAATACTGTTTTATATGAAAAATTAGTTAAAACATTGCAAGAAAAAGATTCATCACAGTGCGATATAGTTCTAGATACGGAGTGGATTCAAGAGACAAAGAAAAAAGTGAAAAATACGCTTCAAAAGATGAAGTCTGGGCTAAAAAATTATAAAAATAACTTTATAAAAGAAAGTATAAGAGTAAATCATCATAGTTTCTGAAGAAATTGGACTAAATAATGATAGATGGGATATAGGGATCTTGCAGATTACTATTATTTGTGTAGAGATCTGGAAAATAGCCTAAAATTCTATTTTAAAGTATGTGAATATTGCACAACACCAAAGCATAGTATGGATACGTTATTAAACATAATAAAAATATTTTTGGAATTGAAAGATTTTATAAATGTAAATACATATCTTGTTAAAATACAAAATATGATGTGTAGAAATGATATTGCCTCTAAAATTGAGGTAATCTCTGGATTGATTTGTCTTAATCTAGAGAATTATAAAGAAGCAGCATTGAAATTCTGCAAGATCAAAATAAAGGAAGATATAGAATTTAACGATGTAATATTTCTATGATTTGATTCTTATATTGATTATATTATAGATTATATCTGTTAATGATGTGGTCATTTATGCAGTGATCTGTGCTCTTTCTTCATTTTCTCGTTCTGAACTTAAGCAATATATCATTGATAATGTGGAATTTTGGAAGTTGCATGAGTTAGAGTCTCAAGTCTTTGAAGTAGTGATTGCATTTTATTCATCTAATTATTTAAAATGTTTTGATATTTTAAATAGATTCAAAAATGACTTTATGCTTGATATATATCTAAATAGACATGTTGATAATCTATTTTTATATATAAGGCAAAAGGCATATATATTATATCTTAAACCTTTTAGTTATGTAGATCTTAGAAAAATGGCAAATGTTTTTTTATTTTTATTAAATAATATGGAGAAGGAACTTATACAATTGATATTGGAATCAAAAATATCTGCTAAGATAGATAATATAAATAAGGTATGTATAATATAATTGTATAAAGAAATATGTTGATTTTCAGTTTCTTATAATTGTAGAGCCAAATCAGCAAGATATCATATATGAAAAAATACTAAAAATTAGTAATGAATATAAAAGGTCTGCCAAGTTGTCATTATTGCATATGGAATTAGTCAAAAAAGGTTTAGAAATAAAAACTATCTGCGATTCGAATATTGATATTGATATTGAAAATGAAGAGTAAAGTTTATTATAGATTATATTTTAATCTATATTAGCAAAACGGGTTCATCTCTTTAACTATTTTGATATAAAAATATTTTAAATCAATGTTTTTTAAAAAATAATTGAATCATTTTAATTTATTTTATTAAAAATATTATTTACAATATTCATTTAAATTGAATATAATTTCATAAGGGAGAAATTGACATAACATAGACATTAAAAAATATTATTTATGAAAATCTGCAATATAATGCAAATTTATTGTAAAAAATATAAAAAGTATAAATACACAATATTTTATTTATATCTATATGCTTGATAATTGTTTGATAAATTTGGATTCGTCTCATAATAGAAGCCCCTTTGATTAAAGCTATAATGTCTATATGGATCATATTGTACATGTGGTATGTAATTAGGTATGTTATTATAATAGTTGTATGGATGATTTGTATATATAGGAATATGAATTGTTTGATCACCATCATCAACCACTTTTTCTTTCTGAGAAACATATGAGAAACATCGATTATAAATACAATTAATTAAAAACGCCAGAAGAAGCCCCAAAACAAAAATGATAACAAAAATCCAGTTTTTAAACTAGAATTATTTTAATATATTTCAAATTACTTTTAAAGAAATTACCCCGCTTAATAATGATTTTAATTGTTTTCCATAACTCCCTTCTATACAGTTGCCTTTATAACAATAACCATAAAATCCACAAGGTGTTCCATCTTTAGATATTATTTATTTTAGAAAATAAAAATAAGAAATATTTACCAATAAAATAATTCTGAAGTCCAGAATATATACAAGTCCCCCCTAGTTCGCAAAAAAGTACACAAGAACCATGACATGATCCTTTGGAATTATTAAAATGGTTAATACATTGCTAAATTGTTCAGATGAAATCAATTATCAATTTGAATTACCATATCACGAGTTGTGCATATGCCAGATGCACATTTAGATTTATTGCTACATGGGGTACCATCTTTTTTAAATTTATCTCGAGGACATGTTGAAGATGTACCAGAGCATACTTCAACAAGGTCACATTCGTCTCTTGATAAACGACATACAGTGTTTTTAGGTGCAAAACGACAATTTATGCAGCAAACTTCATTAGAATCACTATAAAATAAATATATAATATATTTCGAAAGGGTAATCTTACTCGCATACTGAACCTTTTGTAAATTTGCATGTCTTAGGATTACAACATGGATTTCCTTTACAACCTTTTTCTCCTCCACAATCACAATCCTCTCCTTCTTCAACAATACCATTTCCACACTTTCCTGATACATATTAAAATGATATATAGATCATGAAAAAGGCACAAACTTCGAGAAATCAAACTAACATTTTTGTTGTTTTTTAGACAATTAGAATTGACAAGCTTCTTTTTAAGATTGTTGCATACTTGTCCTATAGAACATGGACTAAATTTTCGTGCTGATATAGAACTTTTTGGATTCATTATATACATTTCATTTGTATCACATACAGTTGAACCTATTATTGTCAGAAGGCTTAAATTATATAAGAATAAGTTACTTAAAGGACAACATGAAGCTGATTCATTTTTACATGATTCGCTTGTACAATCATGAGATGCACCAAATCCTAAACGAATATATTAGAGTATTAATAGAAATAATATACTTACCATGTCCTATTTCATGAGCAAGCACAATATGTTCAATATTTGCTGGACTTGCTATAACATTTGTCCCCGATACCCAATTAGAATGTGGACCCTTTGGGATAATATCCTGACAAAGAACACCATACCATGCAATGCCTACTTCCATAGTATTTCGACATGTTGTAAATAGAGACCATAATGCAATGCTATCCTTAATCCCGCTTCTCCATAAGCTAAAATGTTTTAAACGAGTACTAATGTTATAATGTGACGAGCATGCGACATTCCATGAAACTTTAGGATTCTCATTAGGACATGTTCTACCCATAATAGTTACATTCAATAATCCTAAGGAAATATTAAATGTTTCTTCATATATTGCAGATACCTATATATGTTAATTTTATTAAACAAATATGGGGAATTGTTACTCTATTATAAAGAGAGATAATATGATTTGTTGCATTAGATGAACTTTCAAACATAGAAATATAATTGCAGTCAAGAGCTGCTCCAACATAAGCTACTTGTTTATACTTTGGACATCCAGAATTATCCCCAATATAATTTGTTAATCGAATTCTAGAAGAAGATAAAGCAAGCTTCTCAACAGCACTAATTTCTCCAGACCCATAAGAGAATGTTGCCTGATCTAAAGGAGTCGGTTCATCATATATACTGTTTAACATACATTTATTATCTAGATACAAATTGCTCCGTTTTCTTAAAGTTTTGGGTGGTTTATTTGATTCAATCCATAATACCATACTTTTTTCACTAGCAGAAATTTCTGGTTCATGAGCTTCTTTAAGTAACATGTAATTTTTTGCTGTTTTTACTGTATATAAATCATTCGACAATGAAAATGTTCCTTCAAATATGGGCAAATCTCCATCTTGATGAAGAGATATCCTAGCCCATCCTATTTTATGCCATCTTTTCTCCAATAATCCTATACTATTTTCTGTATATGTTACAAATGCATCTCCGCGGTAAACTCTATGATTATTCCTATCAATTTTTTCTGAACTTATAACTTCTCCATCTTCATTATGAATCTGCAAATGCGAATTTTCATTTATCAAATCTAAATTTGGTGTCATAGTTAATTTAACATATTTTTTCATCCAGTTTGGGTATTCTGTTTGTTGATAATGATATGGCAATGCAAAAGTTAAATCAAATGATGAATACGAATCAATAGATTTTTTTGATATCTCATGAGGATATAAAACAACATCTTCAAGAGTAAAAATTTCATGTATATTCGTCTGTTGAGTAATCAGTGCTATATTATGTCAATAAATCCTATTTTTATCAACATAAAACTAACATGCATGTATTCCTTTCAGCAAAGGAAATAATGTCATATATTTGAATAGATATTGCATGGATTTCTTCTTTATTCTTTAATAAATTTCTTTGGTAAATCAATGTTCCAGTAATAAATAAATAAATAAACTATATTCCTTAAAAGATACCAGATCTATAATAAACATAATGTTAGTCTTATTCATTTTCTCTTCTGTTTCATTATAATAACCTTTTATATTATTAAATCTTATAATTAAAAATATCCAATATTAATAATTTGGATGATTTTCTTTAAAAATTATTATTCAACTCAGATTATCTTAGAGTTGAATAACTTTTAAAGAACTTTCAAACTTCTTTAACGAAATAACTTTTAATAACCCTTTAGTTTCCTTAGTTCACAAACTGCTTGGGATAAAAATATTATTAAAATTAATAAAAGTGGTTTATATTATACATGAAATATGGCTATTTTTAAGCCTTTTATTGTATTTTGAGTATTAAAATGCTTTTTTCTTTATAAATATGGATTTAGAGGCAAAAATTCATATTAATAAATAAACATTTATATGTTTCTGACGTTCGTAAGAAAATAATTAGATATGGCTGGTTAAATAGATATAATTAGAGATTTAGGTTTAGAAATAGTGAGAAAAATAGATAATTATTAGATATATGATAAATTAGATTTATTATAAGATTATTATTACTATTTATATATATATATGAGGGATTATCAGATGATAAGATGGCCAGTTTTCTAAATGTTAATATTTTATTTTTATGTAAAAAACATTAAAATAAGACAAGCTTTTAAAAGCATGATTATCTATATGTTTTAATTAGTGTCCTATTTGAGAAAAGCCTAAGAAAAATGAATAGTTAAATGAGGAAAAAAGAACCCTAAACTAAGCTAAAAGAAAAAAAAGAAAAAGATAAAATTATGTTTGGTTTCATGTATAAAATCTTAGTTTAGGGTTTAGTTAAAGAAATCTCTTTATCAATAAACATGTAACAGTAGTAGTAATAAAATAATAATAGTAGTATCAGTCTTCGTATTAGTGGTAGTAATGAAGTAAAAATATAATATTTATATATTACAATCTAAGTTTTTTCATATTTTAAGAGAAAATAAGTTAGTTCATACATGATTTATCAATGATTTTAGATATAAGAAACATGATAGAATAGAGTTTAGAAAATAAATATACAAATACATTTAATTTATTGAATATTTTTTTAAAAAAATTAATGTACATACAAGATTTTGAATAGATCTTTTACCATATCATAGATTAGCTAGTTCATTTTTTAATATATCTCTTTTAGATCTGATTTTAGCAGGATTTAATCAGAACATTTTTGTAAGGTAAAAAACATTGGATCTAATAAAAAATATACAAAACAAACATGAATGAATCATCTAATACAAAGGGTCAAGGTAGATCATACTAGCTAATATAATTTTTTATTCAAGTTTTAAAGGTGAAGAGGAAAAGGCGGATTTAAAAGTTAGTGTTGAAAAAACAAGTGCATCAGAGTCATCAATAAGGTAAACAGTAAATGTATTAAAATAAAAGAAATAAGTTAAGATTTTTGTATTTTTAGAGAAAATATGAATGATGAAAAAAGTTAAAGTTTTTTTTGAAAAAGAGAAAAACTGATAAAAATAGCACTAAATCAAGGGCTAAACCTATTTGTAGCAGGCATTGCAGAGAGATTAAAAGAGCCTGAACTAAGGGAAATGTTTTCAGCTTATGGAAAAGTTGAAAAATGTCAAATTATGATCGATCCTCATACAAAAGAATCTAGAGGATTTGGATTTGTTCAAATGTCAACGATGCAAGAGGCAAATGCTGCACGAGAAGGCTTAACAGGAGAAGAACGATATGGTCTAGTAATAAGGTTTAATTTAATCAGTTTAAATACATCGTTTTTAATATAGTTATCAGTGTAGATCGTGCTCGTCGTGATAGACCACGTAGGTTTATACATTTAATATGTTAATACTTATTTAAACATTGAGGAACCCCAACTCCTGGAAAATACTATGGTCCCCCAAAAAAAGGTATTTTTAAATTCATATTTTATTAAACAATTAATCATTAAACTAATATCAAAAAGATTATATACAGGAAAACAAGCAATTGCCCCCCTTATATCATAGATACAGCCGTTATAACAGCCGTTATCACTATGATAGAGCAATGTATAATCGCTTTAATTTCTATTATAATCGACGAGATTTATATGAAAATCATTATGAACGTTATGATAGACGTTATCATGATTATTATGGATATTCAAGATATCAACCTAAAAAAAATGATTATTATACAAGATACTATAAAAATGAATTTAGATAATTATATAGAATTTTAACATGTTTTTAATAGTATTTGATGACATGATATTGTGTATATAGTTCAAGAACCCTACCCTTTTGATAGTGTAGATAACAAGTTTTATAAGTGTTAGATTTAGCTTAAGATTTTAAGAACTTAAGATGCCTTTAAAAGATGAGGCAGAATCAAGGTATTCTTCATATTTTCTATTCAAATGTCTTTTTTTCCTTGTTTTTTAGTGTTTTTTTTAAACTTTTATTATTATTAAGATATTAATAAGTATGATATGTAGAGGGAAACGTGGAAATGGACGTAAATCGAACTGGACAGTGCTTGAAAAGACAGGTATACCTTTAGGAGTGAGTCCTGGAAAGGGATCTTTGACATCTAAGCCTACATCTTTTCGTTTATCTAAAACAACATTTTCAGAAGCAACATATGTACCTATTAGAGGTTTTAATACAGTGGAAGTTTCATCTTATTTAAACAAAGGTATATTGATTAATAATTTTGTTTTAAAGAGAGAAATTATTTTGTTTTTGTGTATTTTTTTATGTATAGAAGGGTTTAATGGGGAATAGAATGGAAATCAGCTTTAGATCGGGCTAATGATACAACATTTCCAGCTAAAGGTACATAAGGATATCTTTTTTAAAAGTGTTTATGTATATTATTTGTTTTAGATAGGCCAGAGATATATAAAATGACAAATAATGAATGGATGACAAAGAATGGCTCGACTGCATCTATTTGGGGCGGTCGAGGTTTGAAAGAGTATATTATTAGGTGATATGTTTATTAATGTATGATAAATAGGCCATTTGATGGCAAAGGGGAGTACATTTTTAGCAGAGCTTAGGAAAAGCATAGTATCCAACAATATTGTTGAACCTAAAGGTGGTTAAGGGTAGAATAATAGTATGAATGAGGAAATGGCATGAATCTAATATAAAATTAATACATAAGTAGTCATTTATATATATAATGTAGTATGACATATATAACATATGAGGGGTATAAAACTTTAGGACTAAGCGTATATTATAGCATTAAAAAAAATGGAAAAATGTATATATATATATATTAATGTATTTGTATAAATTGAAATTAAAGCTTTAATGCGATATCCTTTAAAAAATTATAAATAAGATGTTAATAAAAAACCCGATATATTAAATATAAGATAATGATTCCATTAACCCCAGATTTGAAAGATGGAATATGCCGTAATTAAACCAAGTTTTGTGTTTTACTTGGTTCTTTAATGAAAAAGCTAATTATAGTCTAATAAGTTGTCTCAGTTTAATGAACCAAATTTCTTTTATGTTTCATGTATTAAGTACATAATATATAATTAAAATATATAGTTTTAATCTATATCACCATCCTTGGTACATTGCATTTTGTCTTGTTTCTGATATCCCTTCTAGTTTCAAAAATATTAAGCCATTTTAAATTCATACCCCCAAAAAATTCTTAATCTATATTACATATAAATGTAAAAGAAGCATACTAACTATAAAAAATTATTCATCATCATTATCATAATTTTCATTAATATTGATTTTTCTAACGGTTAATTCAATTTTTTGTGTATTTTCTGAACCTGACCATTCATTTTTTGAAATAGGATCTTTGATTCCATCTACATCGATATTACCATTGTTAGGAACTTCAGTTATATTATTTGATTTGGCGAATTCAGTATTATTTTTTGTAGAATTATTGATCAATTGATTTGAATTATCAGTTTCAAGCGATTCTAAAGATTTAGAAACAGGTGAGATAGATGAAAATGTTGACGAAGAATTCTTTTGAGTACCTGATGACCCATACTTAGAACTCTTAGGCAATTCCTTGGATTCTAATTCTTTAACTTTTAAAGATTCTTTTGAGACCTTCCTACTAAATGAACTATGTGTATATGATTCTTTTTTTTCGCTAGTTTTTTCATAAGATGTTTCCTTCGTCCCGATTTTTAAGGAACTAGTCTTTTTTTGTTCATACACTTCATTTTTTTCATCCCATTCTCTTTGCCTTTTGGTTGTCTCCCAAGCTTCTTTTGTGTCATGATGAATGATGGATTCTAGAGACTGTTTTGAAGATTTGGAATGATTTGTATAGGACAAATGAGAGTTAGGCGGATTATTCATCAAGTGCTTCATATCATGATTTGTATTAAATGTATTAGAATGAATAGATGTATGCGACGATTCTTCCGTTACATTTCCAGGACACGCTAAATGATAAACAGGATGTGATCCATTATGTGATTCTAATGAGGGTTGAGGAGGATATACGGGTGTATGATGTGAATGATTAGGATGGTTTGGTCGTTCATGATCATAAGGATTTGAATGAATATGATGATAACTTGTTGGAGAAAGAGTATGCTGTCCATGACGTTCATTTGATGTAACAGACATGAAAGATTTTTTCGAAACATCTGAAATTTGCGCTGGTAAAGGAGAATCAATTTCATTAGAACGAGGGCGTAATAGAGGCAGTTTTCCCATGTCGTCATTTGCAACCGAAGATACATGTGCAGAAGAATGTGGAGACTTGGACCATTGTGCCAATATTTCTGCTGGAAGATTGGAATTTTGACAATTAGAAGGATTAATATCTTGAGGATGTGGAAGTGCACTTGTATGATGAGATCCAGAAGCTTTTCCATTACGCAAATATTGAAGACGACTTTTAATATGTGGATTGTTAGGATCGAGCTCAGCAGCACGTTGGTATGCATTCAATGCATCGCCAATTTGATTATTACAAGACTCATACAATGTACCCAAATCATACCAAACTTCAGATATATATGGATTTAAGCGGATTGCGCGTGAATATGCATCAAGTGCATCTCGGAATTGATTGATTTGATAGTATAATACACCAATTGAGCACCAAAAAGTAGGATTTCTTCCATCACGATAAACAGCCTGCTGATACGCTTCGTAAGCCTTATTATATTTTTGCTGAGCCATATAACATCGTCCAAGAAAATACCATGTTTGAACATCATGGCTATCTAAAAAAATAGTATTAAATAATCTAAATATATATTTTTTTTTAATATGTTTACCTATTTCAAGAGATTTCGTAAGATATTGAACTGCATGATCCTGATTCGTAAATGACGTATTGGGCTGATGACAAAGCCATCCCAATTGTTGAAGTACCTTCGCATGCTCCGGATTTTCTGACAAAATATGCTCATATACATCTTTCGCCATTTTATATTCTTTTTGTTGCTCATACACTTGTCCTATTTGAAACCATACTTCCGTCTTCGTAAGTGGCTTCGGCGGATTCTGCAGAATATATCGGAAACATTCAAGACTTTGTGCATATTTATGCTGTTGTCTATATATAACCCCCAATCGAAAATAGATCTCATTCGCTTTTTCAAAAAATGGATCCATCTGGATCGTATGCGAAAACGCCTCTTCCGCATACTCCAATGACCCATATCTTTCATAAAATACCCCAATTCCATACCAAAGTCTCGCATCTTTCGCATTTTGCATATGATACAACGCCTGCTGATATACCGTATACGTCTTCTGCAGATCATCCATCATCAAATAACAATGCCCTAATGAACTCCATATCTCCCCATTCTCCTGATCCACATTCAATACCGATTGGAAAAACTCTGCTGCCCTCTGATATTGCTCATTCGCTTGAAGAATATTTCCTATTTGTATCATCGCCGTCACCGAGTATGGATTATGTCTTAATACACATTCATAACTCGTCATAGCCCTCTCATATTCATTCATCTGCTCTGCCAGTCTTCCTATATCACCTTATTAATTACATATCATAAGACTTGTCACGTGACGTCGCTCACGTGACAAGCCAGTGATCCGCACCAAGCTGCAGCCAGATCTCCTCATTTATGTTGCTAAGTCTCTGTAAAGTAGCTCTAGAAGTCGTTAAAGTTCCAGTAATAAGAGAGGGAGTTTCAGCGGTTGAGGAGGTAGCGGTATTTATAGAAGAGAAGGGAACGGTAGCAGTGGAAGGAGCACTTATGGAAGGTCCAGGAATTGCAGGAGGATCAGAGACGTCAATATTAGGAGCCGATAGGGAATCATGAGTTGTATCACGAGGAGGATTATCACGGTCAAGGTCGTCATGCTTTTTTCTACGCCGACGCGTGGTCCGTCGAGGGCCTTCTTCACGCGTCTCCAATGTTTTCTTCGTTTTGACGGATTAGAAAGAAGATTTAACAGATTAATAAATTGATCTTTTGTATTTTGTTTAATACAAGTTCCTGCAAGGCCTTTTTTGTTTACTCCGATTCTCCGATTACTTTAGTTCATCCTCTGCTAGTCTGTTCGAATTTATAAGGTTACGTTTTTAACATTAGATTTTTATAACTTTGACTTTAGTGTGATATTAGTAGTAATAAATTAAGATAGAATAGTTTTTTTTACCATTTTTTTTATAAAATTTTACTTTAACTCCTTTCAAACATAAATATTTACTAAGATTAAACTTAGTTTTGGTCTACTAAAATAAAAGTTACTAAACATAAATAGTTTAGCTTTGTGATGCCAGTATTAACCATTTTTAGAAGAGAGGGTTTAGGTATATGTGACGGTAAAATAGATAATTAAGTGCTAAATAAATAGTTTTTAAGGTAGTATTAGATAGAGAGGATAGTAGGATTTATAAATAAATTAATTAATTAAAGAAAAGGATGTCACATAGAAAATATGAAGGTTTTTGAAGAGAAGAATAATTATAGTGTATTTGGTTAATATAGTGTTTATAGCACCACGTCATGGATCATTAGGATTTCTTCCTCGTAAAGTAAAAGAATGATTATTAATATTAATAATATGTCTTATAATGAAACAGCGAGCATGTCGACATCGTGGAAAGGTTAAGGCATTTCCGAAGGATGATCCTAAAAAACCTATTCATTTGACGGCTTTTATGGGGTATAAGGCAGGAATGACACATATTGTGCGAGATTTGGATCGCCCGGGGACTATTTTGTATATAAATATAATTATATATATTTTTTTAATTTTATTTAAGACACAAGAAAGAGATAGTCGAGGCAGTTACGATAATAGAGACGCCGCCTCTTGTAGTAGTGGGGGTTGTTGGTTATGTCGAGGTTTTGAATTATTTTTATAAGTAAAAAAGGTTTTAATGGAGTTATAAGACACCTCGTGGTCTTCGATCATTGACAACAGTATGGGCAGAACATTTGAGTGATGAAGTGAAGCGTCGATTTTATAAGAATTGGTATAAATCTAAGAAAAAGGCGTTTACAAGATATGCCAAGAAATATTCAGAGATGAATCGACCTATCGCACGTGAGCTTGAGCGTATAAAGAAATATTGTACAGTAGTCCGTGTACTTGCACATACCCAGATTCGAAAGACGCCTCTTAGTCAGAAAAAGGCGCATCTTATGGAAATTCAGGTGAATGGTGAAACAGTAGATAAAAAAGTGGAATGGGCACGTCAACATTTTGAGAAGACAGTAGATGTTAAATCAGTTTTTGAGCAGGATGAAATGATTGATGTAATTGGTGTTACAAAGGGTAAAGGGTTTGAAGGAGTTACGACTCGTTGGGGAACAAGGGTTTTTTTATTTTTCGATAGATAAATATTTCTGATGAGTTATTAGAGACTTCCTCGTAAAACACATCGTGGTCTTCGTAAAGTAGCATGTATTGGTGCATGGCATCCTTCGCATGTTATGTGGACAGTTGCACGTGCGGGTCAAAATGGTTATCATCATCGTACATCGATTAACCATAAGATTTATCGTATTGGGAGTGGTGATGATCCTAAAAACGCATCAACGGATTTTGATATTACTGAGAAGCGAGTTACTCCAATGGGAGGTTTTGTTCGTTATGGAGCCGTTGAGAACGATTTTATTATGTTAGCAGGGAGTACTCCAGGCCCTGTTAAACGCATATTAACTCTTCGAAAATCTCTTTTAACCCATACCTCTCGGAAAGCTATCGAAAAGGTTTCTCTTAAATGGATTGATACAAGTAGTAAATTCGGACATGGTTTGTATTTGTTTTTTTTTCATTTACAATGCTTATTATGGTTTATAGGACGATTCCAAACACCTGCAGAAAAGAAACAATTCATGGGAGTTACTAAAAGAGATATAACGCATGCTTCTAAAACCTCCTGATTATGTTTATTACTCGTCTATATAATTTTATTGACAAATTTTTGAACATGGATATAAATTTATATATAAATACATGATTTAAAAAATAATATATTTAGCATTATTGCAAACATTTAAATATTTATTGTTCTTTTTTAATTAGATTAATCCCTGCTATGATTGCTTTCATTCGTTCTCGTATACTTCCTGTTGACTATTAATTTTAGTATAAATCTAAATATAAATATAAATATAATAGTTATACTGTATTCGACGATATAGCATGCATCGCTTGCTTGTCCCTGTTTAGTTATTAATAGATTAATTATATAATTATTATTTACCATGATTCTAATACACTTAACGCCGATTGACGTCTATTAAGCTCTTCTAAATCTATTGTTTCTTCTACACATGAATTTTTGTTTTTTAATGATATCCGTTGTTTCTTAGTATATTCCATTGTAGTATATTTTTGTAACAAAAAAAAAGTACAAAATTAAGAAATAAAGCAATTATTTATTAAAATATCTCTCTTTTCTAAGTAATATTCTGTTTTTTTTGCTTGTATACTATATTATATAAAGATATTTTAAGATATCTTTGGTTTTTTATATTAATAAATGAATTTTATATTTTTAAGATAAGATATATATATATATATTATAAAAATTAAAAGAAAAAAGAAGATATCAAGTATTTCTTGTTAAATCAGTGATAAAAAATATAAAAATAGGCTATTTTTTAGATTTTTGAAGTTTTTAATTTTTGCCTGGTTACTGTAGCAACTAATTTTGTTTAGATTTCTAAACAAATCAACATTAAAAATAATCTTTAGAAATACAAGAATTTAAAAAAGATTAATATATTAACCAATTCTTAAATATATTTCATATATTAGGAGTAAATCAATATTATTTTTTGAAATACAAGTTTTTGTTTGATTAAAAAGAGAATTGGATATTTTTATTTATAAGATTTTAAAATATTTGATTTTTTTTTAATGACAAGAAATCATTGGTTTAATGAGGGTTTTCCTAATTACCATCCACCGAATTATGAGGAAAATTGGAATGTTCAAACACCAAGAGTTCATAGACCATTACCTCCGATACCATGTCATTTAGAAACTCAATATCAGGAACAATGTGAAAATATTGTTCTAAATCAACAACAACAACAACATTTATATGATAAGAATTACCGTAGATTTAGAAATGAAGATGTAAGTTTTCCAAGAAGAAGAATTGTATCACATGGAGATTATTCGGAAGATGAGGTTGTACATCAGAAACAAGAGGAATCTGCAAATCATTGCGATTATAATTCTTTTGTTCCACATACTTCTAGAAATATGTCTGGAGATATTTATGATGATTATAGTGATATAGATTATGCTATTTTAGATCATAAAAGAAAGTCTTATATGAATTACACTCAAGAATTGAATAATGATTATTATGAAGCTGAAAGAAACGAGTATAAAGAATCAAAATTTGAAAAAGCAGATAAGATTTCTTTAAATGCTCAGAATGGTGAAATTAAACGTGATATTATAAGTAATTTGGATATAATGTGGAACCCTAATATTGTAGAACCTGATGATTACCTTCATAATCCAGCTACTAAGGAGAGAAAGAAAGATTATCATATTTTTACAAAGCGTGGGATATTAAATATGGGTTCTCTTGTAATTCTAACATTTGGAATCATATCTTTCTTCATTGGTTATCCTATTTTGTTGTATACTAAAAAGATATATGAAGATATTCATCGCTGTCCTGACTGTATAAAAACACTGCCTATAGACTTATTGAATGCAACTAGAGGACTCATTGATCCAGATACACCAGAAGAATTTTATGAATTGAAGAACAAAGATGGAAAAATTTATAAACTTGTATTTTCTGATGAATTTAATAAAAATGGAAGAACATTTTATCCAGGAGATGATCAATTTTGGTAGATATTAGTAAATTTATAAGATTTTTAATAAATTTTAATAGGGAAGCAGTTGATCTGCATTATTGGTCGACTTTAAGTTTAGAATGGTATGATCCTGATGCCATAACTACAAATGATGGATTTTTGGAAATTCGACTTGATTCTTTCCGAAATCATGATCTTAATTATAGATCTGGTTCTTTCTATTATCAATTTCTCAATTTTTAATATTATCTAGGTATGCTGCAAAGCTGGAATAAGTTATGTCTTAAAGGTGGTATTATTGAAGCATCAATTTCACTACCTGGTAGAGGTGATACTTCTGGATTGTATCATATATATATATATATACTATAATTGATTATTGATTACTATTAGATGGCCTGCATTTTGGATGATGGGGAATCTTGGTCGTCCTGGTTTTGGTGCTTCTACTGAAGGAACATGGCCATATAGTTATGATAATTGTGATGTAAGTTTACTTATTTTTTAAAATTTTATCTTAGAATTTAGATCGGAATTACACCTAATCAATCAGATCATACTGGTCTTTCTTTTCTTCCTGGAATGAAACTTCCTGGTTGTACATGTCCAAATTCTGATCATCCAAGCCCTGGAAAAGGACGTGGTGCTCCTGAAATCGATATAATTGAAGCATCTGTTGATCTTTCTCTTCATATCGGTGAAGCTTCACAATCAGTACAATTCGCACCTTTTGATATCCAACATAAACCAAATTATGATCATATGATAATATATAATGCAGAAAAAACTCATATAAATCCTTATCATGGCAATGTTTTTCAACAAAGTAAAGAATGATACATTTTTATTTTTAAATTATTTATTATATTAGCATTCTCTTGTATCACATATTTAAATAATGAATGGTATAATGGATATAAATTTCAAACATATGGCCTTGAATATAGACCTGGTAGAAAAGGTTATATTGAATGGTTTATTGGTGATCAAACAACATGGAAAATGAAAAGTGAATCTGTAGGACCCAATGGAAATATCGGGCAAAGACTTATATCTGAAGAACCTATGGTAAAATACAATTATAATAATATATTATTTTTGATTTAATTTAGGCAATAATTATTAATCTTGCGCTTTCAGAAACTTTTTCTAAGATAGAATGGGAAAAACTACAGTTTCCTGCTATTATGAGAATAGATTGGGTACGTATCTATCAGGAAGAATCTTTAATAACTTGTGACCCTCCTGGATATCCAACCACAAATTATATTAAAGAGTATATATTTTTTTATAATATTATTATACAAATTTAATTCATATTAGACATCCTATAGCTTATTATAATAATAATGTAACAACATGGAATAATACTGGTTACGAATGGCCTAAAAATCGACTAATGAATAAATGTTAATATATTATTCGACATATAATTTAAAAATTTTTAATGATTATCATATATTCTATATACATATTACTACTTAATAATGTATGATTTGCATATTGATTCTTTTGGATTTTTATTTTAATTTAATGTACTTATTTTAATTAAAATATTTTACGAGAAAATACCAATTGTATAAACCCCAATTAATCCTTCCCCATTCTTCCACCCTAAAATCCATATATATTCACTAGTCATTCTTTTCCATTTATATACATTAATTTCATCCGTTTTTGACATTTCTTTCACAATTTCAATAACGTCTATATAGTCTCCACTTGAATCCCATTCCTCCACCGTCTCTTCCACAATCTCATCTTCCGGAACCTTTAGCTTCTCTGAAAGTAGTGCTTTGTTACATTTTTTTTCATCTGACTTGTAAAATACTATATTAAATGGTTCATCGCTTTCACTACTATAATAATATTGTTCAAGTCTACATTTTACTGATAAAAATAATTCATCAGGAAGTTTATCACTTGAAAACCTTGGAGATAAACTTCTATATGGTTTTGAAAAAACTGTATTTTTTTCTAAAAATCTTAAATAGCTATCTTCCATTAATAAAAAATTGTTCCTTCCGAAGATAGCTGATTGTTTCTTGGGAAAATAAGATAATATAATATGTCTATAGACCCAAATTCCCAGCTTTTTATTACATACACTTTGCTTCATAGCTGTCTTGATAGTATACATTCTTTTTTTTAGAAAAATGTTTAAGTTTATAGAAAAATTAATGGTTATTTTGCGTGATGGAAGAAAGCTAATTGGGATCCTAAGATCATTTGATCAATATGCAAATCTGGTTCTACAGGAGACGATTGAACGTATTTATGTTGATCAGGTGTATGGTGATATTCCACGAGGAGTTTTTATCGTAAGAGGAGAAAATGTAGTTCTTGTTGGAGAAATTGTAGTTTTATATTGATTAAATTGTCTATTTACATCCTTCTTATGTGTATCTTAGGATCAGAATAAGAAGAGTGATTTAAATCTTAAGGAGGTATCAGCAGTAGAAGCGTTTAATAGACAAAAGATACAAAATGAATTGCGGAAAGCTAAGGAAAAGGTACAATGTAAGGTTCTGTATCAGTTGGGTAAGAATTAGGACTAGACAATTATTTTCTGAGGAAAGATATAGGTTTTAGTGTAGATCATTATCATGATGATATGTTTTAATATATGTTAAATATAATGGTATGATTTTTTATTAAGAACAGGATGATTTTAATAAGTTTTTATTAGTAATAAAGGGAATAAAATATTAAACATGTATAATTAATAATTAGAATTCTAATCTTGAAGATTTTTTTGTTTATAACAAAATCGGTTATTTCTTTTAACTTTTAAATCTATGGATTATTCTTTTCAACTCAGTATTTTAAACAGGATTACTTTTTTCTTTTATATTTTACATTCAAAAAAAGTAAATTCATCAATTGCTATGGTAATTTTACACATACAAAATACTCTTCTCTTCAAATAATAGATATATTAAATGAGTATACCTGTTTATTATATGGCTAAGTTGATTCTTTTACTTCTCTATTTAAATTATTAATTAATTAATATTTAAACTATATATACATTTCTATCTATCTTATATTCTATAACTAGTTTTATTAATAAAATCATCTGGTTTTATAGACTTTTATTAAGCTGTTTTCTTTAAAATTAAGGTTTTATCATATTTTTACTTATTTTTTTAACTTTTTTAGTGTCGATTAACCTTACCTTAACAATTTATATTAACATCTTAAATATTAATACAAGGATATTAAACTATTTATTCACATATGAACCATTATCTTAATTATTATTTTCTTAAGGTATTGTTTTAATTCTTTTGAATGATAATTATAACTAAATTTTTCAGGTAGTTTTAAAGAATAGATATAAGTGTTAAAATTGACTTAAATAATTATTAGTTTCTTAGGGAGATATAGAGGACGTTAATTTTTAGTATTTCTATATAAGATATTTTCTTTTTTTAGGTTCAAAATAGTTAAATTATTGGAAAATAATAGTATTTTTTTTTCAGAAAAGAAAGATAGAAAATAGACGTTTTAATAGATTAAGAATTGTGTAATTAATGGTACTTACAAGGAAGAGAAAGAATTATTCATCAGATGACGTTAATGATAAACATCGGCCAAATAATAATCTTAATGGCCTTTCTATACGGCCAAGAGTTAATTATATTAATTATGCAGAGAGAGAAGAATCAGTAATATCAGAAAAAGAAGATTCATATGAAGATAAGAATGAGGAGGAGGAGGAGGAGGAAGAGGAAGAGGAATATGATGAGAAAAAATATTCAAATATTGTTAAATTGAAGTTACCATTTCATCGAATGTTAGATGAAAATAATTATGATAAAAGCGATGCTCAGGAAGATAGTAAGGAAAAAAAGGATGTAAATTCAGATAAATCCATTAATAAAAATGGATATTGGAATTTTGTTTCTAAAAGACCGGCAGAGAAATTAAATCAAGATCTATATAAAACCCGTTCAGTTCGTCAGATATTACTTGAAGAAAAAAAGAATCCATCAAAATCATCAAAGAATAAATTGACAGATTCATCAAGTGAATATGAATATGGAAGTGATGATTGTTTTTCTGATGATGATTCTAAATCTTTATCATCAATAAATGAAACTTCGGATTTTATTACAGATGATAGTTACAATAGCTATCGTCGAACTAAAAGGAAAAGTAGAAATACACGAAGGGGTGTAGAAAGGTCATCTAGGAAATCGAAACGGAATAGTAGTTTTGATGAAGATGGATTAGAATATGATGACGATATTGAGGAGGATGAAATAATTAAAGAATTGCGAGATCTTAGATCGCCTTCTCCTCATAGGGTAAATTTGCGCCAAAGGGTTTCAAGACCCGATTATACTATTCCTCCACCTTTACCTACACAATTACCTACTCCAAAAAAACAGAATATGAATGGACGGATAACATCATATAAATTATTTTCGAGATTGGGTCGAACTTCGAATTTACATACCACTACTATTCCAACTATTAGTGGGGATTTAGGCATATTAAAGGACATTGCAGAATCTTCAAATTCTGTATATTATTTCTTTAATGTTTTATTTGTTTATTTACTTTATTTAGGAAGACGAGTTAAATAGAGTTAGGAAATTTGAACTTTTAGGCAGTAAAAGTTTTTTATCTACAGCATGCAATACAGATCTTGCAGGAGTTCCTAATGATTTTGGTAGAATAAAACAAGGTAAGTTATCATTAATTATTTTTAATGTTTTATTAAATTGTTTTAGATTTAGCTGATACAGATCCATTAGGTGTTAATCAGGCAGCTACCTTTGAATCTATTGGGGGATTAAATGATTGTATACCAATTGATACTTAAATGCATTTTTTAACTTTATATAGTTATTATTCAGCTTAAGGAAATGGTTAGTTTACCATTATTGTATCCTGAAATTTTTCAGCGTTTTAATATTACTCCTCCTAAAGGTGTTTTATTTCATGGTCCCCCTGGTACTGGAAAAACATTGATGGCAAGAGCACTTGCTACTAGTTGTTCGAATAAAGAAAGAAAAATATCTTTTTTTATGAGAAAAGGCGCTGATTGTCTAAGTAAATGGGTAGGCGAAGCTGAAAGACAATTGCGTCTATTATTTGAGGAGGCCAAAAATAGTCAGCCTAGTATAATTTTTTTTGATGAGATTGATGGTTTGTTCTTTTCTATATGTAATTGTTTTCTTATAAAAACAGGTCTTGCACCAGTACGGTCAAGTAAACAGGAACAAATCCATGCATCTATAGTTTCAACGCTTTTGGCCTTGATGGATGGCATGGATTCTCGAGGGCAAATTGTTGTAATTGGTGCGACAAATAGACCAGATGCTGTAGATCCGGCTCTTCGTCGTCCTGGAAGATTTGATCGAGAGTTCTATTTTTCTCTTCCAGATTTTGAAGCACGTTTGAGTATTATAAAAATTTATACAAAAGGTTGGGATCCACCATTGTCAGAATCATTTCAGAAACAATTGGCCGAGCAAACGAAGGGATATGGTGGTGCTGACCTCAAAGTAATAATAAAAGAGTATTTATGTATATTGTTAATTATTGATAGGCACTTTGTACAGAAGCAGCATTAAGTGCTGTTCAACGTCAATATCCACAAATTTATAAAAATTCAGATAAATTATTGATAGATTCTGAAAATATAAAGGTAGGACCTAAAGATTTCATGACTTCTATGAAAAGTAAGAAATTATATATGTTGAATATAATTTGACTTAATTAGAAATTATACCATCTTCTCAAAGGTGTACACATCTAGAGGCATCTTCTTTGCCTGATTTGGTTACCCCATTATTAAACTCAAAATTACTTGAAATAAAAGAAAAACTTTCTTATATTATGCCACAGAACAAAAAAGCAAATTCGCTAGAAAAAGCTATATGTAAACCTTTAGAAGAGAATTCATTTGAATATGAAAATTTTCTAGAGAGTAAGAGTTATTTTGAATATGATTAAGATTTAACATTATATAGCATTTGAAATGTCTAGGATTTTTAGGCCTAGATTACTTATACATGGTAAACCTGGAATGGGACAACAGTATATCGGAGCTGCTGTTCTTTATCATTTTGAGGGAATTTATGTTCGATCTTTTGACCTTGCTTCACTTATGGAAGATTCTACAAAAGTATATATTTTTTAATATTTTATTGATTTTTAATTTAATTCATTCTTAGACCCCAGAATCACTTATAGTACAGTATTTTATTGAAGTAAAAAGACATAAACCGAGTGTGATCTATATACCTGATTTTCAAATATGGTATTATGCAGTCTCTGAGTCTGTTAAAACAACTTTGAGGATGTTATTAACAAGCTTAAAATCGACAGAACAAATACTTTTTTTCGTTGTCGTTAATGATGTAATTGGTAAACTTGATAAAGAAGCTTTATTATGGCTTAATATTTCCGAAGAAAATATGGTAGAATTGGTTGCGCCTATTAAGGTATTAATTCTTAGAATTTTATAAGTTTTAAATAATAATAAAAGGATTCTCGGCATAATTTTTTTAAAAAGTTAATTGATTTGATAGAAATATCTCCTTCAAAAATACCTGATGATCTAAAAAGGAAAAAAAGGATACTAGAGGATCTTCCAAAAGCTCCTAGCCCTCCTCCAAGAGTACTTACCAAAAACGAACTAAAGGAATTGGAATATAGGGATCGTAAATTGAAAAACATAGTTAAAGTTAAATTAAGTCCCCTCATGGAAATGTTAAAAACACGGTATAAACGTTTTAGAAAACCTATTATTGTAAGAGCATTTTCTTTATATATTTATTTGATTTAAAGTTTGTAGGATCCTAATGAAATATGGTATTTAATGACTTCACCAAAAGATTTATCAATAGATATTACCGATCAACCTTATGAACTTGTTGAAAATAATTTAATTCATGAAAAGGCTACTGGAAAAAAATTTATTAATATGGATTTAGAATTAATTGAAGAAAAATTATGGAATAGTATTTATTTAAGTCCTAAACAATTTTTACATGATATAAAGGCAATAATGTATGATGCGAATATTAGTGGAGATCGCGAAAGATTATTGAAGGTATTATATCGGCTTTTGAATATTTATAGCTAAAAATTATAGGCTCAAGAAATGTATACCAATGCACAAATGAGTGTGGAAGATATATCTGATTCATATTTTATACTTGAATGTCGTCGAATGATAGAGAGGGAGAAAGAAAGACAAAAGAATAAGATTTTAGAAATTGATAAAAATAATATGTTGGAAGTTGAAAATTCTAGTAATGTAGAAAAATTGGACGAAAATAATTTAGTTTCAAATGCTCCTTCTACGACCGAATTATCTTTGGAAAATACAAAAGCTAATGATGTTATTACCGATGATGATATGTCATATGATGATAATATTGAACATATGATCGATTTTGCACAGATTGATGAAATTGATTATAAAAACAATGAAAGTAATATGAATATAGATTTTGAGAATAATAAAAAAATGGACACGAATTCCTCAAAAAAGTCAACTTTAAAGGATTTAGATCATAAACCTGGTGATTTAGCTTTTAATATTTCTAGTTCTTTAAAAGAAGATCCTACATCTATTAATGACGTTAATGAAAAAATAACTAATGTATCACAACTATTACAGATTGATCCTGACTGTGATTCTAATAATGAGATTTTTAATATCGAAAATATAAATGATAAATCTGTTTTTACTCTTATATTAGATGTCTCTAAGCTTAGTTTTTTATTAAATAAAATGGTTGAAATGACGGATAGAGCAAGTGTTGAAGATTTAGAAAAACTTTATTCCGTATGTATAAATATTCTTTGGCAACAGAAAAATAATTGGAATAAAAATGATGTAATTGATCTAATTGAGCAAGTATTTGAAAAAACATGGGAAGATATCAAAAGGCTAAATTTTTAATACGGTAATTAATAGAAAGATATTGGAATTTTTGGTGTATTTAGATATGCATTTTGTCGATTAATAATGCTATTAAGTGTATGTAAAATCATGACTTAGAATATTAATCTTAGTTTTAGCACAATTTTAATTTGAATTGATATTATTTTTTAATGTTAAATAGATTTTTATATATTGAAAAGAAATAAAAATAAGTCATAAATACATTGGATTATGATAAGAATTTCAGATGAGTTGAATAAGTTTTATTAAATAATTAACTTTACTATAATGGAATCTTTATTTCATTTAATATAACAATCATAAATTTAAACAATCCCTTTCATTATATATATATATATATATTATATTAAAGATTTAAATCTTTGTAAATTTAATAAAATATATAAAATGTTTTAATCAAATAAATACGTATTTTTTGATTAAATATATCTCTTATATTATTTTGGGTTGTACAAAGTTTAAATAGTTGCAATAAATTGTTTAGATATTTTGAATATATAGTAAAAATATAATAGTCAATTGTTCTACATTTGAAATTAACATTTTAAAAGATCCAATCAATAAAAATTCATTCTATCTTTCTGGTTTATTTTTATTTTTGTTCTCATTATTTATAATTGAAAATTGATCAAAACTTTCTTCAGGCGATACAGATAGTTCTGTTACAGATAATTGTGAAACAGGATTAGAATTTGTTAACGAGCCTAATCGTTCTTCTAATGCTTTTAAAGCAAGTGACCTATAAAAATATATTAACAATATTAATTTAAGTAAATAATTGACATACTTTCTTCTTTCTGTTTCAAAATGAGATGTATTTGAATATGGAAAAAAATCTTTTTCTTGAAAATTATTTAACATTTTTTTTGTTTGTTGAGTCTGTGTTTTACTAGAATAAGAAAATATATGAATGGATACAAGAAAATTATGAATTTTTCTAGAAACTGTGTTTATTAATAAGTGTATAGGTTTAGGAAAAAAGTAAGAAACTATAGTTTTTTAGTAGAGTAATGATAAAAAATATACTAACATGCAAATGTTTCTGAATTGTCTCCTCTAAGATTAAATGTTAAATGTGATAATAAATTAGGCGTGTTCCATTTAAAAAATCTCAAATAGATCCAAGAACTTAAAAATCCTAACCACGACAAAATTCCAAGCGATCCATCTCTTGCAAGAAGTCCTATGAATGGCATAATAAAGATATACAAAGCTGGTGTATACTTAAAATAATTAGATATTATAAATATTACAGATAATACCCACTTTTATACGTATCCTTATAATCCCTTTAAAAAATGATATAACATGCTCCGGAATCAATTGTTTTAATGCAACTAAGAAACCCGCATAAAGACCATATCCTCCATGAATCGATTGGATTCTATTTGCTTTATCAATCACAATTCTTAATATAAAATTTATATACAAAAGTGACTCTTTTCCCACAATCATATAATAAAAAATATACAGAATCCAGATAAATAGATTTGGAATAATTGTAATAACTAAAATGAACTTTAAAAAGCTTTTTGATCCCCATGATTTTTCCAAGTATTTTCCACCATATAATAACATAATTAATAAAATAAACAACTATACATATATAAGAAACATAAATAAATCTAATAGAACCTAATTTTCTGTATAATACCATAAAAATATTTTTCTCAATAAAACTAGCTATAAAAAACGTCCAAACAAAAATATACGAAATTCCCGGAATAATCACAAAATATGGATCCACTGGACCCACTTTATTCAATGATACTGAATAATTAAAGATATAAAACAAATATCTTATAATATAATAAAAGACAAAAAGAACAATCGTCATACAAACACATAATCTATTGTTTTTCATCAGAAAATCTTCTTTTTTTTTCAAAAAAAAACACAATTAATATCAAACCTCGTTACTATTGGAACTCTTTTGAGTTCTGATTGAATCATCAATTTAAAATGGTTAAAAATCCTTTTAATTTTTTGTTAATTTTTTTGTAGTTCATATCTATGTTTCTATAGTAACTGTTGACATGGACACTATTGCTATAGAAACAGTATCTATAACAACCGTATCCTAGCAACTGTCTCTATGTCAACGGTATCCCGGCAACCATCTCCATAACAACTATCTCCGTGCCAACCATCGCCATACCAACCGTCCCCATAACAACTGTCGCCACGCCAACTGTCGCCATGCCAACCCTCTTATAACCCATCTCAACCTCCTCTTTTTTCAAGAAAAACAAAGTCTGGCGAGCAGCGAGTTTGAGGCGCAAGAAGCGCCAGCTTCAGCCAAAGGACCTGTTCTTTTGATGAACAGCAGCGAGGTAAACTATCTTATATGGAGATACCTCCAGGAATCGGGTAATATTAGTAAAAAGTTAATAATAATATTGACGAAAAAACAGGATTTGAACATACAACATTTACATTTCAGCACGAATCAAGTGCTCATTTAGAGGATAATAGATGGTCTAAAGAGGTATCGGCAGGAGCGTTAATTAATGTATTGCAGAAAGGGCTGCAATATATGGAAGTAGAGGCGCATGTTGATAAGGTGGTCTAAATGGGTTTTTTTGGGATTTTTAGGGGTTAATATGGGTTTAGAATGGGAGTATAAGGAGATGCATGCTTCCATTTTCTTTGATTGGGCGTCATTCGTGCGAAAATGGTGAAACAGGCATTTCAGAAGCTATAGAGGCGGAATTACAGGAAGAAAAGGAGAAACAAGTGCCATTAGATATGGAGGGAGATGAGATTAATGAGATGGAACAAGGGAAATCGTTAGAACAAGTTGAATTTTCGGAATCGAAAGAGCCAAAAGAGCCTATAGAATCTAAAGAAATGAATATTTTTGAAGGAACGGGAGAATCGGGGATAGAACAGTTAAAAAATTCAGAAACATGTTTTTTTGGGGAGAAATCTCAATTAGAGTTGGAAGTATCTAGTACATCGCCTACCGATACATCATGGTTAACAAAAAAAATGGAAAAAGTTGTATTATTGTGTGGACATCAAGAAAATGTGTTTACAGGTGCATGGAATCCTGTATATTTAGATTTTGTTGCAACAGCGTATGTTAAAAAAAGGATTTTTGAAAATAATGTTTATAATGTGTTTTTAGATCAGCAGATGCTACTGTTAGAATTTGGAATTTATTGGAAAAAGATAGTGTTAATAGCCTTTTAGATAATCTTGTTTTAAATTGCACACCTTTAAATGAAAAAAAAGATATTACTTCTATATCATGGGATGTATGTATAATCATTTTTATCTAAGAGATATTTTTTTAACCTTTTTCTTTTTATAGAATTCTGGTAATTATATAGCTGCTGGTTCATATGATGGTCAAGTTCGTATATGGAGTTTGGAAGGGACATTAAAATATTTATTTACTGCGCATCATGGTCCTATTATGGGAATAAAATGGAATAGTAAAAATAATTTATTGCTTACTGCAAGTTGTGATAGTTATGTTATTGCATGGGATATGTTTAATGGTACTTTAAAACATGTTTATGACAAAAGACCATGTGCTATAACGGATATTGAGTGGATTAGTGATGAAACATTTGCATCTAGTGGAAAAGATGGATCTTTGGACTTTTGGTCTGCTGAAAAAGCAGAGTTGTTAAGAAGATGGGAAGGGCATTCTAAAGAAATTAATAGCATTAAGTTTAATCCTCATAATAATTTACTCCTTTCATGCTCAGATGATTTCACCGTAAAAGTTAAAAAATGATTTTATTTTTTATATTTATAAGCTGACTTACTTAGATATGGTCTTTAGATATATCATCGCCACAAAAAATATTTTTAGGGCATTCTAAAAGTGTGGTTGAGGTTCAATGGAAACCTCAACAAAAAACTGATAAAGTTATTATATTTGTATCATGTTCGTTAGATGGGACAATAAAAGTATGGAATACTATTCAGTCTTCTCCTTTGCATTCTTTAACTCATGGTTGGGCTTTTTTTACGATATCATTTAATCCAAGTGGGGATATATTAGCTGCTGGTACTAAAGATGGTTCTGTTATTTTATACGATATAAATGAAGGTTATTTGTGTGGTAAATATGATAAGTCAGTAGATAAAAACTCGAATAAGGGTTCTGTTATTGAGCATGTTTTTGATATTTCATGGTCAAAAAAAGGTGATAGAATAATCGTATGTAGAGCTAATTCTGTCGTATGTTTTCTCGTTTATTTTAAAAGATTATATTAACGTTTATAAAGGCAGAGGTTATATATTACGACTAAATGATTGGTTTTTGTACAATTATATATATGATGTACATAATAATTTAGAGTTTTGAATTTTAAATTTAATCTTTAATATTTAGAGACTTGTTAAAATATCTCGCTGAGTTGAGTAATTTTAAACGTATAATGATTATATTTAATATTTTAGCGATTAAAATTATGTTTATTTGAAAGAATGATCTATTATAATTTATGTATATTCATATTTATAATTCAAAACTTATTTCTAAAGTTTTTAAAAACCATAATATGAAATAACTATTTTCTTTATTCATTTTAGAAAATAGTTATTTCATTTTAAAGTTAATATTTCCTTTAAAAATAACGGTTATCCCAAAAATTCAATATTACGTATTCCTGAATATGATAATGCATAAAAAATGATATCTTTTTATATCTATGTCTACAAAAAGGTTTCATAAATATTATTCACCAAAAAGAAATTACAAGCCGTCTATAACTTTAAAATGGTATCAAAAAGCATGTTGATAATGATTATCCTTTTCTGAATAGATATTTATATCAAGGACAAAATTCCTGTTTGTATAAAAATACTAGTTCCTGCTACAATAAGTATTAATGTTAAAATTGAAAAATTAGCAAAAATCGAATAGGATTTTGAACATGTTTTCTGCTTGGAATCTGACGCGTCAACTTTAACTTTGAAATTATACTTTTTATATAGATTATCAGAGTTTGCCAGAAGTGAAGAAATGCATGAACTGGAAAGAGATGCGTAGTTGGAGCATATTTCACTTGCGAATGCAAAAGCAGTAATAAGCTGAATAGTACTCCTCTGATAAATACATAAAGCTATATGACTTTTATAGTTATTAGACCTACAGAGACAAGGAATATCAAAAATATTCGGACATCCTGAAAAAAAAATCGATTCCTTAAAACATTCCCTAGAGTTTCTATTTAAACTAGAATCTTCTAACTTCTCCAAAAAATTAACACATTGAACTTGATCTCGTTTGCTTAAATGTGAAAATGAACGCTTATAAATACGATTATTCGTATTTTTCTTTTGTAATATATTAGATGATGCAGAAAAACTGTGCTTGAAAAGCTTTGTAAAATAATTTGAATATTTCGTTTTTTCCGTTAAACCCCTAGATGAAATCTGCCGAATTGATCTCAAAGAATTAACAAGAGCGCGTTTTATGTATAAAGGAATATAGCCTCCTGCAAAATTTTGAAAAGATCGTTTTAAATCACTTTTTTCCACTTCATTATATGTATTTACATCAATCCCTTTCTTAAACGCTATAATATGTTCACAAATCATTCAAAACCAAAAATCACGTATATACACTCTTCTATATAGCCATTATTCTCAATATTCCGGATACCCGATTCGCCTCTATCAACCGGTATATATGCATATTTTTCTGCATAAAACCCCTCATCTCCACTAATACTCGACTCTTTCTCACTATTATTTAACCGTTAAGAACTACTTTAACGCGTATATTATAATTTTATAAATTAAACCTTTTATAAGCAAGTCCTGTTCCTGAAAAGCACAAAAATAACATAAAAATTAATGACATTCTTATATTTCCAAAAAATACTGATGAAAGCTTCTTTTTTATATTAAAAATAAAAGGTTGATTAGCTTTAGTTGATAGCAAGCTGGATAAAAAAAGCAATTTTTGAGCTTTAAAAAGAAAAACACTTCTACTGATATTATTTCTCATTTAAAAACATTCTATCCAATTGTATGCGTCTTTATATTTAAGATTCTATCAAAAATCCTCTTCTTAATCTCGCGTCTTTTTATTTTTAAATTTTGGTTTTTCGACAACGCGACAAGGCCTTATATACATATATTTAGGTATAGCTATATATGAAAAATAAATATCAAAAATATATATAATATACAAGTTAGTAAATAGGCAAAATAGTTGCTAAAAATAATGAATAATATATAAAAAATGAAATTGTGTTAAAAAAAAAATTAGTGAATGAAATAAGGTTGAAGCCAAGTATAGTGCAAAAGTGAGATGAAATGTAATTGTTTTTAATTGAAAACATGTCTTTTATAGAAAGCAAATAAGTAAGAAATTGTGTATATTTTTTTGAGAATAAAAATGAGTGAGTTATGTATTGGGTGGTTGTTCGTCAACTTCAAGGATGCGATTGCCTAATTGTTCTAACCAATAACGAGACCAGCTTTGAATTTTTTTATATAAACTCCAGGCAATTTTTAGCATTCCGGTAAAATAAAAGATCATAATTCCATCTTGAAAATGACGTAAATGACGTCTTCGTTGATTTCTAAATAAGGTACGATAGTTTCGAATAGGACCTAGTAGTTGAATTGTACCTATTGCGCCTAAAGAGAGAAATCCGAGAATAAAATGGGTAGTGTCTATAACAGAAAATATTTGCCATAAAGTGCGAGGCCGAACAAAAGATTCAGGAATAGGAATTGGCTCATAAAAGAGAAAATCGACTATATATTCGAATCCAAAATAAAAAATAAGTTTAATAACAAATCCTGCAATAAAAGATAAGCCTATAAAAACCAGTAATGTGCATAATAATAACGACGCTGCGTAATTTAGTATAGTGCATTTTTCGACTATCAATTTAACATACGATAAGATACAAGAATAGCAGAAAGCTGTGGTCGAAGAAATAAATATTCATAATGACATTGATCACAACGATAATAACTAGATTTTTTGTTAATAAAACCTGTATTTCTCTTTTAACTTTATCAAAAAAATACCTTTTTGATGATTTACTTTTGATTCTCCATTGCAAAAGACACTTTACATGTACCCACTTTATTCATTAATAATTACTTTATGTTTATTTATTTTTACCTTAATAGTTCCTTGACAACGGCATGGAGAAATAAGTCGACCTAATGTAGATTGATCTTCTAGTCCGCCATAACAAATCCTACAAATAGGTGTATCTTTTTCATCTGATTCACTAGACGTTGCTCCCATTGTTATGTTTTGTATTCTCTATAAATCTCCATTTATATTAATTTTTTAAAGTTTATTTTTCTATAACAAAGATTTAGTCGAAATCCGATAATCGGAAATCTGGATAATCACGTGCTTTTGTAAAATGTAATTAATAAGTAGATTTTTAAAGTTTAAATAGACAAATGACAAGCCTTAATAAACGCCATAATATTATATTTGAAGGAAGACATATGTTTTTTGTATAAGAAGCAAAAACAGCATCATTGAATTTTTGATATGAAGCTAGAACTATGACTTGGCCAGTTTAAAAATTAAAGTATTATGTAGGTATAGATCTTGACATCTGAATATAAAAAAAAAACAAAATTAGTTATATTTTTATGTATAAGAAAAAGTACCTCAAGTAATCGCTTAACACCTACCATCCAATGAGCACATTCTTCTGTTTTAGTTGTAATGAGATTGATGTGTATATTTAGAGCAATTTGATAGTTTTTAGATAGCATGGCTAAATAATATGAGTTTCTTTTTGTATAAAAAAAAAAAAATAAACCTTCAACAAGTATTTTCATATCATCCAATAATTCTTTAGAGAGGCCATAATCGTTATTAAGAAGATCAAAAAATATATTTAATCGCCTTTCTGTATCTTGTACTTGTCGTTTAAATGCTGGCTATATAAAAAATAAGTTATAAAGAAAAAAACTTATAAATATATACCGGTGCATATAACTTAACTTGCTCCATTTCAGATGAAAGACCTTCAAAAATGGGTTTAAGTTGAGGAGGTATATGTGATCGATCTCCAGGAGCTATAGTATATTAATATATATATATATTATTGGATAATAATAATTACGGTATTTTGAATTTTGCGAAGCAGCAGTTTTCATAAGATTTGATGTGGAATTGCTTTTCAGATTTTTTGCAGAGTCATTTTTCGATGGCGCTTGAGGATTTGATAGCACCTGAGGATTTGATAGTACCTGGGGATTTGATAGTGTTTGAGGATTTGATGATACTTGTACTGGAGAAATTGTTTGTTCTTGAGGAGAATACAAAGTTTTAGCCTGGCTTGTATATGATTCTGCCAACGGATTGTGTCTTGTAGCGGATTCATGTTCAATATTTGGTGATACTAAACTTTCTGTCTTCTGAGGCGGTTTTGAATAGCCAGTAATTATAGGATAAACATTAGGTATTGGAATGTAAGGATTAGATGGTCCACTCCCATATATATTTAATCCAGATAAGTGCATTTCTGCAGGATTTTGATTATTTTTTGTGGATGAGTTGTTTGCCTGTGTATTAGGATTCAAGTTATATGGCCCTGATGTATTATTCTGTACAGATTGAGCAGAGAATCCCTGATATTTTTGTCCAGTCATTGGAGGTGGGGGAATAAATGTTTGCTTTTGAGGAGGAAATTGATCAGGTTTTTTATTAATAGCATTTTGCTCGTTTTGAGATATGTTTTGACTGAATGGAGTAGATACATGAGTTGAAGGTGAAACCGCCTTTTTAAGTACGTTAATAATTGGCGCATCATTCCATGATGGAATATCTTTATGTTGCGAAGAAGCATTAACATATGCAGTTGGTGTAGGACATGTCGTATATGAGGGTTGTTTTTGTTGTAACTGAGGATGTTTATTTGTCGAATGTAAATTGGCCTGCTGGTTAAACATATCCATATTTGGAGTATATGAATTATATGTTTGAGAATTATATGTTTGAGAATTATATAAATGTGTTGTATATGGATTTGACATTGGTCGTTGTGGTAATGACGTATGTAAAAATTGCTGAGGAGCATTTAAGTTCTTAATTGCATTTGAGTGTTGTTGAGTGCTTAAGATTTTATTAATACGCTCTTTTGCTGTTATAGAATCTTTATAACTGTCTGGTAATAAATTAAGATATTTTTGAGCGATAATGAAATTTCCTTGAGATGTCATTATATTTGCATAATCTTCATACTTTTTATATAATAAAGATAAGGTATTAGGATTTATTGATTTTTCTATGTCATCTGAGTTTATTATTTGCCTAAAAACGCCAATTTTTTCAATGAAATCCTGAAGAAGTTTCACATGTAAGAAACAAGGTGAAATATTTAAATTATTGTCTGTTTCTATATGTTTAAATATAGATATTTTTTTTTCTTGAAATTCTTCATCCCAAATATTAATTAATTTTCCAAGTTTTGCTCCCATAAGATAGCACAAAACTGCCTGATCTCTTAGCTCCAGATCTGTATTTTTAGCGCGAAATTTCGTATCTATTCGATCACCTAGTGCATCACATAATTCTGAAAAGTTTTCAGATTTTGAAAATGTACATATAATAACAAGTGCTTCCTTCCAATCCTCCAAATCTGTATTTAATGCAACATCCCATAAATTTTCTTCAATTATGGAAGATAATAACCTAATATATGGAATGTCATTATATTTTCTAAAGTATGCTCTTTGTGCACGTCTCTGGCATTCTTTCCCCCCGCAAAAAGAGAAAATTAGTGCATCAGAAAGTCGATCCTCCTGCAAACATAAATCAACTGCCTTGTCAAATTGTCCTAGAAAAATAGATTTGGTAATAACTTTATCTAATTCTGAATCGGTATCTTTAAATATTGAAAATGGTTCATTTAAGGGTGGTAGATGAGAGAATATATTCTTTTCGGAGCTAGATGTTTTTAAATGGGAAAAATTTGCATCCGTCTCATGTTTTTTAAACAAATTTTCCAGGTTTTCTTCTGTAGATTTTACAGTTTCGTAAGTATCCGTAATCTCTTTAGCCTTTTTGCTTATAGAAATTTCTCTAACTTTATCCAATACTTCACTTTCAATGTTATCTTTTTTAAATCCAAGGAAATCTACAAATCTATCTCTAGAGTCTTCATGTAAAAGAATAAAAAGGATTTCCCATATTCTTCTTTCCAAAGGATCATTTATTCCTTCAATTTTTTTCTTACAATATGTCTTAATATCTTTTTTTTTTAAAACTTCTTCAAAGTTATTTGCATCATCAATAATATTTAATTCCTTAACAATGTTTAATTCTTCTATAGTATTTATGATTTTAACGCTATTCGATCCGGATGTTTTATTATTTCCAAATACTATTAATTTACCTCCAAATCCAAAAATTACTCCACAATTTTTTCTAAGCCATTTAGGCGGCTTTTTCAATAATAAAGGTGGTTCGTGCGATCTTAAACATGATGGAATATTATCAAAGAAATCCGCATTTGAAATATTTAATGAAAGGTCCATACGATTTTCTGCTTTAAGCGTTTGAGTAGTCTGAATTGTTTGAATAATTATCTTTCCATCATAAGAAGCATTTGCAATCACGTCTGGATTCTTTAAAGACCATGAAGTTCTAAATACCCAGTTGTTAGATCGAGGGAATTCGCCAATTAATTCTGCTGAAAATGGATCCCAACATAATGTTCTATTATCTTTTCCACATGATAAAAATAATCCTGGATCTTGTTTACACCATGATATAGATAATACACCTGCCTCATGACCTGATAAAACCTTTTTTTTCTATTAAATAATAATGAATCTATTTATAATATATACCTTTTCCGGTGCATGTGAGTTTCTTAAATCCCACATTAATATAACCGGCAATGCATCCTCCTCTGATGCTGTTATAATCTTTGTTGCCTATAAACATTAATTATACTTGTATAAAAAGGCTTTTTTTTTATTTACAAAATCTGGATGCCACATTACTGAACTCATTCCTTTTTTTCCTCCACCTACTCCAGGAAATTGAAGATTTACAATTGCCTTTTTCGCCCGAAGATCCCAAACTGACGTAACACCCGTATTTCCCGCCGTCGCCAAAATATACGGAACTTTTTGATCTTTATTAAATACTATCGATTGAATCTCCCCTAATTGATTCGATTTTTGTCCTGATGAATACGGCTTCGTCGGACTCTCCATATCCCATACCCATATCTGTTTTTTATTAATTTAAACCCTCCTTTTCTTCAAAACTTGCTTCTCCATTTTCCCCTGCTGATGCTAACAAATTCGTTTGTGTAGTGTTAAAATCTAAACTTTTAATAACACCATTATGTGTCGTGTTTTGTGCAATTAATGACTCATTACAACTATTCCTCTTAATTTTCCCTCTTTTCATGTATTTTTTTTCACCTTGCTCCACTACGTATTAAATCCACATCCCATAGATTTAACGCCCCATTTTCCATTGCTCCCGCAATAATACCGTTCTTCTTACTTCCTAATACCGATCCCCACGCAATATCATTAAATCTATTCCTCAAATTCCCTCTTTAACCTCTTTTTTCTCTTCCAATTTCATTCCTACCTCGTACCACTAGATGTCACATAGTTTGCCTTCGTCAACTCAAATGATTCTGACGACCAATCCATCAAATCAATCTTCCAAAGCTCTAAGTCCATTCTATCCGAAAATCCTGCATCAATAACGCCTGGTATGGTTCCCGTTGCTAGCCATGTTCCTTCCTCACACGGGCTCCATGCAAACGTAGCTGTCCTTTGAATTTCTCTCAATTTAACCATTTCTAAAACAATTATAGAGCTTTTTCCTTTTAATTCTCTTCAAATTGACCTCTTTTCCTGTATAAATGGTTGTTTCTTGTTACAATTTCTGACGCTTTTTTCGAAGGTTATACGCAGTATCGGCCGTCTTAAGGGGGGGAGGGGAGGGTTAGGGGGGGATGAAAGGGAAAAAAATAATAATTTTTATGAAAAAATAATGAATTTATTGGAATTTTCCGGGTTAAAATGGGTAAAAAGGTCTTTTTTTTGCGAAAAAAGGGAAATTTGAAGAAAAAGTCTCGTTTCCAGGGAATTGAGCCCGTCGATAGTATATAGAGGGAGACGTAAAAAAAAGTATATAGTAGGAAGAGGGCGAAAAATCGCCGGATCAACATGTTTTTCTTAGTTAAACCGTATCGTATGAAGTATGTATTTGGATTGGGAGCGTTTGGAGCTCGAAAATGCGGTTTTAAACGGACATTTTGGAGTGATTTAATGTTGAAACGTCAGGAACCGAAACAGGAGGGGCAGAAGCAGGAAAGAAGTGTAGATGAGGCGTCTGATCTTAAGGAACAGACGCGTGTTTCTGATATTTCAAGTTCAATTGGTGAAAAACCCCGAGATTTTGCTTTGGAAGCAGAAAAAGAAATTTCAATATTAAAAGTAAGGAAAAAAAGGGTTAGAAGTGGGTTTTAAGGGGAGATAACAGGATAAATATCTGAGATCAGTAGCAGATTTTAGAAATTTGCAAATGAGAATGCAAAAAGAGGTTGAAGATGCGAAATTATTTGCAATTCAACAGTTTGCAAAAGATCTGATTAATTCGGTTGATAATTTGGAGCGAGCATTAGCTTTAGTTCCAGAAGATAGTCGAAAAGATGTAGAAAAGAATAAGGAACTGGTTGATCTTTATACGGGGCTTAAAATGACGGAAACAGTTTTGAATAAAACGCTAGAAAAACATGGACTTGTGAAATATGATGGTCTTGGTGAGAAATTTAATCCTAATCTACATGAGGCAGTATATCAAGCATTAGTTCCTGGAAAAGAAGCAGGAACGATTTTTCATAGTGAACAGACCGGGTTTATTTTGAATGGTCGAGTGATTCGTCCAGCAAAGGTGGGTGTTGTTAAAGAACATTAAAAAACTATAAAAAAGATTCATGTATTTATTATGTTTTTTTTTTTTTTTGAAAACAGCAATTGAACTGTTTATGTTATGGATGCATAATAAGTATATTAATAAATAGTAAATTTTGTAATATAAGGTCAAAAATTAATTATATTATCGAAGTTCTATATCTAGTTCTTCTGCAATACGACTTCTAAGACGCTCTTGGAGTTTGTTCACTTCTTTATCAGTGAGTGATCTGTTGATTATTATAGTTAGAATTAAATTATTTAAATAGTACATATTCTTACCTATCCATTGATCTATAATTAATCCGATAACATAGACTTTTTCTTTTTGTTTCTAAGTGTGTATATTGATCAATCTATAAATTTAATTAGTTTTAATTTAATATCATATATTTGTATACCAGTTTAACCTCTTCAATTAGAATGCCTCCCACATTTCTTACAATTTCCATAAAATCATTTTCACAAAACTTCCTTCTTTTTATTGTTGATAAGCTACTTTTGTCAGAAATTTCTTTTTTATTAACCCAAAAAGCAATATCTTTGTAACATGGAGGATATTTTGAATAAGGTTGAAATATAGATATTTTTCCTGGGGAAAATTGCTTAAGAAATCTTGGATCATTAGACCAAAAAAGTCGTATATCAGGAATTTTGAAAAATATCATAGCAATTCTTTCTAATCCAAGACCAAATGCCCAGCCAATTCGATTAGGAATATCTATTATAGTTAATTTATTAATATTATGTTAAATTTATACCTGCAATTTTTAACAATTCATGATTTATGATTCCACAGCCACATATTTCTATCCATTTCCCTTCCCAAAATATCTCTAATTCCCATGAGGGACTTGTAAATGGAAAATATGATTCGATCCAGCGAATTTTTAAAGGTGTATCTTTGTTTAATTGATCATGTAATGGTCGCGAAATCTCATATATGTAACCAATTATCTTTTCAACTGTTTTAATTAAATGCCTCGAAATTGCTTCAATTTCATCTTTCTGATGATTTTTTTGTAAAGGATTTTGTTGTGAATAAAATGGAAAAGTTGAATTTTCAATAACAATACCTAAATACGAAATATTACTTTCCAGAATTTCTATCTCTTCTACTAATGATCTCCCTTCTGTTTTTTCCCAAACTCTCACTCCTTCCATTTGATGAAAAACTGGATAATGATTTTTATCAATTTCGTCTCTTCTATATACATCTGCTGTTATTAAAAATCCTTTCTTTTTCATTCTTCTAAACGCATCTATCTGATGCGCTGATGTATGTGTACGTAAGACATGGTTTTCATTAACATAATATGTATTTGTAGATTTACGGTCTGGGTGATCAATTGGAAATTTAAGCCAGTCAAAGTTCTTTACTGTACTAACAACCGGTGAAAATTCATTGAATATTTCATAGTTAGTTGTATCAAATTGAGATTCTATTATCTGACGAAGAATTCCTAATGGATGTGATACTTGAAAATGCAGTTTTTTCTCAACTGCTTTAAGAATTGTTGGTGTAATGTTTGAATAACTATCTGAACGATATTTTTCCCCTAATATAGAGATATATTCTTTATTATTTGGCCTTTCTGTGCCTTTAATATCATTATATTTCTGTAATAAAAAAAGTTTCTCAAAAAATAACCTTTTTTTGCCGTTTTTTCACCAAATTTTCTGAAAAAAAAACTGTAACTATTTAATATGGATATAATTGATTTATTATTCAATTTTTGAGCCATAAAATGCCTGTTAAATGGCACTTTATCCAATAATTTCATCTGCTTATTTTTTTGTAGTTGTTAATTTCGATAGCAACTTCAATAAAATTGTAAAAATGTTTTTTTAAAAAAATAACCTTTTTTAATAGGAAAAAAACTCTAAAAAATGTCAAATTCTTTTCTTGATATAAAAAGGTTTTGTTTTCCTTTTTTTCCCGTCAAAAAATGTCAATTTTTGGGTACTTTTTTGCATTTTTTAATTCCTGTTTCTTTTGATAAATATTTATATGATAAATATGTCATTATAAGAGCAAGAAATGGGCATCAATATGGTTAATAACGTCTATTATTTTGGTATTTCTTATTTCTTATATTTTTTTAAGCTCCAAGACGCACAAAATATAAAAAAGCTCATAAAGGAAGAATTCCAGTACCTATAGGAATGTCAATTAAAGGTTTTTTATAAAAGAAATAACTTAATAATACTTATATATACTGTAATAAGGGACTACAGTTGTATATGGCGACTTTGGTATGCGTCTCAAAGATCAAGGAGTTCGATTCAGTGCAAAGCAGCTTCAGACGGCCGAAATGTTGATTAAGAAAGCAATAAAGCCTTTTAAAGGTTCTAGAATATATACGAGAGTGTCTACGAATATTGCAGTATGTATAAAAGGGAATGAAGTTTGTTTCTATTATGATTTTTTTAATTTTTTTTACACTTTTAGTCTCGTATGGGAAAAGGAAAAGGTAGTTTTGATCATTGGGCAGTGAGAGTACCTGTAGGACGTGTTGTTTTTGAGATTGGGGGTGGTGGCATTTCTAGTGAAGCTGCAATGGAAGCTCTTCGAAAAGCAGGATATAAATTACCTGGAAAGTGGGAAATTATTAAACGAGATGCACCAGGAAGAATTGGATTGCATTATGCCCCTGATAAAACATTATCTAATGAAGTAGATACATAGTTTTCTAAAAAGAATATTATGTATATCATGAATGGTATACTTGATATTCTTTTTAGATTAGTCATTTATTTAAATAAAATAGAATATTATGAATTAATTGAAATCGTTATAATGAGAAGAATGTATTCTCATAAATTTTGAAACAAATGCTTCTAAATGGAATATTGCTTTGTTTCCAAGTTGAAGACGATGTTCCTTTTTTTGTTAATAATAGATTGTATAAAGCAAATTCTTACATAAAAAGTTGCCCATTCTATAATTTCTGGCTTTAAGGCATTATCTATTTTTGAAATTAAATTAAATGTTAAAACCTTTTTATTAGAAAAATATATATTAATAAGTTGTTTATACTTCAAGAATTAATGATGGAGGAATGCAATGTGTAATAAGTTCGTAAAGCTTACCACGTACTTGAAGAATTCTAAATATCATTACTATTTTTCTATTTAAATTGTTAATCTATAAACCTTGAGGGTGTTTGTTCCTGAATAATAGAATCTGCAATTTGACTAATATATATTTCCCAATCAGGCATAGGTATAGTCAGATCTTCTGTTAAATTAGTGCTATATTTGAATATTAATAATATGCAATTATTCACAAACGTATTCTACTTTTTTGCATAAAGTGCTTCCAACATTAATAACGCTCTTCTTAAATTTCTTTTACTATCTGATGCTATTTTACTACATAAAACATCTGGAATTGAAAAATGTTCTTTCGATCCAATATGTTTTAAAACAACAATAATATCTTCTAATTTAGGCGCTGAAATACGTATTAAAAAACATCTTGATTGAATTGGTGCCATGATTTTGGATGTTGAACTTGTAATTAGAATAAGGCGTAAATTAGGATAATATTTTTCCATAGTTCGACGCAATGCTGCTTGTGCTTCACTTGTCAAATGATCTGCTTCATTAATAATTACAACTTAAGTGCAATCAGTATAGCTTTTTATTTTTTCTTAATAAAAATAATAACCTTTAAATCGCTGTTTTGCTGATACATCCACTTGTCGAGTTTGTGCAATTTCTTTCAAAAGATCTTGAATCACTGTTTTATCATAAATTCCTGCATCACTATGTTATTCGTATATATTTCAATACATTAATTCTTCTTCTCTGTAAATATTTTACCTTGGAGTAAATTCTATGTGATAATTACTAGATATAATATTAATCTTTACTTTTTTATTTGATGGTGTCAGAATCGTTTTTTGGTCCAATTTTAACTACAATTCTTGTTTATTTATTCCAATTCTTGTATTTTTATACTTTTTCAATTCCTGGTCCATAAATCTCACGAAGTGTTGCTAAAACTCTCGTTTTTTTGCCTGAACCATGAGGTCCATAGACTAAAAGATGAGGAAAATCGCTGCTCTTAGCCTTCCAGAGCTTTAATTCCCTTTATTTCTTTAAACCTCACTTACTAGTGCTTTTAATGTTCTGGTTAATTTCTCATGAAAATTCATATGATCTAATGTTTTAGGCCTATATTTATCTATAAATAATGCCATTCTATTTGTTATTTCTAATAATTCAATATTTTATATCTTTATAAGGGCTAAAAGATGATATTCAAGTAGCTTTAATTTTTATTAAGTTGATGACGTTGGTATCAGAGTCTTAGGTTAAGGTTATATTGATAGAAGTCAGAGAAAGAATAAATATTAAAGTAAGAAATAAAATAAAAAGACAAAATCTTGTGTTAGTATATCTCTAAAAACTTATATAGAAAGACTCTGAGTTATATAAACTATTTTTTTTTTTAATCTCTTTAACTCCGTAAGGATATTTAATTTTGTTGTTGTTATTGCTTTTAGAATGCTTCCGATGATTATTCTTATGCAATGGTATATTAATGGTATGAATTTTGCTTTTTTCAAAATATTTTTTAAAATATTCTTTTTCATGAAAATCCTTTTTTTGTCCTGATAATGATTTGATAGATAGTATTTTATTTTTTTTTATCCTGAGTGGTGGTGAATGATGATATAATGTATGCTGTTGTATTTCGAAAACGCTATTGTCTGGATTATCGCTTTCTTCTGTATCAGAATATGGAAAAGTAGGATCAATGTCATGTGGTGTTATTATCTTGGATTCTTCTATAGATCTTTGAATATTTGAGCCCTCTTTGGGAGAAATGACCTGATCCTCATCCAAATTTCCCAAAATAAAATCTGTATCATCTTGAAATTTATTATTCTTAGATGAAGTCGTTAAGTATTCAGGAGATTGATTGACGCAGTTAATCAATGATAACGTAGGTTTTTTCAAGGAATCATAAGAAGTTGCCGTCATTTCTTCATATGAAGTAGGTTCAAACGATTGACTTATTACATTATGACTTGTTTCTTCGATATTTTGATTCCGATAAAAACTTTCATATAAATCATCTGCCTCTTCTTGAATTTCTTTTTCCTCTTCATCCTCTAACTGTTCATAATCGTCATCTGTCTCGTCCTCAACCCCTACAAAACTCATTCTTTCTTTTGGAAGCACATTCTCTAAAAGAATCTTAACTGAAGGCTTCGACTGCCCCTTCGAATCATCCGAAATATCCATATTTTTCTTTTCCTCCTCTACTAACCCATTTTTTAATATTTTTTTCGTGCTTATTCCTGAATCTTTTATCAATTCTTCTTTTGAAGGTCTCAGTACTTGTGCTTGCATATTTCTCTCTTTTTGAGCAGCTGCAAATCGAACACTGTATTGAGACTTATCTCCTACAGGTTCTACTTGAGAAATATGAGGAAAATAGGGTTGTTGCAGAATCGGTGATAACGTATGAACCAATTCATGGATATTTGGTTTCTGAGACGGCGGTACAAACTTAACGCTCGATTTCGGTGCAAATCGAAGCATTAAAGGTGGCGTAGGTGTAGAATGTCCGCTCGTTGACTCGTGGTCTGATAAAAGATCAAGATTCGATACTTCTGGAAGACCTGCTTTGGGTGATGAAAGAAACATTGATAACAACGATATGCTTGGAGACGAACATGAATCCCTTCCACGTGTCTCCTTACAGCTGTTATCCGTTTCTTGGTTAGCTTCTTTACATGCTAATTGATGGAGTCTATGCGTCAAATATTCTGCTGTTGTAATGGGTATATGCGTCATTTCTTAGGCTATATGCTCACTTTTTTCTTCTATATGCATTGTTTTACGCTATTCTTCTTTGTATAATAACTTATCGGCCCTTTTTCACCTAATTTATAGATAAATTTGACCTTTTTCTTATATAATAGTTACCTCTACATTAACCACGAAATCTCTTACTGAGATAGCCCACTAATACTAGATAATTCTTACTTGTATATGCATGTTTTAAATGTATTTATTGGCTTTATTTTGGTTCTTTTTCTTTTTAAAATTCTTTGTTTTTTTTTCCTTTAAAATCCCTTACCCTGAGGCTTTTAAAGAAAATAGAAATTAATTATATATAGAAAATTAAAATACATATTATCATTATTAATAAAAGTTAAACAAGAATTAATAAATTTGTATTATATTGAAATGTGTTTTAATGAAATATATATGTTTTTAACATATATTATATAAGAAAATGTAGAGGATAGAATATAAATATATATGAAGAATGTTTTTTAATAAATGAAAATTACCAACGAGAGCTTTCTTTCCTTATTGCAGGAGGCTTATATATTGCAGGGGAAGGATGATCGGTGTTTAAAGGTTTATTTCCGAATTTTTGAAGAGTGTCAAGTTTAGGTTTATTGAGGGGGTTAGTATCAGTAGAATCGGTTTGATCGGATACACGAAGTCTCCAAGAACCTTTTCCTGGCCTCCATTTTTCATCTCCGGAAGGATTGGAAGATAAACGATCTTTTTTGGACCAACGATCGTAAGAATGATCGTTTAGACATAATTCTTCTTTCTTACGTCGAAGTTTGTTTTCAACTTCGAGTTCTTTTTGTTTTTGTTTTTCAGCCATTTGATCGAGTTTTCTAGATAAAGTTTTTAGTAAGTAAGTTTTTATTGGAAATATGAGTTACCTTAATTCTTCTTCTTTCCTAGCCCTATTTTCTTCTTCAATAATTTTAAGTCTTTGCTCTTCTTGGCGAATTCTCTCCCTCTCTTCTTCTTCTTTCCTTCTTCTTTCTTCTTCTTCTAATCTTTGTTTCTCTTCTTGTTCTTTTTTCTTACGATAAGCAATTCTTCTCTCCTCTTTTTCCTTTTCTAATGCTTTATTGGCGATTTTGCATTGTTTATTGTGTTGTTTCTTGCATTCTTCTAAAAACATATCGCAATAAATCATATAATCGGAATAAAGCCTTTGTAAGCGATGTTTAAGCGCAACCATATGGTCATGTTTTGCTCGTGATGCTTCATGTTTTAATTTTCTAGCTTTTTCATGAAATAATTTGTCTGAAGCAGCTTGATCAATTGCAAGTTGTTTAAGTAATGGAAGTTCTTCTTTTCTGAATGCTCTTTCGAGATGATCGATTCGTTTAGAAGTGATACGCAATCTCTCATTAAGGTCTCGTGTTTCTTTCTCCAGCTGTTCCAGATGTATAGCTCTTAATTTAGACGTATCTAGTCCTTGTAAATCTTCGACATCTACTTTTAAAGCACCCTTAGCTTTAAGCTCTCCTGCCAATTTTCTAGCTTCTTCTACACGAATGGCATCCGCTTCTTTTTTAATACGTTCTGCCTCCCTTTTTTTGGCTTCTTCTGCAATGCGACGTTGTTCTGCTTCTTGTTCTTGTTGCAATTTCTGTGCCCTCTTGGTTGCGGCTTCTTTTTCTTTACAAATCATCATGTTTTCAACAATTTCTTTTCGATGCTCAATGATTGCTCTTCGTGCCAGTGTTTCATTTTGTTCTTTTTCAATACCATTAACAGCCCGCTCATTTGCAGCATTTTTTTGATTTTCACGTTCCTGAAGAAAAGATGAATCTATAATACAAACTGTAGTAAGTAAACATTTCCCTATACGTGATAAATGAGAACGTATTAATTCAGACGGCGTAGATTGTAAGCGAATATTACTATCTGTTACTGTATGATGAGATGTAAAAATATCTGTTTCAAAAGTTAATGACCTGGATGAATAGTCAATTCGAATAGATAATTCTCCTTTTTTACAGGCATTCATAATAAATTTCTCAATGTAAATTGAATCAATGTTAAACGGTTCTGAAAAGTTAACAAGATTAAATATAAAGTCTAGTTGAATTGTTTCATATATTTGCGACAATTGCTGAAATAAGCGAGTAAGTATGACATGTTGAAGAGGCTTAATATATTGTGCCATATCTGGATCCTGGGCTATGATTTTAATCAAAGGCTCCACTTTTTGACAAATATTTAAAGGGTGAAATTCTACTTCCAATATATTACATAATTCTTTGATCTCCTTCCTTACATGAACTAAAATGTTTTTTCCGAGCTAAAATTATAAATAGATGTTTTTTTTTTTCAAATAATGCATGACTTACTGCTTCCTTTAAAAGACTACTTCTAGTAGGAGGTTTCGAAAGAGATAATAGTGCTGCAAGTTTTGTATTTCGGATTTTCGTATCATCAATTTCCATCATATTATTTCCCTTTGATTTTGTTATATTGATAACAGGAATTGATAATGCTGACAAAAGAACTAAAGATGCCACCCTTTCAAATTCTTTGTCACTTAATGCTTTGTTTTGAGAAGAAATCAATGCAAAGTATTTATTCCAAATAAGTGCATGAAATAAATAATTCTCACTAACTGCAAAAATTTTTCCAAGCTTTTCATAATAGTTTGTCATCACCATCAGTTTTGGCTGCCGTTTCGAAAGTATTAATAAGTTATTAATATCTTCGACCGATTTAAACGCCTCTTGCCAAAGTTCAAGTTCCACCGCTGCATTCAATTGGGAAAAACGTGTATCTAAATGACGTTGAAGCGTATCTGGATCGTTAAAATTAATCGAATGCTGTCCAGAATACTTAGTTGCATTCTGAAGATGTGTACGAAGAAGATCACACAGTCGACGAAATTCTGTTTTTCTTGAATATTTCAAACAGAAACTAAATGCTTGATTCACTGCACTCTGATATGCCTGTTCAAGTCTTGCATTATTCTTCAAAATCTCTAAGACTGTACGATATGTTTCCCAAAGAAATTTAAGCCATGGTGTTACTACTGCTCGATCGGTACGATCTTTTGACTGATCCCCAGAAACGGTTGACAAAATAATATTTTCCGGCGTCTCTAACGCCTCCAAATCATCAATCGTATCTAAAACAAGCTTCTCCGCGTGCACCTGTGCCTCTGAAACCTTTTCTTCTACCAAATCAATAAATCTTTTTAAAACAACCTAAATTCATGGAAAATACGTAAATAAAACCGCAAAAAAAACCCTCTCCCTACCTCAACCGTCCCTACTGACGTATTTTGTGCAATATTCTTGTACTGATAAAGCGCTTCTTTCGCCATTTTTCCTTTTCTCAGATCTACACATAATGCTACAAATCTTAACATAATAGGCTTCAATGACGACACCGCTGCATTTCTAGAACATCTAGAAAGAATCAATTCATGCAGCAGCTGTAAGGCTGCTGCGCTTTGCCCCACTGCAATCAGTTCTACTCATTAATTAGCCTTTTTTACCCGCTTTTTTTTCCTATAAACCTTCTGCACGCTACAAATTCATTCCTGTTAGTTATTTCTTCTTAAAAACCCTTCTTATACTCACTCTTAAGACATTCTCCGGTTTGCTCTGTGGAAGCAGCATCTCCACTGGACTTAGTTATTTTTATAGATTTTTTTAAAAAATCTGCCCGTCGTCTGCAGTAGCGAATTTGTTTGTTTAACCTCCCAAAAACTCGTAGACACAAGGATTGTGTCCAGGCTTTGGAATTACGCAGAAATCGCCTTTGTATATTGATCTGGACATATAATTTTTGTTTTATTCCTTTTTTTTCGTGTAAAAAAAGAGTGATATTCATAAAGTATTTAAAGTAGTGAATTTTTTGGGATTTGTGGATTTCTGGAGGCTGATTGTGGCTCAGTATATTGGGAATAATTGCTTTTTTGGGGGGATTAGTTGTTGGAAATGGTTGGGTCGCAGAAAAGACCTTTCAAATCATCAATATCGGAATTGAAGCTACGTCGGATGACAGAACTAAATAGCCGGCTAAAAGAGGATTTGGAGCGTCCAAGGATTTTAGTTAGTGAGGCTTGCCAATCGTTTTTCTTTCTTTTTTCTTCTTAAATCTTCTTATTTTTTTAGACTTATTCTTTTTGCTACTACTACTAAGGATCCTATGTTGCCTTCTGCTTGGCCTCAAAATGACCGGTTTCCTGGAGCTTTCTCTACTAAAACTTCCCCTTCTTGCTGTATTTTAATGTAATTTTTTTTTCAACTCTCTTTTTTGCTCTTTTCTCATCTTCTTCTATTTTCTCTTAAACAATTCTTTCTCTTCTTCTTCTTTTCTTCTGTATTTCCTGTATTTTTCTTCATTCTTATTTTGTCTTAGTTTTTATGCCTTTTGAGACCCGGCGTAACCTCATTTTTTTGCAAAACAAAAGCTGCCTGCAAAAACCTCTATAAAACAGGCGTATAAAGACTTGATATCTGAGATTTCTAGTCGGGAATTGTTAGAATGGATGGAGATGCTTATCTTCGGCGTTTGGTACAATTTATCCGGGCAAATGAGTCGTCTTTGGCATCATCATTGGAGAATCCAACGAGATGGATTGAGTCAGAAGAGAGGAGAATATCGGTCTTAACGGGGCTTTATCAATGGATGAATGAAGGGAAAATGGGATTGAGATCGTGTACGTTGTCTATGACGCCGCATTATTTGTTTTATGTGCTTTCTCGGTTTGGGGAAATGGAACTTACGACAGGACCGATGAATATAAGGCTTGAGAGGCTACAGAATGGAGGAGAAGGGGGAAACTATGTATCATTTTTAAAGGATTATCCTAATGGATGGAAAAAAGAGGATACGAGTGATACGCGATCGATTCGGAGTGTAAGTTCTATTAGAAGTGTAGTTAAGGGAGTATCAAATATATGGGGACGATTGAGTTCAGGATGGAAGATATCACCTAAGGAGAGGGTATATGAGCAAATTCGAACGGATATTATGTATTTATATTCATCATTTACGAAATTGCCGTCATTAAGATTAGTTCCGTCGTCAAGTTATCGGATGATTGATGGATATGAGGAATTTCCTTTTGATACGGCGATTCCTTTGTTTGTGTTTAAGAATTTGAAGAGTTTAGAAATTGTGAATATTGAAATTGGAAGATTTTATGGCTGGGATAGGATTGCGGACAATTTGCGTTTTTTAACGGTGAAAGGATGTGGAATACGTGATGCTAGTGAATTGATTATTGATATTGTTCTGAAAAATATTGAAAAACGTAGAAAAATGAGAATTCGTAAGAGTAATTCTTTACCATTAGCATTACAAAACAAATCTATTGGATGTAGCCAAGTTCATCCGTTGATTGAAACGGCAGATGTTTTAAGTATAGAGTCTTCATCAGTAGATCCTAAGAAGGCATTTGTATCTCATGTCAGAAAATTTTCATCACCGTTACATGATAATTCTGAGGTACAATATCATCCACACGATTCGGATTCTTCCAATAAATCTTGTAATTTTTCTGATAGTACGCCAGTTGCACAGCCTCATTCTGAAATTCTTCCTTTAAAGAAATGGTTTTTTTTGAAATATTTATCTTTATCGAATAATTCGTTAAACATGCTCTCATTTTCAGCAGTAATTCCAATTGCACGTTCTTTGGTTTCTTTGGACATTTCTCATAATATGTTTATTGAGATTCCATATTCTTTATCGATGCTTACTTCTTTGAAATCTTTAAATATTTCTTATAATAGGATCGAGTCGTTACAATCATTAATGTGTCATCCTCTTTTGTCAATAGCTACTATTGATATACGTTCTAACCGTTTACGATCTTTACATGGAATTGAAAAATTGATAAATCTTCAAAGATTGGATATTAGAGATAATTGTTTGTCTGATCCGATGGAAGTAGCAAGGTTAGCAAATGCGTATACTTTTAAACAAATATGGGTATCTGGGAATCCATTTGCTCACAAGCATTTTTCAACTTATCGCATTACTATATTTAATATATTTCGTTCCATGCCTAATCATGTTTATGACATTCTTATAGATGGACAAGGGCCGGGAATCATGGAAAGGCGTAGATTGATTGAAAAGGTTCGAAAACGTAAGCAGCCTTTACCGGAATCTGAAAAAATATCTCATAATTCATCTGATATTGATCCTCAAAAAATTATTTTTTCTGAACATGAGATTCTTGAATTTTCAACTATTGAAAGAAATTCTAAGGTTGGAAAAGGAATCGTTGGTTTTGATGAGTTTCCTAAGGATGACCAAATATTAATTGGGAAAACTATAGTTAAAAATAATAATTCTAGTATTGATAATTTTTCTCAAGCCCAGAGTAATGACGTAGATATGAATTTTCAGGAGGATAAGGATTATAACCATCAAGTAGAGGCTTTAAGAAAAAATGTTGGTGAAAACTGGTTAACAGTTTTAAATGAGGAGATGTGTGTTAAACAACAATAACTTTTTAAATATTGAATGTCGGTTTATATATGTTTTGTATGATATAATCTATGATAACATTTTTCATATACGATTTAATTATTTGGACTCATGGTTCAGCACTAAAGACAATAGATGAAAATGTATTTTGAGAAAAATAAGTATACGATATCTTGTCTTTGGCTTTTTCTGAACATTTATTATTATTTATATAAGGCTTGAGTTTAGGTGAACATTTAAGTTACGCATAAATTTTTAAAAGACATAATATATATATTCAGGTGATATGAGTTGATTTTTTTAAAAAATAATAGGATATTCTTATTTTTGAAGCCATGAATATATGATACTTTTTTTATAAATTTATTCGAATTTCTAATAGTAAAATGGTAAACGAGTATTATATTGGTTTTAAAAATATGCACATTAGTAAATGAATATATACTGAAATAGAATATATGGAAAGAATTTTGAAAGCTTTTTGAGAGGTTAAATTATTTGAATTATGATTTAAGATAGCAATACATTTTTTATCGCAATAGCTCTTGCAGATTTATTACTGGTTTATACGCTATTTTGGAACAATATTTACATGAGAGCTCTGAATTATTAAATGGTTATGTATTGTTTTTATTGTCAAAATATTTGTATATCTATATATGATGTGTTTTGTCTCAGATGAGATGCGAACTGAAATGAAAGAGATCAACCGTCACTGATATTCTATATATTAATTGTTTGGAAAAGATTGTTTTGTAATCTATTGACAAATAACATTCTAACATCATTTTTATTATATATAGAAAGCAGTTTTATACTTATTTCATAAGATTAAAGACTGTAGATTGGTTATTTTTATGATAAAGATGAAGAATTGTCATTGATAGTGTCATAGATTTGTTATTTTTAATGATTTTTTGGATATTTTTTGATATATATTTATGATATATATATTTTTGTATTTCTACGGTAAAGATATTGTATATCTATTATATTGTATTATGTATTGAACATATGTATACAATATTCTTATTCTTTTACTAAACATGTAGTGGAAATGCATGGAAATATCCATCTATATATTTTTATATTTTTTGTCATTTTTGAATATAAATGTATTATCTTAAGTCCTGTAATATTTATTGTTAGTAGAAATATTACATTTTATTCTAAGGTTATAGTTTTTACTTTTAATTATCTTTATAAAGTCTTTTAAATGTTTTAATAATATTTTATTTACATCCTTGTATAAATGTTTGTTTTTTTCTTTAAGAATAAATGTAATTTCTAGGTGAGTTTCATGAATATTTACTTACATCTGTAAGTAAATATGTTTAATAAAAAATAATAAGAATTTGGTATCTACTGCAATTTTTATGATATATAATCCTATGATAAATTGTAAATATGAATATATTATGACTATTCATATAAACATTGATATATTATTTGGATCTTTGAGATCTACTTCGTAAATTATGTGTATTTTTCTTTTCTATATCATTTTCCATATTTTGTTTGTTGAGATTGTCTTTCTTTTGAATCTTATTTACATGTCGTTCAAGAAGGTTAAATTCTTCGTCAGTAATTTCAGAAAGTGGAGACATTGTTCTAATATCATCTCCTGGCCAAACTTGCGCGTATTCTTTTATAGACAACCCCTTTGGCTCAAAAATAGACCAATCTGATACCATTCTCTCATTTTCCATTTTTAAAAAAGATATGTTTTCTGCATCCAAAAATAATTTTTCGCATTGTCGTTTAAATCTTACTGCTGTTTTATAATATATTGTATTGTTGTCATTGTATTTTATAGCATTGTCAAAAACATGCATCAGATCAGTCTTAAATTATTAACTAATTTCTCCTTTTGAAAAAAAAAATACCTTAAATTGTAATAGATTAGCATATTCTCGATCTTCAATTTTCTCAGAAATCATTGATAAAGAAACAGGCATTCCATTTATTGGATTGTAGTTAAAAGTATCAATTGGAACATTTGAAAATAATTTATTTTTATCCCATCTTATAATAATTAAATTTAACAGTTAACACAAGGAATAACGTACCTTTCAATACAGTTTAATATATATTTAATAATATGTGTAATAGGAAAATAAACTGTATCAGCCACTGTTTCTAAATAACATGAAATCTTCTTTTTTTCTTCTTCACGTTTTTTAACCGAATCAGTTAATTCTAATAATTTTTCTAGATCTTGTTTTAAGATTTTTGCAAACTTGAATGATTAATTAACAATATGGACATTAATTAAAGTGTACCTCAATTCTTTCCGTAATCTGATCTGTTGAAAGATTATGAATTTCATTCTAAGATACTTTAGAAATACAATTGTATGATATATTCTCCAAACCTCAGTTTTTAATTGTAATCTTTTTATTAATGATGCATTTTTTCTTGATTCTTTTTTCAGAGACCAATATTTACAAATATCTGTAATAAATACCGATTTTTTTCTGATTGGGAATTTATGTATATAATCCAATAATCTATTTTGAATATATACCGGTATAAGAGGGTATGTTCTTGTTTTTTTTAAATTTATATAGATTCTAGATGATGATCCGTGTATATGATTAGAATTATGATTATTTTCTACGAATTGAGAAGTTGAAGGCGTATAAGATAAAAAATGTTTTCTAGTTTCATGAAGAAACTTCATAATATTATGTTCATTACGCCAAAAACTCTTTCGACATTAATGTATAGGAATCACTTAACTTAATAATACTCACAGGAACATGTTTATCGCAGTAAGCTTTTAATTCTGTGCTATTTTTCTTCATAGGCATGTATAATCTTGCCCTACGTGCACATGTAACATGAAAAGCTCTATAACAAGACTTATTTACACATTGAATTGACGCGCCCATTCTTTGCTGACAAATATAACATATCTTTGAAATAAGTAATATAGTCTATTTTGGATAAAACACTTACAAGTTTCCATCTTGAAGCTGGAATTTTGTGAATATTATCAATAGGTTCCTGATAAACAGTATTCATAACTGTAACTTCTGGAATCCAAATAGCACAGAGCAAATGTGCCCATCTGTTATCTGATGTTTGCTTAAAGGCGCCTGTGGTATTAGGACAAAAAATGCAATTCTTATTATGTGTTAGGGTAGGCATATAATTATATAACAACAATACCAAAGTACTTTGAGGAGATATTAGACATTTCCTACATAACCATTGTCCCTCAGGTATATATGGGATGCCATAACAGTCTAGTATATGTCATAAGATACTTATATAACTATGTAATCTAAAATACCTTGATGAACAGCTAAATTACATCCATCGCAGAATACTATAGCATTAACATTTTCGCATTCTCCATCATCACAAATTGAACATTTTGAATCATCAGGAGATAAATTTTCTTTCGATTTATCTTTAGGTATTTTTTTATCCTACATATGTTATTTCTTCATTTCAAAAAAATATATTATATAATTAAAAACATACAAGTTCTATCCATTCTTTTTCTATTTTTGTTAATACAATTTCAAAAAATTCATGTGATATAGTATCTCCTTCTGACTTTAATCTTTTCGAATTATATTGTTCTAACCAAAAATCATCTAAAAAATAAGCTTTTATTTAAAACATTTATAACATTTAACCTTGTTCATCCATGTCATATTCAACTTTATTTGCTAAAGTTTCTCTAGATTCTTCTAATTTAATATTAGTTAGAAAATTTGATATTTTATTATATATATACCCACGAATCTAATATACGTATCTGAAGGTCTACTCCAAATACCCGCTTCCTCATATCCATATCCCATCATCGATCGTCCTGTATACCTTGTTTCTTTTTCAAAAGGTTGAATATTTCGAAACGAAAATTTTGATGACTCTTCAATACATGGATTTCCCGTATTCTTTGATTCCTCATCTTTTGCTCCTATTTTCTTATCTTGTTTCGAAATATTACATAATGATATATCTGAATCAAATACTTGTTTTTCTTTTTTTGTTATTTTTGTCCCTAAACATTTATCATAATCCTTATCAATTTCATTTTCCCGGTTCAATTCCTCACATAGTTTATGAGTCTCTGTGCTATTTGCTGCATCTGTTACTGATGCTCCTGTTGATACTTGATCTTCAAATATTTCTAAGAAAAAAAAAAACACTACTTAAATATCACTTACCCTCTTTAGAATATATAATTCTAAGAGGCTCTTCTATATTAAAATTCGTATAAAACTCCAAATATGACCGCTCTTCTCTCGGTTTTTCCATGATTTGCTCATATTGCTTCTCATCTACCATTGCCAGCCGGCTGGCATGAAACGATCCCGAAAATGAACTGTTTCCTCCTCTGCCGTGAATACGTTGATGCATATCCCGTATTTTCTTGCAATTTATCCCGTTATTTCTCCTTCTAAACGCGCCTTTTTTCTTCCACAAAAATTACACATAAACAATTCAAATTCTCCTAATAACACTTAATATGGGCATCAATCTGACGAGAATTTCCTGCATATTCTGATACAACCCTTTTTTCCTTCTAAATATCCACTTAATTCAAAAAAAACACTCGTTTAAAAAATATATCAATTTTGTCCTTCGTAACTTTTTCTCCCAAACTTAATCTATTTTCTTATTTCTTAAAAATATACCTATTTTCTCTTTAAACATATGGTCTATTTAACCTTTTTTCTATTTATTTTTTATTATTAACTTAATTTTTTATAAGAATTTCTAAAAAATCTTATAAAAATTATTAAAAAAAGTTAAGAAATTTATTAATTTTATTAAAAATTATTAATTCGTTTTTTAATTTATTAATTTATCTTAATATTTTTAAGTTTTTTATTAAAAAGCCATAAATTAAGAATAAACGTCTTTACAGGTTAATATTTGAATAAAATCATAAGAAATAGATGTATTTATTAAATGTTTTTGGAGTTTAAGTCAATGATTGAGCAAGTTGTTAGTATTTTTGGAGATAAAATGAGTGAAGTAGAAGGTTATTATAAGAATACCTTTGAAAGATATGCTACGGTTGAAAAAGAGGATGAAATATATATGAATAATGAAGATTTTGTTAATGCGATTACATCAGAAGGAGTATGTGAAAAGGTTAAACGGGAAGAATATGATATTCTTTTTAAAGTGGCGGATGTTAAGAAGAGAGGTCTTTTAAGCGAAGAAGATTGGATTTGTTTTGGAAAATTACTTGGAAAATATGATGCAGAATATCAAATAGTATTTAAGTTTTTTGATGTGGAAGGGACAGGGAAAATTTTGTATGAAGATTTTAAGAAGATGATATTTGCGAATGAATCAATGGATAGTATTCCTTTTAATTGGAATTCATCATGGTTGAAAAAGTATATGAATAATATGGGAAAATATGGGATGACCTATCCGGAGTTTATTGAAATGATTAAGGATCTTGAGGAGGAGCGTATAAAGCAAGCATTTGTATATTATGATAAGGAGAATTTAGGGTATATTGGGAAGGAGGAGTTTTCAAAGATTATAAATAAAGTGTTATCTCATAAATTGTCGGATTATCTTTTGAAGCATTTGGATACACTTTGTGAAGATAGGATTAATGGGGAAAAAATTAGTTATGCTAATATAAGGGCGTTTCAAAATGTTATTAGGAAAGCGAAAATGATTGAGGGTATTGTTAGAGCAGCGATTTTGAAATCATCGGATAGTAGGATTACAAGGATTGATTTTATGAGAGAAGCAGAAAAAATGGGATATTGTTTATTTACGCCTATGGAAATGGATATTTTGTTTCATTTTGTTGGTCTAGATAATGATACAGGCCGTTTAAGTTATCAAGATTTTATAAAAGTTTTAGATGCAACATGGAAGAATCCTATAGAACAAAAGAATAGTCTAAGTTGTGATGAATTGAAAGTAATGGATAAATATGGAAAAATAAAAAAGTTGATTTCAAAATTGTTGGATAGTATTTATCATTTTTCATTAGGAGCAGTTGCAGGTGCATCGGGTGCTATTCTTGTTTATCCAATAGATTTGGTAAAGACAAGAATGCAAAATGCAAGAACCAAAATGGGAGAACAAATTCTTTATAAAAATAGTTTTGATTGCGCAAAAAAAGTTTTAAAAAAAGAAGGTATTTTGGGATTGTATAGTGGAATGGGTCCTCAATTAATTGTATAAACACATTTATTTTAGTTTTTAAAATTCTAATTGGTATTAAAGGGTGTGATACCAGAAAAGGCTACTAAGCTTACAGTAAATAATCTGGTTAGAAATATACTTAAAGATGATAACGGAAAAATAAAACTTTATTGGGAAATATTAGCTGGTGCTTCTGCTGGAGCTTCTCAAGTGGTAAATATTATTTAATATTATTTAATTGTTTTTCTAATTATGATTTAAAGATATTTACAAATGTAATATTATAATCTTGATTATTATTTATTAATTTATAAATTAAGCCTTTAGAAATTGTAAAAATAAGACTTCAGACACAAGGAGAACACATTGTTTCTTCGAGGAATGCTTTTCGTAAGAATGCTTTATTTATTATAAAAGATTTAGGTCTTTCGGGACTTTATAAAGGCACATCTGCTTGTTTATTGCGTGACATACCTTTTAGTGCTATATATTTTCCTGTTTATTCTCATTTAAAGAATGATTATTTTAAGGAAGATTCAGGGAAAAAACTAAAAATTGTTGATCATTTTATTTCTGGTGCTATTGCTGGTATTCCTGCTGCATATTTTACAACACCTGCAGATGTTTGTTATTACTATTAAATATAACATTTAAAATAATTTCATTAGGTTATAAAGACTAGATTACAAGTAGAAGCTAGAAGGGGTGAAACAACTTATAAAAGTATTCGGCACGCTTTTTTTACAATTATTAAAGAAGAAGGTGTTTCAGCTTTGTTTAAGGGAGGGCCTGCTAGAGTATTTCGTTCATCACCTCAATTTGCATGTACATTAGCTGTATACGAAACATTACATTCATTATTTTTGAAATCTACACATTCGTCTCAATTGTTATTTGATTCGAAAGAGAAAAATGTTTCTTTTCCATATTTACGATCTTGTAATGCTTTGCAAGCTATACTTGTAAGTAAATTAGAAATTATTATTATTTAATTCTCTTTAGGATATGGATATAAATTATGGAAATTATTTTAAGCCTTAAATGCATATCAAATTAAAAGTATTAGAATTGGTTTAATATTAATAAGAAAATACATTAATATTACTTTTTCTTTGTCTTATTTCTCTAGAAAAATTTAATTAAATTTTAAATGCTTTATATTAAAAATTTTATTTATTAATATATTATAGAATGTTTTTAAGAAATAGTAGAATTATTTAAGTCCTTGTTTTAGTAAATGCATTATGGTTGTATTATGTATTCAAGGAAAGTGTCATGGATTTTTGGTTAATAAACAGGATAATTCTGTTTATATTTAAGTAAAAAAGTAGCTAACTACATTTTCCATCTTTCCTCCTGCTTTCATTAATAATGGGTTATTCCCTTGGTATTAAATGATTCTTGCGTTATGAAAACACATTTGTGTTGTTGATGACTTCATTTATAAAATCATATGTTCCAAACTTTTTACAATTATCAAAAGCATTATCTCTGAAACCTGAGCATCTAGGAGTTTTCTATTAAAGAGGTATCTTTATTTAAATTTTTATCCGTCTCATCAGTGTTTGATGGAGTTTTACTTTCAACATTTTTCTGTAGTTCTTGAGTTTTTAGTATTTGTAAACTCTGTGAAATCTTCTCTTGAGCCTGCAAAAGTAGTTTATTACTTTCTTCGATTTTTTTTATACTATCTGCATCAAATAAAGTGGAATTAACTTTGGTTAAATTTAAATCTGTTGTACATATAGTGTTGGATGGTGCTTGTGCCTTAAAATTGATTATATCTAATCTTTCTGGGAATGCAGATTGAAAATTAGAGTCGACATTGTTTAGACAAAATGCTTTTATAGAATTTTTCCCTTTATTAACTTCGAAGGATGAATTAGAATCCGTTTGTTTATTCTGATTAGTACTTTCTGTATTATCTGAAAGAGATGTGTCTAGGTTATGAGATAATATTTTCATTATAATAGTAATTACCTGAATTATTATTATTATTTATATTATGTATTGAATGAATGTTTTGATTAATTAACGGAATAACTGTCCAGTCTGAATAAAATCTATAATTGTTTGGAAATATAGGTGTATTTTGTGGGTTTTGATAATTAGGAGGGTTTTGTGGGACAGGGTTTCTGTTTTGTCTTATTTCTTGATTTCTATTGGGTGCTTCGGCATTTCTTCTTCCTAAATTACGCAAAAAATGAAATATTTGGGTTCTATTTATGTTAAATATTTCCCTGGATTGATCTTCCAAAACTGATTGTCGACTAATAATGGATAAAAGATGGATAAAAGATGATACAAAACATACCATGTAGGACAACTTTGTTGTCTTTCGAGCCAATTCTTCAAACAATTAAAGTGTAATATATGGTTACATGGTAATTTTTTAGGAGTGCTATTGATACGTGATTGTGATTTATCGTTTTTATCCAACTTCTTCATACTTGAATGAACCATTTCTTCACGACAAATAATACATGTTTTATCCTCCGTAGTAGCAATTTCTTCATATGTTGCATCTATAAACCGCTGATTCATATTGTTTGTAACTCTTTTGTATCGAATAAGATCACGGCATTTAGCAAGAAACGATTTGAAAGCCATGTATATATCTCGAATAATATGAAGCGGTAGACCATAAAATGTTAATGCTAGTATGAAGAAAATGCTATACGCTATAAGCTTGAAAAGCTCTTTATTTCCACATCAGAGAAGAAACAATAAAATTATAATAATCACCCATAAAAAGCTCGAGATATAAAACATATAATGCCTTATTCTCCCATGTATCCTGATACGAATCGATAAGATTAAAAATGTATTTAATCCCTGCTCCGATAATCGTCGATGTCAAAATCGCAAATTCAAAGGCAAACATAAGCATCATACTCGGCTTTTCATGAAGAATCGTATTAATAGAAAAATTCGTCATGATAATATCAATAATCAATAGGAAAACAATAGAAATCACAATTCGTGCATGCTGTCTCAATAATATAGTTTCCGATTGTCTCGCCTATAAATATTAAAATCCTCCGCTCAATCTAATATCTAATATTACAAATTCCAGCCGATCAAAACAAAGCCAATGAAACGTTTTAAGAAAAATTAATACAATAAAAACAATAATTGATCGCGTATCAAAACTATTCCGAAAAATAGTCATAGCCAAACACGTCTCCGTTATAGAATACCATGCACGTTCATATAGATGCTCTATCTCTATTGCACGTAACGGTCCAAAGAAAATCCTCTGGATCACTTTCCCAATAATCGTCGCAAGAAAAAGACCCATATTCATTAAGACCTTTCATATATCATTAATCCCTTCTATAAATTCCCTTCATACTATCAAGCATGCACTGCTTTCCGTCATATATATGCATGATGCATAGAAATTAGATCGATTCAAAAATGCACTCAGAATCACAATGCCTGTAGCAATAGTGCTGCTCTGACACCCCGTTAGACTTCTCCTCATACTATTCCTTACCTTACCGCCCCGTAAATAACCAGTTTCATAGCATAAACCTCTATATTGCAAATTTTTGGTTTTTTTTAGACGTTCTGATCCTCAATAACGATGAATATATCCGTATAGAAAAAGCAAAAACTAAGGTTGGGAAAAAAGTACTAATAAATAGCAAAAATGGCGAATATCTTCTAGTTTTTAATAAAGAAGAGTGTTTCTGCAGGGAATAGAAGCAGTAGTGTATTTTTTTAAAAATAGGGTTTTTGCTGAAAATGAGGGCATCGTAACGACATAGTATAAGATTGGGAGACGAGGATTTTACGGACGGGTTAAATTGAGGGTAAAAGAGGATAATGAATGTTTCTAATAGAATGTCCGTGTTATTTAGAGGTATGTAGTTTTTTTTGGGTTTGAAAAGAGCTAAATTTGATAGGATTTGGTGATAAAACAGGAAGAATGTTTATTTCTTCTTGGAAACCGTTTAATTTATTTAAAAAGAAGGATATAGCAGTTGTAAATAATGAGGGGATGATGGTTGAGAGGAATAGGGGGTCTTCATTGGATTATGTTTTAACATCAGTGGATGCTATTGTTAATTGGGCAAGACAAGGAAGTATTTGGCCGATGACGTTTGGTAATGGGATAAAAAGCAGAAAAAAAAGTGTTTTAGGATGTTTTTTAATGCTTTGAAAGGTTTAGCATGTTGTGCGGTTGAAATGATGCATGCGTCAGCACCAAGATATGATCAAGATCGGTTAGGTATTATTTTTAGGGCAAGTCCTCGACAATCAGATGTGATGATTGTTGCGGGGACATTGACGAACAAAATGGTGATTTTTAAGCGGTAATTGTTGTATTTTTTAAAGTTTTTTAAGGCGCCGGCTTTACGGCAAGTTTATGATCAAATGCCGGAGCCTCGATGGGTTATTTCTATGGGATCATGTGCTAATGGAGGTGGTTATTATCATTATTCATACAGTGTTGTTAGAGGATGCGATAGAGTATTTTTATTATTGAAAAAAAAGAAATTTTGTTTATTTAATTAGATTGTACCGGTTGATATATATGTTCCAGGTTGTCCACCGACGAGTGAAGCACTTTTATATGGTATAATTTTAATTATTTTAAAAAAAAAACGCTTAAATACATAGGTATCTTTTTATTACAAAAAAAACAACGAAATCAAAAAATTACACGTTTATGGTATCGAAAGTAGAATTAGCATGATTATTGGTCTAGTTTATCCATATTATCCATACTGTTAAAAATGTCCCTTAATTTAAATAACGATACCTTTTTATTTCACTTAATAAAAATCAAGTTATATGTATTAATTTCTTTTGATTTTTTCTTTTATTATATTTTTACAAGGACTTGAATCGATTATTCATTTATATTCTTTTATATTATCTATATTCCTATTTATCATCTATATTCTTATTTATATTCTTATTTATATCCTTATTTATATCCTTATTTATATTCTTATTTATAACACTATAAATTATTTTTCTTCATTTTATTTATAAATTCATTTATGTTTTATTTTTTTTAATATAAATTTCTATTTTAATTTATACAATTTTTATCCTCAATATACTTATGATTTTCTATTTTATCCTCTTTTACTTTAAAAATACCTCTCACGGATTTTCTCCCTTTATTCCCTCGTATATTTTCTTAAACTACATAATCAGCCATAAAAGGCTTTATTACCCCATCGTATCTTGGATATTTTTGATAAAAGGATAAGAATACTTGTCTTTTTGGAGGGTCTTTTAAGAGGGTCTTTTTGGGTGTTATTAATGTCTTTTTTCTTAACTGTCATATTATTTTGAAATAATTTCTTGGGAATAATAATATATATTGAAATAGGTATTTGTCTTTGGGTAAATTATATGGTTAAGAGGAGCCTTTATAGAAGGTAGCAGTTTACGGGTTGTAATATGTTTATACGAGCGTGTTCTTCAGAAACACCGGTATCGTTTGATAATAATCCAAAAGAGGTTATATTGGAGCTTGAAGATGGTACAGTATATGAGGGATATTCATTTGGAGCAGAGAAATCGGTATCAGGGGAATTAGTTTTTCAGACAGGCATTATAAAGGATAAATGGGTATAATAGTTTTAATGGATGATATAGGAATGGTTGGGTATCCGGAATCTATGACAGATCCATCATATAGAGGTCAAATTCTTGTTCTTACATTTCCTCTTGTGGGTAATTATGGTGTTCCATGTAGAGAGAAGATGGATCCGATAATTCCAGATATTCCACATTATTTTGAGTCTAAGGAGATTCATATTTCTGCCTTGGTTGTTTCGAGTTATTCACGTACATATTCTCATTATCTTTCTCAAAGTAGTCTTGGTGATTGGTTGCAAGAAAAAGGCATTCCTGCAATGTATGGAGTAGATACTCGGGCACTTACAAAGAAAATAAGAGATCAGGGATCTATGCTTGGAAGAATACTAAAAATAAAACAAGAATTTGCTTTGTATGATTTTTCTAATAATGATGATGATTCATGGAAGGATAAATTTGAATGTGTTGAATGGGAAGATCCTAATATTAGGAATCTTGTTAAGGAGGTTTCTAGGACTAGTGTACATATTTATAAGCCATTGCCTGAAGTTTCTCAGAAGGTATCTTCAGGTGAGCAACTTCAAGTTTTATGTGTTGATGTTGGGATAAAAGCGAATCAGATTCGTTGTTTTCTAAATAGAGGGGTAGAACTTAAAGTAGTTCCATGGGATTATGATTTCTCTTTGGAAAATGATTATCATGGTCTGTTTATTTCTAATGGACCAGGTGATCCCTCTATTTTGACAACAATTATTGAGCGTTTGAAAAAATGTATTGATGCTGAAATGACTCCAATCTTTGGAATTTGTTTAGGTCATCAGCTTCTTGCAAGAGCTATTGGTGCAAAAACTATGAAAATGAAATTTGGGAATCGGGGGCAAAATATTCCATGTACAAATATGATAAATGGTTGTTGTTATGTTACTTCGCAAAATCATGGTTATGCAGTTGATGCATCCACTCTACCAAATAATTGGAAGGAACTTTATGTGAATATTAATGATGGATCTAACGAAGGTATTTATCATGAAACTTTACCTTTCTTTTCTGTGCAATTTCACCCTGAGTCAGCACCTGGCCCTAAAGATACTGAATTTATGTTTGATGTATTTATTGATGCTATTAAATGTTCTTTTAGTGAAAAACGTCTTGTTCCTTTTAAAATTCCTGGAAAAGCGCTTCCAAATTGTGTTTCGGGTTTTAGAAAGTCTATTAAAAAGGTTTTGATACTTGGTAGTGGGGGTTTAAGCATTGGACAAGCTGGTGAATTTGATTATTCGGGTAGCCAGGTTTTGCTTATTTTTTTATTTCATTAATAATAATTGTTTTTAGGCTATTAAAGCTTTAAAAGAAGAGGGTATATATACTGTTTTAATCAACCCCAATATTGCAACTGTACAAACATCAAAAGGAATGGCTGATAAAGTTTATTTTCTCCCGGTTAATCCGGAATTTGTATTGAAAGTGATAAAATATGAAATTCCTGATGCAATTTATGTAACATTTGGGGGACAAACTTCTCTTAATGTAGCAATACGTCTTAAAGATGAATTTGAAAGACTAGGTGTTAAAGTTCTTGGGACACCTATTAGTACTATCATTATGACTGAAGATCGAGAGTTATTTGCTAGAAGTATGAAAGAAATTAATGAGAAATGTGCTATATCTGCTTCTGCTTCAAATATTAAAGATGCAATGAAAGTAGCAAATGATATTGGATATCCTGTTATTGTTCGAGCAGCATATGCTTTAGGTGGTCTTGGATCAGGTTTTGCGGATAATGCTACACAGTTATACGAATTGTGTAGTAAAGCATTTATTATCAGTCCACAAGTATTAATTGAGAAGAGTATGAAAGGTTGGAAAGAGATCGAATATGAGATACTTCGTGATTGCAGAGATAATTGCATTGCTATTTGTAATATGGAGGTAAGAGTTTTATATTTTAGAATAATAATTTATTTATGTTTAGAATTTTGATCCTCTGGGAATACATACAGGAGATTCTGTTGTAGTTGCTCCATCTCAGACTCTTTCTAATGAAGATTATAATATGTTACGAACAACTGCTATTAATGTTGTACGGCATCTTGGTGTTGTTGGTGAATGTAATATTCAATATGCATTGAATCCTTTTTCAAAAGAATATTATATTGTTGAAGTTAATGCTAGGTTGTCTCGGTCTTCTGCTCTTGCTTCAAAGGCTACTGGATTTCCTCTTGCATTTATAGCTGCTAAACTTGGTCTTGGAATTACTCTTGATGAACTTAAAAATACAGTTACGAAAAAAACATCTACATGTTTTGAGCCAAGTTTAGATTATATTGTGGTTAAGATACCACGTTGGGATCTTAAGAAGTTTACACGTGTAAATACTCAGCTTAGTTCTTCTATGAAATCTGTTGGGGAAGTTATGAGTATTGGTCGTACTTTTGAGGAGACTATTCAAAAAGCAATTAGAGCTATTGATTATAATAACCTTGGCTTTAATGAAACGGATGCTCTTATGTCTTTAGATATGGAATTGCAAACACCATCTGATCAGCGATTGTTTGCTATTGCAAATGCAATGTATGCCGGTTATTCTGTCCAAAGGATATGGGAATTAACAAAAATTGACAAATGGTTTTTAGATAGACTTATGGGATTGATCAATTTTGAAAAGAAAATTCGAGAGTATAACCAGTATAATATACCTATTTCTCTTCTTTCTCTAGCAAAACGATTTGGTTATTCTGATCGCCAGCTTGCTAAATTTTTGGGATCAACTGAACTAGCTATACGCAAAAAAAGAATTGATGCATCTATTATTCCATTTGTTAAGCAAATTGATACTGTTTCTGCAGAGTTTCCTGCTTTTACTAATTATCTTTATATGACATATAATTCTAGTGAACATGATATATCATTTGAAGATCATGGTGTAATGGTTCTTGGTTCTGGCGTGTATAGAATTGGATCATCTGTAGAATTCGATTGGTGTGCTGTTCGTGCTATAAGGACTGTTCGCGAGCGAGGTGTAAAGACTATCATGGTTAATTATAACCCAGAAACAGTTAGTACAGATTATGATGAAGCTGATAGATTATACTTTGAAAATATTAGTCTTGAAAGGGTTCTTGATATTTATGATATTGAAAATTCTAGTGGTGTCATAGTTTCTATGGGTGGACAAACTCCTAATAATATTGCTCTTTCGCTTCATAGATGTAATGTTAAAATATTAGGAACATCCCCAGAAATGATAGATTCTGCTGAAAATCGATATAAGTTTTCTCGAATGCTAGATAGAATTGGAATAGATCAACCATTATGGAAAGAACTTACGAGTATTGATGAGGCATCTGATTTTTGTGAATCTGTTACTTATCCTGTTCTTGTCAGACCTTCATATGTGTTATCTGGCGCTGCAATGAATACCGTTTATTCTAAAGATGATTTAGCAGATTATCTTAAACAAGCTGTAGACGTTTCAAAAGAACATCCAGTTGTTATAACAAAATACATAGAAGGTGCAAAAGAAATAGAGTTAGATGCTGTTGCAAAAGATGGGAAGTTGATTATTCATTTTATTACGGAACATGTTGAAAATGCTGGTGTTCATTCTGGCGATGCTACTTTAATTTTACCTCCACAGGATTTGGATCCGGAAACCGTACATCAAATTGAGCAAGCTACTATCCAAATTGCAAATGCTTTAAATGTAACTGGTCCTTTTAATATTCAGTTTATTGCTAAAGATAATGAAATAAAAGTTATCGAATGTAATGTTCGTGCAGCAAGATCTTGGCCTTTTGTATCAAAAGTTATGGGTGTCGATTTGGTTCAAATAGCTACAGATGTGATTTTGGGCTTTTCGGTTGATCCATATCCTATCATAGATACAACTAGAAATTATGTTGGTGTAAAGGTTCCTCAATTTAGTTTTAGTAGACTTTACGGCGCAGATCCTGTATTAGGAGTAGAAATGGCATCTACAGGAGAAGTTGCGTCTTTTGGAAAAGATAAATATGAGGCATATCTTAAGGCCCTTGTTTCTACAGGAATACGGCTTCCAAAAAAGAATATTTTATTATCTATTGGGAGTTTTAAAGAAAAGACAGAAATGTTAGGATCAGTTATTAAATTGCATAGATTGGGTTTTAAGCTTTTTGCAACAGCGGGGACTGCTGATTTTATTCATGAGCATGGAATTCCTGTGAAGTATTTAGAAGCATTACCAGAAGATGAAAAACATCAGAAATCAGAGTATTCATTGACCCAGCATCTTTCGAAGAATCTGATAGATATGTATATTAATTTGCCATCAAATAATCGTTTTAGGCGCCCTGCAAATTATACAAGTATTGGATATAGGACTCGAAGAATGGCAGTTGATTATTCTATTCCACTTATTACTAATGTTAAATGTGCAAAGCTTATGATAGAAGCTTTGTCAAGAATTTCATCAATAGATATTTCCCCTGTAGACTTTCAGACTAGTCATAAATCTATAACTTTGCCAGGGTTTATAGATATTGCTACATTTATTCCTCGAATAACAGAAATTGATTCTTCTACTTTTGAAAATATTACAAAACAGTATGTTGCATCTGGTTTTACAACAATTTGTGTCATGCCTATTGGGCTAAATAACTCTGTAATGGATGCAAAATCAATTCCAACAGTAACACTTAATGTCAAAAATTCTACGCATTGTGATTTTACTTTTTTAGTAGTGGTGGTTCCTGAGAACTTAAGCTATTTGGATCAAATATCAGGGAATATAACATCATTGTTTATTCCATCTAGTTTTTTATCTAAAAATATTAACAAACTAGCCTCTGTAATTTCTAATTTTAATACCTGGCCTAATACTAAAGTTATGATTACGGATGCTAAAGGAACAGATTTGGCGTCTATTTTACTTCTAACTAGCTTATATGACAAGCCTATTCATATTTCTAATGTGACTACTAAAGACGATATATTATTAATATCTTTAAGTAAGAAAAAAGGTCTTAAGGTTACATGTGATGTGTCTATTTATTCTCTATTTCTTTCTCAGTCTGATATTCATGAGTCTACGGTTTTGCCTACAGGAGTAGATCAGAAATCATTGTGGGAAAATATGCAAATAATTGATTGTTTTTCAGTTGGATGTTTACCTTATCAAGTTGCATATGAACTTAATCAGACAAATTGTTCTCATGTTGGTATTTCAGAGTCACTTTCCTTATTATTTGCTGCAATAACGGATAAAAGGTTAACATTGGACGATATATTGTTAAGATTATATTATAATCCAAAGCATATTTTCGGTATTCCAGATCAGGCAGATACTTTTATAGAAGTAGAGATTGATAGAAGTTATGTTTTAAATTTAGAAGATGGGTGGTCTCCTTTTATTGGTCAAAAAATGGTAGGATCAATACATCGTGTAGTGTTTAATGGTCAAACATCGTATCTTGATGGAAAGTTTTTTCCCAATTATAAAGGAAAAGATATATCTATGACATTTAACAGTTCGTCCTTATCTTTAGCAGATGTTTCTCTGAATTCTTCAAAGAAAGATACAGATTTGAAGCCTTTTGTTTCGTCTTCGAGGTCTTTAAATGAAAGAGTTTCTCCATTAGTATACCCTGAGCAATTTAAAAAAACATCATTATCATTTGCTCCTCAAATTTCAGATTCTGGTACTTTGCTTTCTTTGATTAGAAATATGAATTTTTTTAACAAGAATATTATATCAGTTCAACAGTTTAATCGTAGAGATATGCATTTACTATTTTCTATTGCTCATGAAATGAGAATTGCTGTGGAACGTCAGGGTACATTAAATTTATTAGCGTCTAAAGTTCTTTGTATGATCTTTTTTGAACCTTCTACAAGAACGTCTGCTTCGTTTGATGCTGCTATGCAGCGACTTGGTGGTCGTGTTATTTCTGTTAATCATAGCACTTCAAGTGTGAAAAAAGGTGAATCATTAGCAGATACAATTAGGACTTTAGGGTGTTATGGTGATGCTATTGTTTTAAGGCATCCTTCTGAAGATAGTGCAAGTATAGCTGCTAAGTTTTCTCCTGTCCCAATTATTAATGGGGGTATGTATTAGCAAATTATCTGAAATTATATTTATTTTTTTAAGGTAATGGAAGTTATGAGCATCCAACTCAAGCTTTCTTAGATTTATATACGATTCGTGAAGAATTAGGAACTGTAAATGGATTGAACATAACATTTCTTGGTGATCTTAAATATGGTAGAACCGTTCATTCTTTAGTTAGATTGTTACGTTTTTATCAGGTTGAGATCAATTTAGTTTCTCCTCCTCAGTTAGCATTGCCAGAAGATATTAAGAAATCTATATTGGATGATGATCAAATTGTTAATGAGTATTTTGCTTTAACTGAGGATATCATTTCTGTAACAGATGTATTATATTGTACAAGAGTACAAGGCGAGCGATTTTCTGATCCAGAAGAATATGAAAGGCTTAAAAATTCCTTTACAATTAATAATGATATTCTTCATAAAGCAAAATCACAAATGGTTAGTCGGGAATTGTTTAAATATATATATATATATATATTAATTTTAATATAGATTATTATGCACCCATTTCCCAGAAATGAAGAAATATCTGAAGAAGTTGATTTTGATCAAGTATTGTTGGATTTATTCTTATGATAATATTAATTATGATATTAGAGAGCTGCATACTTTCGAGAAATAAAATATGGAATGTTTATTCGCATGGCACTTTTAGTAGCTGTTTTAGGAATCAATGAGCGATCATGATTTTTGGTAATAATAAAAAGTCAAATATTCATTAAAATATTCTTTAAAAAGTTGATTTCGATTATGTTTTACAAATATATTTAATAAATACTATTGTTAGTGACATATCATTATTTCATAAATACTGGCACTGAATATATTTTCATTGGATATATATATTAGAAGAATTATATTAGTATGATATAGTAAATATCAAATCGATTTACTATTAAGATTCGTATTTTAACAAAAAATATATGTTTAACAAAATTTTAGGAATTCAAGTTTGATAGGAAAATATTCAAAATATTAAGTTTTGTTTTTATAATGTTTTATATTTTTGAATTATTTATTTAGCATTATTTTGAAGGATTTCTTAAGATCATCAAATAATTCATTAATAATAATGATATATAACGCCTAAGAGTGTTTTGTATACAAGCAAATATGCTATCTTGTGAAATAGTGCATATTATATAACTTAAAAATTTATTTTATTGGCTAACAAAATTTGTACCTAAATTGTGAATTTGAAGCTGCTTAATTTTGTCATGCACCTCTGCTGCATTATTACTCAATGCAAGAAAGAAGTCATATTCTGCTTTGAGTGTATTTAACAATGCTATTATTACATTATGAATATATATATATATAAATTATTTAAATAATATACCTTCTGGACTTGTTTTGTTCTCGCTATGATCTTTTTCAAGATATTCTAAATGTTTTTCAAGATCTTCTATATTCTTTGCATAATTATTGATCTTCTTTTCTATATCATTTGATGTATTTTCAAAGTATGCTAGTATTGGATCTTTTACACGAGAACAATCTATATATGGCATAGGTACTGAACTAATTACATTTTTCGATAACTTGGCATTGTTATAATCGTTATCTACTGTCATTCTAAGTGTCATAAGCTGATTCACATCTGATATTAAGTCTGTTGCTATTTGATCTGACCTCTAAAAACAATTCTAAATATTCCAATAAAATAACAACATTATTTACTTTAGTTACTTCTTTTACATCTTTAGGCACTGATTTGACAAGTTCATCAATAGAAGACGCCTGTGATTGAAGATAATCTGAAATTTGTGTTTGTGTGATAATATATTTACTAAAAAAAATTCACTTTTTTACACAAAAAATACCACATTCCTACTCCATTTCTTCTAAAAAATCCCTTCCATCCTTTGGAATCTCTGTATAATGTGTTGCACCTGATATCACTTGTCCTGACTGTAATGTTGGTTCTGACTGTGAATGTCTATTTTCTCCCATCAAACGATATATTTATAACTAATATCAATATATATACGTTGTATTTTGTGTATTAGACGTCTGTAATGGATCTAATACAATATTACATTTATCTGTCTTTTGAAACGGATTTCCAAACGAAAATCCCCCTGATGGCTGAACTAATGGATTTGAAACGCTTGTATTATTAACAGACGGTACTGTATTCATCTCCAGAGACGAAAATCCCTGTGGTTTATCCTGTTGTTGAGCCGTATTAAAAGAAAATGTTGGTTGTGATGATGATACATTTGTTTGTGCTGAAGATCCAAATGAAAAGACTGTATTTCCTGATGATTCCTTATTTCCTATAGAAAATGGCTTTTGAGACTCAAACATACTGTATATTAGTGTATTATTGCTGTCCTTGAAAAATATGAGGTTTCGTTGAACGTCAGAAAAATATTCGAAAAAATGGCGGACGACGAGGGGGATAAATACTTGTACGGAGAAGAAGACGACTATAAAACTACAATTGGGGACGAAGGTTTGTTAGATTTAGTTTTTTTCCCGGTTTAAAATCTCAAATTTTGAGCAGGTATGAGGGTTTTTAAGATGAATGAAAAGGATTGGGTTTAATTGTGGTTAAAGTGCCTGAAAATAAGTCTCCAGTATTTATTAAGAATGATGAGATGCAAGATGTTTCAAAAGACCCGGAAAATTGGAGCGAAGAGGATGAAGAAGGAGAAAGTGACTCTGTAAAATGGGGAAACTATGATTTCTAGATTTAATGGGGTTAGGATATAGAATTTGTGATAGAAACGAAGCCAGGACAAAGAGCGGAGCCTCTTAGGTATAAATCTGTGTTTTTTTGGGTATTTTTTGGGGGTATTTATTGCGTATTAGTCGACCAGCACCGTATAGTAGTGTAAAGATTTCAGCGCCTACAAAAGGGATTGATAAGGTATTTATAGCTACGACGAAACAAGGTATGAAAGTGGTTTTGATGAGTGTGAGATATTTTGGTATTAATGGGGGATTTAGAACCGCCATCTATAAAACCTCAGGGTGTAGATGTGGATCATGTTGCAGAGTGGAATGGTAAACCATTATATCAGTTAGATCTTGAAACATCAGCTGATAAGCCTTGGAGAAAGCCTGGTATTGTGTAAAAGGGTTTTTTTTGTTGATTGATTGTATAATTAGGAGCGGATATTACAGATTATTTTAATTATGGATTTGATGAATTTACATGGATGGCATATTGTGCAAAACAGATGGGAATACGAAGGGATTTTGCACCTCAAAAGGTGATGCAAATGATGGAACATATGTCTGGGACAGATATGATTTCAATGGCACCTAATATGCAGGTTATGATGGCTACAGGAGGATTTCCAGGGATGCAGAATATTTCTGGAATGAAACCGGATATTGTTCCTATGATGGGTATGGGAATGTCTGATATGAGTGGATTTGTGATGAATATGGGTCAAATGGGTTTTCAACAGTTTCCTCCGGGTTTAAATTCTATGACAGCTGAGTCTCAATTGGGGCAAGTAGCTCAAGGAAAACAAATGCCATATTCGCATAATCTATATAATGTGCCGCCTTATGGAGGATATAATCAAATGCAACCTCAATATGGTTCGCAAATGCAAGGACTTAAACCAATGTCTTCTATGTCAAAACTACATAATACAGATGGGTATATATTCCTTGAGTTTATTTTATACTCTTGTTTATATATTAATGTTTAATAGATCTAAAGTTTTATCAAATGAACGAGTACAGTCATCTACTAATTACAAACAGGTAAACTTGATTTTTTTTTTAATCATGAATTTTTGTTTATTTTTAGGATTCCTCTCTTGCATCATCAAAAGAACCTCATGAACCTGTGGAATCTATTTCCAATACACTTCAAAACCGAAATACTGGAAGATCTAATGTGCAAAATAGAAATAAATCTTCGTCTGTATCAAATATTGGGAAATCTCGTTCAAATCATTAATCTTAGGCAATTTTTTATATTAACAGGAATAAATAAATAGGCTTCAATCTCTTATTCTGTTATTTTTTCATCAACTCAAATTATATTAGTTGATTTCATGGGATTTCGTTAATAATCAAATGATAAATAAACTATACTTTTTTCTACTCTAAACTCCTTTTAGAGTATTCAATTCATTGCATTTCTACAGCATGATTTTAACTTTCTTTGTTCATATTTTTACTATAACATATCTATATCTTCAGCAATACATTTTATTTTTTCATGTAAGTATTATTACATCTAATTTTAGGTTTTAACTAAAATATTAGTCATATGGCTTATGTTTTACTTAAATTTTTATGTTTCTTGAATTACTAATATTTTCTTAGATTAAAGTTTAGCTTGATTATCTTGATAAGATTGATAAAAATTTCTTTAATATTTAAAAAAGAAGTAGAAATTTTTATTAAGATTTTAACAAATTGATAAATGATTAACAGTTTTTCTACATTACTTGGGATATAAATTAAGGATTTCTAATATGTTTTTATTATTATTTCAATTATGGAAAAGTTATCGAGTATTTATTATTATATGTTTGATTTTGATTTACACTTTATACTTTTTGGGTTCATATTTTCAACAAGGAATATCTCTAAGTAATAAGAAATCATCTATTCTATCTGGTTCATCTAAAGAAGACGATGTTATATCTTCAAATGAAGATAAGAATGATTTAAACATAAAAATCTCGAAATCAGTGAAAATAAGGACTCCTAAAAGATTTATTAGATCTTTAGTAGAACGTCCAAAGGCATCAAATATTGATAGAAATGTCCGTCAGTCGTTTGTTGAAAATAATAAACAAACTATAGTGGACATTAATGATATTTATGTTTCTATATTATATCAAACATTGTTAGGATCAACGGAAAAATATGCAAAACTATTACATGATATAATCTCTCCTCACTTTGAAAAACAAGTATTGCTTGAGAATATTGATTTTATTGAGGATTTTGATGATTACTTTGTATCACCAGAGGATCCTGAATCTCGTATATTTATTTTTCTTATTCCATCATATGAAACAGATTCTCCTGTTGATTTGCTTCTTTCTACATTGAAGGATATAACGTATGATTTTAGGGTGGGTGCTATTCCTTTACGAAATTTAAAAGGATATGCTGTTCTAGGCTTTGGTGATAAAAATGAATGGCCTGGACAAAAATTTTGTTATCAAGCCAAGGATGTAGATCAATATATGTCGAAATTGGGTGCTAGGAGAGTAGTTTCTGTTGGTTATTGTGATGTTAAAGGCGATATAATTAATGATATTCAAACATGGGCTGATACGCTTTTAAATGCTATAAAAAATGGAACAATGCCTGAATTGGTCCCAGATGTTTCTGAAGAAAGTGAAAATGAACCTTTTGAGGATAATGAAGGGTCAATTGTTGATATGGAAGATATGGGAATGTTAATGAAAATGAACAAAACAAAGCCTGAAGAATTGAAACCTAAAGAAATGGTTTCGAAAAATTCACCAACGTATAAAATATTAGTTAAGCAAGGATATACTATTGTTGGTTCCCATTCGGGCGTTAAGGTAGTTTTCATTGTAGGATTTATGATATGTTAAAATAGCTAGATTTGCCGATGGACCAAATCTGCTCTTCGAGGAAGAGGATCATGTTATAAATATTCTTTTTATGGAATTAAAAGTCATTTGTGTATGGAAACCACTCCGTCTTTGGCTTGTGCGAATAAGTATGTTAATATGTATTTATTGTTTTTATTTTTTAATTTAAATAGATGTGTATTTTGTTGGAGAGGAAATACAAATCCTGTAATTCTATATTTTTAAAATATTTTTCTTACAGTAATTAGGTAGGTACTTCTTGGAGATGGGAAGTTGATAAGCCTGAGGATATTCTCTCAGGCATAATGGAAGGACATTATAATAAAATTAAACAGGTAAGATTTCTATAAATATATTTTTCATTTTATAAAGGCTTTTGAAGATGAAAGGAATCCCTGGTATTCGTTTAGAGAGACTAGAAGAAGCTATGCGTATTAGACATTGTGCCCTTAGTCTTGTTGGTGAACCAATAACATGTATTTTTTTCTTGCAAGTGATTAACATTTGTCTAATTTTATTTTAAAGATCCTCATATTAATGAACTTGTTAAGATGCTTCATGATAGAAAAATTAGTACATTTTTGGTTACTAATGCTCAACATCCTGATGCTCTTGAGAATATAGAACGAGTTACTCAACTGTATGTTTAAACTAGTATTATATGGTTATTAATCTTTAAAGTTATGTTTCAATAGATGCTAGCACAAAAGATTCATTAAAGAAAATTGATCGTCCTTTATTTAAGGTTATTTGTAATTTCTTATTTTAATATCAACTTAATAGGATAGGATTTTTGGGAAAGATTTATTTCTTGTTTAGAAATCCTGAGTAGAAAACAGCAAAGAACTGTTTATCGACTTACTTTGGTTAAGGGATTTAATACTGAGGAAATAGAACAATATGCACATTTAGTATCTATTGGAAAACCTTGTTTTATTGAAGTTAAAGGTATTTTTTATAAAATTTATCAACATATATTTATTTCTATAGGAGTAACTTATTGTGGTAATACTCATTCTTCTTCATTGTCAATGAAAAATGTCCCTTTCCATGAAGAAGTTGTTGGTTTTGTGAAAGCGCTAGCTAAAAAACTATCAGAAATGGACAATGTCCCCGAATATGATATTGCTTCTGAACATGTTCATTCATGTTGTGTGCTAATTGCACAAAAGAAATTTTTTATAAATGATAAATGGTATACCCACATAAATTATGATCGTTTTTTTGAATTAGTTGAATCAAACATGCCATTTTCTGAAATGGATTATATTTCTGGTGAATATAATTGTGTATTAAAATAATTTTATATTTAACATAAAATAGAAACGCCACATTGGGCATATTTTAATTCACCATGTGGGGGATTTAGTCCAGATGATATTCGTTGGAAAAGAAAAAACGCTAAAAATGTTAATTTTAAAAAAGAAGAGACTGAATTGCAAAATAATACCGAACATTGATATTTTTTATAACTTAGAAATCTTTGTACTTTGCTTCTTTCTGAATAGAGTTATGTAATTATAGATTAAATAGTATTTTAAAAAAACATGTATTTGTATTGATAATTCTAAATTAAAATTTCCAAACTTGACTTCTACTTGAAATTCCATCAAATATATAAGTATTATTAATTGGGATAAATTGCTTAATAATGATCTGTTTTATGTTATTTTAAAAGTAAATAATATTTTTTTGAATTCCTTAATTGCTTCCTGGGCTGCAACCCCTCCTATAAAAGATGCAATATTATGTAGTTCACCTCCTCCTGCTCTTACTCTATAACAAAATTAGACATAAATTGGCAAATAATATATATGTATATTAACAATTCTTTACAAGCCATTATCTGAAAGTCTGTCATTTTACAATTAAATTCTGAAAGGAAGTGTTCTGTTAATTGGATATATTTATCTGTATCTTCATCTAAAGTAGCTTGTTGTTCTCCTGCATGTTTTCCAAAAATGTTTTTATATTTGTTGTAACTTCTAAGAGCAATGTACCATGTTATGAGATCATCTGGTGTTGAGAAAGATGATTCTAGGAAAATGAGCATACCTTATATATTTTTCCAAGGCATACCGATCAATTTCAAATCTGGATATGTATATTCTTCTTTCAATGAACGGTAGCGTAGTATTTTCATGTATTTACATTGTTTACAAAAAATTCTTATTTTCTCATCAGAAATCTTTGATATTGGCTGGGATATTGATAAAAGTATATCTTGAACATACTTTCGAACACATTCATAGTCTTCTTGTGCCTTTTGACGATAACTATATTTATTAATCCAATTCAAAGCATTCTTTTCATACACGTTTTGTAATTTTATATAGCTTTCTGAATCTGATTTCATATCTGGAATTGCTCCAGAAAGAGGTAATAGGCCTTTTCCCTCAGCTGATACATAATTGGAAATGGCATGACATAATATCCAGAATTCTGAACTCTGTAAATAGAAACTTTATGTTAGATTTTTTTAATGAAATAAATACAAATTTACTTCAGAAGATATGTTAACAGACTTTTCGTCTTTTAATATAGATTGAATTTCATCTGGTATCTGATATAATCAATACACACTTAAATTATCAATCAAATTTTACCAATGTCATACATGAAGCTCTCCATGAAACAGAAAGAACTTCTTCAATGCTTTCCTCATCAAACCCCTGCATATAGGTCCTTATTGTCTCCTTAAATTGTTGCTTTTCTTCGTCTGTACATGGAAGCATTCCATTATTCTAAAAATTAAACATTGCTTGTTAAATATTAATATTTTACCCTTAGCTTCCATATATCAAGGCAATTTAATAGAATTAATACATAAGGTATTTGTCTATATGAACAATTCTTTCTATCTCTCAAATTAAAACTTGATGCCAATTCTTTAAGAGCCGCCCATGGATGGTCTATTCTTAAGTCTATAGGATTTTCTTCATGCGTTTCTATAACTTTTCTTGTATAAATCTCTATTTTATATCAAAAGGAAAAAATTACTCGTGTGTTCTGGCATAGTAATTCTAAGATATCCAATAAATCCCACTGAATACGAAATAATCAATGGAATATCATATTCCCACAGAACATTTTCCAGTCTTAAAAGCATCTCTTCTTCCTGTATTGAACTTATTACAATAGTAAATTGTTTAAAAAAATTAGGTTTATGTTTCAAAATAGATTCCAATGCCTCCAAAAATCAGCAATATCCCCCTCAATTTATTTACAATGCTACTTCTACTAAATATTCCCCTTTTACTTTCTCATTTAGCTCCTGTAACTCCCTACATATTTGAGGAGCTTTTGCTTCATTTACCCCATCTTCATCGACAAAAAACATGCTTCCAAGGTCTTCTTCCGCAACAAAACCGCCATCAACAATAACGTACGATCCAATTCCTTACGTTAATAATGAAAACCTGGTGTATCCTCCCCTTATTAGTAGTTTACCTGACAAAATAAGATTTTTCATGATTTCGCTCCCTGTTGCTGTTCCTTCCACCAAACAAACCCGGGATTTTTCAAGCAAACATTGTCCATGTTTCTCCCAAAAACGTACTTGTCTGTCATATCTTTTTTCAAAGAAATTCATGCTAAATCTCTGGATTTCTTCTCATCTACTTTTTGTGACGTCAGGACTTAGGATTTTTACGGGCCTTTTTAACGTCACCAAAATCTGCCCTCTCTATAAAACCCTTAAATGCCCTTAAATAAGTTGTTTTATGACTAGTTTTGCCAAGAAAAAGAACCTCCTAAAGCTTATTATTCCTTCTGGAGGCGCAACACCCCAACCTCCTGTAGGACCAGCGTTGGGAGCCCGTGTTTGTGTTTTTTTGTTATTTAGATGTCTTTTTTATAGTTTTTAGGGAGTCAAATCAATAGAATTCTGCAAGGAATTTAATGAGAAAACCTTGCATTTGATTCCTGGAATCCCTATTCCCACAGTAATTGCAATTCATTCGGGTATTATATATGTGGTGAAGGGTAATGAGAAGACTGATTATGTAAGATCGGAGCTTTACGTTTGAAATAAAGACGCCGCCTACGAGCTGGTTACTTTTTAAGGCGGCGAATATTGATAAGGGATCTTCTTCACCAGGTAAAATATCGGTTGGTACTATTTCTTTGAAACATGTATATGAAATTGCAAAAATAAAACATAAAGTATATATTTTAGAAGGGGATTTATATTTTTAATATTTAATAGGATGAGAATCTTCAGGGAATTTCTCTTGAGAATATATGTAAAAGTGGTAAGTGTATTATCTATACTTTTTTTTTTTTAATAACAAAATGAGTGATTGCAAGTGCAAAAAGTGTTGGAATTCAAGTAGTTCCATGAAATATGGTATCTTCTGAATCCTTATTAACACTTTGTTATTGAATTTGCTATAATGAACAAAAATGTTTAATACTTGTAAATTCTTATATCTGGGTGTTTTGGGCTTTAAAAAGGTCTTTATGTTTCAATGTCTTGAAAATATTGTTTATTATATTATCTGGATTTTATTTTTTACTTTATCTCAATATTTAATTACAAATCATATCAAAAAATTTAAAAATAAATCTATCTATTGATACGTCTGTTATATGTTTTATTTTTTCTATATCTAATTTTTTTATAGAGATTTTATATATTTATTATTATAATTAAACAATATAATTACTTATATATTTATATATAAGTAATTTATTGTTTTTATTTATTAACTTTTAAAAATATTTAAGTCTTTTAAATTTTTCTCGTATTGAAAAACCTTTTTTTTTATGAAATTTTAACTTATTTTAGTTCAGGTATTGACCTAAATATAAATTGTTCACAGGTCATTATACAATATAATTAAGCGGGCTTTATTATATCTAAAAAAAATATAAACAGGAATATTGCTAGAGGTGGCAGATATATGTCACCCATTTTGTTTTTTTCATATTCTATGTAGTTTTCTTTGTAGGTTTATGTTTTTCAAGGGAAGAAAATGACTGAGTTAAAGGCGTTTTTGAAAGATATATTATGATTAAAATGTTATGAAATATTAAAGAAATACATGGAATATATGGAGGATAGTAGATTAGTAAAATGCGAAATGAATGATGTATCGATGTTGACGAAAAAGCTGAGTATCTGCAGACTTAGATCGTTTTCTACACCAGTTAGTAGGGTAAATATAGAATGATTGTTTATAGAGATGAGATTCTTATGAGAACAAGGTTCCATCAGCGAAATCTAATGATATGTTGTATAAAGAGTCGTCATTAGATCTTCCTAGTGTTTCACCAGTTTCTACAATGAGTAATTAATTAAAAGTGTTTTTCTATTACTGAGTCTCAATTAGATATGCATTCGTCTAAAAGGGTATTTTTCAATGATAGAAAATCAAGACGACGTATTTACAATATTGGAGATTACTTTAAGAAGTCTAAAAATCTTTCAATTATTTCATTTAGACTTTTTTCAAAGCGCCTAAATTTACGCAATCATCTACAATCTGATGTATCAACGAAAAATTTACTGAAACATGAAGATGAAAAAGTATCTAATGAGAAGGGAGCTCATGTTTCACATAGTTTGTTGGATTTGAAGCATTTTTTTAGGTCACATCATGATCATCTACAGCTGAATACGCAAGAGTCTCTTAGACAAAAAAAGCATTCATTATTTAGGCTGAAATCTCGAAAGTTTGAAGCTTCTTTTAAAAACAAGTATCCTGCTTTTTCTCACAAGTATGAGAAGTATGGAAAACCTGTTGGTTCTGGAACAGGTGGTTCTGTTCGACTTTTAAGTTCATGTGATGGAACTGTTTATGCTGTTAAGGAATTTCGAAAGAAAGCACTTTATGAAAGTGGTAGAGAGTATAGGAAGAAAGTTTCTGCTGAATTTTGTGTGGGTTCTGCATTACATCATCCAAATATAATTCAAACTTTGGATTTTGTATCAGATGGATCAAGATATTATGAAATTATGGAATATGCTCCATATGATATGGTATAAAATAATTTAATTATAGATATAATTTAATATAAATAGTTTTCTATTGTTATGTCAGGCAAATTGACACGGGAAGAGATATATTGTTGTACTAAACAGATACTACAAGCAGTAGATTACATACATAGTTTAGGACTTGCTCATAGGGATTTGAAATTAGATAATTTAGTGATGAATGAAAATGGTATCGTAAAATTGATTGACTTTGGGAGTGCTATTGTATTTCGATATTCTCCTAAAAATTTTGTTAAAGTATCAGGTATTGTGGGTTCTGATCCTTATTTAGCGTATGTTTTTATTTTTTAAGTTTATATATATTTAATATTTTAGGCCTGAGGTCTGTACTGAAGAGTATTATAATCCTCAACCTGCAGATATATGGTCAGTTGCAATTATATTTTGTTGTATGGTTTTATGTCGGTTTCCCTGGAAAAAACCACGTATATCAGATGGTTCATTTAGGGAATTTGCTATGGGGAAAACAGAAACTGGAGATAATGAAACTGAAAATCTTATATCTGCCCCTACTGTCATGGTAGGCGAACCTCATTTGCCTAATATTCGTGGTCCGTGGCGTCTTTTGATGTTGCTTCCTCGAGAAACTCGTCTTACTATTCAGGGAATGTTAGAGATTAATTCGAAATGTCGTTGGACTATGGAACAAATTATGGAACAACCATGGATTAAATCGGTGGAAATGTGTTATATTAATAGTAACAATGACGTTGTGAAAGCTAAGAATCATGTTCATACTTTATTATTAGAAAAAAAAATTGACATTTTATAAAAGTTTATGATAAAAGAAATGAAAAAATATAAGCATTCCCGTTGTTTTGCATTGGATATTATTAGATATTGTAATGATATTAGACATTATTTGTTTTTTTTAGTTATGTTATCTGGTATAAGTATTATTTGATTAAAAAAGTTGTTATTTTATGTTATGTACTATGAGGTTTATGAAATTATTCATAATACAAATTTGTATGATTAATTATTATATAAAACCAAAATAATATTATATTTAGTACGAGACCATATAACCTATAAATTTATGTACATATCGTTTTTTGAATTAATAGCAATAGTAGGTTTGACTGGCTTTTCTCCAAGAGCAAAATATACGATTTCTTTTTAAGAGGTTAACTTATTGTTATAAAAATATATAAATATACCAGATATATGTGTTTCAGGACCAAAAACTTTTAGAGGTAATGAAAGTTCTTCTCCGGCTGCTTTAATTGCTTTCAGGCCTTCCTGATAATTGGGGCCTGCTCGTCGAACCCATATTTGCACCTTATGTGCATGGAATGCCGAAGCATAGTCTTTCATTGCACGGACAACACCTTTAAATGTAGTGGCGACATTTGTAACTAAATAATATCATAAATTCCTATTTTAATTTTTTAATTAGGATAAAACATACAATTTGCAATTGCTCCTCCGATAAATAAATATTTTCCTTCAGGATGTAAAGGTCCGCGTGTCATTAAATCAAAAATTGTACGTGAATATTCGTATGTTTGTGTTTCTGTCGGTGCACCACTATATTCTCCATAATTTGCTAGTTGATCTGCATATCCTAGATCGATAATTGCATCTGCAAATACAACGCTTGCACCACCTCCTGCAACCAACGTCCAGATACGACCATTTGGATTAAGAATCGTTAGCTTAAGTGATGCTCCTGTTTTTGAATCTAATTCTGCAATATATCTCTCTTCCTTTGTCATTTCTCTCCCGAAAGGTGCTGGAAATACTATAGGTGGTCCTTGATCTACATTTACCTTATCTGACACTTGACAATTTGATATATTTAAAGCATGTGGTGTCCTAGCAATCGCCCATTTCGCTCCCGCTACATATTCTGCTGTTTGATCTAATTTTGCTGCTAAGTCTAAGTAGTAAATCTCTACGTTTTCCCCTTTTTTCTCTACAACTAAAGGATTGATTTCAAGGTATGTGAAATGGCATGTAACAAAGACTGTATATAACCTGATAATAAACCGAATAAGTGGTTCTTTTACACATGTTGGCACCTCTTTCAAAAGTGCTTCCTCAAGAGTTTCTCGGCTTGGAAAATCTTCTAAACTAATTGGTATTAAGATTTTTCGTGCTTTCACTTCTACATCGCCAACATCTATGCCGCCTTGGTGTGTAAACATAATCAAATCCCCCTAATAAAACAATACATAAGAAAACTCCTTTGTATCGTTGTATACCAAAAATTTTACCTCTCTTGCTGACATAATACTTAAATAATATTCGCTCTCATTAGAATGCGGCACAAATGGCTCGCAAAGAAATGTATTTAGAACATCCGAAATATTCCCTACTTTTTGTTCTTTCCCTGCAAATCGTTCAATCCAGTTACGAGTATCTTTCCAGTTCTTTTTCAGGCAGACAAGTCCAAGTTTACCACGGCGCTTAATTAGTTGATCTGGTTTCGCTACCAAATGCCTTGTATTTAAAAGCCATGGATAAATAGACTCTGCTTCATCTAAAACATGGGTTATATGCGCTGTATATGCGTCTGATGAATATGTATGTGGTGAATCAAAAATAATCTGTGCAAGAAATGTCGACTCAGCAACAGGTTTGTCCGATACCTCCTCATAAGAAACTATGGGAGTTGCATGTTTAAGCCAATATCCGAGAATGGCTTTTCCATCATATTCACGGATAGCTTTAGTCGACATAAAAGTAATAATATATAAAAAGTTATAAAGGATTTACGAATATTTGAGTGTGCGGGTAAATGTTATACAAGATGAAGGAAAGATTTCGAAATAAATTAAAATGCAATACAATAATATATCGAAATGTATGCGTTATATATGCACTAATAGATGAAATTATTTTTAAAATTTAACTAAATATATTGGATTCTACAAATAAAACCGTTTTTCAATGACGATTTTTTTTATAGACAAATTAGCATGATATATGCGTCTTTATATGTTATTATTTGTTTCAGAAATGTATTTAGATTATACGCATGTACTGAAACAAAATATATCCATCTAATTATATACATTTTTTATTTATCTAGATGTAAGCGTGTTGTATGCGTACTATATGCGTACTGTATGCGTACTATATGCGCTTTGTATGCCTGTTATATGCTTGTTATATGCTTTTTTTCTTGTATTTTTTTCTGTTTTTTATCTTTCAAAACTCCCTCTCGTTTTATTTCCATGGTGACGCTTAATTTATCTCACCACTTTTGAAAAAATCTAATTTTTGCAGAAATGATATCTGCAAATGACAACATTTACCGTGCTCCAGAAAGCACGGCACCGTTAGATCGTAAAGAATTATTTACATCTGATACTCGTGCATTTGTTTATGGGATGCAGCCTAAAGCGGTTCAAGGAATGTTGGTATGTTTTCTCTTTTAAAAAAATTATATTAAGATATATTTTTTCAGGATTATGACTTTATATGTGGTAGGAAGACGCCTTCTGTGGCAGCTATTATATATACATTTGGTGGGCAGTTTGTTTCTAAGATGTATTGGGGGTTATATTTTTTTTTTTCATAAATTATTATTTTTGATATATTGAAGAACAAAAGAAACGCTTTTACCAGTCTATCATTCTACATCGGTTGCTATATCGAAGCACTCTGATGTAGATGTTGTTGTTAATTTTGCATCGAGTCGATCAGTTTATTCTAGTACGATGGAGCTTCTTGAATATCCTCAAATTAGAGTATGATTTAATATACATAAAATATGAGTTATTTATTTTTAGACGATTGTTATTATTGCGGAAGGTGTTCCAGAGCGTCTTTCTCGTGAGATTTCTTATAAGGCAAGAGCTTTAGGTGTTGTTATTATTGGACCAGCGTATTTACGATATTTTTTTGAATAAATTGTCTTATTTATTTAGTACTGTTGGTGGTATTAAAGCAGGATGTTTTAAGCTTGGAAATACAGGGGGGATGATGGATAATATTGTTGCATCGAAGCTATATCGTCCGGGATCTGTAGGATATGTTTCTAAATCGGGGGGTATGTTGAATGAACTGAATAATATTATTTCTCAAGTTACGGACGGCCTTTATGAGGGAATTGCTATTGGTGGTGATCGATATCCTGGAACTACATTTATAGATCATCTTTTGCGTTTCGAAGCAGATCCTAAATGTAAAATACTTCTTCTTCTTGGTGAAGTAGGTGGTGTTGAAGAATATTCTGTGATTGAGGCTGTAAAAAATGGAATTATTAAGAAACCTTTGGTTGCTTGGTGCATTGGAACTTGTGCATCTATGTTTAATGTTGAGATACAATTTGGGCATGCGGGGGCATTAGCTAATTCTACCCTTGAAACTGCGTCTTCTAAAAACAAGGCAATGCGTGAAGTTGGGATTCATGTCCCTCGTGTTTTTGAGGAGCTTCCTCAACTCCTTAAAAAAATTTATGATGATCTCCTTGCTAAGGGTGTTATTGTTAAAAAAGAAGAACCTTCTGTTCCTAAAATACCTATGGATTATGATTGGGCTCAAGAACTTGGTCTTATTAGGAAGCCTGCTTCGTTTATTTCTACTATTTCTGATGATAGAGGACAAGAACTTCTTTATGCTGGTATGCCTATATCAGACGTTTTTAAAGAAGATATTGGTATTGGTGGTGTGATGTGTCTTCTTTGGTTTAGACGAAGACTTCCTTCTTATGCTTCTAAGTTTTTTGAAATGGTACTTATGCTTACTGCAGATCATGTATGTTTTATTTTTTTCTTTACATATTTATTAACATTTTTAGGGTCCTGCTGTATCTGCTGCTATGAATACCATCATTACTACTCGTGCTGGAAAGGATCTCGTTTCATCTCTTGTTTCAGGGCTTTTAACAATTGGTACTAGATTTGGAGGTGCATTAGATAGTGCAGCCGAAGAATTTACCAGAGCTATGGACAAAGGAATTTCTCCTAGGGATTTTGTTGATAGTATGAGAAAACAAAACAAATTAAGTATTTTTGATTCTGTATATTTATTTTCTTTTAATTTTCTTTTAGTTCCTGGAATTGGTCATAAAGTTAAATCTAGAAATAATCCTGATCTTCGTGTAAAGATTGTTAAAGAATATGCTAAAAAGCATTTCCCTTCTACTAAACTTTTAGAATATGCGTTAGCTGTTGAGACTATAACTACCTCTAAAAAAGATAATCTTATTTTAAATGGTAAATATTGTTATTTGTTATTTTTATTAGTTTTTAATATCTTCAAAGTTGATGGATGTATTGCTGTTTGCATTGTTGATTTATTAAGGAATTGTGGTGCATTTACTATGGAAGAAGTCGATGACTATTTAAAGGTATATTTTTACTTTTATACTTTTACAGCTGACCTGATTTTTAGATGGGAGTTCTTAATGGGCTTTTTGTATTGGGGAGAAGTATTGGGCTCATCGGGCATTTTTTAGATCAAAAAAGGCTTCGTGCTGGTTTATATAGACATCCTTGGGATGACTTTTTATATTTAGGGCTAGATAAACATGTACCGGGAGGGAATATGCGAGCACTTGTTTAGTTTCTATAAGCATTAATATTTGCTTAAGAGAAATAATTATGTAGATAAAGTAGATATAAATTGTTAAATTTTTTTGATTATTATTATTACAAATCTTATTTTTGAAATGATATTGAATAATTTCCTGTTTGTGGATCTTGAACTGCTTTGAAGTTGTCTGTTGATAGGCCAAATTTTCCAAGTATATTATTACCTAAATCTTTTAATTTATTAAGCATTTGTGTTTTTTCTCTTTCTTGAACTTCTGATAGCATAGGTTTGATTCTTGAAATAGACTCTTTAATAGATTTATGTATTGGTGAACTTTCTAGAAGACTTTTTTTCATGTCTTCATAGTCTTCATGTTATTGGTTTTTATTCATTTTAATTAATCAAATTCACTTTACCAAGTAGTGCTGCTTCAAGAGAACGCCATGTACCAATTTTTTCATTAGCTTTAGCTCTTCTATGTAACGCCTTTATGTATTCCGGTTCTTCCTTCAATGCTTTAGATCTTATTAGTTACTTTCTTGTTAATTTATTCCTTCAACCATTTGTACATGCCTCTACTGCCTCCTTCCATAATCCCTATTATAATTTTACATAAAAATACACAAATCTTCAAAAAAAAACCTTCCGTATATAACATTCTGCAATATTTCCATAATAAATAGATCGTTCATGTTTTGCTCTTAATGGTGATATATCAAGAGCATGTTGATATGATATAATAGCTTCATCAAAAAATTCTTGATAAAATAATTCATTCCCTTTAAATTTATATTCATTCGCCTCCTCAATTAGTTTCTAAAAAATAAAAATATCATTCTTTTTTCCCCTGTTTTTTACTTCTTCTTCACTTTCTCCTTCTACCTCCTCTAGACTCCCCTCTTCTCCCTCGTTTTTTAAAATATCTTTATTTATACAGCCAATTGTCTCTTCTTCGTCTTTTCTTAGTATTTCATCCTTTTCTTCCTCCTTATTTAACGGCTTTTCATACTCCATCTAAAGCATTAAGAAATTCTTATATCTTACTGCTGGTTTATAAGATCTCTGGGCCGTTGCTTAGGCAACATGTGAACGTACCGCTAACCTGCGAGGTTTTTGTAAAAACATGATATTTTCTTTTATGAGGGTAGATACAGCTTATTTGCACTGAAATTGTCTCGGATGGACCGGTTTGAATGGTTCAAGCATTTGGTATTGCTTATTTATCAGCTTCAACGATGATTTTCCGACGATTACCTAATTACTTTCATTATGGTGGAGAACGTCTTATTGAATCGAATATTCGTAGTAAATTTGAGGTATGGATCGGGATATGGGCATCGCCGTTTATATTTCTTGCATTTATTATGGTTTTTATAATATATTTTTTGTTTATAGAGTATGAATTGATGATATGTATAGGCTATTATCTTGAATCGATGTATTGTTTATGCATCGGTGAGAAGGTTTTATAATAGTTTTTGTGGTTATTTTTATCTTATTTGTTGAATAGACCGGTTCATTTAAATTTTTGGAAACGCCTGGTATTGCGTTTGATGCCGATTATTTTACTTTTTAAGACGTCATGGATGTTACTTTCATATATTAAGTTTAAAAATGATCCAATTGCAAGATATTTTCCTAGTTTTATTAAGCCGTATGAGGCCCCGTATATTCTTTGGTCGACATATAAGATTATATGTTTTGTAAGAGTGTAAAAATAATAGATATTGGTTCATTTTTACATTTTTAGACGACATTTATGAATACATTTATAGCGTCATTGCAGATGCGTCTTCCTTTAAATGATCATGGGATGACTATTTTCGAATATGCGTAAGTTTAATGATATTTAATATATAAGATGTTTATATTTAGCGTATCTTTTACTGAACTTAATTTTTCTACGCCATCAACGGAAATGATTGTTATTACTTTTCTATCTGTCTTTGGAATTTTATTGTCGCAATTTTTATGTCTTTTTAATATTGAGCGTTTTAAAGTGAGTCGAATTGTCTTTAATTTATTTAATTAATACTTACTTAATATAGTTAATTTCATCAACTATCATTGGTTGCAGTTTCTTGTCATACTTTTCATGGAGTATTTATAACGGCCGAGGTTTACATTTTTCTACAAGTAAAGATGATTTTATATGTTTTTTTTTCTTATTTAAATAAAATAGCGGTTTGTGTCTCATTCATACCTCATTTAATTACTATCTTTGTCATTATTATCTCTTTGATGATATCTTTGCTAGTACGATTGATTGTTAATCATTCATCTAATTTAAGAACTGATATTTTCAATGGAACGATTTTTGTTGGAAATAATCTTGGTCTTGATATGAGTGATGATTTTTTTGGCCTTCTTTTGAAATTTGGGATGTTGGCACTTACTTCAGCACAAGAAGCTGTTTTCCTTAATGAGGCAGAAGAAATTAAACTCGTAGAAAAAACTTGGATAGAAGAATCAGATGAATATTTAAAGTTAATAAATACTAATGGATTTTCGAAAGAAAGGAAGAATATTGAGTGTAAGAATGGGAAACAAAGAGATGCTAACAGATATCGTGTTTCCACATGGAAACCTACTATAATGCTTTTGACAAAAACTATTCAAACCGTAAAAGCATTGATTTTGTGGATTATAATTGTCTTGAAAAAAGGAAAGACGCATCTTTATGAAGAACATGTTCAAGATAATCAGGATGTTAATTCTCTTTATAATAGATTTATTCAAGGATATGATATGTTAGAAGAAGAAAGTGATGATTCGGATTTTATACCATCATTATCGATTTATAGCAATGATGATAATGAGGATTGGAAAAATAATGAAAGTATAGAAGCAAATTTGCATGAGAGCTCTAGCGACGATAACGATAACTATGCAGAAAGATCATTTTCTGAGTTGTTTCCGAATTTGAGAAGTTTGGCTCCTTTTATTTCTCCGGATCATGAAGAATCTCGTATTCTCCAGTCACATATGTCATCACATACTGTAGTTACAAGATCAAAATATCGTGAAATTTTATGTTCAAGTTATGGATCGGATGATATAAAAAGGCTTTTAGAAACAATAAAAGAGCGTAGACAGTCAATTAGTAAGCTTGGTAATAATTTTGGAGATGAAAACATGGTTCAAATAAGGAGGTGTGTAATATGCTGTTCTAGTATGAGAAATATTGTTTTATGGCCATGTCGTTGTTTGGCTTTGTGTGACGATTGCAGGAAAACATTAGCAATGCGTAATTTTAAAGGTATTAAGTTGGATTCTTGGTAATGGCTTATTTTTTTAGAATGTCCTTGTTGCAGACAATCAGTAATAAGTTATAGTAGGATTTGGATTCCATAAAATTATACTAAAACATCAATTTATTGTCTAATATTACATATTAGTTTTTCAATAATATTGAATTCTTATATTATTAGAATATTTCTAAATTCAGGATTTTAAAGCCCGTATTTTTGAGGATTAAAATCTTCAAGACTAGAAAGGATTTCATTATTAGCACCAATAATTTCATCCTTTTTTTCTTCGAAATATTTAAGTACAGCTGGTTCAGGAACCCAAATAACCTAAAACACTTAGCTATTTATATTGGTAAACATAATAATATAGGTACTCTCATGCCAGCGGACCTTCCTGCTTGTACACCTAGAATACTATCTTCTAAAAGCAAATTAGGAATATTTATCAAGTTTGGTAGATTTTATTTCCCGAAAACAAGGCATTCTTTAGATGTTAAAGGTTCTAAGTTTTTTGATTTGCGTTCATCGTTGATTATACTTAATGCTGTTAAATATATATCCGGTGCTGGTTTTCCACGCCCTTTAGGAATTCTAGGATCATCGCCACGAACAATATTTTTTCCAAAGTGTGAAAAAATATGGCCTAAATGATTCGTTTTTAAGTAGAAACTACGAATACTAGATGATGTAGCTAGCTATCTTTTTTAAATAAAATATATAAATCTCTTTTTTTTTAACAAACAACAACTGGGATTTCTCGTTCTTTAAGATATTCTAATATCTTATGGCTTCCCGGCATTTCTTTGGTTTCTAAAAATTTCTTCTTCTATATACTTATATTAGACCAATTCTTATTTTTTAAATTATTTATCACTTGGAGCTCTCCTGCTTCTTCATAAAGCTTTTCTGCCGATACATCCATTTCATAGGATTTTATAAGAATTTTAGTCGCCTGTTATTTTTATAATTATTTTACATTTTAAAAATTATTACTTCAAATCCCGGAATTCCTAAAAAAATAAACTTTAATTCTCTCTAATTATTATCAATTGACCCATAATTTGAATTTTAACTTCAATTGATAATGCTGGCTTGTTATACCGTGCCAGTAGCTCATTCGTTACTTCTGTATAAAGCTGTTCTGTGTTGATTAACAGTCCTAATAAAAATATTATACTAATTAAAAAAATCTTATTGTATTACCATCCATATCGAAAATACATGCTTTAATTGCTGGTAACCCTTCATTTTGGTTCATTTTTCCGAAATCCAAAAACTAGTGGAGTCTAAAAAATTAAGCTTGCTTATATAATGGTTGCCTAGACAACCGCTGGGTATTCAATATCACTTAACAACCTTTATATTTTATTGACTAGAAATGTCTATATTTTATGTAGGGATTGCACGGGAAAGAGAAATCCTGGCAGAGTACGTTGTTGATGGTATAACAGTGTATTTTTTTAGTATTTCTATGTATATAAATATATATGATAGGAATAGAGATAAAGGCACTTGTTTGTTTAGTGCTTGAAAAGATTAGATCTAATGAGGAGACAAGGCTTACGTATCTTTATAAGTCATATATGATTCATTATATATGTACGCCTATTGTTCCAATGGGTAATTTAACATATTTGTGTATTACATCGGATGAAATTGGACGGAGAGTTCCATTTGCATTATTAGGAGAGATAAAGCAATATTTTGGTAGTAATTTTTCTATGTGTGATATTTTTGAGCTTCCATTGTCGAGTTTTTCATTTGTTAATGAAGAAATATCAAAAAAAGTAGATGCGATAATGAATGGAGAAGATGGGGTGATAATGGTAGATATGGCACGTGTTGTTCATAAAGAAATTGAGCAGGTTAAATCGGGTATTTAGATTGATTAAAATTTAAAATTAAAATTTTATGATATTTATGTAGCGATGATGGAAAATATTGAAAGGGTACTTGAACGTGGAGAGCGTATTGAATTACTAGTTGATCGAACACAAAATATGAATGAAACAGCATTTAGTTTTTCTAAAAGATCAACATATTTAAGGTAAAATTTTTTTTGATTTAATTATTATAATAAATGAAGCGATTAGACGGCGTATATTATGGGAATCGATAAAAACGACTGTAATTCTTTCACTTGTTGTTTTATTTTTACTTTATTTATTGATTGGTTTTGGATGTGGATTTCCAGGTAATAATATTGATAATCGGGTTTTTTTATATTTATTTTTTGTTAGTATGGCAAAATTGTCGTTAGAATTGTATGTAAAAAGGCTATTTTTATCTGTATTTTATACTGGAAAATTTTTCCCATTTTTCTATATGATTTTTTTGAGAATTCTTATGCAAATTAATAAGATACTTTATTTTGCAAAGCATGAAAGTTGTAAAAATGTCATTGTTCTAAAATATGAAATTGTTTTATAATTAGAAAATGCATAAGTCTTGAAATAAAAAATGATTACATTAATATTTTATAATATAATTAGTATATTTTTATTAAACATGATTTTTTATAGATGCTTTTTCTTGTAATTATAAGTCATTAAGCCTTCGGCAAAAAAAAATTAATAGATTAATATTATTTACTGTAATAAATATAATGTTTTTATTCTATAATGATCAATTTACATAGAGTTTCATGTTTTTAAAGTATATGTTTAATACAGTAAATATAAACCTTATGTAAAATATCAATTTTAGGGCTGGGTCTGATTAAAAAGTGTATAAAATTGAAGTAAATTTTGATACAAGTATAAATGATAAAGAAACCAAATAAAGATGAATTAAATGCCCTTTGGCATAATTACGAAATCATTTGTTCCATTTTTTATAGAAACAAAAATCAACATCATGGACAAGTTTGGTGGAAATATGTTTCCATGTTACGGCAAAAACTTCGACTATATTTCCTATTACCTTTACATTCCCGTGAGAAACAACAGAAGAAAATACTTACCTTCATCCCTAATGCATATTTGTATGTATAGTTTTCGAAGTAATTAATTTTTTAATAAGTTAAGATATTTTTCAAGTATTATAGCTCAGGGCCAATTTCCCAAATTAGGCATAGTACTGTTTACAATTATAGCAAGTATTAGATATATATTTTGGAAAGATGAAACGGTTCGAGAAAATATTCAAGAGATAGATTCTGAAGACATGGGTGAAGTAGTTGACATATGTTCTTGAAAAAATTGATCCGATTAAAATCCAAAATAATAATGTCATGTATATCAAAAATAACATATAATCAGTTTTGCATCTGTTCATAAATAACGAATTTTATTTTTCGACTTATTCTTGGCGCATAATAAAATAATACATTTTTATGTTGAATTGTTAAATACTTGTAATTTATATTATACCCTATTCAAGATTATGTGACTTAATAAACTGTATTGTATGAAATGTTTTTTGTTTTTTTTGATGATAATGATAATGTTTGAAAAAATGTAAAAAAATGAATTTTCTGATCTGAATATTTATATTTTTTAAATAGTTATATATGATGTTTTATAATTTTTAGGTAGTATTGTTTGTGTCTAATATTTCATTATCTCTATCACTTTCGTTGCTTTCCTCTGAAGATTTATCATCTGTATTTTCAGTATTGGAAGACGATTCATTATCTGTTATACGTTCTGTACATCTGCTTTTTAAGTACTATAATATTAGGTCTTTTTATACAAGATTTAGATGAATACCATGTCGAGTTTTTTGACTAATTCTTTTGAAAATCCTTCGGCTTTTATTTGCGCATCTAAATTATTTTCTCTTTTCACATCCTTATGAAATATAGGAATGTAATCTGATTCAAAGCGAAATTTCTTTTGAAAATATTTTTTAATGCATTGAACATCACGATTAAAATATCTATTGTTTGTTAAATGAGATGATTAATTGCCAAATAATTTACTCTTCAGAATTAAAATGATCAATACTAATCATTTGTGGGAAATCGATCATTATAGGATCCCCATTTTCATAAACTAAAATATTAAATTCATTAAAATCTCCATGAATTAATCCGTAATTAGCCAATTTTACAATTAATTGCATTAAAGTAATATAAAGTTTTTCTGGATGTACGATATTATCTATTTTATGCAAAGGATATGCTTCAATTTTTTCCATAATAATACAATGTCGAGCATGGTCTATAGGTTGAGGAACTGGAAATTTGTTTTCATACAGTACCTTTAACGATCAAAATTAAAATAACTAATATATGATTTAATACTTTCATAACTGTATATTCTTTTTTTGCTGCTAAACGTGACATATACATCCAACTAGCAGATTTTCTGTTTTTAAGATAATCACGTTTTAACTTAACACTTCTAAACGATATTCTTCCAAGTCTAGATATAAAAATTATTTTTGTATAAAAATATTATAAGAAAGTAATGCCTATGTATCTTAAGAATCATTTGCTTTCCTGTTTTATCTGAAACAACGTAAACATCTAATGTATGTTAATTTTAAAAGAGTTATTTACTATTATATTACCTGATTCTTTACCAACCCCAACTTTATTTCCAATAGAATATATGTATTCCCTCTTTGAAAAGGATTTTAATGCCAAATAATCATATCCAGCGTATGTAAGCCGGTATCCATCATCTGAAATTTTAAGTTTTAAATAAAATATTAAATAATACAAACATTTTGCGTTCTTGACCTTAGAAATAAGACCATTTCTTGCTAATTCACTAATGCATTTTTGTTCATTATTTCCTTTTAATCCTGAAATTTGAACAATTAATGAAGTTGGAACAAGTTCATGATTTTTTGATCCCATTTCTACCTAAAAATCTTTAGTAATGAAAACTAACATAAGAACAATAATATAACAGCTGTAAGTACTCTAAAGTCATCCTGTGATAGGTATCGGATGGATTTAATATCTAAATTAACCATTGTAGGTTCTTTTTTTAAAGGAAATTCGATGATTTGAAAATAATGTGGAACATATGGAAAATATTCTAGTATAACATAATAAATATATTGTAAATTTATTTTAGATTCTTTTATATTTTTTTTCAAAATAATATATAATTAACTGATTCATATATTTAAGATATGGTATTTAGAATGCTTATTATCCTCTTAATTTTATTTAGTTTTTGTATTATTTAGAATTTATTATTACCTATTTGCTCTGTTTCCCCAGCCTAATAATACGTTAATTAGAGAATTGATCAAAAAATGGAAATACCTTTAGGATTATCTTCTTTAAATTCATCCCATTTTCTTGCTTTATACATTTCTATATCTATTTCTTCCATGTTGTCTTGATCAATTTCTTTTTTATTTTGTGGTATCCTAGTTTACGTATTATAAATTAAAAAATGAAGATATAATAATAATTACTCTTTGTTAGAAAGAATATTCCCTTTTTTTGCTTCTTCTTTTAAATATTCATCAATAGACATTGTAGGCAGACTATGATCTGGTCCAAAAACATTGTTTTTTAATTGTTCTCTCTTTGCTATAATAGTAAAAGGACGTAATGGCTATAATATTGTTATTGGAAAATAGTTATTTAATGAGATTAAAACCTTTCCATGTTTATCTAAAAGAGTATTACCTTTTTGAGAATTATTTTTTGTTTTAAATGTTGAATGAATATTATTTTCTGCTTCAGCTCTATGACAGTCATTAATTGGATCTTGATTTTTGTCCTTTGAAATTTCTATCATTTTTAACTCCAAATCTAGTTGTTCTATGCTTTGTAATGACTTAAAAATAGCTAATTGGACCACTTCAAGGAAATGTTTTCGTAAATCATTTTCATCTTTTGATGGATTTTTTAAAAAATTGGATATATTCTTATTTAATTCTTTTTCTCTTTTGTATCTTTGAATTTTTTCTTCTCTTCGAGAGACATTAGAAACTCTTATATAATCTTCATTGTGTGTTTCATTAGAATTAAGACAATTAAATAAAGCTTTGTCAGAATTTGTCAGTAATGCATAGTTTTCACATAATGTCAAAAATGAAACGAATAGATTCTAAAAAAGTATAAGTTTGCAAAAATTATGTTAATATAAAAAACTCTTGATGATAATATAGCTGATGATCTATTAGATGTCGTGTTTTTGTCTAAAAGTTCTGCTATATAATAGTCTATCAAAAGAAATCTAATCTTTTACCTTCGGATATAAATTGTTTATAATATTTACCTAATTTCTGAAGTGCTTATCTCATCAATTCCTTCATTGTTGCTAAAAAGAGATAGCTTTCTGGATAGATAGTGGCATTTTTCATATAAAGAAATACATTCCGCTAACAATTCCTAATTATTATTATAATTTAATTTATAAAAAAGAGTAAATAACTGTTGATCCTTCCTCTATTTTTATACGGAAGTTTTCTGCTAAATCAAAAAGCTCACGAAGAGATCTATTTTCTTGAGGCTGATTTTCTATATCCATTTTATTGTTAAATAGTTCATAAGATATTGCGTAAGGTGCAGTACTTTGGATATAAAAAAAGATTAATAATATACAAATAAATATAAAAGGAAATATAATATATTTTGAATATTTTAGATTTTTTTAATAATATTTACATTAAAAATTTGAATTTTTATAGATTATTTTATATAATAGATATGATAATAAATGATTTATTTGAAGGTTATTTTTCCAAAAATCTTTAAAAATGGATATGCTTTTTACAATCAATAAACATATAAATGTTTTTAATGCTTTTTTGTTTTTAAAAAGAGATTTTGCTTTTTTTATAGATATATAGTTTTATTTCGAAATTTAATTAAAATATACTTTATTAGGAATTTTAGCAATCATAGTTGAAATTTTTAATATTAAATAGTTTAAACAATATAGGATATATTTTTTGTAAATATACTATAATTAAAAGTTCTATTTGTATAGATATTAAAAATAGAGCTTAGTGTTTTAATAAATAGTGTTATGAATTTTTGATATTGATTAAATTATATTGATTAAAGATGATGCAATTTTCTTGAATTATTAGGATTAGTGATAAAAAGCCTAAAATTATTTAGAAATTGCCTTGTCAGTATCTAGTTAGTTCTGTTTTAATCCAAAGTAACCTAAATATCCTATGGATTATATCTGAATTTCAATATTTACGTAAAATAGATTTAAGGAAAATTATATGTCTTAATGATATAATATTCTTTATAGATTTTATCATTGATCATATTAAATTTACACTTAATAATTTTTCATAGAATATTATAGTAATCATTTTTAAAGATCATGATGTAATGTCTTCTGTAGATATATTTTGAGATTTTCATAGTTTATTTTTTTTTAAATTTAATTGTTGTACAATTGTTATATTATACATCAATTGATCATTCTTAAATAAATTTAATTAATTTTATTTTTAAAATTTAAAATTTTTAATTAAGATTAATTTAATTATTATTGGTATAATTTCTGTTTTAAAGCATAATAAAAAAACTATTAAAATAAAATATTATAAATTTTTTAGAAAATGTTCTAAAACTTTCATATATACTCTTAATGGTATTTTTATTTTTTATTTGCCCGTATTCCTGTTTTATTAGTTTACATTAATAATTAAAGGATTTTAAAAGTAATAAGTAAAATAATTAAATTATTTCTGAACTATGTAAATTTTCTAAATATATAAAAAAATCAATACGTTAGATAAATATTATAAAACTTTTTTGATTTTTATGATAGCTAGTCAGATTTTTCAATGATAAATTTATATTTTGTATAATGCTTATAATTGATTGTGGAATAATGTTATTTGGATTTTTGAATAGAACTTTATCTTTTGTAAAAGTATCGTATATAGTTCCTAAAATCACAAGCTAGTAAATATGATTTTATTATCATATGCTTAAATAAGGAATGGTTGTATGATGAATATATATATATTTATATATTTAAATAAAAAAAATGTCTTTTTTTTGAATAGACAGTTTTATTATTTTTATTTGATAAAGAAAATAAATATTCTGTTATGATAATTAATAAAAAAATGGAAGTTATAATTTTTCCTATTTTTATTCTGCAATGAATAGTCTCTTTTGAATTTGGATTAATAATATCAACGATAAGAAACAAAATGTCAAGTTTAATTTATTAAACATTTCTTTTGATATTTCAATTGAAATCAATAATAATAATTGATTAGAAATATATAGAGAGAGATTATATTTTTTATATAAATCTATGGAATATATCTATTGTTTTTATATTTTATTTTTCTTTATATTTGAATTTTTAGGATTTTTGATAAAAATGCTGTAAAAATAGTAATAATAAATAATTGCACTTTTATTATATATTTTAAACATATGTATCTTTAATTATTAAATTTCTTAATTTCTAATGTGTTTATTGCAATTTTTAAGAATAAATATGTTAAGTATTTTAGAAGTTTATCTAATTTTTTTTCTAAAAATATTTTGCAAAGCTATATCTAATAATATTAAATTTCATGTTGATATATTAACATTTATAATCTTTTATTTTTATTCAAGAATGAAAATTATTTTTAAAATTAAATTTTATTTTTTTAAAAAATAATGCCTTTTCTATCAACAGTATTTTTTAGATTAAGACATTTTGAAATGTTTTTTAATGATATTATTTTCTAAACTTTATTCAATTGTCTATTTTTCCTATTTTTATAGCTTTTGAATATATGTTTAATCGATATTATGGATATATATTTATGAGTTTATAAATTTAAACTTTTAGGGAATTTTTAATTTATATAAATATTTTTTGATATTTTTTATATTTTTCTTTACTTTTTAAAGAGATTATTTAATTTTATAATGAGTTTTTTCAAGGTATTTTTTGTTTATTTCTTAAATTTTAAGATGTTTTAAATACTTAATTATTGTAATGTTTAGGGTCCCTATTTGTTGTTATATTCTTAGATGGATGAATCTACTAATTCCGATCTACGTTTATCAAAACGAATTCTCCCTTTAGACATTGCTGTTGTTAGTAAAATTGCAGCTGGTGAAGTAATAATTTTTTTTTTATCTTTATATTTTTTATCTAAATTGTTTTAGATTATTCGGAGACCTTGTAATGCTTTAAAAGAGTTAATTGAAAACTGTGTTGATGCAGGTGCTACATCAATTGATATTTTAGTTAAAGGTGGAGGACTAAAGCTTCTCCAAGTATCAGATAATGGACATGGAATTATGGTTATTTTCTGGGGAATTATTTAATTATGTTTATTTTATTTAGAAAGAGGATCTTCCTATTCTTTGTGAACGTTTCACTACATCCAAGTTACGTACATTAGAGGATTTATCATCAATTTCTACATATGGATTTAGAGGAGAAGCGTTAGCAAGTATTTCTTATATATCTTTCTTAACTATAATTACAAAAACTACTGGTTCGAGTTGTGCATGGGAGTGAGAGTAAAATATCGTTCAAGCTTTATTTTTGATTGAATATAGAGCTAACTATCTTAACGGAAAACTCATATCACCCAAGTTAGGTGAATCATCAAATCCTAAGCCAGCTGCTGGAAAGAAAGGGACTCAGATTGTGGTATTTAATTTTATTAAATTATAAATAATAATAATAATTTTAGGTTAAGGATTTATTTTATAATACTCCTTCTAGACTGAAATCCTTTTCCAGTGCCAACGATGAGTATGTTAGAATACTGGATATTATTTATAGATATGCTATTCATTGTGAGAAAATAAGTTTTTCATGTAAAAATGTATGTTTTTATATATGTTATTTTTATGAATTTTTTTGACAATTTTAAAGTATGGAGATACAGTACCATCTATTTCTATATCATCTAGATCAACTGTGGTTGAAAGAATTAAACAATTATATGGAACTACTGCTGGTTTTGAGCTTTTACCTTTTTCATTAACTTCGCAGGATTATATGTTTCAAGCTCAGGGTTTTATTACAAATACTGCTTATAGTGCTAGAAAAACTGTCTTTTTGCTGTTTATTAATCGTACGTATATTTTATGTATTGATACTCTAGAATAATTATAAATATAGATAGATCTGTTGACTGTAATACACTCAAATCCAGACTTGAATCTATTTATAGCAGTTTTTCGTTGAATTCTGGTTATCCATTTATGTATATATCATTGGAAATAGATTCTTCTAGAGTTGATGTAAATATTCATCCTACAAAACGCGAAGTTCATTTTTTTAATGAAAATGAAATTATTGATCTTATATGTGATAAAGTTTGTTTAGAACTCTCTAAAACTTATTCTTCAAAGGAGCTTTCGATACATGTAAGTATTTGCAATATCTTGAACATTTAATTCTTTCCTTTTAGTCACTTAAAACAACTACAAATTCTTCAAATGCTGATACTGATTGTAATTCTATAGGGAGTAACTTCATATGTATTATTTATTTTAGTTATTTATTTTTCTAGAAAAAGGTTATGATAAATTTCATGTTCGTACTGATGCGAAATTTCGAACAATTACATCTCTTCTTAATGTTAATAGTTTTAATTCAAAAAAAGTAAAGAGAAGTAATTCTATAGAAAATTTCTATCATGAGCCTTTATATGAAACGAATAATAGAGAAAAGGTTGTTGTTAGACTTGCAAGTATCAAGGAATTAAGAGATGAAGTGTTGGATCGGAGAGATGATGGTAGTTTTTTATAATCTAATATTCTTATTACTTTGTTTTAATTTTATTAAGTTTTAACTAATATATTAATGAATCATATTTTTATTGGTGTAGTTGATGAGGAAAAACAATTGGCTGCTATACAGTGTTCTACAGAACTATATTTTGTTGATTATGGGTCTCTTTGGTTTTTTTCTTTTTATATTGTTTTATTTTTTTAATTTTTCTATTAGTTTTGAACTTTTTTATCAAATTGGATTGGCTGGATTTGCTAATTTTGGAACAATAAAATTAGAGCCAGAATTGTTATTAGTAGAGTTGCTTGAGATATTATTAGAAAGTTTAGAATGTGATCCTGTGGCTTCAAAAAAAATAATAGTATTTATATCATTTTTTATTATTTTATATTTATTTTGTTTTTAGGATGCATCTAAAATAATTATAGATTATAGGGAAATGCTTTACGAATATTTTTCTTTTGGTGTTACATCTGATGGTAAAATATATTCCCTTCCTTTGCTTCTTAAAGATTATATTCCAAATATTGGGAAGCTTCCCTTATTTATTTATAGACTTTGCATTAAAGTATTTTTTTTTATCTTTGACTGTTATATCTAATATCTACAGGTTAATTGGAATCAAGAAAAGGAATGTTTTTGCACTTTTTTAAGGGAATTAGCTTTGTTTTATTCTCCCGAACCTTTATTTCAGAAACAGTATGATATTGAAACTTATGAAAATGAAAAAAAGATTCTTTCTAAAGCTCTAGAATGTGTCTTGTTTCCTGCATTTAAAAAAAGATTAATTGGAACGATTGAGCTTTCTCGAAAAAGGAATGTCGTTGAAGTAGTTACTTTACCTAAATTGTATAAAGTATTCGAAAGATGTTAAGACAAAAAACACTACATGTTAAATGCAATGTTTATATTTGAATTTTTAGATGATATTTATAAGATTTTAATCGATTTTTATGTTCTTTAATCATTTTTGAAATTATTTAATATGGTATATTTTATAAGTAATATTGGTTATTTTATACATTGCTTATTTAAAATATTTTTACGAAATATAAGGGTTGTATATTCTATTTTTTAATTAATTATGTTATTTTGTAAAGAAATTTGGTTTCGAGTTATTTAAAATTGCTATATTTAAATTTTATAAATTATTAATTATAAATAATTTAGATAATATAATATCTTGATACATTCAATTATTTTTATATTTATATTGTTAATGTAGATTGATAGCAATAATTATTATTTTTTCATGTTTTCATTGTTTTGTTTGATTTTTAAGTTATTTATTAAAATAACAGATTACTTGAATTTATATATAATTTAATATTTAGTTTTATGATTAATTTCAAAAAGTATCTCTATTTTCTTAAGTTTATATATCAATTTTTATTATGTTAGATTTTTTGTATTTTATATATATTAAAAATATTAAGTTTAAAAATTGTTATGTTATAGTTTTTGTATATATTTATGTATTATGAGAATAGTTTTTCTATGTTTTTAGATTTTAATTGATTAATATTAAAAATATCTTATAATAAATTATATTTGAGTTATAAAAGACGTTTAAAATAATTTTAAATAATTTTACAAGTTATTTTTTATTAATTTTTGAAAGTTTTAGAATTTAAATTATTTAGAAAAAAAAAGATACAAAGAATATTTTTTGTAAAATTCTATTTTTTAAAGTTAAGTTTTAATAATAAATATTAAGAGTTATACATTATTATATTTTATCCTATAGTAAATGTTTACTGTATCTCCTTCTAAAATATTTTAGTTAAAATATGCTTCGAAGTTTATCAGCTTTAAAGGTATATTAAATATTGTATATAAATCAATAAAATTAAATTAATAAGAAATTAACATTGACAACTTGATTGTTGAACATTTGTTTCTCGAGGATTAATATTAACATCAATCACTATAAAACTTAATACTATAAATTTAAAGAATAGAATTACTTAATGTGCTATTTGTATCCTGTATATTTTCTATTCCTGGAAGAACACATGCAATATTTCTAAAAAGAGTTTTAACATTGCTACCCGTTTTTGCACTTGTCTCCATGAATTGCGTCTTAAGATCCTTTGCCATCTTTTCTCCTTCCTCTGTTGTAACTTGACTTTTTTATTTAGTAATGACTGTTAGTATAAAATTTATCTTCTTACCGTTTACTGTTAAGATCTGTTTTGTTTCCTACTGTAACAATAATCACATCATTTCCTCGTTCTGATTTTATATCATTTATCCACTCTTTTATACTCATAAAGGAATTCCGATCTAAAAAGTAAGAAATCGGCTTGAGACTTAAAGGAATATTTACTGGTAATATCATAAACAACAACAGCCACACTAGAATCCCGAATATAACTAGGAATAAGGCTTCTAAACCGTTCTTGCCCTGCTGTATCCCATAGCTGTAAACGCACTGTTTTGTCTTCCAAGTACATTGTTTTAGACAAAAAGTCTATGCCTATAGTTGCCTATCATTTAAATAAGTTTTATTATATAAAATATATCATTTTTACTTGATAGGTATTATCAAAAGTATCATACATAAATCCTGCAGATATATTAGTTTAAATATTTTATAAAATATTTTTTAAAACTTGTAATTAGTGATGTTTTTCCAACACTTTGATCACCTATATATTTAAAATTATTAAATTCAAATATTTTGTTTTATATGTTAAGTTTTACCAAGAAATACAAGTTTAAATTTCTTTAATGAATTTGCTAAATCTGTCATTTTTAAAGTTGGTATATTATTGAACGATAAAAATATTCAATTTTTTTTACTTAAAAAAATTTATGAGCTTTACAGTAACTCTTAAAAAAATGTTTGGAATCTTTTAAAAAGTTTTTATTATTTGGCTGGTTAATTTGTTTAGTGTTGAAAAGGAAAACGTTGAAGGTGTAATTTTAGTAGATGATAATGGACTTTGTCTAGGATGTAGGAATATATTTTAAATTATATTGCTATATTATTAATTCTCTATTCTAGCTTATGGGAAGGTGAATGAAGAATATGCAAACAAGTGTATTAAATTTGTAGATTTAGAGTTACAAACCAAAATGTTTGCAGCAGTGATGAGTAAAAAACAGTATGTTTTCGGTAAAATACATGGATATTGTTGTCTTATATGTTTTTAGAAAAGTACTTTTGCATAGGGATTCGGGTATTACAACAGTTTTATTTATGGCACGCTGAATTTGATAAATTTTTCTTGTTATATTATCATGGCATATATTGGTACTTTTCTGATACAATATATTATAAAAGAAAATGCTTTTTGATTGTATGTTTATATGTTTTTTAGTTAGGCTTATGAAGTTTTACTGTTTTTTTTTGTTTTTTTTTAATACGCCTTAAGTTGATTTATATACAAAATGTTGGGAATATATTTGCGAATTTTTTTATAATGAATATATGATTTTTTATATAGAAATAGTAAATTTGGGTAATGTTTCATCTATTTCTATTTATGTTTTATTCAAGTTTTTTAATCAATGTTTTACGTAATATCGATATAAATGAAAAATGTTAAGAGTTAAACATTTTGAAATACCTAAGCCGAGGGTTTATATTCCTTATTTTATAATGAAGATTTAGTTTTAACTAATTTTCTTAAGTCATTTTTATATTTTCTGGATTTAAAGATTGGTACAGAGCTAATTATTTTTTTTTCTATTTTAAATAAGGCATCTGGCATTTATGGATTTTTCGTAACATTAATTAACTGTTTTTTTTTTTATTTTTATGAGTATTGATGTTTTAATTAAGTGGTAGATTCTTCTTTAAGCATGTCTTTATGGAAAATGTTTATGTATTTTTACTCTTTACTTGTATTACTTGGATTTACAATGATGATGAAATATATTCGAACGGTAATTTATTGGGCTTTTAATTTTTTTTTATACTTTTTAGGAATCTCCTTTTCATATATTGATTTGTGCTTATTTTTATTTTATTGATACTTTTATTAGCTCTATATATTCTGCAATATTCACAATTGTATGGTTTATGAATATATTTAAACATGCGATAATTTCTTCTGGTGCTGGAAAGTTGGTTAGTTCTCAAAAATCAGAAATGTATATTTTTTCTTTTTCTGATAAATCACTAAAGTTGTTTAGAATTGAATTATGGTCTTCTAATAATTCCGAGTACGCACATGATAGTTCAATGATGTTTTTTTCTATCGAAAATCTTTTTACTGTTTTTATTTTATGTTTTTTTCTATGCTTAAAGATATATTTTTGTCTTGTTGTGTTCTCATATGCACGTTATTTATTGTTACGAACAGGAAATATATATAAATATTTACGTAACGAACGAATAAAGAAATTGGTATCTCTGTTGACTTATGGGAAATATTGGGAAAAGGCTGATGATACCTTTTGTAAGATTAAATGTTCATTGGATCTCAATGTGTTTAATGCTAGATAAATAGATGGAAATTTTTGAGAAAAATATGTTAAATCCTTCATTTTTCTTGGTTTTAAGATATATATAATGTTGAGATAATTCCATAGTACTTTTTTTATGTACAAAATTATGTTTTTATATAATGATAAAAGTCAAAGATCTGTCTTGTTTTGCTTTTGTTGTATCCTATTATTCTTAAGAAAAAAAGTATTTACTATTTCTTAAGTTTCTAACATCGAAGCTTCCCTAAATTAAAAGGTTAGTTATAAAAACAAATAATTGAAAATAGACCTTTTTTGGTAATGGGGGAAATTCTAGATCTACCCATACATGTATTAAGTCTCTCTTTCTTTCTTTATTTTCAGTTTTTGTTTCTATTGTACTCTTGTCCTTTTCTTTTAAAGCAGAATCTGAATTCTCAAGATTTAAATAATCCGTTTTTTTTGATGTAAAATCTAATAAATTAGCCGTATTTTTTTCATTATTTGCTATACATGTATTTTCTGTTGATAAATTCTCATATGTTTCTGATTTATTACCATTGTTGATTAATGATATTTTATTTGTTTCTTGTAATTTTTTTTTTCTAGCAGAAAGTATTTTTTTCCCTTCTTTACTACTCTTTGAAATACTAATTAATGTTTTATAACCTTTATATCTTTCACGAAATTCATTTAATAAATTTTCCATAATGTTTTCTTCATGTAACTTAACAAATGTTTCCCTAAGAATCACATTCATATTGTCAATATCAGCAGCATGAGTCCAATAGGAATCATGAACAGATGCAAAAGTAAGGCCCGCATTTTTACACGAAACGGCTGACATTAGCATGTGAGTTGCATCAAGTGAATGAATGAAATTTGGAGGAAATGCTGTTTGCTGTTTTCGAGTATCAACAGGATTTATGTTATTAGGATCTGTAATGAAAATAGATTGAAGATTAGTTTTGATTTGCTTTTTAGATAATTTTCGATATGGTTGAACAATAGGTAAATTGAGAGGAGATGTCCAAATTACACTTGTCATATGATTTATATCATCAGAGAGAGATGTATTTACTGATTTTGATATTCTTTTAGCAGCTTCATTAAGCCATTCTTGTATTTTATGTGCTCCTGTAAACATTGATTTAAGAGATGAAAATATCGTTTTTGCTAAATAAGATGCAAGATTCTATACTTAATAAGTTAAAAAAATTGGTATATATACTTACAAATAACATTCCTCTTGGAAGATCGTTTATATTCTTTAATTGATTAAGAATTTGATTACGAGCTCCAACATAAGTGACTCCATAAACGTTTGTCATAACAGTCTGTTTGACAATTTTACGTGTAATTCTTCCTTGTAAGAGAACAGCTAAATGATTATTTTCTTTTGCGTCTTTTTCTACTTGCTCATTTACTAATTCTGCTACTTTAGTATATACATCATATGGTCGATTACTGGGCTCAAGATTTACTTGCCGTGCACCTAAAATATCTCCTCCTAGTGCTGCATAGTGCTGAAGTCCATTGCATGTTCCATCTTGATGTACAGGAAGACGAGATTTGAATTTATATGGATCTGACGAACGGAGTGCTGCTGTAAGTTCAAAACAGGCAGCTAAAGTTTGCCAAGGATCATCAAATGTTAACCACCATCTAGAGCCCTTCAAAAGATATAAGATTGATGTAATGGAATAATATGAAATGTATATTTACCTTTAATGGATTATCTGCTGAATCAAAAATATTTTTGAGGTTCCCGGTAGTAAATGCTTCTCTTTCTATAAAACTTTCTTTGTCAAATCCACAAACATTTGCCAAATGGATTTTAAGCCATCTTAGGCCCGATTCTCCTATTTCCTTCGCTTCATGGAATGTTAATAGTCCTCTACAAAGATCATTTCCAAGATGATTAAAGTGTGGTGGTATAGGATAAGCTCTTCCTCGAAAATCCAAATTATGAGGAAAATACATTTTTTCATGAAGAAACTAATAACAAAAGTAAGTTATATATATATACGATAAGGAAATCTCCTACAGCTCTAGCTATTTCTAATTTATAGTTGATATCACATCTTATAGACTGTTTGTTTTGAGCATCTCTTGCAATCTGTTTGCACGTAACTTGCCATGATATTCTTTCTCCTGGATCTTTGCTTGTAGGTTGTGGTGGAAAAATTATTTCCGAGCTAATAGGTGGTATTTCTGCAAACTCTTGCCCAGAATTCCAAACCTCACTAACTACATCGAATACTTGTCGGTTTATAGCCCATGCAGTAGAACCAAGAACATCTAAACCTTCAAATATTGATTTTAAATTATTCCTTTCAGATGCTGTCTTTAAATAGCTTATTTGTTCAGGTGAATCGCGGGATCTCATTACTATTGATTTACTTAAATAATACCCTCCCGAATCCCATGAAATCCATGGTTTAGGCTCAACTAACATAGGTAATAATCTAGGATGAATGTTGCCACGTAATGGCTGAGATCCAAGCTGTTTCATAAGTTGATCATTTAGCTTAATTACACCAAGTTTCCTTCCTTTTTGATATTGATAAGTATGATAAAGTGCAGGTGTTTTTTGTGAAATATTTTCATTTTCTACTTCAGCAACTACATCTATTTTTGCGACATGCATGAGTATGGAAATTAATATAGAGCCAATTTTTGCTTTAACAGCCATAGGCCATTTTGGATCTATCTCAAAATCAACATTATTTTGTGTTTTATATAATGCACTTTGAAATTGTCTAGGATTTCCAAAAATTTGAGAAAGATTAATATCTTTCCCAAGTATGTTCTTATTTTTCTTTAGAAGTTCTGATGCATATTCTTTTTCTATAGATTTCCCTACACTGAGAATTGCTCTTGCAGTTCTCATTCCTTGAGCAATTCCGCCAGTAGAATGAAGTCTAAGGATTTCCAAAATAGTTATTGTGCCCAATTTTTCAGGTGAAAGAAGCTGAATAAAAGGCCCATATGATAATCTGTCCACTCCTTCATTATTTAATTTTTTTTTATTTGAAAGATCATTGATTGCATTTTTACAACGCTCGATTTCTTCTTTTATTAAGGGAATCATAAGAGAATGCCATTCAAATAATAAAGGATTAAGAGTTTTGCTGAAACTAAAGCCTCCTCTTTGTATTAATTGTTCATGGTCCCATTTCCACCTTTCTAAAGCAGTATCTAATGCGTTGTTTTCTAGTAGTCTTTGACGAGCCATGTTAAAAGAAGTAGAATTGAGATCCTCGGAAATATCTTCAATGTCATAATTTATTTCTATATTGGGGTCTGTTAATGGTCTTAAAGTTTTTTTAAGTAGTTGTAATCCTGGGCCAGAAACACATGTAGAAAGCAACTCTGGAACATTTTCAAGAGGATGAAATAAATGAGTATTTGTGCTTTCTTCTTTGTCAGCATCTATTGCTTTTTTTAGTATATGACGATATTCTTGTTTTAGCTCAGAGAAATTGATATTCATAATCTAAACTATTAATTTAGTTTTTTCGAATATATTATGTCCCACCTTGAAAATCTTTAGTATTTCTTGATGATCTAAAACAGAACTCTCATTAAATATTTTTCCTATGTTTTCTTTTTTTTTTAAGTGCCATAATTTATTAAATCCATTAATTGTGATTTTAGATTCTTCTATATCTTTAATATATAACGCTGCTTTTAGCATAAGAGCAAATGTTGTTTCATCTCCAATAATATTGTATTTTTTTTCTAAATCATGAAAGCATTTATTGACACTTTCAAAATCACCTGTTTTTTTAGTTTTATCAACTAAAGCTTGTAGATATCGATTATGAATTTGGATAATAAAAGACGGCTCAGCTTCATATGAAAGACGTTCCATTAAAATATATCCTCTATCTAAATCGCCTGTAGAAACGCATGCATCAAAAACTGCAAGAAGTTCGTTGTTATCATAAAAAGCTGCACCGCGAGGAAGCCCTCCCTTATAAATTTGAGTAGATTGCTTAGGAATAGGTAGAATTATTATAGGACTTTTTTTCTCTAACGAAATACTTATGTTTTTTGAAGGTTCTGATTCTTGAAAACAATTATATTGATTATGAATGTGCCGGAAAAAATTAAACTTGACATTTCTTTTCTTAGTAATATCTTTTAAATAAAAATAATATCTCGTTCGTTTGAATATTTTTGTGGATGTTGGTAATGTGTTAAAGATATTAATCATTTCTAAAATTTTTTTATTCTTTTTTAGAATAAATTTGATATTTAATATTAGACATTTTTTAATATTCTCTAAAGATTTCCTGAATAAAAATATGAATCTTCTAGTATCATATTATTCATTTTATCTTTTTTTTTTTATTTTCATAATTTATAATGAAAGGCTATAATTATAGTACGTTTCGAGTAATTCTTAAAAATGTTTATTTTAAAGATTAGTATATATATTATAGTATTTTAAACAAAGAAACTTCTGTAATATTGCATAGTAATAATGAGGAAAATATATGTGGAAAATTATTTGAATAAATTTTAAATTTCTGAATAAGTATTTTTAAGAAAACTTTCAAAGGTTAATTTACATTATTTGAAGTATATACAATGGTGAATTACATGAAGAGTTTAGTTGAAATGATAACAAATATATCTAATGATATGCATTTCTATATGGTTGAAGATAGATGATTTGCTTAATTTTTGAAATTTTGAATTTTGGTTAGTGTTAAAAATCATCTTTAGATAGTATTAATATGAATTTTTTGAATATTTTTGAAATTGAGTAAATTTGTATAAACAATAAACATTAATTAAATTCTATAATAAAAATAGTGTAATTTTAACTCCGGATTTTTAATGTTTATAATTTTTGAAGAGGCTTGCCTATATAGTAAAATTATGTTAATAAAAATAATTTATAAATTTTTTAATAGAGCCATAGTAGAAGATTTTTTAAATAGTTAGTATTTTTTTTTATAGAAATTCTCTCATGTATGATTTTTACTTGCGATACTAAGACACTCTTTTTCCATTTCGTGAACTATTTCTACTTCAATTCCATGTTTTTTTAGAGTGGATATGCCTGTACATTGTACAAATGTGTTAGGTTCTTTAACTCCAAGTATAACTCTTTTTATTCCTGAATGAATAATCCTATCAACACATGGTAATTTTCCCGATAGACGTATACTGCAAGGTTCCATTGTAGTATATATTTCTGCTCCAATAGCAACCTTAATATCTGGAAGTTTCATTAAAGCGCATTCTTCAGCATGGGTATTATTGGGTAATTCTCTAGAAAACCCTCTAGATTCTATTTTCCCGTTTTTTACAATTATGGCTCCAACACAAAATGCAGTTTTTATTGGGATACATTTTTCTGCTTCTTTTATTGCTTCTTTCATGAAATATTGATCCTTTTGTTGAGTCATGTTAATAATCAATTTCGATATCAAATTAAAAAAAATGTCTTCAGAATCTTTACAATCTTTCAGAAAAGAGGATAAAAGTTTGGTTAATAATACAGATCATATACATTTGAAACAAGGATTAGAAATATTACATGAAAAAATAAATGAGTAAATGATGTATAAAAGAATGCGGTTTATATTGATTTTTTATTAGTGATATATTTTCAAAAATTCCTGATGAAGAACTTTTTTCTGTTGATTTTAAAGGCTATATTAGTGCTAATGGAGAAAGGGAGAGTGCCAAGTGTTTAGAAAATGATGAAAATTTATCGTATAAATCATCTATTTCTTTTTTATCAAATTTTTCTGAAAAAGATGTTAAAAATGTTACAAATAAATCGAAATCTAAGAAACAGATATGGAGAAATATGTTAAATTCTAAAGAAATTTGTTTAGGAAAAATTAATCGGAAATTTAACTATAATTTATTGAATAATATCAATTTTTCAGGTCAAATATCATCTAACGATTCAAAGCTTTATGATATATGGAAAAAAGACAATAATTCTCAAAAGTTATCATTAGCTAGTTCTTCTCTTGGACAAAAATTTCCAAAAATGCCTTCTACTTTGCAGCATAAATCACTTTTTATATCAAATAATATTCCTAATGTAGAAGTAGCTAATGCGGGGATGTCATATAATCCTTTGTTTGAAGAATATAAGAAGTTGATAAATGAGGAATCTGCTAAGGAGCTTTTAAGAGAAATAAAAAATGATCAAGAAAGAAGGAAAAAATCATTTAATGTTTCTAAGCAAGATTCTATAAAGGATAAAGATCCCGAAAGCCTATCCGAGGATAACAGTTCCACTGAAGATATTAATCATTGTCTTATTAGTAAAAAGTCACTAAAAAAAACAAGAAAGCAAAGAAAAAAAGAGATGAGGAAAAAAAGAGAAGTATTATTAGAATTATATTACGGAAAGATTTCTAATGCATATAGATTTTTGAATATAATGAGAAAAGACGGCAGAAGATGCAAATAAGAGATCTGAATTCTATAAATAAAATTATAAAATTAATAGAAGAGAAGGCATATAGTCAAAAACTAGCTAATATTAGTAATCCTATACGTGAAGCTACGTCTAGAAGGAAGCTCAGAAGACACAGGTAATTATTTTTTATATTTTATAGCTTGGATTAAGTATTTTTAGTGCAGTTGTACGTCCATTAGAAATCCAATTATCCGATGAACTCAGTGATTCTTTTCGATTGTTTAAGGTTTTTCTTTTTGTACTATTTAAAGCTTTCTAATGTTTTGTAATTTTATAGCCTGAAGGTAATATATTTATAGATCGGTTTATAAGTTTGCAAGAAAGAGGACTTATAGAAACAAGATGTCCTGTGATTTCTTACAGAAAATATCCCAGACGCTATGTGGAAAAGTGGAGTTATAAGAAATTTAAATTATGATATATTTGTGATTAATAATTATTATTTTAAATAATATATTTTTAATTTGAATTTTTAATTTTGTAAATTTTGAATATCGAAGTTTTTTTTCAAGAGAATGAGTTATGTTCAAGAAAATATTGTTCATAAGATGGCTTCAGAGCTTATGCAAGGGACTTGTTTGAGTTCTTTTGCATCAGAAAATCAAGCTCATGAAATTTTTTGCTGTCAATGTGGAGTACCAATATCGTAAATTTTGTTTTTATGATTATTTTTTTTAATAATAGTAGCCCAAACTTATCAACAATGTGTATAGATTGCATTAAAATTGGCATTGATATCACTGAAGGTATGAGATAGTTTATTATAACCTCATGTTTTTTATGAATTTAATAAAGGAATATCTAAAGAAAGTATATTGTATTCTTGTCGAGAATGTGGTAGATTTTTGAACTTTCAGAATCAATGGTTATCTGTTCAGATGGAGAGTAAGGAGTTTTTATCTCTTTGTTTAAAGAAAATTCGTGGTTTAAACAAAGTAATTATAGATAAAATTTTATATAAATTTGAATTATTTCCAATAGGTTAGGTTGATTGATGCATTTTTTATATGGACAGAGTCGCATTCTCGAAGAGTTAGAATTAAGGTGACTATACAAAAAGAAGTATATTATTTTTTTTTGGATTATATAATTTAATTCTTTATTTTAGGTATTGGTATCTACAATTTTGCAGCAGACGTTCGAAATAAAATATACTGTAATGTATCAGCAATGCCCTGATTGTTCTAGGATGTATACTTCTCATACATGGAAGGCTCTTGTACAGGTTAGACAAAAAGTTAATCATAAAAGAACTTTTTTGTATCTTGAACAACTTGTTTTAAAACACTCTGCTCATAAGGATGCTTTAAATATTAAGGAAATCAAAGATGGCCTTGATTTTTATTATTTAAATAGAAATCATGCTATTAAGCTGGTAGAATTTCTTAGCACTGTAGTACCAGTGAAAATTAAGAAAAGTGAAGAACTAGTATCTACTGATGTTAAATCAAACATTAGTAGTTATAAATTTACATACTCTGTAGAGATCGGTACTATCTATTTTTTAATATATATAGTTTTAATTTTTTTTAGTTCCTATCTGTAAGGATGATTTGATATGCTTACCTAAAGAGTTAGCTAAATCTTTGGGAAATTTAGAGTAGGTTATTCATGATATTTCAATTCTTATTTTTTTAGACAGCTGGTTCTGTGTTACAAAGTAGGAAATTCTATTCATGTTATTGATCCAAGAAATCTTCAAATTGGTAATATTATTCCAGCTATATATTGGAAATTTCCTTTTTTTTCTCTATGCGATGTTAAAGATTTGGTAGAATTTATTGTTTTGGATGGTATATTTTATGTTTTATATAGTTACTTTTTATATTATTTTATAGTTGAATTAGTTGGACCAGTTAATGGCAAATTTGTATTAGCAGAAGTCTCGGTTATTCGGTCATCTGATTTAGGTTTAAATCATTCATATTTTGTTCATAGTCATCTGGGTTCTATTTTAAAAGCGGGTGATACTGTTTTGGGATATTATCTTGAAAATTTAAATTTCAATAATTCAACTTTTGAGGCTTATCAAGAAACATGTGCTTATGTTCCGGAGGTTATTTTAGTAAAAAAAAGTTATCAGAGTAGAAGAAAGAAAAGTAGAACAAGAAATTGGAAACTTAAAAGTTTTCTTGGAAAAGAAAGAAGGTAATTGATCAATTATTTGATGTTTGTGTAGAAAATAATATCTTAGTGAAATTAATGGAAAAAGACATGATCAAACATGTTTTGAAGAAGATTATGAACGTTTCTTGCAAGATCTTGAAGAAGATATTGAACTTCGTCAAAAGTAAAACAAAACTGATATTATTATTGTTATTAAATCTAATTTAGTGTGAATTTGTATAAAACAAAAACAAATTATGAAAAAACATCTATGAATATGGATATCGAAAATGAAACAGAAAGCAGTGATGAATTTCCTGAAATAGACGTTAATGAACTAGTAAGTATTTTAATTTATTTCAAATAAAATAAATAATAAATTGAAGATTGATGAAATTGAAGAAATGAATATTTCTTCTGAAGAAATGTAAAATATTTGGCGTTTAATGGTTATTATTAAAAAATCTTATCCAATACTTTGCTCATTTCGTTTTTTACATTTGTGGATATGTTATTAATTATGGTTTCTCGTTGTTTAAATTTGCATTTAGTTCTTTTTTCTAAATTAGATGATATATCTTCATCGGTTTTCCGCTTTTTGTTTTTTATGTTTTCAATCATTTTGCCACGTTCATAGTTTTTTATATAATTTTGATTTTCCCGTTTTGTGCGAGAAATCTCTGCTCTTAATTTCGATGTTTGAGAAGCATTTTTAGATGCTATTCAATATTAGAATGGAATTTATGGGAGTTTGCTTACCAATTTGTTCTTGTAAATGGCTCCATTTGAATTTGGGCAAATATTTTATATTCCATATATCATCATGATAATATGTCTAAAAGGAATAAGTTGTAAATATTTAAATAAAATATTTCTTACACCCGGTTTTCCTCCAATAATGGTTGTATTCAATGTATCAGCGGCTAATTTTGCCTTTTTTTTTTCTTTAAACTCGACCCATCCTTCTGTATATTTCTTTTTTTTGTTTCCTTTATATCTAATTCGTTTTATATAACTTTTATAATCTTCTGGTGCCAAAAAAATTCTTCCTATTTCTCCATATTGTGAAAGAAGACGTCTAATTGTTTCTGGTTTCATAAATGGTGGTATTTTACTAAGATATACTATCCCAGACATTTTTGATTTTTCTGAAGCATCAAGAACTTTTTTTGTTAATGTTTTTCTACAAAATAATATCTAATATCTTTAAATTGTAATATTTATATTTATATTTTTTTACTGTTTCTATAGCTTCCTTATTAGTTTTTGATAAAGTGTTATTTATATCTATATTAGACTTAATACTTGATTTTTTGCTATTATTTAAAAAGTCGGAATTAGTATTAGTTTGATTTCCTGAATCCATATTTAAAATTATATGAATATCTTAAGTATTTGAATTATTTTTTTTATTTTTATATTTTTATATTTTTTAACTTTTAAATTGATTCAATAAATTTTTACGTAATGAAGAAAATTTATTATCTTTAATATTTTGTTGCTTTTTGCATTTATGGATTTTATTTAATTGGATATATTTAAATGACAATTTGTTGAACTTAATAACTATTATTTATAAAAAATATGATAAAGATCTAGTATTTAATAGTTTTAAAAAAAAAAATTAATATAATATTTTCATTAGAAATGATATTTTTTATTTAGAGCTATAATGAAAATATTTTAATTTAAATGTACAATTTTTTATATATTTTTATAATATATAAATAGGAAAAAAAATAGATAATTTCTGATATTTTTATAATTTTGTAATTTCTCCATTTTAATATTGTATACTTAATTTTATAGTGATTTCTATAATTATTAATTTTAATTCATAATATTTAAAAATTAAGTATTTAAACTTTAAAAATTAATAAGATTGAAGTATATATTTTATTGTTTTCAAGAAATAATTTTATAACATTTATATTTAAATTTAAAAAAAAAAAACAAATGTATTAAATATAATGCTTAAATACAGCTATATATATGTTCATTCGAAAATTTATAAAAAACAGTAAGGGCTAAATGTTGAAAAGTTACTTAAGTTTATATTAAAATTCGGAAGTTAAATTTGAAATGAAATTGAATTTATAATTAGAATATTTTGATATTATTAAAATTAATATCATTTTTTGTTTTATTGAATAACTATAATTTAGGCAAAATGTTTTTTTTTTCCAATAAATACTTATATTTTGTTTGTTCTCTTGATTCTCGTTCTTTTAAAAATTGCACATCATTTTTTAAAGAATCTAATCGTTTTGGTAAGGCTATTTTTTCTGAAATATCTAAATTTTGAAAACAATACAATTCCTGTTTTGCAAGAGAAATAGCTTCAATAGAATTATATATTTTTTTCGATATTATTTTAGAACGTATTTGATATCCATTAAGAAGGACATCAAGCCTTTTTTCAATTTTATTACCATTATTTGCCTCTTTTGATATATTTTCTTGAATAATCTAAAAAAAATAAGTCTTATATGTATCATAAAATTTACATACTTTCCAATAATTTTTTAAATCATTCAGGGAGTTTTCTGAACTTTTTTCTGGATCAGAAATAAAATTGCGTAAATCTTTCCTTACATTTATTAACCTCATATAAGGCTCAATAGTTATAGAATTATATTTATCAATTTCTTTTTGAATTTCATTATGTGCATAATGGATAAAATCATTACTAATATTATCTATAAAATGTGAAGTGCCTATTATTTTATTCTCAAGTATAGGATATCTCGAAGTGTCATGAGAAAGAAGTTTTATCATTTCTTCAGTAATCAATAATTCTGCGCCTTGAGCAGGTTCGAGCCATTCCAGAAGTAAGCTCATATTAATAATTGGTGGCCGTGGCAAACCCTTTTGCATTACTTTACTTTTTAAATCTAAAGAGTTTTGTTTTTCTTTAAGTACTTGATTTCTTTTTTTTTTTTCTTGGGCATCTTCCTCAATTACTGGTTGTTTTGGCTTGTCGTTGTAATCTTCTTCAATAGGAAGTTCTAATTCAAAGTCATTTAAGGGTTTTGGCAATGACGAAAATTTAGAGCGTAAATATTCTTTTTGGGATTTTCCATATAATTCCTCTTTATTTACAAATTCAGATGAGTTTGGATCTTTTTGATTAATATTAAAATTATCTCGTGGTGTTCTAAATGGAGTAGAATTTGTCTTAACTGATGTATTCCTTTGACAAAATGTCATAGCTAATGGATTAGGTGTAACAGGTGTATTTTTTAAAGCTCCCTTATTAAAATCCGTTCCTATGGGTTGATGAAGGGGCGTATTTTCATCACCAAATAAAGAAGATTGTTGTTGAGTTAATGCTCTAAGGTTTTTTGCTTCGAT